TTTGCTCACAGATCCATTGATTTAACATTAGACTTATTGTCTAAGAAATACTAGAACCAAAAAGGTTTGATGGCATTTAGAATTAAAAATTTAATTGTGAACAATCTAATTGATTCAAAGATTATAAGTAATTTTGATTTCTTTCATTTTTTGAATACATATTTATGTTATAAACTAGTCCCAATTTCTGGTTGTAATTACAAAATTGAATTAATTTAGTAGTTGATGAATACATTAATTTTAATTTATTATATAGTAATTGAAATAGGAGTATTTTATAGTTTACTTCTATTTCAATATTAGTTTCCATTTTGTTTTATGCTAACAGAAACTTGATTATCTCATATAAGTTTCAGTCTCTTTTTTTTACCTGTAATACTTTGCATTTACTACAAAAGCTAGAGCAGTACTGAAATATTTGTTTATGTTGAGCTTTTCTTTTCAATAGTTATCGATGCATCTATTATGCAGCCAACTTTACTGAGGTTGAGCTTGACAATACAATAATTCAATCTCATGCTGTTTGGAGCCCTATTTTCTTCAACATGGTTGCATTTGAGTCATTTGAGAATGCAAGATCCTTCTCTTTTATCCCATTACCTCCTTTTTCAGCATAAGAACCTTGAATTAATTTAAAAGTCACTTGCCTATAAAACCAATGCATCGATCGTATTGATCCTATTGACTGCCATTTTGTTATAATGGTATACCTGAATAACTCTTAATAATAAGATAGGTATTAAAGAAGATCTTTATAGATTACTTGCATAGATAGACTGTATGAAGGCTCAGAAGCACTCTAAAAATCTTAGAATAAAAAGGGCTTAGGTATAATAAGAGATTTAAAGAGCTCCAATCAAAATAACCATCAAAAATACTAGAGAGAGATAAACGACAAATTCAATCTAAAAAATTTACCAATCAGCAAATAACTAAACTGATTATCTTAAAAAAGGCCTTATTGTGAAGAATAACTGATAACCTAACATCTTTACAGATTAGATCAATTCTTCAATGAGACTCAAAAGACTGGTGGATGAAGTCGATTTTGATATGCCGATTGGGAAGGAATATAAAATACTCCTCAAAAATTAAAATATGGGAATAATTTAAAAAGAATTAAATTGAAAGTATAAAATACTCTAATTTTTGTAAAGACTTGTGAAAGAAACCTATACTATGAAGTTGATTTTTTAAGGATCATAGGAAAAAAATCGAAAGATGAAAAGCTACAAAGTGATTATTAGTTATTCGAATTTCAGAGTAGTTTTGAACTTTTATAATTATCAATTTATAATAATTTTATCATATAAAAGTAAAATGTTCATATATAATAAAAAGTATTCATAAACTAATATTGTGAATTGCAAAACAGTAATTATCAAATTAAACTAAGAAAAAAATCCTTTTATTTGTTTTTTTTCTGATATAACTGAATATCATTTAAATTTTCTAATAATGACCCATAGTTTAATAGAGCTATTGTTACTCCTGTAAGCAATTTTAAATGAGATTCAATTGATTAAATTTAAAGCAATTATCTTTTAATAGAAGAGAAAACAACAAGAGAATGTGAGTATAGCCTGTCAAATGTATCAATCTTGAGATTGAGTTACTCGCTATTTCTTCGTTGTTTTATATAACCCTAATTATATTGAATGATCATTCCTAATCTAAATTTATAATTGCCTGTATTAACTTAGAGTTCAACCATATATTAGAGAAATATCAATCAAAGTTAATTAAATTAATATAAAACAATAAAATCTTTCGAGAATGAAATAAACTAACTTTATTTCATTGCAAAATCAGTTTCAACTACTATATAATAAATATTCATCTCTGGTGAAAAAGATTTTGAATAAATTTTATGTTCTATTAATACTATTTATACATATTTGAAAAAGAGGTTTTTGGGTAGAAGTTCACTTACTTTGATATTTTAAAAGACCCTAATTTTGTACAAGGTTGAATATATAATTAATTCGTTATTAATTACAATTTTTCAATATTGTCTCATTAAGATAAAAGATATTTACAAAAACATTTTAATCTCAAAATGTAAATTTTAATTAGGGATAAATGTTAACAATTTTAATACATAATTTAATGAAAAGTAATCAATTAAAATTACTTATTTTGAACGATGACCATTGCCATTCAACTTAATTTTATATTTATAATTCTATTACATCATCTCTTTAGAAAATGAGACTATAAATTTTTACCTATTTAAAAGAATTTAAATTATAGACCAATAGTTTAATCATTTAATTTGGCATTTATCAAGCGAGTTAATATATGTTTGGGTGTATAGACTATAAAGATATATTTAATCTTCTTGTTAACTTTGATAACCATAATATGATAAAACAACTATGAATCAATGTATCCTAGATATATAGATAAAGATATGAAGCTGCTAAAGTAAAATCTAAAATCCAAAAAGAAAACTACATAATGGCACAAAGCAATATTATGTAAAATACCTTTAATCTTGAATATAAAGGAATTGCATTATTGCAGTAAATGAAAAAAGTTGTAGGTGAAATTGCCTGTTTTACTTAAATGAATTTTGGGCTTAATGAGCTATTTTGTAAAAGCTCTAACATATTTTGCAAGAAAATTGATGCAATTGCAATTACACATGCTCACATATTAAAGACTCTACATAAAACACATGGCTAGTTCAATTATATTTATCTATTCAAATGTGTTTTTAGTATCTATTTGAGTAAATAGATATTCTGATTTAAAACAAACAGATACGATAAGCATGTGATTAATCATGATCAAAATTTGAAATGATCAATTAGATTTAATTAACCGTTTGATTACTTTAATAAGATTGGCTTCTCAAGAAATCTTTCCTTTTTTACCTTTGACTGTATAAATTATCATTCATTTTTCAGCTGAGTTAAATTCAACTGATATCAAATTTATACTTTTTGTTTGAATTTAGCTCTCAGAATCCAAATATTTGATTTTGTTTGATATGATCCATCTCAACTATAGCTTAGATTGAAACATTGTTTTTCTACAATTTATGTAAGGTAAGTACTGTATTTTTTAATTTCCAGTTCATAAGCAATTTAATATTAGCATAGGTTATACAAAAAATGTGTTATCTTAGTTTTCAGAATTTCAAAATTTTTGAATGATTAAATAAGAGCAATTACATTTGATGTGAACAAATAAATATTGTATAAAGTTAAATATGTGTAATAGTTTCAACAATGATTCCTTATTGATTATTATCATTAAAATTGAATCTGAGTAAATTTTGTTTTCTCAGTTATTCTATTTCATGTTTTGATTATTAATGAGATAGGAATATATTCAAAAATTGTCATAAGAACTCCCAAATCAGAATATATAGTAGGATGTGGTGTAATGCATGAAGTATTATTTAATACAAATGAAATTTGTTTGAAAAAATGGGATTCAGCATTATCAGCAATCAGACGCAAATATAAGAATGTTTTACAATTAAATGGAGGAGCAATCTTATCATCAAGAGAATCAATTAATTTTGAAGAAAAAAAACAACTGGTTTTCAGGAGAAAGTAAGGGAATCTGTTTTAATGATGTATTTTATTATTTATTGTATTACACATGGAAATTGAAAGGAAATTCAATTATTTTAGCGTTTTCAAATATCTCATTTTACGATATTGGGAATCTCAAACTTCAAAGTCCAACTTTTAGGAGGTTTTGTAATCCAAAATAAATTAATATAAGATTTGTTACACTTGATTCATTTAGAATGTTATATAAATAGTCCATCATTACAAAAAGGCAGAATAATCTCTCCCTTAAACAAAAAATTTTCATCTAATACCTTTATAAATTGATTTGTTTAAACTTCTCATTGAATTGAATTTTATCTTTAATAATAATTATAAAATAAATACTGAAGTCCTCAATAATAAAGATGATATAAGAATTATAATGCTTTATTTCATCCTTTCAATCTTTAACTAAATCAAATTATGACAGTTACCATTTCTCTCAGATTAAGTCTTATAGAAATTAAATGCCTTGTTAGATTATAATCTGATAGATTGTAAATCGAGCAACTAAATGTTACTGACTTAAAATAAGAAGGTCAAATCAAATATTTAATGCATAAAAAATAAATAAAAATCATTTATCAAGATTTACTTCTTGGTTATTGAAGCTGATAAAATTTTTTGTGAACTAGATGAATAATGACAGAATTCTATGAACTCAAACCGTTTAGACTGAAATTCACTTGAGTTGTTATTTTTGGTTCGATACAGGATTTATGGATACACAAGGATTGCTTATAAATATACAAAAATAAGGAGATGGCTTCTTTGACTTTAAATAATACTTATATTGTGACCTTAAAATCTAAGACTAGAAAGCACAAAAGATTATCGGAATTGTTAACATGATGATCACTTAAAGGGTTTTCTCTAAGCGGAAGTTGTGAATTGAAATTAAGTTCAACAAGTTTAAAAATTTCTTCCTGACTTTCTTTAAATAGAATGGATTACAATTGTGGAGTCTGACTTTCTAAAATGAGGCAAGTTTATAAGTTGAAATCTAATCCTATAACGATATCTATACTAAAAACAGAATTTAAGATTTATTTATAAATTTTGATTTGACTTCTTATTCAATTGTCTTAGATAAAATAACAATAATCCTAAATCATAATTAGCTACTCGATATATTTATAGGCTGGTGCACATTGAGAAAATAATATTAGATTATTTGCAATTTAAACACATATTTAATAAGAAATTAAGACTTTTGAGCCTTTGGAATATATGAAGTCTATTGAACTTCATAATTCACCATAAATGGGGTTTTAACTTTATTTTACTGTTTTATATTTACACTTCTAAAATTTCAGAGTTTTTTTAATTTCTTATCATAAATATTCAAAAAAAGAAAGACATTTTTTTTGGGTTTTTGAAGGAAATTAGTTTAAAAATATATACTTTTATTTCTAATTTAAGAGTGTCACGATGATTTGTTAATCAGGAAATTGTTTGTTATTTTGATTAATTGCTGAATAGAGCAACTGAAGCAAACCCTCACGCTTAATATAACTCATCTTCTGATAAATTAGGTGCCGCTCGCATGCAACTTGATCTCTACTACTAGCAAATGTTGAAATGGAATTCATTAGTAATGTTTTACCTACAAAATGAATAGGTATTTTCCATTAGTTTTTCTAAATCCGCAACAGAGTCTTTGACACTTGTTACTCTTGAAACACTTGCAATTTAGATGAGATGTTTCATCTTGAATCTGAAAGGAAAAGCATATTATGTATCATTAAATGAAATCATAAGAGGTTTAAGAAGTTTAAAATCCATGAGGTGTCGCGTGCTAAATTATAGAGATTTGATGTAATATAAAAATAACGAAGTTAAAGTATAATTTTTATATCGATATTATAGTATGACGAAAAAAATATATAGATAAATAATAAATATCTAAAATAATCAACATTTGACTAAACTCAAAATTAGAGTGAAACTAATAAGATCTAAAATATGGTGAATCAAGATATAAGTAATTGATCAAAAATTTTAGTTAATAGATCAGATGCAGATTGAATCAATTGGTTTTTATGGAGGAATTAGAGTAAGAAATTTCATTGATTTGAAAGTGTTATCAATTCATTTTGGAAGAAACTAAAAGATAATTCTGAGGCTTAAAGACATCGCATCTTATATTGCATAACACTAAAAAAAAGAAGTAATGAAAGTTAGATACTATTCTCTCAGATAATGTGAAGAACGATTAAAATCGTTTGCTAAATAATTAGCAAATTGCAAAAACTGATAAGTTTAGACCACTTAATTCAGTTGCTTAATTTATTAGGTATTTAGTATAATATCAGGAAAGGTAATATTTCAATCTAATAATTGAGAAGGAATTTTAAATGAGAAGTTAATTGGAAATGAAAATACCTATACAAGAATTCAATCTGTCATTCTCGCATCAGGTGCAATGTCATCAATAAAAAATTATCCAAAAAAAATCTTAGACTTAAACTAGTTGTTCTGCTAAATTTATTGACTTTGAATCGACTAGTAATTAGATTCAACCTATAATCCTAGCTAAGTCTGAAGATGGAATTGAGTTGACATCAGAATTTACTTTAAGAAACATGAAGATGTGTCTAAGAACTAGTAATTTTACTTAATTATCTGAAAACGTACCTGACAGACTCATTGTCTTTATGCTTTCATATAGTTGAATGAAGGAATGGGCAAGGTAATGGCAGAAGGAGAAATGTTTGGAATAGATAGTCATCTACGAAAGTATCATGTTATTTTCATTTGTAAGAGGTAAGATTGCAGAAGGTATAGATTTTGAGGTTCATTAGAAGATGTATTGCTGTGATCGGATTTCCAGCTTCGAGCAGTAAAGGCACTTTGTTTTTTGAGAGACATAAATCTTTAAAAAATAAAATTAAAATAAAAAATAAGATTAATTGAATTTAATGCAATGAGATAAACAGGCTAATTTTTTATTAGAGTTCTAAGATGCAAGCAAGATTACGGAATTATGATTATGGTTGATAAGAGATTTGCTTAGAAAAGTAAATTACAAAAAAAAATGCACTTATGGATTTATAAATTATTAGACGATGTGCAAATATTATTAATGAGACTTAGTTCTAGATTTCTTTAGATTAATGGCACAACTTTTTGAAATTTCTAATAAGAAAATCACAAAAGTTTAAAGTATTTGTATTTAATGGGTATTTTACGAAATTCATATTATGATTATATTAATAATACAATTTTAAATTAATGATTGCGTTAAAAAGTTGCAATTTCGACTTAGGCAACAATAAATTTTACTTAATAAATTGTTTCAACAAAATCGAATCCCCTCTCTTCTAGTTTTTAAATTGGATAAATTAAAACAATTACTTACTCAACAACACTATGATTCTCTAGAATATTAAGTAATATCTAACAATTTGTTTTATTTAAGGAACAATTCAATAAATCATAATGATGAGTCACAATGCCTATTTATCCTAATAATATCATTAAATGATTTGGAATTTTGTCAGTTTGCTTGAATATTAAATAGATGTGGTCTATCGTTTAAGTATATTTCATGTGTATTTTGATTCATTAGATGAAAATGGCCTAACAGCCTATGCTGATGCACTTAGTTAAAGAGACTAGAATACAATAATTTTTAGCTTTTACTAATCCAATAACATTATGATTCCTAGATTTATTTCTAATTTAATGTCTGATTTAAAAAATTGGAAATAGAAACGATTTACAATGAGTTCTTAAAATTCTCGCGATCTATTAGTCTAAACTATGCATATTTATATTAAAGACCATAGTTCAATTCCACAGTTTTTACTAATTGAAAGAGATTTGCCAGTTTCTGTAAGTGGCCAATAATTACTAAGGCATTAAAGTGGTTAATATGTTATGTTGTCTGGAACATAAATTAATAGATATTATGACTATCTATAACATTGTACAAAATTAGATTTGCTACAGCTTCATCAGAAATGACAACCATTACCCCTATTGAAATAATTTCTATTCTATTTAATAAACTCCTATATTTTAATAGAAACAAATTATGAGTCCTATAACTTCACCCTGCTAAATGAATTTTATTATAATGAAATTACTATACTCTATTTTACTGCATCCAGTTTGCAATTTGATAGATTAAATGGCAGGTATTTGATGGGATAGCTTGTTTTTCATGAAACTACGGATTACCAATACTTAAAAAATCGTGCCTATGGATATGGAATCGTATTATTAGGCAAACTGTTTACAACAATCTTTAATCTGTCTATTGATTTTATAGAAAATGCAATACGATTTCCACAGAATTATTTACAATCTTAGTATGCATTATTCAAACAATAATCACAAATTCTCCTAATTATCAAATAGTGGTTAATCATTAGAAAAACAACTTGGATGTGAGCTTTCTCTTATCATACAAGATTAGGAAACTATTCTTCATTTATTGGGGAATGCAATGAATTTTTGATTTAAGGATTTTGATTATACAAATGGATGACTAAATAAATGTATGGCAACATTAAGTTTGCAATATTATATGCAATAATTTTATTCATAATTACGACATTTATAGCACATATAAAATTGCAGTATGATATTCTTTCACGCTCAAATTCCATTATATTGGTGCTTAGCAAATCCTTTCTGCCAAATAATAGTAAAATAAATAATTGGGTAGTATTTTATATATTGGAATCCAATTTGGGAGGCTTTTTATGGATTATTTGTTGTGGGCTTAATTTATAATCTAGATTATTGTCTTAAATAATAAATTTATATAATATTTATTGTTATTTAATCGTAGATTTCTGTTACTTTCTAGGAATCCTTTCCCAATCTTGAGATAGTAAAATTTTGAGAGATAATCAATAGATATCTTAAATTATTTTGTAGTAGCATTCTTAAAATAGTCTTAGGTAAAATGTCGATGAATTTATGCTTACTAGTTTATGATATGTGGTTCTATATTTAAGACTGTGCAAACATTCCTAAAATAAAGGAATCCTCATAGATTTACAATTGAAGTCAATTCAATCTAGGAATTTGAATCTATTAATGCAGATCCCAATCCATCCTCAATTTTAAATACATAGTCTACACTTCCTCATTGAAATAATAATTATATTATGGTAGCAAAAATGTAATTACTATTGACAAGGAAGTTATAAATGAATGATAGATTCTTTGATTTGAACTCATCAAAAAATGTTATTATAAGAGGGACTAATGATCCACATTTGATAAATTCTAGAGTCTACTTTATTTTGACATTCAATTTTAAGATCCTGATCATGGAATTCTCTTTTATTAGTGATGATAGAATACAAAAATAGGAATAGGAAAGAAAAGAAAATAAAATAAAATAAAATAAAATAAAATAAAATAAAATAAAAGTCAGATTGGAAAATACTAATTATACTCTTAGTCAATATGCTGTTTCAAATGTAATTGCCTAACTAACAAATTAGTGGTAACAAATATGCTACTGGAAGAAACAAGGATAGAATTAAAACTGAAATTATTTGACTATTTTATGTTCACCATAAATATCAAGATATACTCTCATAAACTATTAAGATCATAAATCTACCTAAAAATCATAATATAGGAGTAATTCTAGTAAATGCGCAAAAAGAATTTATTGGCCAATTAAAAGAGGCTTTTGAGATAGGCCTAAATTTCCTCACATGTGAACTAGGTAAAGGGTGGTTAAATTAACCAAAGTTTATGGTGCAAACATGGACTAAGAAATTTTATAATGAACCTCTTGTTTTAATTATTAAGGAATGGCAGGGGATAGAATTGAAGGATATATTTAGCATGACATCCAGTTGAGTGTGGATCAAATACCCCAGTTGTTGGAATATGAATATGATTCCATGCCTACTATTAAATGTAATCTCACTCCAAAAAACTGAGGAAAAATAAGATTACTAAAGTTGATAATTGAAGCCTAACACAAATTACAGTTATTCCACAATATAAAAGATTTATATATCAAAACATTAATATTCTGGAGTTACTTTTTTCATCCTTAAAATCAATAAAATTTTTTAGTGGTTTAGAAAATATAAATCTATTATAAATATAAATTGTATAAAAAAACTATGGTGACAAATATATTTTCCAAAGAACAAACACCTACTTTTCTATTTGAAAATGATATTATTTAAGGAGTGGGTAGGATTACATTCGAGTTTTATTTTTAAATTTAATTATCTTCTTTATTACTTAACATCTTTTTTAATAAAAAGTAAAATTAACAGGTTCATTAAATAATCAAGATTTGTAAATATTTTAATTAATCCTTTACATAATATAATTGTAAAAACTATATTGATGGATTTACTTATTGATTTTTTTTCTTCATCTCGCTCAATCAAACCTTAAATTTTCACTTTCTTGTGTTATAGGATTTACAGAACAATAGATTATAGAATGTTTCAAGATTTATATTCTTATAGCTATTTTTTTAATTGACTACTGCTAGTATATGTCCTTTCTACTCATACCATTTATCAAATCCTTAAATATAAATTATACAAAATATTATTATGATATCAAGAATAATTATGTGATAATAAAATTTCAAATTATTTCAGTTTATTAGAATACAAATTTGCATCTAAGAAATATATTAGTAATGATCGTTGTAGCCAGCAGAAATAGAATTTAACATCATTCCTTAAACAAGTAATTTGTTAGTTATAATTTTAATAATTATTTTATTTCTTATTATATTGAAAATGAAGGGTGAACTAATACTTATTATTTACATCCTCTTAATGTAGATTACCAATTAGGTATGCACGAAGGAACAACAATTAATTTAGGGATAAAAATACATATTATTAAAGAGAAATCACAAGAATGCGCTATAATAATAAGCCGGGGCATTGATTTCAACTGCAAGAAATAATTTTCTTTAAGCTGGAAATCTTGGTTCATGCTTAAAGGATGATCCTTATTCTCTTTCGTTAGATTGAGTGCCTTATACCTAATGTCATAGAGGCTAAAGTATTTCCCTAACACTAATGTAAAAATATTTGTTGAATACATTCAAAATTTGGCTTTGGGATTTAGGCCATCTTTTTGGTGAAAATATAAGATATTATACAATCATCGTTTATGCTGTGCTGAATGGAGTTCAAACCAAAATTTATGAAGGTAATTTAGCAACATCAATAGTCAAGATAAAATTTAATGAGTAACACGTTGAATAATTTGATGTAATAAACGTTGGAGGGAATACATACTATCAAAATAATTTGGATATTATAAAAGCTGATGCATATTATTCATTTTCATGATTTTTTTTAAATTCTATATTTGATATTTAAAATGTTTCCTTTAATTAAATATAAGGTCAAGGTTGCTTCTAAATTGAATAAGATTTATTACTATAACTTAATTAGACGAAAAAAATAACTTTAAAGGTGTAATCATAATGTTTAAATATTACAAATAATGCCGCCTGTAGGAAAACATCAAATCTCTATAAATTACAGTATCGTCTATTAATAATTATTTCAAACTGTTAAAGTAACTTGATTGAATAATTATGGAAAGAGTGTTNAAAATAAATTAAGTTAGTGCTTCTAAATATTTTTAAATCTTTAAATATCAAGAATAATTATGTGATAATAAAATTTCAAATTATTTCAGTTTATTAGAATACAAATTTGCATCTAAGAAATATATTAGTAATGATCGTTGTAGCCAGCAGAAATAGAATTTAACATCATTCCTTAAACAAGTAATTTGTTAGTTATAATTTTAATAATTATTTTATTTCTTATTATATTGAAAATGAAGGGTGAACTAATACTTATTATTTACATCCTCTTAATGTAGATTACCAATTAGGTATGCACGAAGGAACAACAATTAATTTAGGGATAAAAATACATATTATTAAAGAGAAATCACAAGAATGCGCTATAATAATAAGCCGGGGCATTGATTTCAACTGCAAGAAATAATTTTCTTTAAGCTGGAAATCTTGGTTCATGCTTAAAGGATGATCCTTATTCTCTTTCGTTAGATTGAGTGCCTTATACCTAATGTCATAGAGGCTAAAGTATTTCCCTAACACTAATGTAAAAATATTTGTTGAATACATTCAAAATTTGGCTTTGGGATTTAGGCCATCTTTTTGGTGAAAATATAAGATATTATACAATCATCGTTTATGCTGTGCTGAATGGAGTTCAAACCAAAATTTATGAAGGTAATTTAGCAACATCAATAGTCAAGATAAAATTTAATGAGTAACACGTTGAATAATTTGATGTAATAAACGTTGGAGGGAATACATACTATCAAAATAATTTGGATATTATAAAAGCTGATGCATATTATTCATTTTCATGATTTTTTTTAAATTCTATATTTGATATTTAAAATGTTTCCTTTAATTAAATATAAGGTCAAGGTTGCTTCTAAATTGAATAAGATTTATTACTATAACTTAATTAGACGAAAAAAATAACTTTAAAGGTGTAATCATAATGTTTAAATATTACAAATAATGCCGCCTGTAGGAAAACATCAAATCTCTATAAATTACAGTATCGTCTATTAATAATTATTTCAAACTGTTAAAGTAACTTGATTGAATAATTATGGAAAGAGTGTTCAGAATAATTATTCAAATTTAATTTCTGCTATACTCCCGGCCGATATCCGCTAATGCTTAACCTTTCCAAATTAATATCCATCTGTCAGATTAATTTAGATTAGGATTTTTTATTTCAAGCCACTTTAAATATTTGATCTATTCTAAATTATTCAATGGATAAGGAGGTCTTTTTATGTATCTCTGAATTAGAATAAACTTTAAAATATACACTCTTAAGTTTATTCCATTATTATATACCTTTTTTTTAGTTCTCGAAATATAGAATTTAACTTAGAAAAATCTGTTCCAATAGTAATCCCAAAGCAATCCAGTTTATTCATATTTGTTTTCATTGAAATTGTCAGAGTTTATCTAAATCCAAGTCACTGGATCTAAGGTTTTATCTTTAAAAAAATTCATATTTTATTTATTATTCTTTATTAGAGTTTTCTTCAAAATAACTTTCATCAATATTTGATATCATAAATTTATTTTTAATTAAAAGGGGTATTAAGTAAAAAATAATCATACATTTAAAAAATACATTATACTTTATTAACCTTTTTGTTGCAAAATAGTTTACTAACCCAAAACCAGAGATGTATATTTTATGTTTTATTATGAATTGAGGCGTTATCAAAATAAGCCAAAAGTAACTTTATCTCTAACTAAAGTTTTGAGCTATCGGTATTATATTTTAATATATTTATAAGTTGACCAACAATTAATATGCAATTTTATGACTTTTATTTTTATTTTTATAGAACATAGGTATGTATATATAATTAATGAAAGAGATTAATGGACACTAAATCCGAGCCACAGCGTGAACAAATGCATTTTTGCTTGCCAACAGTATTCAGAATATTATTCACTTAATTTGAACTGGCTTGTAATTGATTTGGAACTTGTAAAGGTAGACATAATTTCCATCAAGTATGATCATTATTAGCATATAGAGATAAAGCTTTTAAAAAATTATAATTAATATTCTTGTTTTTGGCTGTATTTTTAATGGATCATTACCTGCTAATTGCACTCTTTGTTCGAAAACTACTTAGCCTGCACTGAAAGAAGTATTTACTTCTCTCATATTGTAAGCTGTTATTTAAGTTCCCTTTACTTACAATTTGTCTGTGTTGTTGCTTAACTTGTATAGCTTCTATTTTTATCATCTTATATAACTATTTTTGTACTGCATCTACTCCTTGATTATCAAGTTGCAAAAAAATTAAAGGGGCACATTTACTTATAGTAATCAATTATAAACGTGAACTTCTTTGTCTAACACATTTTGTTTCAGCTTTTTTTTCTCAGTCTTGCTTTGCTTGAAGTTCAGAGATTCTCATCATTGTACCATCTGTCTTACTATCTAATGAGCCAGTTTTGGAACTCACTTTTGCTCAACTAGTGGGGATGCATTCGATCTTAATTCAAGTTCTTGAGGAATCTTTATATTTCCATGTTTCAAGTCATCCTAGTTGTATGTCATGTAATGATACATACTTGTTAAATGTGTTCAAATTTGTGCTATTTGGTCCAAATGTGGTCTAGCATGGATAATTCATTAAGACGTTCAGCCAAAACATCTCTCTCCAAACAATTATTACCTTAACAATATATCAATATATAATGTTATGATAGCCAAGGTGTATTTAACATTCACTGTCACTATGCATATTCATTATGTTACTCCCCTAAACAAAGNTCTATTCTAAATTATTCAATGGATAAGGAGGTCTTTTTATGTATCTCTGAATTAGAATAAACTTTAAAATATACACTCTTAAGTTTATTCCATTATTATATACCTTTTTTTTAGTTCTCGAAATATAGAATTTAACTTAGAAAAATCTGTTCCAATAGTAATCCCAAAGCAATCCAGTTTATTCATATTTGTTTTCATTGAAATTGTCAGAGTTTATCTAAATCCAAGTCACTGGATCTAAGGTTTTATCTTTAAAAAAATTCATATTTTATTTATTATTCTTTATTAGAGTTTTCTTCAAAATAACTTTCATCAATATTTGATATCATAAATTTATTTTTAATTAAAAGGGGTATTAAGTAAAAAATAATCATACATTTAAAAAATACATTATACTTTATTAACCTTTTTGTTGCAAAATAGTTTACTAACCCAAAACCAGAGATGTATATTTTATGTTTTATTATGAATTGAGGCGTTATCAAAATAAGCCAAAAGTAACTTTATCTCTAACTAAAGTTTTGAGCTATCGGTATTATATTTTAATATATTTATAAGTTGACCAACAATTAATATGCAATTTTATGACTTTTATTTTTATTTTTATAGAACATAGGTATGTATATATAATTAATGAAAGAGATTAATGGACACTAAATCCGAGCCACAGCGTGAACAAATGCATTTTTGCTTGCCAACAGTATTCAGAATATTATTCACTTAATTTGAACTGGCTTGTAATTGATTTGGAACTTGTAAAGGTAGACATAATTTCCATCAAGTATGATCATTATTAGCATATAGAGATAAAGCTTTTAAAAAATTATAATTAATATTCTTGTTTTTGGCTGTATTTTTAATGGATCATTACCTGCTAATTGCACTCTTTGTTCGAAAACTACTTAGCCTGCACTGAAAGAAGTATTTACTTCTCTCATATTGTAAGCTGTTATTTAAGTTCCCTTTACTTACAATTTGTCTGTGTTGTTGCTTAACTTGTATAGCTTCTATTTTTATCATCTTATATAACTATTTTTGTACTGCATCTACTCCTTGATTATCAAGTTGCAAAAAAATTAAAGGGGCACATTTACTTATAGTAATCAATTATAAACGTGAACTTCTTTGTCTAACACATTTTGTTTCAGCTTTTTTTTCTCAGTCTTGCTTTGCTTGAAGTTCAGAGATTCTCATCATTGTACCATCTGTCTTACTATCTAATGAGCCAGTTTTGGAACTCACTTTTGCTCAACTAGTGGGGATGCATTCGATCTTAATTCAAGTTCTTGAGGAATCTTTATATTTCCATGTTTCAAGTCATCCTAGTTGTATGTCATGTAATGATACATACTTGTTAAATGTGTTCAAATTTGTGCTATTTGGTCCAAATGTGGTCTAGCATGGATAATTCATTAAGACGTTCAGCCAAAACATCTCTCTCCAAACAATTATTACCTTAACAATATATCAATATATAATGTTATGATAGCCAAGGTGTATTTAACATTCACTGTCACTATGCATATTCATTATGTTACTCCCCTAAACAAAGTAATTCTATGATTGTGACGTGCATATATTTAGGCAACCTCACTCAAATAATGCTTGTATGGCGTTCTCTTTGAATATCCGATAATAAAATAACAGCAGTACAACTCTTCCCATTAAATCCATGCATTATGTTCTTTAAAAACTGTTTATAAAGTAATGTAAAAGGATATTACCAAATTTTTCACTTTTACCTTGATCTTTTCTTCGCTGCCAATAATAAATCTTAAATCTTTTTAGCTTACATCTGGCAGTTAATTGGCAATCATGACAAAGTTCATCATCTATACATGTCTATTCGATATTGCTCTGATGCCTCAACTATTTGGGAGCACTGAGCTAAACATAGTAATTTTATAAATCTGCAGCTGAGCGCTGGTTTTTATTCTTGAAAAATGCTAGTTAGTAATATAAAGGATTTTCAACTCCTAGTTTTATCAAACTGTCCTAAATTTTTAACTGATAACTCTTATTCCTAATTATGTTGAATTGCATATAGGTCAATAAGCCAAAAACTTCAAGCAACTGTTCTGGTACTTGTGCTAGATCAAATCCAGATTCATTCTTCCTGAGGCCTTTGATTTAATGCTATTTATTTATTCACGCAGGTTTCTCTAACATGTTTTAGTCTTATATAAGAAATTGAACAACTAAGCCTACTCATCCATTACCAAATACAAAGGTAGCATATCTGGAGAGGGATGCGTACAAATATGGCAACACACTGTACAAATTAAAATCACAGTTCTAAATGATCGTTCAAATGCTCATCATATGTTCTTATAACTCGGCTTAATCATTTTGTAAGTTTAAGATATAATTTGGATATCCTTGATTACTTCAAATTTTTAAAACACGTATGAATGGGGTTTCATAATTGTGGCAGTTATCCTTACATTTCTTATCATACAGGCCTTGCTTTAAGTACTAAATTTTGTACAGATATTATAGCACTTAATACATTCAAAGTAAGATTAACATAAAAACTTCAATACTCTTACCAAAGATTTTAAAGAAATCAACTTTTGGTGGTTTCGAAATAAAAGCTATATGTGATTCAAATGATACTCTGCTTAGAAATTTATTCCACTACTTATTCTTCTTATAACTTAAGAATATAACAAGGATGAAAAGTCACTTTGTTGGTTTCAACAGGTGGATATCTGAAATACTTTCTTTGAGATCATAGTAAAAAATGAAAAATAACATTGCTAATCATGGCCAGATTTTGTTTAATTTTTGTGATGCTCTCTTGCAAAATAATCTTGCATTTTCTTATTTGGACTTAATTTAACTTTGAGGTTGACCTTTAATTATTGTATCATATTTGGGCTTTTTCCTCCAATATTCACAAGAATCATAGGAATCGTAACTATATGGCAATTTATGCTTCTTGCATCCGTGCTATTTCTGATGGAGATTTATTTGACTCATCCCTTATAAATAATACATTGAAACAAAGTTAGCACTTCCAATATTAATACAATGCAAAACTCTATTAGATATAAAACTTGTCTGTATCATATTTTATGGCACTTCCAACAATCCTGTTGCTTCTGTCTAATGTTATATGCATCACTATTATTTTTAGTGCAACAACTTATCGTATCATTTTTACTACAATCGCACTTCTCACGTTATTTAACCTGCTGATCTTTGTAATTCTTCTACATCTGCATTAAATAAAAACTAAATAAAACTTCTTCTTCTTAGCAAGACTGAAAAAAAGCACTCAAATTGTTGGCTAATATTTATATTTTAGTTCTGTAAATATCCTTTTGATTATTTTGCATATTTATTGTAAATTGAAATGTATAATAATAAAAATAATTTAATCCACAGACATACCCAAATTACTATACCTGTCCCTACAAGCCAAATTTAAGATTGTTGAATCAGCCTGATCAAAATACTCCTGTTGATATAAGTGGTCATACAAACCAGACCCAGAACCAAGAAGTATCATACTAGTAATTAAAAAGAACCTCCTATTATTTTATGAATATGGGTGATAAAACTTTAAAATCAAACTCCCACATCTTTCAAAGATCAAATAATAAATTTAATTTTTTATTTATCATCTTGTAAAACGTTGATTTATGAAATTATTTTTGTTTAAGCTTTTAATTTAATTTCAAAGTTTAGAATATTGGCTTATATTTCATGTTGTTTTCAGTTTTAGCTAATAATAAAACTCATTAAAATAATACAAAGAAAAATAATTTTCTATATTTAATTTTTATGATTCATTATTTTGATTAGAAAAATAAAACTCAATAAATTTAAAGGTTTTTATAATATGTATTCTGAAATAAAGTCTATTAAAGTTTAATATGTGCAGCTCATTTTTCTTTTTGTCAATATCAGGGAAATGTTATTTTCCTCAAGAATTATTTATCCTTTAATTATCTACTCCTACTTCTTAATAATTTTATATTACAATAATATTACAAATGAACGAAAATCGAAAAATTAGAATTACAGAGTTGAGTACTTTAAACCTTATCCTCTGTTTAAAGGAGAAGAAATAAATAATAAATACTTTATCCTTCTCTATATTTACATCTAAAAAAAATGTTTATGAAATTAAGGTATAATAATAAATGAGCAATGATCAACTATTTCAAGGATAGGTTTAACTTACTGAGAATACTATTGATCACATTTTTTTGAATTTTAAAGACCTATCTATCAAATAGCATAATGTTATTTCTGTTTTTATACCCATCGATAAAGAATAGATGATAACAAATGATGAAGTTGTGCTGAAGCTTAATGAAAATTCAATAGAAAGAATATTGTAAACCTAAAATACTTTTGAATTAAATTAGAGGTTAGATAATATTTTGGGAATTTAATCATAATTTAGGGGAAGGTTGACAGCAAGAAAGGGAATAGAACATCCAGTTGAAGATGAAACAATAAAACTTAAAGAAGTATAATTAAAAGTTGAGGAGCAGTTAAAATCCTAAATAAGTGAAATAGAAAAAACAGAATAATAACTTTAAGAATTTAAGGAATTCTTTAATAACTCCAATTAATCTTAAGAATAGTAAAAAACATCTCTCATAAACTGCTTGGTTTAACATGATTAGGCAATTATGAATATTTTGTAAGCTTAATGGAAAAATTCAGAAAATGTATCCTTCAAAATTGAAAGTTCCCTTGACAAATACACAAATTAAATTGTAGCCTTAATAAATGAAATCAAAAAGAATGATGAGGAGATTCAAAAACTCTAGTTTAATTTTAAGAAACAAAAAATTTATTTAGAATGTACAGATCAAATTTTGGAAAGGCTTACTTATAAAATCAATTATCTGCAACAAATTAATCCTCTTGTTGTAAAAAAATTAGCATTGTTATAAAGGATGAACTAAGAGATAGTGACATGTGAAAAATATATTCGATAAAATTATCATTAGAATGAAATTAATAAAGAATAGCTCTAAACAATCTAAAATTTGAAAACTTTAAGTCTTGAAGCATTTGAAAAAACTAATCATTTTTTAGAAATATTAAATTTCAATAATGATTTAAAGCTGTAATAATAAATTGAAATATTCAAAAAACAAGAATATGAAAATCAAATAAACAAAACCAAATTAGAATAAAAAATTTAATCATTATAAATTGAGCTAGAAAAATAAAAAAATAGAGCAAAGAATTTAGAAAATAAATTACAAACCCTTTACCAATAAATTGAATAAATTAAAGTTCAAAACAAACATTTATAGCAAATTAATTCCTAACATCAAAATGAGTTTGATCAATCGTAATTACATTTAAAACAAGCAGAAGATGAGGTTGCATCACTAAAATATCTACTTTAATCTTTAAAAGATGATTAAATTAAAAAATACCAAAATATTATAAATGATAATTCAATAAACAATCTTAAGTTTGAATAAACTATTAAATTATTATAGGATCAACTTGAAAAATAGAAAAACAAAGAAAAAGAAAATACAATAATCAAAACCAAGTTAGAATAAACAATTAAATTATAATAAGATGAGCTTGAAAAATAGAAAAACAAAGAAAACGAAAATACAACAATCAAAACCAAGTTAGAATAAACAATTAAATTATAATAAGATGAGCTTGAAAAATAGAAAAACAAAGAAAAAGAAAATACAACAATCAAAACCAAGTTAGAATAAACAATTAAATTATAATAAGATGAGCTTGAAAAATAGAAAAACAAAGAAAAAGAAAATACAATAATCAAAACCAAGTTAGAATAAACAATTAAATTATAATAAGATGAGCTTGAAAAATAGAAAAACAAAGAAAACGAAAATACAACAATCAAAACCAAGTTAGAATAAACAATTAAATTATAATAAGATGAGCTTGAAAAATAGAAAAACAAAGAAAAAGAAAATACAACAATCAAAACCAAGTTAGAATAAACAATTAAATTATAATAAGATGAGCTTGAAAAATAGAAAAACAAAGAAAAAGAAAATACAATAATCAAAACCAAGTTAGAATAAACAATTAAATTATAATAAGATGAGCTTGAAAAATAGAAAAACAAAGAAAACGAAAATACAACAATCAAAACCAAGTTAGAATAAACAATTAAATTATAATAAGATGAGCTTGAAAAATAGAAAAACAAAGAAAAAGAAAATACAACAATCAAAACCAAGTTAGAATAAACAATTAAATTATAATAAGATGAGCTTGAAAAATAGAAAAACAAAGAAAAAGAAAATACAATAATCAAAACCAAGTTAGAATAAACAATTAAATTATAATAAGATGAGCTTGAAAAATAGAAAAACAAAGAAAACGAAAATACAACAATCAAAACCAAGTTAGAATAAACAATTAAATTATAATAAGATGAGCTTGAAAAATAGAAAAACAAAGAAAAAGAAAATACAACAATCAAAACCAAGTTAGAATAAACAATTAAATTATAATAAGATGAGCTTGAAAAATAGAAGAACAAAGAAAAAGAAAATACAATAATCAAAACCAAGTTAGAATAACAAATTTAATCATTATAAATTGAGTTAGAAAAATCAACAAATAGAGCAAAGAATTTAGAAAGTAAATTACAAACCCTTTAACAACAAATTGGGTAAATTGAAACTCAAAACAAATAATTATTGCATATTAATTAAAATAACTAAGATAAATTAATCTTTACTTAAAATGATGTTGATCAATCTAAATAAAAGTTAAAAGTAGCAGAAGATGAAGTTGTATCACTTAGATTATAACTTTATTCTCAACAAGAATAGAAATTTGGAGATCCTAAATAAGGAAAAATATCTAAAATCGAATATCATTTTAACAATTATCGTTTAAACATGTATGATCATGTTATAAATTAGAAGGAATTTTCTATATTTTCATTTAATGTAGTTCGAAAGTAATCTAAAACATTTATTTAGGTCATTATCAGGAAAATCTTATTTTGGAATTTGTGATAAAAATATCACAAATGCTGAATTTGTATAATTTTTAAGTGATAAAGAGTAGCTATAGTAACAAATCTATATACTTTTTTCACTAGAAGGCGAGAGGCTTAATAACTTTTAAGAAGTTATCAGTTAAATATGTCCAATAACCAAGTTTCTTTCAGGTTAAACTGCTGCTGTGATATTTGATCCCTCTATATCTACCTTCACTATTTATAAGAGCCTTAATGAATTAGAAATCTTTGGTTTTAGTTTACCGTCAACTGAAAAATAATTTGTCCCTTGCTTCATTCATTCTGATTTTGATGAAATAAAGTAAATCACTCCATAATACATTAACTTTGAAATATGATTAATTATCTTAAAAATGTTAATTTATAAACTAATGGTTAAATCATTATAAATTCCTCTACTTTATTTAGGTTAGTTAATTCATTTTAACTTGAATTATAATTCATCCTATTTTTTATAATTATTTTTGATTAAATAATTTTATATTGTTATAATAATTATAATAAAGGGAATTATTAGTAAAAATGAGAAATAAATAAAGAAAATTGAGGTTGTCATAGATAAAATACTTATAAATTAAGAAAAATATCAAGGAAGGCAATGTAGCCAAATAAAAATAACATTTATCGAATACCTGATGCCCCCACCTTAGCCAATCAACTAAAAAGTCCTAAGTTAATCCATAAATAACAGGCTTATTTCATTTCTTTACCGAATTGTTTTGCTACTTTTAAAATTAGAAAAATTATTCTGAAAATTGATGTACAAGCTACCAAACATAAGGCTCGAAAGCATTTAAATATTATTATTCTTATTATATTAGTCATGTCAATCAAGTTAAATCACTTTTTATTTGTTGTGCTTCAGATTATGTTATTTTTTGGGATTAAAAAAACTGTTGGTCTAAGAAGCCATTCACATATCTAGAGCCTAATAAATAATTATAAAAATTATATCTAAAAACTTGTTTTACTAATATTATCCTATTGATGAATGTAAAAAATCTGAATGTAAAACTCTTTGATATAGTAGATGAAATAAAATCTATGTTGGAACTTCAGTAATTAAATGTAAATCTTGAAAATCAATTATAAAAATTTGAAAGCAACTAATATACATATTTATGGTTTAATTTTGTATATGTATAAAATGATTAAATTTATATATATACTGATTCAAGTTTATAATTGTTCAAAATTAAATGCTTTAGTGCAATTAAAAATCGAATCCATATAATTCTTTTGTTGAATACATATAAAATAATAATAATGATTTGAAAATTGATTATAATTCTCAGAGATGGGTTTCATTATAGTGGTTTATAAGATCTGATATAATTTTTTCTGAGAAGGGAGTTATCCGATTAAGAGATGACTTTAGTTTCTCTTCATTAACTTAAGTAATTTCTGATAAAATTCTTGTATTCAATCCTCCATATTATAAAAAAAAAATATCGGCTGCAATTTTAACTGTCAAAGCCACTTGTAAATTTTATTCTAATCTTCCAATTAAGTAATTTAACTATTTCTTTAAGATTACACAGATTTCGGAAACTTAATCACAAAATCCCAATTTTTTACAAACAAATGTGAAATTACTGGCCTGCTATTTTTCAATGTATTTTATAATTTATTCCAATTTGGTATCAACCTTAGGCAGTTTCTTTCCAAACTCTTTTAAGCAATACAATATAACTCCGCGGGCTGCTGTTTGGTTATTTGGCAGTGGAGTTTACTTTATGATTCTGATTGCTTTTTTTTCTATCTCAAAATCCAGATTCAATTTGAATATCAGATGTTGAACTTCCTCTAGCAAAGTCATCTCAACTTTATGGGTTAGGAAGTCAACATTGAATTTTGGAATAGGAGGTCTTTGATGAGTCATTTGTTGTTTAATTATTTCTTAAAGCTTAATTACTTAAGAATTTTTAATTGATGACTTAATTCAAAACAAATGATTACGTTTTGATTAATATATAATTATTTATAATTGTCACTCAATTTTAAATTTCGATTCACATCTTAATATGTAAAAGCTGGCCTCAAGAATTAATTTTGAGTTATTATTCATTATTTATCTGCACAAGTGACTCTCTGATATTCTAACCTTAAAGCTTTTCTAGTAATCAACTTTATAAATTTTGATAAAAAAACAATGACCTCTAACAATAACTGAAATATAAATTTCTTACATTCTAGAAAATGATGGTTCTAATGGGTAGAAATTATCTGATTTTTAACTTAGATCTCTCTTTCGCAAGGGAATCTACAGGAAGTTTTTAATTTATAATTACTTACAATAACAGAAGGTTAAAAATATTTTCTGAATTCAATTGATTTTTGGAATAATTTGACTCCTTATTATGTAAACACTCTCTTAATAAAATATTTGTATCACTTCGCTTTCTTTAAAATTTCTATGCTTTATATAAAACAAACTAAAACAATTTTTTAGTTTATTCTGACTTATAATAAGAATATGAATATATTATTTTATCATTCACCAAACAAATTCAGTTTTATTTGATTCAGCAGTTCTTTATTTAAATCAATATCTTTTTCTTCAACATTTAAATACTAAATCTTGGCCTTTTCCTCCAAATATTTTTATTATCGCCATTATTTTTTAATTTCTATCTCATTTTGTATTCTTCTTTAAGTTTTTGTCATTTGATACTAATCGAATAATTAATTATTATAGCTCTTTAATAAAACATCTTTTTTTACTTTTACAATGGATGCTTTGAATTTCGAGTATGTTGATTTTATTGCAGGATTTAATCTTAATGGAGATCTGTTGTTTTTTTCAGACTTGTATTTAAACTAAGGCTGCTCAAATAAAGGATATTTACAAGGTTTAGGAACTTTATCATCTAATATCTTCGAATGGATCATCCGTTATTACAATTATGGCAAAGACTAAGAATTAATTAAACTTGATTTCATATTTATAATTTTTAACTTATAATGTTAAAGCGAATTGATAATGAGATCAATATTATATGATGATGAAATACATCTTATTTTCACTACTTCATTTGAATAGAAAAATACATATTTTAATTCTAGTTATGATTTATTCAATTATAAAGTTAAAATTTATCACCTGCTTGCCCCTTTTGATTGATATTCCACATTTTGAGCCTCTCTTTTTTTAATTCAATAGGCTCAATATTATTTTAAAAGTTTCTAACATAAGGGGACTTATGAACCATTCCTGGAAGCAAAATTTTATTACCAAAAGAAGGCATTGATTTTTAGTTAGATTTATTATTCATAGCCTTTTCAAATCTTTATTATTAGTATTCTTATCTAAGCCTATGTAGCTTTCTTAAACTAATATCATTCTGTACATCGACAGAATTCTTATTAACACTTTCACTAACTTATTCTATATCTAATGAACGATTCACATATTTCCCTTTAGCAGATTTACTTTGGGAACTTGGAGGGTGAAAAGAAGGAGGGCGATTCAATCGAGAAGAGTATTTTTATTCTAGTCTATATTTCGTTGGATCATTAATTTTATCTAATTATAAGTAAAATAATACTAGGACTTGTATATTAATTTATTGGGGATTTATTTATTGAGTTAATCTAAACTGGAGGAAGTTTTAAATGGGAATTATTTTTTTGATATCTATTTTAAAGAATATTTTACCTAGAAATACTATAAGTTTATCCACCTTTTAATGAGTAATAAGGGGAATCAACGCCAGGCAGGCTTGGTACTTATGAATATTGGATACATTAGATTACCTTTTTTAGATCCATTCGGTTTTTATTTAGCACTTTAAGCAATTTTAACTTATTATTTATTAATCTATGTTCTTAATTATTTAACTTATTCATCTTAAATTTATTCTTAATATCTCCTTTTCTTTTCTTAAATTTTTATCTCAATAGTTTCCTAAATTTATTGTTTTATATTTACAATTTTAAAATCGCCTTATTTCATAATTCCATTTAAATAGTTCTTGTAATTTGAATCTTGAATTTATTAAATCTATTTTTATACATCAACCTTTTGCATCTCATATTCTAATAATTACTCCTCCAGATCCTCCTAGCTTCTTTTTATTATAGTTTTTTAAGTTTTTGCATTATCCATTCTCTCTTGCAATCTCATTTATTCGAATTTGTCTTATGTTCTACCTTTTTAAAATTAGAGAAACCCAATATTTTATTAAAAATGATTTAATTGTTCCTCCATTTCGTATATTTTATTTTTTGTTTCTGTGATATCTTCAACATTTTAGTTTATAATGGATTCTAATTATTTTGCCTACTATTTTAAACTTATTTGAGGAACTGGATGATTCTTTTAATTCATTAATGGTAGCTCTAAGATTTGTATTTCAAATTATACTTAACTGGTGAGTGTTTTGATTCTGTTATTGCTATTGAATTAACTATTTTAGTTCCTCATTTTCCTATCGTAAATTTTAAATCAATTGAGCATAATTGCTTATATGGTTTTAGGCCATCAAGACATTTCGACTAGCAACTGTCTTGATATTCTTAGCTCTATTTGCATAAACTAAAGTGTTATAGGTTTCTTCAAAACAACTAACAGCAGGTGTTACATTAGATATCATAACTGTTCGGCAATTTCCTCCCAAAGAATCCTTGAGAAGACGAGTTAGTTTTGAATTACGAAAGGGTATAAATGGATTTTTTATACCTTTTTCATTTGCTTCTGATAGTGATTAAATACAATTGCCTAAAACTAATAAGGATTTGTTAATATTAGCTCCTTCAATCATTCTTTGACCTTTGTTATTTGTATTTGCTGCTCTTTCACTCCCAGCCAAGTCAACTAAGCTAAATTTACTTTATATAACTTATTCTTATAGTCCACCTGCTCTATCTTTACTTTCAACTTAGAGTTATAGAATTGCGTGAGATCTTGAGGATTCCTTGTTTGCATCGGTTGCTTCTTTAGAGCGATTTTTGTTGCCAACTTTGAGAAGTGCCAAGACTTCTGAAACTGTTTTAACTTCCACTTCTGTCACTCCAGCTATTTATATACCATTATTTTTATCTTCTCTTATTTCTAGGTTTTTATCCTCAGAGGTTAAAAGATCTTTTATATTCTCATTGTAAATCTCAACATAACAAACTTTAAACTATGTATTTTTAAATCGATCTTATATTGAAAAGTTAAATAGTTGTTGTAATGCTCTTGGCATCAGTCCCACATCCTGTTGGTTACCTATCATACTAATTATTATAGATGCAATTTACGTAAACGTTTTTCCTGAACCTGTAGCTCCATAGCAAAATACTGTTGTATTGTAACCCTCTAATACTCCCTCCAATAGAAATTCCGTAGTATTTTCATAAATCATCTATTAAGGAGCCCATTAATCAAAAACAAAATCAAATGCAAAATTAGTTTCTTTAAGTCTATTTTTTCTTAATAACTATTGTAATCTATCGTAATACATCCTCTTCTCTTTCTTATTCAGGATCCATAAGGACAATCATCTTATTATCCAAAATTCTAATCGTCTCAAACTCTGATAGGCTTCTTTCCTTCTAACTTAAAGGTCTGACTCTAATGGCTACCTGAAGATCAAAGACGCAATTATACCAATATGTTACTAACACCATTTTTTAATTCTTCAATAAATTTCTTTGTCTCAATCTCAAACTAGTTCATTAGAATTATAATATATAAATTTATAAATAATGAGTGTAATTCTTAAACACGTTCAACTTGTTTTAAATGATTTATGTTATAATTGCCCAATCATAAAAACAGTATAATAAATTGGAATTGTAATTTTTTGCAGATACAATATTTTAGAGGTATCTTCTACAAATTAGATCGATTTTAATGCATATTTCTTTTTTATGGCATTTAGAGAACCTCACCATTTTGCTTAAATTTTAGTATTCAGCAAGGATAGTCATTTTCTTTCAGGGATTCATCATAGTTTAAAACTCATCATTAATTTAGTATAATTTCATAAGAATTTTATTAGAATTATTTATTAGATCATGATATAGAAGTCAAGCCTTTGGACATACACACTTTTGGAAAAAATAACGACAAGGCAAAGAACTAAATAGAATAAATATTGGTATATAATGACTAGAAAAATAAGAAAACAAAAATGAAGGAGTCAATAATTACAGATACAGTTGCTGTCTATGTAATTGTTGCTTTCTTATCTAATTAATTTACAGCAGTTACTGTTCTTGTAGTAACAGGAATAATTGTCTATAAAGTTTTAAAAATAAGAATGACGATAAAAGTAATGAAGATAAAAGATGAATTAAAGATCTAGTGATTCATTAATTACTAAATCAAATCCTTAAATATTGTTTCTGAAATAATATATTCATTCACCCTGTTAGATGGAATCCCTCTTTGGGTCCCTTAATTATTATGCCATCATTGAAAGTAGTTAAAGAAAGAGATTTTTTTGAAAAAAATATCACATTACGGTTTTTATTATAATTTTTCAAACAAATACAATTATCGATTTTACTTCTATTTTCTTTTATCTTGAGTAAAATTCAATACTTCCTTAGTTGTTTATTTTGAAATCCTTGAAATTTATCAAATTTGAGATTTAAAATTGTTCTAATTTGTATTTTCATACTTGACTTATTTTCAAAAAAATCTCATCCCTCTCGAACAAGTATCTTTTTCATTGAAAATGAGAAAACAGAACATTAGAGAATTTGATGCTTTCAATTTTGAGAATCTACAGTATTTCAAAATTGAGATTTATTTTGAATTATAATAAATCATACCTGCTAATAGAAAATCTTAATAGAATTTTGTCATCTGTTTAACTTTACAAATTTGAGAGAATAATAATAATAATAATAATATTAAACGATTTGAATTATAAGCAACACATAAGGTATGATAACTCTTATAATAGGTTCTAAAATTGCATAAAAGCAAAACAATTTAATAATTAAGTAAATTAAACAAAATATCAATAAAAAAATTATATAAACAACCCTTTCTCACATACAAGGACAGATAAAAAAAAGGGGTGAATTAAATTGAATAACTATATCTTCACATTTTATTTATTTACCGTTTAACTTCTATTATCTTAATCTGAATTTTATGAATGTAATTCCAAATTTGATGGGATTGCAACACATATAAAATCTTAATTGATAACAGCATTAAAAGATATTTGCATAACCATTTGATCATCTCATATTATTGAATGCTTAATTGATAATAATTAATTTAAATGTCACTCTAATTAAATTATTTTTTCACAGATTTCGAATCTTAATCACAAAATCCCAATTTTTACAAACAAATGTGAAATACTAGCCTGAAATGTATTTTATGATTTATTCGCAATTGGTATTATCCTGAAAAAGTAATTAATTTACATAAAAAAAATTAAAAAGAAATGTCAAGTTTCTAAAACAGAGTTTAAAACCTATAGTGTGAAGAAGCCAATCATGACTTACCTATTACATTGATTTGTTTTAACAAGGACTGTTAAAAAAGGAAAGTTTGTACAACTTGTGTAGAGGAATTTCATAAAAATCATACAGAGAAATTGGCATCGCTGGAAGATGTTGAAGCGTTTATCAAAAATAATTAAATCAAATAAAGAGGAACTTTCCAATGCAATGATATCTTAGGGAAGTTCGATGAATTTAAAAATGATGTCCTCAGCCAATTAAAAGTATTGGAATTCATCTTAAAGGAAAAAGTACGTCAATTATTTCGCAATTTGAATAATACAGGAAATAAATTGTAGCAAATAGGCGATGAATGTGAAAATGACCTCAATGAACTATAAACCAAATGCAATAAATAGATTGAGGAATTTAAAATTGAATGGGATAAAAAACTCAGCTCATTTAAATCTATTCTTACTCCAATCCACATTAATTTAAAGAGGTTTGAAAAATTAAGCGAATAGGAAATAGATTTAAACCCATAATAGGTAAACATTAATGTTCTGTACGCGAAATAAACAATTAAATTAACTAAGTTGAATTTATCATTCCTATAAAATGCTTTTTATGATAAATAAATAGAATTAGAATTCTCTATATTCAAAAATATGTATCTAATGTATTAATTGTAATAGGAATTTATAAGAAAAAATACATAATTGGAAAGCCATTGTAAATCACAATTAAATGAAAATTGAAAAGGATTCATATCAAATTTAAATGCCAGATAATGTATATTTCAAAGAAGGAGAATGCTACAGTTTGGAAATCAAAAGTAATTAAGATGTTAAATTTAAATTATCAAATGAACAAAGTTTGGAAAATCAACTTATTGGGTTTTAATAAACTGATTATGAAAAAGAATCTTTCAAAACTGATTAGAAGATAACAATCATCAGTTAAAGTGCAAGTGGATTATTAGTCTCAATTGAGGCATTTGTAGAATGATAAAAAGAAGTAATATTATAATGCAAAAAATAATTTATCAATTTTATAATTAATGTATCAAAATATCAAATTTCGATGTCAAGGTTATTTGAAAATCTTAAGAAAAATGAACTTTTGCTAAGAAATAATTATTGAAATTAACAAACTTTTAAGATTATAGATATTGATAATCATTTATCGTAATAGATGGAGAATTAAGGAGCTTTGCAAACTTTAGACATCCAGCCTTTATTCCAATCTGATTGGCCAAGAACAGGACCAGGCCTACTACTATTGTATTTCTTGAGGTTTTTAACTGGTTTTCTAGTAGATTGTTCTTTAAACTTTTTATCAAAAGTGAAATAAGTAGGATCATCTGGCGAGTAGCTATTAGGTCCAGGATAGTGAACCACTGGCGATTTTGATTTTGTTTTTTTGATAACGTGTTCACTAACAACTCTTGATGGAGTATTATAGGCCCCTGGTCCTGGGACATTTATTTATTAGCTTATAAGATCTTCAAAATAGTTAGTCCTGTGTTATTATCTTTAGTTGCTTAATAGATTATAATTACTTTTATCTCTAAGAAATTATAGGTTCATTCTCTATACTTTTTGATTTGAACTCTTTATTATAATCTGCAGGTCCAGGCCTTGGATATCTTTTTTCATCGGTTATAATGTCAGATATGATCGTTTTTCTTTAATTTTACTCGATATATTTGCTTGATTCTTTCGTTTTCTTTTGCTCTGTTGGCTCTGACCAAAATGATTAATATTCATATTTAGGGCCAGGAAGTTTGGAATGATATTCTTATAAATCTTCAATAAAAGTTCCTCGTTTTGGAGGCTTGACAGGTTTGGCTAAAGTTATGTTCAGTCTTAAATACTGGTCAATCTTTTGACCTTGCAGACTTCTGGATATATTTTCATGTCAGGCATTTCTTTCAATCCCCAATCTGTATGATATCTGTTTGCAATTGCATACACTATTTCGATGGGCTCTTTATTTAAAGACGTGTCATTGTGAACTGTAGGTAGTCTAGGTCTGGACATACAAATTTATTAATAATAATAATCTCATTTTAGAAACTCATAAATAATCCATCAGTTACGTTATTATATTGTAATTGCTACTTCTTATTGTAATGATTTTAGATAATTTCAATATTTGATATAGAGTGGTTTTATGTTTGAAAAAAGTGAACGATAATGATGCAGAGTTAAAGAATAAGATGGTTCCTTAAGTTCAAATTAAATTATTCAAACAATAAAGAATTTTCTCAGTTCCTCATTTGTTTGGCTTGTTTTTTTATATTCTACGCAAACAATAATATTTTGAATTTATTCCCTTGATCATGCTTGGAATATTCTCCAAGCAAAAAATAAAGATCGAATATAGATTTAAATATTTTAATTAATCATCCAGAAACCCTACGTATATAGTTTCTTTATAATTCATATGATGTTTATTAATTCAAAGTCTAAATCAACTTGATAACAAACTCATTTTATTAATCATTATAATTAAACTATACTAATGTAGAATAATGGACATTTAAGACTGGCCTCAGAAATAACTCCAACACCTTATGAAGGACCTGCCTCTGGAGTTGTTTATCCATAACTTCCAAATCCAAATATGTAGATTGGATAACCAATTCAACCAATAGTTCCAACTCAACAATATGTAAGATAAATCCCATACTAATAATAACAATATCCATAATTTTAATAACAACAATAAGTTACTTACAATCCTACAGCTATCTAATAAGGTATTAATCAAAAGTTATTTAAAGTCTAACCAGTTTATTCTAAATATCCTCATATGATTACATGTGCTTATTGTCAAAGACAAGTTTAAACACAGGTTACCTATGAAGTTGGAACTGGAGCTTATGCTGCTGGTGGACTTTTGGCTGCTGTTGGTCTTTGGTTAGGGTAATTTTTAAATTGAATTTTTAGATGTTGTTTAATTCCATTTTTTGTCAAAGATTGCAAAGATGCAGTTCACTTTTGTCCTTCATGTTAGGCTAAAATAGGTAAAAAGAGATTCTTATTTGATTGATAATAAGAATAGATTTACAGCAAATTATAATATAAGATTTTTTTCATTTCTTTCTCGATTAGGCACTTTATCATAAAATGATTAAATTACTGAGTTGCTCATCATTGTTCTCAGCCTTTCAATGGTTTTCAATAAATACTCTAATTTTTTCAATAAAGATGTCCTAGTTCCCCAAATCCTGAATTATTAGGCGTCCTTTTATTAGATCTAAATACTATAACTTTGTAGTAGATATTAAGCGAAAGGAATCAATTTTGATACATCATCTTGAAATTATAAATTTCAGATAAGAAGCTTCTGAGGGTAATTAATTCTATTTAATACTAAGAATTGTAGAGCTTTTTTACAAAGTTCTAAGAATGGAGTATAAATGTCTTATAATATCAAGATTTAAGCGTTAGTATATTTCAAATCACATTCTTTATGTATGTGAATCTTAAATATAAAAGAGTTACTATAATGCAGAATATTTACTACTTATGTTCAAGTATAGATTATAAATATTTATAGATATTTCTAATATTCAACATCTTATTTATCCATTAAATCTAAGTATAATTATTTATTTTTTGAATTATCACAAATAATTTGCAATTATGTTATCAAAAATTATGATTTAGCTTGCTTAGAAAAGTATTTTATTTATTTATTGGTACTTTATTGCTTTAAAGATTAGAATAAAATCTAACAAAACAAAATGAAATTATTATTTATTATTATTATTCTATTAACATAAAAAAAATAACTCAATCAGTCAGTTAAAAGCTTTGCAATTATTTTTTCCAATCTATTACATTAGTTTTTTGTTTATTGTATTTACTAATTATTATTGGAGATGCCTCTTAGATTTATTAAAAACTCTGAAATATGAAAATGAAATTAATCTTCAAAAAATATCATCCATCTACAAATGAGATACTTTTTGCTTTATTAATTCTTCTTTTAAAAATATAGATTGGAGGATCAGTTTATCTCTTCACTATTATTTACAGAGATTAACTAAAATATCAAAAGTTTATTTACCATCATCAACTAGATCAACATACTTTTATTTTTCATATTAAAATGTTCGATATCATATCCAAAGTAATCTAAAGAATATTTCAATAATTTCAGATAATTTTCTGACTCAATCTATTTGACAAAATTGCTTAAATTAAATGAAAGAGTTACAATCTACCTCAAATTCGCTCTATCTCTCTTTTGCTTTTTGGTCCTATTTTTATATTATCTAGTCTATATTCTTAAATTATTTTTAGTTTCCCATAATTGATAATGAAATTAATTCTTAAACCAGTCATTATCTAAATGAGTGTATGAATAAATCAAAATATATACTAATGGTATAGAATAATTATGTAAAGATTCATAAATTTAAATTCTAGTAGAAGTTGCAACCAAAGAGTTTGTTAATTAAGTACTTAAAAAAATGGGAAAATAACAAAAATATTTCTTATGTTGACAACATTTTCGATTACGATAAACATACTGAAATCATTACTCTTAGATTCAAAGGTGTTGAAATTAAATAGTCATTATGTATTATTATTATTCAATTTAATATAACAAATATTATAATGAATAGTAATAATGAGAAGGCGAAGATTGAGTCGATAATGGACTAATTTTATGGGTTTAAAGTGATTGAAGAAGTACCAGAGGAGGAGAGACATTTTGATTAGGTTGTTCCATAACCAGATTAAACAATAATATAAAAGATGCTTGTATGAATATTAAAATATTCTCATAGGATGATAGTTTGCAAAAGAGATAGGAGTTTATTTAAAGCACAGACTGCAAAGAATACTCATAAATGCTAATAATATCTTAAATAAGGATGGATTTTACAAATGATGATCCATTTCTAAAGCATCTTATGAATGTTGAGAAAGCAATAAAGAAGGCAATACGAAATATCTTGTTGCAATTATAAAAGCTTGAAAATAAACAATAGTTCAAAGAGGCGTGTGATAAATTGATAAAAATATTTTATCAAGATATCAATATTGGATTCATTACATCAACTGGGTAAATAAAATCAACAGCCTATGCTTTTATTTTTAAATCAATAATCGAATTAATAAACAGAAAAAAGATTAATTTATAATTTAAAAAGATTCCTCTTAAAATTACATTAACTTTCTTTGCAATAGATTCTCTTTAGCAAATCATCCCAGCATAAAAAATATATGATCCCAGAAGTGCATTTATTAGAAATAACAAATTTTTTAATGACTATATAATACTATCTTAAACAAGTTAAGATGAACTAAGGAGTGGAGTATCTATCTTCTTTGTCTACAGACCAGAAGATGATTAAATATATGCATTGAAACGAGTAAGAAATATCTTAACTTAAACTCTAGAGCAAACTGCAAGCAACTCAACTTGATTTTTTCTCTGTTTTCTCTGCAACTGCATCCAACACTCCAATAACCCCAGACATTCGTAAAATCAGAGAAGCTAAAATACTGTCCAAATTAACACATCCAAATATCCTGAGGTATGTTTTTGTTTAATATTAATCTTAAGACTTTTTGCATGGTGGATCGAACAAACAAACGATGGCTACTATTTATACATGTAACTTGAATATTGTTCCTTTCCAGGTTATAAATATCAGCCAACAGACCTGTTAACATTTTCTTACTATTATCTAAATGTTATGCAAAATGCTGAAAAAATTAATAAAATTAAATCTATCCTAAATCAAATATTAGATGGTTTAGAATACATTCATTAAAGGGGAATTATACATAGAGATTTAAAACCTGAAAATATTTTTGTGACCATCAATATCAAGGGAGACCTATAAGTAAATTGTGTTACAAATAAACTGGTTAGGTTGTTTTAGCAGATTTCGATTAGGGGAAGGATGTTAGAGAGGAAAAGTTATCAACTATGACTGATGAAAGACTTCCGTAAGAAGAACTCAATTCGATTACATCTCAAAATACTATTACAACAGGCACTTGCGGTTATTAGACTGCTAATTATATTAAGGATTCGCATTATAGTATGGCTGACGAATTTTATGCAATTGGAGTCATTCTACTGCACCTTGTCATTGCATTTCCAGGAGAACCAAAGAATAGAAACCATTATGCAAAGACTTTTGTGATGGCTAATCAAGCAGAGGATGTACTATCGTTGTTTGACACATGGGCTAATAAATTTGTTAAAAATAAAAGCATTGATTTTTCCTTCGCTCATTATAAAAATGTCATGGATCTAGCCAAATTATTGACAAGCTCTAGAAAACTAACTCATGCTGATGTCAGGAAAATGATCAATGAATTGTGAGTTTTGTTATGTAACCAAATATAGCTATTTTTAATTAGGTTCATTTTTCTAATAAATTGAATTTAGATACTGAATAAACAAAATATTTAAATAAACTCACAGGACTTTCTTGGAATTTACAATGTCTTCTTATTATTCTAGCTCCTCTTTTTAATATAGTCTGATATAATTTTTAGCATCCCTTAATTTCTGATTCTCGGAATCTTCTTCGTGCTATTTATATAAGAATTTATAGATTTACTTTTTATTCCATCTTGTAAAGGCATGAATTTAGATTGTTTGTCGACAATAATCGTTGGATGAATTATCCGATCAAATTTGGACTCAAAGCACATATGGGATAAAACACAAGAGCACATAAATCTTTAGTTTTTACTCCAGTCTCAAATAAATCCATCATCTCTTCGTTATTCTTATAGATGATCATCACTGTAACAAAGATATATGCCATTGCTAGGTATCTACATATTGAAGAATCTATTTACATCTATGATTTCACAATTTTATATTAATCAATTATAGGCTTAAAAGCCATCACCAATAAACCTATAGTAAAAGTCATAAATTATTGTAGTTAATAGCCATGTACATATCCATTTTAATCATTGGAACCATAAAAGGTGTAAATTACGGATATGACAATAAAAGTTCCGTGAATACCCCCTTAGAAGAATTGAGTGAGTAATATTTTATAGGGGTTCTTTGGAGTTCTCACCATCAGATGATACACTGGTTGGCTTCTCAGAATTTCAAAAGGGAAATCCTATAATTGTTGAGTAATTTAATACCTATGCCATGCTAAAGAATATGAAAATATAGCAAATAGTAAAAAGCATCATTATAAAGAGTATAAATTCATTTAATAGATAGTTTTAGGAAAATCTGTTGTAACACGCATAAACAAATTAAATAAAAAACAAGATAAAAGATAAATAATTGATCAGCGAGATTGCTGAGCCCTGTCGAATATTATTTAATCTTCCATGTATAATTAGAATTTTTGGTAAGAAACTAAAAGTAGGCATTTTTATATCAAATGCTGTTTCTGTTTGATTTTCTAAACAAATCTACATTGATGGCGTTGAAGTGATGTAATTAGTAATGCAAATTAATTCGTGTGATTTGATGATTGATGAGAGCAAATAGTTCAGATGAGGTTTAGAACTGAGTATTAGAACAAGAGGAATTTTTAGAAAGAAATTTCTAAATTTCTCATTTAGTAATTGATTCTTAAGCCCAATCTATAAAGTTGTATCATCTATGATGAGTAAAACAGGTCTTTCATTAATAAATATGTTAAGTTCTTTACCAAAATTTTTGATTTACTAAAATACTAAAATGTATATACACTGTTTTTCTCTACTTAATCAAGAGCAACTTGAAGTTCGTCTCCATTTTGACAAATCATAATCTAAGGAGTAGTTTGTTCAAATAGTCCCACCATAGTTGGGTCACTCTCTAAGACTTATGGCTAAGCAAATACTAGAATCAATTACATCTTTGATGTGAGAATTAATCCAAATCTTATATTGGCATTGTCTAATATCCATGATTTCTTGAGAACAGTCATAAAAGTCCTCAATGATTTCAATAAATAAAACAGGTTCTACATCAGATTTTATTTGTTTTAATGTCTCATCATCAATTTTTTTGTGTTAATTAACCATATTTGTTATTTTGTCTAAATACTACATAGAAACAATCTTTCTAAAAATAATATTCATTTGATTAAGATTGTCTTTAGCATCCAATAAACTAGTAATCTATAATTATATTTCAGATGATAATAGCTCTTTGCAATCTGTAAATTTTGATCTAAAGACAATTAGATATTATTTATTATCCTAAAATTATATATTGATAGCAAAATTACTTCTTTTAGAATTTATTCATATCCAATTAGGAAATATTTTGAGGTGACTACTTCAAACTTTGTTTTGAAATACTACTGATTTTACTCTTAATCTTAGATTATCCTTAAGTTTCCATTGATTCCAATTGATAGACCGTAATCAAGGATTCGTTTTTGTGTTGCAATATCTTCCTCACTTTTTTTGCTAGTTTAAAAAGACAAAAGTGCAAATTTTGCTTCTTATTAGCAAAAGTTAAAATCATCAATGTCTTCAATAGGTGTGACTGTAACCAGATCGTTGAGGTTGATTTCATCAGATTATTTATTTAATAAGATGTTATTTACTACCAAAGTTTATCTGGTTAGTAGATTTAGATCAGTTAGGATATATTTGGCTCTGCCCATGTTGGCTAATGCATTGCTGTTAGAAATCTCGACTCTCTTACCAGAAATATCAACACTATGAAAATTAAATGAATTGCTTTTACTCGATAAGACGATCGTGCTCAGCTTAGAATTTGGAAATCCTATTGATTATCAAGACGAGAGGAATCTACATGATGGGGATTCCCCAACTGAAGGTGCACAAAATTTACAAATAGGTTTTCATATATCCTTCACTTAGTTTATCATCCAAGTATAAATATTTAGTTTGAATGAAGTGGCCTGCCAATAAGGTGACGCATAATAGAAGGGTAAACATAATAACAATAATGTTTTGAATGTGCAAGGAGAATCCCAATTTTGGATTAATTTTTGTTTTCTCATAGGCAGAACTCTGCTCTTCTTTTTGTTCTTTCATTGTTTAACCAGTCACTAGAATAAAGAGTTCATCGAATGAATTATTGGCTTATAAAATTCTAATTTTATTTTATTGTCTATAAATAAGTTTATATTAACATACTAGAAATCCAGACAAAATTAGTTAGTTTCCATCTTCATAATGACTCTAACCTTTTTCTCTTCAGAATCAAATTCTAATTTGCCCTCAAGTTGTCTTCCAACACAGAAGTTTGCAACCCCTGCTCTGCGTGTTATTGTCTATCCTCCAATTTCAAGTAGTGGTATGTTTTCAGATACTCCAGTAGTTCCCACTATTATACCATCTGTAGGGCATTTTTGTCTCGGGAGGAGTTTAATCAAGTGTCCAGGTTATAATTGACCGATGCTGCATTCTCTGAATTCATCTTCTATGTAGGCAAATATTTGTTGTTGATCGGCTTGCTCTATTGATCTATAAAGATTAATTTTATTCATGAAGGTATCATAAAATGATATGCAAAAGCAGAAGACTATTTACAATCCCATGTATAATTGATTATAAAAACCGATGACTTCGTATTGAATTGAGGCGGTGAGCAATATTATGTAATAGAGTAGGGGGAAATTGGCAAAACCATAGAGGAATGATTCGATAATGATCTATCAATAATCCATATTGTGGTTTTACTTGAAATAGGGATTTCTCTTTGAGGGCATTAATAGCAAGCGTGGACTTTATAGTAATTAGCTTTCCTGGTTAATCTATTTGGGATTGATTCTATGTTTCCTCTGGAGGTATATCCTGCAATTTATTAATTTTGATTCTCGCCTCGGTATCAGTGTAGGTTTGCTTCATAAACTATTTGGCTGTGATTTTATTGGCAGAATCGATCGAATTGATGATGTCTTAGTAGTATTAAGTTTTTACCTCTTGAGGAACCATCCAATGATTACATAATCAAATTTATTTAATTTAATTTTACAATATTCAAAGACCTTTACAATTTAATTAGATTTTATGTCTACTTTTTTAGAGATCTAAAGAAATTCTGGTTTATGGAAGGATATGAAAATTTCTAAATCTCAATAAATTAGAAAATATATAAATTATTTAATGAAAATTCTAATCATTAATGGTTATGGCAAGAGTTATAAAGGCATGAAGAATTTTGAACAATACAAATTGATCATCAAGGAAGCTTTGCTAAGTAAAAAGGAGATGATCGATACTGAAATCGATTTCATAATACGTGATAGAGACTCCATTGATGATTTGTTGTATGAAATTGATAGTTCTTTTGTGAGAGTAGAATGCGGCAAAATGTTCGATTCAATTGATATCATATTTTTTGAGGGTGATGCAAATCTTAGACCATGGTCTCCAAATGCATATAAAGTATTTAGCTCCAAATACATTAGTATTTAATTTTGTTGAGAATGTGTCTCAGAAGTAACAAGATCATCTTTGCATCATCATTCGCCATGTAAGGCTTGGTTTTCTTGATAGCTTCAAATGTTGAATGTGTATTAATAATGATATTTACTAGTAAATAAGCGTTATTAATGGATTGAATGGAGGGTAGTTGGGTGATCTTTCTAAGATCAAAAAGGATTTGACTGATATAAAGTAGACAGATTTCTTTCTTGATAATGTAACAGGAGATTTGTATGGATTCAACTATGATACAGGTGAATGGGTGAGTAAAGGAAATGCTGGAATTCATTTTAGAAAAGCTGCTGAAGAATTTAAAACCATTGGCAAATACATAATGAAGGCACCTCAATACAAGGTTAAAGGAATGAAGGAACTGGACACTCTCTATGTATCTAAAGAAAATGAAATTGTATGTTCTTTGAGAAAAAATCAAATGCATCATTTCTTATTTAATGATGTTCCATTTGAGTTTGTTGTCCCTTACAAAAATTCATGGGATGTACATCCATTCAATTTCGTGAACCCTAAAAAGACTTTTTAGACTTTGGCTGATTGTACTAAAGGTACATATTTGATTTCTCTATTTATAGGTCCTTTGATTATACAGATATCAGACAATATTATAGGTACGTAATTTGCTGTAAAAAGAAAATACAAGGATACGACTGTTGTGTTGAAGAATTTCATGGGATATCAATTGACTAAATTATGTTCAGGATAGGCTCACTCAATACCAATTGAAATTGCATCAATTAAGCAAAATGATAATGCTATGGACATATTTCTAGAACACATGAGTAAGAATAAATATTAGGCTCATTAAAAAACAATAAAATTTAATGTGATTACTGAATTTCATCATGCTGGTTATGCTGCCAAGAAATCTAATAAACTAGATGTCGTTGTAAATAATGCAATAGGCAAGAGAAGATTCAAATAGCAAATGCAAAAATTGCCAAGTAAAGAATTAGATAAGATATTAACAGTATGAAATATATTCTATTTAGAATGATAATTCATATAGATAGACTGCTAGAACTTCTAACAATTAATCTCGAAAAGTTGTTTCATTTACTAATTCTCAAACTGGGTTAAACTCTCCCTTAAAAGGGTAAACTTTAACTTAATTTGACGATCAATTTGAGCAAAAAATATAATTCCATAAAACCTCAGGAGAGATAATGAAATTACTTCATCCATCAATTGATGATGCCTTAGTGGAGTAGAATAACAAACATGTTTGGGTGCCAGGTTTCTTATCCCAAAGTCGTGGGATGAAATTGTCTAATCACAATTCCAAAGAAGGTTGGAATTCGAAGTTAACGATAAGATAGCCCTTCTAGAATCAAATGCAATTCGAAACATAACAATTTGATAATGTTTACAAGACTCAGAAACAACTTGAATTAGAAGAAGAGAGGGAGAGAAGCAAGAAGATAATTGGACCCAAATAATTCCGTTGTGGCACACCCGCATAAGCCAATTTGATTACAGCACACATGAGTAGAAATTAATCATTGCCATAACATCAATTTAGAATGATAGAAAAAGAGAAATGGATCTCTCCGCAAGATTTTAAAATTTGAATTATATCTATCTTAATATCATATCATAGCAAAATAATGTCATCCGTTGTGGGCTCCTTAAGATTCTGGACTTAGAGGGAGGAACATCAGTTTCTACGATGGTCCTTTGGCTAAAAGTTGAAGAGTCTCCAAGAATCTTATTTGCATTGCAGCTTTGCTATCCAGGGCTTGGGCAGCTTCTTTCATCAATTTAGCACTTTCAACATCGGCTTATGCGGAAATGACTTTTGCCTAAGCGATTCTCTTATTTTTGGCTGCAGCTGCCAAATCGGATTGCATTTACGGAGTTAGAACCATGTCCTTGATGAAAACCTCTTCTATGTATATTCCCCATTGTTCTGTTTGTTTGTCCAAATAGGCTTCGATGGAATCTTGGACCATTTCCCGATGTTCCAAGAGATCTTGCAATTGGTGTTCTCCGCAAACTTGTCTCAATGCTGCATATGTCATGTCCTTCACAGACTAGGTCAATCTTGAAACCCTATAAGTTGCACGCACTGGATCTATGGAGTATGTTTGAATATCAGTTACATACCGATAACTCTAAAGTACATGCATGTGTCGATGTTCACTTAGATGTTATCTTTGGTTAGGATGATCTGTCGATCCAAATCCAATACTCTTGTTCTCAAGTCTACTGGTAACACGGTATCCTTTCACGATAGGTGACAATAAATTACGGTGCAAGGGTTGATTTAATTTAGACCTGGTGGTAAGCTTCTGTGATATTTTCCGAACTTCTCGACTAGTCCCACAGAACTCTATTGGACTGCGTAGAAGGGGTTATCGCAACAACAAAATATACAAGGGAGCCAAGCCTTAAATAAACTGTTGGTGATACTCTCAAACATCCAGAGACATTTCCACAACAATCGAGGCAGGACTCGTAGGATGTCAATTCTCTCTTTTGGGTTAATTAATCTTCCTCCATATTTAAATGCTTAGTTAAGTAAGATGTGTTTTTACTCTATTATTGCTAAGTGGCTATTATTCCATTGTTAATAATTATATATATATATAAAATTATTATATATGCAAATTAGTCACTTCGAAATTCAGCGAGAAGATTAGATCAAAGATCATGAATGTCACTTAATCAAATGTCTCATCATTAGCAATTATAAATAATAAAATAAATATTAATTATTATTTAAATATTGGAAAATAATGAAAAGCAAATTAATGTATACCACAAATTGAAATAAAATCTGGTTAAATTGTATTGTTAGTATTTTAACTATGTGTAAATATATTCGTTCTAGAATTTTTAAAACTCATTAATCTCAACACATTAGGTATTAATTATAATAATAAAATTATAGAAATTAATTGCCTCTATGGACAATATAATCGAGAATTCTTTAAACTTCTGGCAATAGAGACTCAACACAACAATAGCAGATCCCAACGCAATCCTCATTATTCCCAAAAAAATATCAATAGTAGATAGAGTAGTAATAAAATCGGCATGCTTCTGGAATAAGATGGCTGATGAATTCTTAGCTAAAAGTTCCACAAACAGATCGATGGAAAGTGTATCCTCATAGCCGAAAATAGAGTAGATATCCGATTGCTGAATTGTTATTATATTATAATTAAATAAGATATTCCCTCATTAACTTTTATCACAAACATTTACCGTCAAACTATCTCTCATAATCACCAAAGCCCCTGAACATTTCTTCGATTTTATCCAAACCCCTCATAAATACATATATTTTCTTCATAATTAAATTATCAATTTTGAGATGTTCACCCTTGTCCGATTTGTATCTTCATCCCTAGTCGATTCGAGTAATGAGATTTCCAACGTTTAATCGATCTGGACCCATTATTAAACTTCAAAACCTGAGTTTGGAAACTCTGATCACCCCATTCCAAATTTGAAATAAACAGTTCAAATGTCGAAAACTATTGCTTGAATTTTATAAAATATTTGAAAATTTTCTTTACTCCGATTGAAAACAATCGATTTTTTTATATTGTATTTCTGAAATTTATTAAATTAAACTACAAAATTTAACATGCAACATCAAGGTGTACTAAGAATTGGATCCCAAGATTCCTTCTCTAGGAAGAGCTAGATGAATCAGTTGCACACAACTCCCAGTCATCGCAAGACATCGCAAAATAAATAGCAATCAATTGATTAAATACCAGATAATGCATTAGAAAAGTTTTACCTATACAAACAGAAAAAGAATGATATTCGAATGAAATAACAATTGAGCAAACAGACACAACGATCTACACAGAACTCTATTGCATAACAAAATAAGTTCTTCATCAATGCCAATTTCGTTAACAATTAAGGTGGATAATAAAAGCGTTCTGCATAATCTGTTACAATCGAAGGCATGGAGTCAGTTAAAAGAACCATTAAAACTGATATGGGAAACCCTGCATCCATTTTAGGCAAGGCTAAAAGTTTAGGACCTGATGAATAGATGCAATAAGTTAAACATCACAATGTTGTTGTCAGATTTGGAAATCAGGACTTCTATTTTTATTTTGACTCTCAGTATCTCTATTGTTATATGTCTTTAGTTATAATATGCGATAAATTTGGTTTCAAATCTTGCAAAGATTGCATGATTTAGAATTTGCCAATCCACAAGAATGTTATGCTAATCTTAAGGATAAACCATCAGTTAATTAAATAGTTAGTTTTGTATCTTAATAACATTCAATCTCTATTGATTATTACATCGCATAACCAGAATTATCCTTTAATGTTTTCATGGATTCTGGACTCAAATTAGAAGCATTCTTGTTATAGTCATCTCCTGAACCCAAAGTTGGTTTGAAAGACTTCATATTCCTTAAAAATATTGGAGTAGGAGGCTTTTCATTAGTATATCTAGTCAGGAAGAAGGATACCGGAAAATTCTATGCTTTGAAATTAATTGATAAAGAGTTTATCATTGCAAAAAAGAAACAGTAAATAGTTTTGAATGAAAGAAACATAATGACACTACTCAACAGTCCCTTCTTATTACATTTATCATACGCATTCGAATCGAGGTAGTTTGTAGTTTTTGTATTGGAATTCTGCCAAGGGGGAGAACTCTTTTTTCAACTAAAGCAAATTAAAAGAATGAGTGAAGAATAAGCTTGTTATTACATCTCAGAAATTTGTCTGGTATCTGATTAATTGTTATAATGAGGGCTTACAAGAGATTCATTCTCTCAACATTTTATATAGAGATATAAAGCCTGAAAATATATTAATGGACATAGAAGGTCATGTTCGAATTGCAGATTTTGGTTTAAGCAAACCTGAAATAGGAAGAGAAGAAAAAGCCTATAGCTTTTGTGGGTCCCCTGAATACATGGCTCCAGAAATGTTATTAAAGCTTGGCCATTCCTAAACAGTCGACTTTTATTGTTTGGGAGCCTTACTGTATGAACTCCTAACAGGATTACCTCCCTACTATTCAACAAATACTAACCAAATTTACTAAGACATTTTGTACTCTAAATTAACATTTCCTAATGATGTAGTTATTTTATATTACTCCTAGTTGTCCTTGTCTAGAGAAGTCAAAAATTTATTAGCAGCACTCCTGGAAAAAGATCCAACTAAGAGAATGGGTTCGAGTGGAGGAGTATAGGAAATTTTAAAGCATCCTTTTTTTTCATCAATTGATTTCAAATAATTGGCACTTAAAAAAGTCAAACCTCCGTTCAAACCTGATCCTCTTAGAATGAATTTAGATGAAAAAGAATCTCAAAGAGGAGAATAGGATTTTAGAAAAAAAATAGCACAAGGCAAGTCTCTGAATTTACCTGTTATTTTTGGTTCTTCCTTTTATTACGAATCTCCTCAAGAAGCTTAAACAAAATCAGTCTATAAAGAATGGATTTAGCATACAAATTTATAACCAAATACTCCTTGCGTTGCCTCATATCATAGTTAAGGAAGGTATTAATTAAGATTAATTAATTTAGGTCCGCAAAATCCTAGGATATTGTACCATTAATTTAATCGGTTAAGAATAATCCTAGATCTCGGTAAATGTTAGGTTAGAAACAAAACTTTTATAAAGCTTCTGGGTTAAAACCTTCTTTGGAAAGAATAAATTAGGAAAAGAAGTTTTTTTCTAAAATGTGACACAATTAATATTTATCAAAATTTTTATTACAAACAAAAAGATATATTAGTTTTTCAATTATTCAAAAAAAGGTATTGTTGCATGCCTTTAGTGTTATTGTAATTTTTTTAAATCGAATAAAATGAAGATTGGATATTCTGCTTTTACTGCTTCTAAGGTATTGAAGTACTCTAAAATTGATTCATTGCACTTTTGGATTGTTCTGTCTAACCTTCAGTTTCATCTACTTAAAGTGAGGCGAAGAGCTTTGGTTTTATACTAACTCCATAAGAATTCTCTGTTGCTCCCAACTTTGACATTTGTAAAGTGTTTCTTAAATTAATTGAAGGATTTTAAGTTGTCTAGAACTTTTGTATTTTATAGTATCTTTGTATTTGAGAAGGTTAGAAATTCTTATTTATTTTCTGATATAAGGTAGAAATATTCTAATTGTAACTTTAATCAGTTGGAAGATGAGTATAAAACATTTCTTTGTCATTGAATTCATTGAGAAACATTAAATCTCTTGTAGGGGAGTATGGATCACCAGCAAATTGGATATTTGTATTATTTTTCTGGTTATATTGTTGTTTTTTTATGTAAGGGTAAAGCACCTTATCAGCCATATTTTCTTCGTTAATCTCACAGTTTAATTCTGGTTTCTCTCTCAATTAAGCATCTTGGATTAAGACTTTAAGTTTAATTGGAGATTTATTTTTCTCTTAATTACTCATTTATTCCACATTTTATTAAAAGCCTCCTATGGTAGTTCCTCTAAAATGTTGAACATTGTTAGATTTCATTCTATATTTAGAGGGGAGGGAATTATCTTTAATAATATCATCCTATTTATATGATTTTTGCTTTGATCTTCTATTAATGCTATAATTTTAGGAATATTAAATAATATTATTAGGCTAATCTTCTAAAAATGATTATCTACTGAGTAGCACAGTATTTTTGGTTCCTGTCGGATTACTTTCACTTCTGATGGATTTCTTTTTCAGATCATTTAATTTTTATAACTTCTTAGAATTTTTGATTTATTTTTATTTATTTTATGTCAAGACAACATTCTTTAATACTTCATCATCTAAATCATCTGATTCCCTTTCACTATCAGACTCTCCTTCAGAAAAAGATAAATTGGGTTAATCATTCTTCATCTCTTCGAATAATTTAGAATATTTTGAATTTTAACAGAATATCTAAAGATTCAATTATTTTTCCTCATTTGATTGATTACTACCTTTTTTTTTAGTTTATCTTTTTGTTTTCTTTTCCTTAAAATCACTAAATAATTCGTCCATTTCTTAAAAATGAGTGATAAAATCATTAAATGACTCTCCAATTATCTAACCCAACTAAATCAGTTTCTCTTCAGTAAAATCCACTGTAATTTAATCATAATAATAACTACTGTTTGATACCTCCAAAGTAAAACAATTAATAAATTGATATTTCTCACAAAATACAGCTCTAGCAGTATTAATTTTGCATTCATTTATTCTGAATAGACATGAATAATAACGAAAAATATGAGTCTTAAGAGATAAAATTTTAGCAAATAATCTTGATTTATAATAATTACAATTCCACAATTAAAATTCAGGTCCATATAAAAATGCATTCTTTTTGGCTCTAATAAAATTTGTATTACATACCAGAATGTCCATGTATATCAATAAAAGCAACTATTTGATCTCCATATATTTGATACAAATCAGATATCATTTGCTTCATTGCATAAACTGTTGGATACAATTTCTTGTTATCATCCCTAAATTATCTATTCAAGTCTTTCCCTGCACAACCAGTCCTATAATTACCAAAGATTACTCCATCAACATTCATCATTGGCACTATCACAAAAACTAACCTTATAATTACTTTATTATTTACTAGTCTAACAATTTCTCTGCTCTGCTTGAGTTCAAATACTCTAATAAACCTTACATAACCCATGATGAATTTGATTCCCCAGGGTGTATTCTTGCTTAAATTACAACCACTTTCTTCTTCAAAATGCCACCCTTAGAGAATGTTAACTTTGGCACTTAAACTCCACATAATGTGTAACAAAAATATGATTATTCCATATATTGCGAATTTAAGGATTTAATAAACGTATTTAATTTACTAAATGTGTATGGTATACAATAGGCTATCTTTAGCGTGTCATCCTCTTATTTATTCATTAAAGTGAATGTCAAACAATAATATTATTTTTTTATATCTTTAAATTAACATTTATAACTCCCATATTTTACATTCTCTCCTTCTTGCTACCATTCTTAAGAATCCCTTTAGACATAAGGCTTCATTCCACGTTCATATAAGCACTTCTTCTTACGAAAATTGCAAATATTAAATGTAATTTATTCTTAATTCTTCAAACCAGCGACTTCAAAATAATACCAAAGTGTATGACCATTCGTATTTGTATCAACCCTCATAAATAAATCATACTCAGATTCAGATTTCTGGATTACTAAATCCAAATTTCCACTTTCAAATTATGAATTGAATTTTATTTTAGAATCAATATTTGGATTCATTCCTACAAATAAATATTAATTTTTATTATTCTTGATTTTTTAATTTTAAGTATTTTTGAACGTATAATTAGATTCTGCTGAGAATTAATTATGAAATTACATTGCATCATTTGGCCTATACCCTAAATACACTAACTTATTTGGATCTTTCTAGTGCTAAAATTCAATTACTAAATCATTCAACTCGTTTTAGAACTCCAAATTTATTATCTCTTCTTGATAATAAGCAGGAACCCATCCCAAAACCATATCATTTTCTAAAGAGTAACTTTTGTCAATGTGATCGATTGCTTGAGGTAACAATCTAACATTGGAATCGCCTTCAAACTGGCATTCGTGATATTTGCTCTCCTTCATATTGATTAAAATTGAGATTGTAGTTAGAGTTTATATAAATTAATAAAACTAAAAAAGTATTTAAGAAAACTTGTTTGAAATGTTATGATACAAAAATAATTAAAATATAATGTAAAATATAAGTTATTATTTGGACGCTAATTTAATTCTCAGTTGTTTTTCAGTATCATCCTATCCGTAATTGAATTTTCGCTGCACTTTTGAATATTTTATAATAAAATACTTGCTTAGATATATAGATCAATGATGCCTTTGTTACCTAACTTTGTTGATTACTTCTCAATTTTATAAATTTAGCAGGAGCAACCTTTATAATCTTCATTGAATCTGAAAATGATTATTTTTATTATTCAACTTTATTTGACAAATCTGGTTTTCTCCTATTTCTAAACCAATGCCCTTTGGAGTCGCTATTTAGGTTGTTCGATTATTGAGTTTGACTCTATTTCGCTGGTGCTATTTATTCAGTTTACGTAATTATAACTGGCTTAATTAATGGTTAAAATTATTAATAAGTTTGTTTAGGATAATCCAAAGCATTCAAAATAACTCCTAGATCTACTTTGCCCGACTATTTTGGTAACTCACATGATCTTCTATTTCAAGATCTTGTTACTATTACTAATCTTAATGGGATTTATAGTGACAAGTAAGGACTTTTATTTCTTATAACATTTACTTTTCTATCATTTTCTATTCTTCTCCTTTTTCTTTTTCTTTTAATTATCTTATGTCTTTTTCTCTTTAGCTACTTCCCTTTCTCCTTTTTTCCAACCATTTAATTTTATAAGAAGGTAATCTTATTATTTATTAAGTTAAAGGTTTATAAGATTTTTGTAATTAAATTAAGGATAATAACTTACAATAATTCTGTTTTAGTTTACTTGTTCAGGTGTCTTATATGTTAATTCTAATACATCCTTATAATAATTGACTGGTTTCATTTCATTCAAATCCTTTTTGACATTTTTATTGTTTTTTCAAAATTAAGCACACTTTTTGAATATCCACTCTAGTTTCACAAATGATTAGGAGGATTTTTATAACTTACTTAAATTGTGCTACTAATCCACGCTAAAGAGTTAACATTATAAATATAGTAAGGTAATCGAAATCAACAATTCATTCTCAATTGTACGAAAGCAGTAAATGATTTTGATCCAAACAACAAAAAAAGACTTCTACCTATCCTCATACTTGGTCTGCATTCATTAATTATTTAATCAAATCATTTTGGAGGAAAATGATCTTTTTATTAATACTCTAGTCTGCCTGTCCTTTGCTCATTTACTCAATAACAAAGACTTTATTAGAGGGCTGTTTTAAGATGTCTAAGTTGAAATGAAGTTTACATTTCATTTTCTAATTGAATTAATATAATTGTGTTTATGTAAAAAAAATAATCTCCGCCAGAAACATTTCTACATCACATGTTATTATTGACAAAAGAGCATAACAAATTAGAAAAAGCGTTCAGAATTTGAAGCTGTTCAATCTGCTTAATGACTTTGGACAAACTTAAGATTACATTTCATTAAATTTATTTGTGGTTGTCACTATTATAAAAAAGGCAAGCAGAATATTGAGAATAAGCCTGCCTAGCTAATAATAGTATTCACTCTCTGACTAATAGTTGTGACTTAAAATACATTGAGTATTAGTAAGTGGGATTTAGTCATTCAATAAAATTTATTAAAAATATTTATTATTAGATAATATTTAATTATTGTTTCACTTATATTTGATCAAAATGTCAGAAATAGTCATCCTTTGATAGTTTTAGAGTTAGATCTGAAATTTTAATATTGAAATTTATTTATTTATTTTCCTACTCACTCATTTAATTGGGTTCTGGTTTGTCCTCATTGTTGTTCTCATGTTATTCATGTTCCCTTTCTACTTGAATCCTCTCGATATCCTCCTGAGCTTCCTATTCAACTAGTTATTTAGTTTTAGGTTCTTACAACATATCGGCAAATTATTCGAATGAAATTTGGGTTAGATCTGTCTGGAAAAATCCCTACAACAAATCATCGTTCTCCTTTTTCTATTTTAATGAATTAATAGTTGAATAAATTTTAGAATTGCATGAAGGCTTTTACAGCATCACTTTCTCATAAATTTGATCACTTGAATTCGTCACACTTTTTTGTATGAGATCAGAAAATGGAGATTATGATCCAGTATGTTCAATCCCCACCATTCCAAATAAGATTACTGTCTCATCCACTCCTTTATTATCATATCTGAAGCATCTAATGCTAGACTCTATTTTCTTGCTTTTAAAATTTATTCTAATTGACTTTTAAGTAAGATTAAGAAGGAAGCATTGTCCTTATCAAACTTTTAGGCTACTTTTTTTTCCAAATTTATCATTTTTCATTCAATTCCCTGAGGTTCTATGTATATTTGCTTAGTTTCAAGACAACCTATCTTTAAGTAAAGAGTTAGATTAAATCAGATCAGCAACTAGATGAGATGGGTACTTGTACTTTGATTTCTCTTTTGAATTCTAAATTCTGTGTTTAGGACTGCAGGTACGAATGGCTATTTTTTTCCTCCATGTATTTTTTTTTCATTTTATTAATAATTGAAAATAAACAAGATGTGTGAAAATATGTTTATTCAACTCAAAATATTTGTATCATATTAGTAAAGATGCGTTATGAAGAGTATTTATAAAATAATGTTTCCCCTAAATTAACTTAACTTATTGAAAATCAAAGATAAATATTTGATATAATTCAATATTTAAGCAAGTGTTGTTATTAGAGAGGATATTTATTTTAATAATAATGGGATCTGATGATCAAGTTTTGAAAGCATTGTACAAACTGGCTATCAAAAAGCCATTCAAGTAAGTGGTTCAAGATTTCGGTCGACCAACTCTTGCTCAAGTGCATTTTAGAAAACTGATTACTCAAATTGACCCTTCCCTTACAATCACTGATTGTGATAGGTTTTATTAGAAAGCTTTGATTGATCACAAAAGCTTGGTAGGATTGACAGTGGAAATCCTAGAGAAGTTGACAGAAAACCAAGAAAAGGTTGAATTAGTGTTATCAAAAGATGATTTGCAAACGATTACTGTAATAATTCAAAATTACAGAGCAAAACGACTTGAATTAGATAGAGTGTTCAAATTCTTTGATAAGAACAGAGATCTGTCCTTAGAGGAAAGAGAAGCTAAAGAACTCATTGAGTTTTTCCACACTTCAATTACACCTCAAGAATATCAATCCATTAAAAAGTAAATTGGAAATCTTAAATTCTCATGTGATCATTTGAGATAATTGTTTCAACAATGGGAATAGATAGTGGATAATTAAAATAAGAATCCTCAATAATAACAATTAATTAAATATTCAATAAGACCACAAATAGAAGAAAAGAAATAAGAAGAAGCGGTTGCTCCTAAGCCAGTTCCAGTTGAAGATGTGGAATAACAAGAAGTTAAAAATGATGAGGTTGATTTTGCTGATTTCTTGAACATTGACTTACACATTACAGGTGCCAAAGAATTAGTACAAATGAGAGAGGAATTGAGAAAATCCAAGCAAGTATTTGTTGACAAAGAATTTCCAGCTTCAGTAAGAAGTCTAGGAATGAAATTTTGTTAATTGTCATGGAAAAGAATGAGTGACATTTTTTAGAATAACCTAAAGATGTTTAATGTGGATGATTCATAAGACAGTAGAGTTGGATTAGGAAAGTGGATCTCTCATAGGGATATTAAGTAGGGAATCCTTGGAGATTGTTACTTTTTATCATCAATTAGTACGATAGCTTGCAGATGGTATTTATTTTGTTATAATTCTTAGGCCTGAAGTGATAAAGGATCTATTCATTAGTCAAAGAGTAAATAATGAGAAACTATATGCAATTAGGTTGTGTTTAGATGGTGAATGGAAAGTAGTGATGTTGGATGACTTTATTCCAGTTAATAGCTAGGGAAATCCAGCATTTTCTAAAAATGCAGGTGCAGAAATGTGGGTAGCATTATTAGAGAAAGCTTGGGCTAAGATGAACATTGATTACACAGATATAGAAGGTGGTGATCCAAGAGAAGTTATTAAGAGTATCACTGGTGGTCCCACTTGGATTGTATTTACTAATGCTGCTGACTTCAAATAACAATTACAAAAATGTTCAGATATGAAGTGTGTTATGACCAGTGGTACCTTTGGATCAAATCCAAATTATACTAATTATGGCTTAGAACCTGGACATGCTTATTCATTATTGAAGGTGTATAATGTGAATCATCCAACTAAAGGAGAGATCACTCTATTAAAAATAAGAAATCCTTGGGGAAGTAAGGAATGGAATGGCGATTGGAGTGATGGAAGTTCATTGTGGACAGAGGAATTAAAAGAATAAGTGAAATTCGGTAAGAAGGAGGATGATGGCATCTTCTTCATGGAAATCAAAGATTTCTAGAGATACTTCTAAGCCATTTTTGTTGGTTATTTCAGAAAGGAATACTTATACAACTCCATCAAATAAATGGCCAAAAAGACTAAGACTATTCAATATGATATCGATGTTCCAAATGATGGCGAATACTATTTCACAGTTCACCAAGAAGCTTTGAGAAGATACAAATTGAACAAGGATATTAAATATGAATATTCTTACGTTAGAATCTTGTTGGCTAAGAATTCAGGCAAAGGGGAATATGAGTTCGTTGACCAAAAATTACAAAAAGACATTGAAGTTCACTTAGGGGGTCAATTAACTAAGGGTAAGTATTCAGTTTAAATTAAAATTAAATGGGCTGTTCCAACTTGGAATGAACACGAATATTAATTCAGTGTCTATGGATCTGAATTCTTGAGACCGAAGCAAGTGCCTAGAGATGCTGAACTAAGAAAAGCAGTTATGTTACAAGTGGCCAGAGGAAACAAAAACTTATAGCAATTAACCACTGGATTGTCTTGTGCTATGGAGACTGTTGTTTCAAAGGGGTAACATATTGTTTCGATTATATATATATAGATTGGGGTACTTTTATTATAAGAACACCTCGTAGAAAACGTTCAAATTGAAGAATGTGCTTTCAAATAAGCAAGGCGTCAAATTCTTAAAGCCAGAGATTGGAGACAATTATTTAGTTGAACTAGCTCCTGGAGAAGATAAGATCGTGCTCTGCAGTCTAGATCCAGCTGGTGTGGCATTTACACCAAAGCACTAATTGGTCTAATGATTATCATTAAAATTACAACGAATAGTATAATTTTGAAATGGACATTCCCTAATAATACTTTTTATATTGCGATAAAATAAAATAACAAAATCAATTTATTGGCTTTTATACTTCTAATTATTTTATAAATTATTTTGGATGATGCCACCCAGCTATCCAAGTCAATGATTTCTAAAATGCTATTGTTTTCATACTTCTATTTGTTTTCTCAATTGTCCATGCTGATCTGCATTTATTATGTAAGTCATTTGCTAGTCTTGATCCACATTTTCGATGAATACTAATTTGAAATATTTGTCGTACAACTTTCCAAACAGTTGTTTTTGTTTGTATTCTATTTAAATGCTTAGTTAATCGAATTACATATTGCAAATTCGTGTCCAGGCAGCAAGTCAGGATAGAGCAATTGGGAGAGTTCTTCATAGGTCAAACCGAAACTGGTCCACCGTTTTATTTTCAGTGTGTCGTCGCTTTAATCGATTTCTGCTGACAATCTCAATTGCAAGGCGAATTTCGCTTTTGCAAACTTGCTAAAAGCCATCATATGATTTTAATCTGTTATCGCAAATGTAGGCTCTAATTCATTTCAAACTCATTACATTCACCAAGAAGAATTACAAGACGTTGCCATCCAGCACTAATGAAGTCACCATGGTGTAAACAGGAAGGGATTCATACGTGAAATATGATAATTTTTTAATCATAAATAATTATTTTATTAATTTCACGAGAATTATTTAATTATTATAATATTTCTCCAAATGAATGCAAAACCACAATCGATACTCCAACACTCACATGAAGCATTGAATGGATAATTCAGAAATGAATATACGGATAACCAAAATTGGAACTAATATTATGAAAACTTGGTCATTCACAATGTTTCAAAATACTCTTTACATTTTAGGGTACACCTATCTATTGGGCGATGAAATCAGAGCCAATTATATTATTAATTCATGGAGCGGGACATTGTGCAATGACCTTTGCATTGCTGGTACAAGAACTCAAAACCTTTTGCAGTTGTTTCTCATATGATATTATTTCTCATGGCTTATCTTAGAGAAAGGAAGCTCTCACAATGAAGAATTTGTTATCAGAATGCGAGGCAGTGATTGAATTCATCAGGATCAAGTGTCCTAACACCAATATACTATTGCTTGGCCATAGTTTGGGTGCAGCCATAGCATCTAAAATTAAACATTAATCATATATACGAGGGTTGATCGTAATTGACATGATTGAAAGTAAGGCCTTTGAAAGCATCCAAATAATGGACGATCAATTAAGAAAAAGGCCTAGTCTATTCAGTTCGTATTCGAGTGCCATAAATTATCATTTATATAATAATTTAATACGGAACCCCACTTCAGCTTAAATAACAGTTCCTCATTACTTAAATGACAAATTGGAATGGAAGGTAGATCTAATAGGAACAAAACAATATTGGGAATAATGGTTTGAAGGAATCTAAAATGGATTCGACACCTTCCCTTATTAAAAAATGCTGTTCATTGCTGAAAGTGACAGGATACCTGCAGAATAGTTTCTCAAATCGAGATATCCAATCCATTTGTTTGAAAAGTCGGGACACAATATTCACGAGGACGAACCTGTTAGAATGGCCAAGCACATTTCTGATTTTCTCTATCAACAGAGAGTGCCAATAAATTCGTCTGAAACAGAGAAACTCAAACAATTGGGGATAATTGGCTTTAGACCCAAAGTATTGTCATATAAGATTGAATTAAAAGATATCATTTGATGAATTTTTATAAGCTCCTGATTTTACTATATAAATCAGTATAAATTTCCAAATAATCTTAATGTAAATTGTCAATGTTATCAACAATGGAGGATATTTTCTCATTCGGACTGATATTATTTCTGAGCGTGCTAACAATAGTTGGTTAAGCAATACGCTCAACAATTTTTTTGTTCTTTGAAGGCAATTGAAATTTAAAAGCAAAGGTATCAGCATCTTACGAAGCCATCCTCATGGACTCAATGAGAATCTTGTCTTTCATCCTCCTCTCCTCTAATTTTTACTTCATCTATTAATCACTGTCATTTAGTTCTCTCCCCATTTTTCTGACGATTAGATTGTCTCTCGTCATGTGCATTCCTTCCATCAATTTGTTTATGCATCTATCACTCCACAAATCGACTACTCCCATAGACCCATCATTCGCAACATCTCCTTCAGCTTCCCTAACCTTTCGAATGAAGGGTTGAAGATAATAATTATTCTTCTTCTCATGCGATCTGAATCCATATTTTAAGAATGTCAATCTTTTATTCTTGGATTGCTAATTAGCCTTTCCAAATTGCTCGAATCTCTTCAACTAGATCTCACTTTTCGGCAACTCTTTTTAAGGTGTCTTTCTACTCATCAACCCTCTAAAATGTCCCAGAGCAAAATCCGATTTCACCTTCTCCTTCAAGATATCTTCTTAAGGCAGAAGAGTTCTTTCGCTTTTTTGCAACATTCTAGATTGCATAGTGATGGATCGACGCACAGGAGTTGCTTGAGAATTTTTCATATTTCTATATATATATATAATTTTATTTCTAATTTATGAAGATCATTCTAAGTCATCGTCAATTTCATCCTAAGGTTCAGGACCAATTTCAGGGAGGTTATGTTCAGATTCCCATTACTCAATCCATTTCTATTCATCAAATTCTTCACCCTCCTCCCCTTAAAAGTTGGCCTTGGCTGCCTGCAAATCTGTCTCTTTTTATTCCTATTGTCATTTCATAAATTTCATACTAATAACTAGGCTAACAACTCTTGTGCAGCCTATAATTGCTGTTTCTTCTCCTGCAAAATTTCTTTTCTGATTGCAACGTCCTCTTTTCTCAATTTACAATACAAAGTGAGGAATCTCTGTAAGTACCCCAAAGCCCAATTGTAATTGGTAACCTTCTCCTCATCATAAACATCCACCAATTTTTACAATCTAGATATAGTAGCATGTTGAAGTGGGGCTTCTTTGGGTCCCCTGTGATTAATGAGAGCCAATTTGGCTAAGAATCTGTAATCAATCTAGGAAGCCACAATCTTCCAATTCAATTTATTTTCTAATGTGATTTCCTCCTTTTTGTAACCTAACAAATAAAATAGAGCTTTAATAATGTTTGGGAATTTGATGACCCTCCTCTTCGTTAGGTTAAGAAAAGTAGAGGCAAAATCCTTGGCAGTAAATTGTTACTTCAGAAAATCAAATTTAATACACTCTATTTCATAATTGTAATCTCGTTCATTACTCTGCTTCAATTCCTCTAAATTGATTGCTTATTACTCCACAAATTGATTCTCTTGATCCAGATAATTCTCCTCCAATTTCTCAGGAATAGTATTTTGATATTCAATTTATTAATTGATATCCTCTGACAATAAGGCTATCTCCTTCTCTTGATAACTCTAACCAAACTATTGAATCAGATCGTATAATTGATTGCGCTCTTCCTGTGACAATTTTCTGTCTTATCCTAAGGTATCACCACACACAATGTATTATTGTTGGATGCCTAAAAAGGGTGGTTCTACAAGTTGGGGCAATGAAGACAAATAATTTTGGTGTTCTTCTTCCAATTATTGTTTCTGATCTTCGCTTTCTGCATTTTGTAATTATTCAGCATGTTCCAATTCCTTGGTCTTAATCTCTGACTTTTGGGTCTCCACCTCAGAATTGTATTTTATCCTATTCACCAAACCTGCGTCGAAGGCATCCTATCAATTTTGATGATATGATTACTTCAAAAAGAGAAGTTTCAAAATTCATGGGTATGGCGAAATAGCATCCCAACTTGGGGAACCTATGAAAATACACTTTTGGCTCTTTAACCACATCCGGTATGTAGATTCCCTTATATACTTCAGGAGCCTTGCCTTCTTCAACAGGAGGTGGTTTGAGCACTTCATATGTTAGGATAGCTTATTCAGTTAAGTTTTGATGGAGAAGGAAATTTTGGTTTAAAGAGGTTCCTACATATTTCAATAGTTTAGGTGCCTTTTGATTTATAAATGCGTTTTCATCATCTACCAAGTCAATTTCGACTTCTTGTTTCTGATGGGTGAAATAGCAGATGTACACACCAGCTAAATTCTAAATTGAAATAATATGAGGGGATTCGTACAAATTTCTTCATCAAATAATCTGGAAACTCCTGAATAATCAACTCCTAATGATAGGGATGGTTTCTAAGATACTCAATATAATTGAGTTCTTATTCCATTGTCTTTTATTTGAATTAAAGCAATTCTTCCAATCTTTCCTTCTCCTGCTTTTGCTATTGGATAAAAGTCTGAATGTTTTATTCTTTCTTCTAGAGCTGTTAACTATTAAGTGAAGATTATCATACATCATCGTAGAAGTGAGTTTTCTGAGTGGAAGTTTTACAATATTATAATAGCCATTTGGCTAAAAATTCGATAGGCTTTTCGGGTTGTGTATTGTAAAGCACTGTAAGTCCGTCGGCAATGACTCCCCCGATGCTCTCTTAGTGTAAATAGTCCAAATCAATAGGAGATAATTGCATAATTTATTTATATATATAAGTTTAATTTGATCAATCGAGTGAAATAATAATGAATTATAATTAATGTAAAATCACAAATGCAGATTCTGCACACATCGACGTTAATGCTTGCATGCTTCGATTGATCAGATCTCGAGGAAGGGAGATCTAATTTAAACTATGAATCTCAGTCTCTACTATAAACATGGCCAGAGCCAAAATTATTTTTTTTCTCGACCAATCAACCAAATCATTAAGAAGGAGAAACACACCGTCTATATGAAAGTGGAAGATTACAAAATTTTGGACACTGAAGAAGAATATCTCAGACAGTACTATTATATGCCTAATTGCCACCTTTAACTAAAATAACTAATACAATATTATAAAGTAACCATATCTACTACCTTATCAGTTTAGCATTGATCATCCCATTTTATACTTTCTGGAATTAAAAGCCATTATTCTAAAATACATCAGTAGTAGATCCCAGGTCGAATATCAGTGGGCAATAAAGCAAATAGAAATTGAGGCCTAGAAGGAAGGGAAGGTGAGTCCCAATAAATCTAAGAAGAAGAGCACTCCCCTAATCAAATACGAATTGTCCTGTTTCTTGAAGGAGTTGAATGATACCCAAAAATCCACGACCATTTTGTAATTGCTCAAGACCGTTGAGGCAGATAGAGCACTTGAGAAGGATTGGCAAAAACAATTCACACAATCTCTTGTCGAATAGGATCTAACCAAAGCCATGCAATTTTCAACCTTTATCTAACAGAAGGAACTGCTCAAACAAAAGGAATCTATAATCAAGGAAAATACCTCTTCCAGGACAGTCTACTTAGGGAATATGAAGAAACATCTCAATCTGTAAGTAGGAACTCCAAGAAAAGGCAGCAATCTCATTACTAACAATTTCAGCACGGGATGCAGTACTCATGCTAACTCGAATATCAATATCCAGACCTAATAAGGTAATTAAGTCAATCCATAAAGTAATAATGGGGCAACCACCATTACGAATCACAGAGTCGTTGCCACCAACTCTCATTTTTTCAACCACAATATCAACCCTTCAACTCTAACTTCGAATGCTCAGAGCACAACCAGTCACAATTTTGTCACCAAAACCAGTATTGTCAATAGTTCGAATGGCAGTGTCTTGAAGCCTTAAACTATCTATAGGATGTAGCCTTTGCGATTGATGGAAGTACCAAAATTAAAGATCAAATTAAATCAATAAGATCCGAAATCAGAAAGAAAATATGATAGAATTCGTGAGAATAGAATCGATTGCCTAACTTAAAGAATCAAAACTCAATTAGATGAAATCAACACTGCCAGAGGGAGTGTCAATCCCAAATCTGTCGTAATCAAAAGAAGGTAAAATTTTTAGCATTGATAAATATGTTACTTGTTTATCTTGTCAAAATTTATTAATTTAATTTATGTAATAAACTTAAGCTAATTTATAAGCAACAGGTCCTTTGACTCAAAAACCCTACAAACAATTGCCCAAAGACAATGAAAAACTCACTCTACTCGAGAAGCAGATGGGAGACTTGGCAAACGATTTCGAAGACATGAAAAGAAATAGGGAAGAAGCAAAAAAATAACTGGAAGCTAAATTTCTTGATGTGCATAGGTTCTTCTCATATCTATTCTTAGGAAAATCCAAAACACTCGAGAATTCATCACTCAAGAAGGGGAAAGAATAAATAATACTCTAATTGCCTATGATTCCAAATTTACCTAAGTTTTGAATTAGACTAATTAAAAATTGCAAACTCAACATGAAACATTTGCACATCAAACAGATTCAAGGATTGTTGATGCCAATGCTTATCTCAAAGATCTAACTCAAAAATTGGAAGAAGAAAAATAAGAAAGAATGAGACAATCTGATGAAAACCTCAGGGAAATCAGAAAACAATTAACCAGTATATTTAATTACCAATCCTAGCTTTATTTGAGCATTATGAAACAGAAAAAAACACTAGGGTTGAAAGAGAGAAGGAGATCTTAAGAAAATTAGATGATGAAGCCTATCAATTAAATGAAAAACTGAGTAATGAAAAATCAGAGAGAATTCTCTAAAGCAAAGAGTTAAGAGATCACACTGATCAAGAAATTCAAAGACAAAGAAAGAATAATCAAGATTTCCATGTCAAAACTATTGATGAATTCAATCATGTGGCTTACAACTTGAAAGAAGAAATGAATTAAAGATTTAATCAACAAAACTAAATTATAGACAATTTAAGCAGTGTCATTAAAACAATTTAAGACACATTAAAAATTATAGGTAAAGGTGTTAATGATTGAATTTAATAATTATATATATAATTCTGATATTTTATATTTTAGACGACTTAAATTGTAAAGTCATTCATTGCTATCTTGGGTCAATTATTAAATATGGTACTAAACCTGCACGAAAAGTTGATATAACCTACGGGAATTCTTCCGATCTTTTTATTTTAGGATTGTCGTTGAAATCTTAAGTTTGAAAAGCGATGAAGGGATTGATAGGAGCAGCAATACTGAAATAGTGACAATACAGGACTTTGCTTGGCCAAATTGCAATTGAATATTCCGTGAATTCCTTTATGCTAATTGGCTTACTTAACATCAGTTCATAACAATCATTGACAATCTTCATTTTACTATGTCGTAAATTGAATTTTTCTTGATGTATCGCCTATTTAGTCAAGTTTTTTTTATTATAAATGCCGAAATTGATAACTGCAGATTTTTTTTGATAATTTTTGGTACTACTTTTAAATAAGAATGGCTACAAAAATCCTATGATCTTTAAGTCTCTTAACGATGAAAATATACAGCAAAACACAGTCGATGAAGTCATTTTCCAAGCCCAATCCTAAGTACTTAATTGTTGTAATCTTGCTACTTCAACTCTATCTACATTTAAATTTGGTTATTGAACTAACTATTAAGTTTCTTGTTGATTTGATTAAGCAGGGTTCATCTTGAAGATTTTTGACTGTTTAGTTTTCTTAATCATATCCTATTATAATTGGGCCTAACTGAGAACGATTGATTTGGAATGTTCTTTTTTTCGAGTATCTACCACGGTAATGGGACTTTAATCTAAATCCTATCCCTTCAATGCATTTATAATATGCTAGAGCCTGTTTTTTACTTTGTTTTATAATGTATTTTGGATATTCGAGATTTCACTTAATTGTTTATTGAATTATTCTAAATTTTAAGCATTTACTTGAGGTTGTTTAATTTATTGAAGGTGTTGGCTTAATTCATGTTCCATCTTTATCATTAAATCGTTAATGATAAATTTAAAACTTTAGAATGTTTAGACCAGTTCTTTTATGTTGTAGCCTTCTAGCAAGCTTTGAACTGTGGTTTTCTCATGTTCGTGCTCACACTGTGCACAAAGGCATCTATTTTCGCAATGTTAATCATTGCAAAAATAGATAATATCTTATTTATGATTTACACATTGAATTGATTTCATTTCAATATAGTTAATATTAAATATTAAACAGACTTTATTATCAATTTAAATTAAATTATCGGTCTCTTTCAATCTCATTCACACAGAATTCCCATTCCAAAAAGTATAATTTTAATCTAAAATGGTGGCAATAACGTAAAAATGAGAATGCAAGAATGTGAAATTATTGAGACAAGACATAAAACTCTTTTTGGCAATAATCTATTGTTAGGAACCTTGTTTTCATAGAAATTATAAAATTTAATAAATTTTAATATATAAATATTAATTCCTTAAAATAAATAGATCTGTAATTATTTTGAACATGAGAGTTAACGACAATTAATACCAATCCAAAAATAGCATTCAAATAGGCTGAATTTAATTGAAAGCATTAATATTTCATTTTATAAAATTAATAGTTTCTAAGGAAGATTCACATATAATAGGACACAAGGTAGAAAGGTTCTTTATAATAAACGCTAGATCTAAGATAAAGCAATCATGAATTACAATTAAAGTTATTTCAAATATTAAAATGAATCGATTCGAAGTCATATTAAGAATAATTGTAGATTAGATCCGCTTTTTGATTCAATAGTTTTCTATGGGATTGAACCTATAATCCTTTAAGATAATAATTTTATAAGTCTGAATTTGGATATATATTTATAATCTAATATATTTTATTCTTGATTTATGTAATACTAATTTACAATAATATAAATTTATTTGATTTAAGATGGAACAGTTAGTTTCTTTACTTCAAAAAAAGCAACTTCAGAAGGAGGAGAGATTAAAATCTCTAATTAAGATCATAGATAGAAGGATTGTTCAAAAATTGTACAATTTAAGAAACTACGCCTTTTTTAAAATCAAAAACTTCAAAATAGCCAATCGAAACAATATCAAGTTAATCTCTGAAAAGGATGACGAAAAAGGTAGCTTGTAGATTAACATTTCAAATACTAATCAATTTAGAGAGGCATTATATTAATTGCAAAATTATAACCTTGTGTAATTGGAGATATTGAAAAAAGAAACTCTGTGCAGAATGATTTATATTTTGCAAAAAAGAGTCAATCATCATTATAGACATCTGCTAATCAAACTTATAAATAAGAAGTCAAGAAATATTATCCCATTTTTAAAAGTGTTCACTTACAGATTCAATTATCAATCAAGATTTCTGAAAATATTATAAAAGTTTTAGAGAAATAGAGAAATGCAATTACAAAAAGAAATGAAAAAATAAGAAGCCATTTCAAAATTTGTAATGGCTTTAGAGAATAAAAAATTAGCTTGTTTTTGTTATTGGAAAAGAAAATTTCAAATTAATTAAAATGAATAGTCATACATTGACAGTAAAAGGTAAAATGAGTTCATATAACTCACATTTTAAATTGTTGCTCTACTCACAAAATAGAAATTCAAAGTGCTTTCCAATGCTTTCGTTGATTTAAAAAAGAATAAGCAAAGAAATACTTAAAAAATTGTAATTATGTTTAATTTTAAAATTCTATTTAGAAGGTTGATGTTAAAAAACCTTTCGTTTTCCTTCTATAAAATAGTGTGTTATAATAGAAATAATCAAGGTGCATAATGTGCAAATGTTGACATTATAAAAAACTTAGTAATTTACTATTTAATATTTAGTCTGTTATTTCAAGCAAATTAAATTTAGGCTTGAATCAAGCACACATGAAATATCAGAGAAAAAGAAGAAACCTCATTATCTATAAATACCTATCTAAGGTCAACATGAATGAAGATTAGATGATTAATAAATACTTTTCGAAGTGGAAAAGAATCTTAAGCCAATTTAACTTTTAGATGAGAATTAAAATTATATAGCAAAGCAAAGAGCTTGAAGAAGATCAATAATTGTTAGTCCAATAATACAAGTAATTATCTATTGAAAATTCTGAATTGCAATAAATGTATTAGTAAGTATAAACGTATTTTCATACTCCAACAGGATTGTCAGTAAAAAAATCAGAATCTAAGCAGAACTAATAAATTATCTAGGGATAGCAATAGGCTTACCAATTGCAATCATAATAACAAGAGGCATTCTGGGATGAGGATTTAATGTAAAGTGAGGACTATTCTCCAGAATTCGTAGAAAATATAGAAAACTAAAATGTAGAATTAAAATATAAGATTGAAGAGTAATAGGCAAAACGCAATATGTATTTAGAAGAATTTTAAAGTAGGAAATAAGTAATAATTCAAACTATAAATGTAGGAACTATTGCAGTAGATTGCACTAAAGAAACAAATGTAAAATGTTTAATGATAATAATTTAATTCATATTTATATCTATTTAATTTATACTTAAACTATGAAATTATTTTGGAGGACAGATTAATTAAAACAAATAATGAATATAGAAATTGTAAATGCTTATACTTTATTGATGTAGTTAGGTATCTCTATCATGAATGGGTGTTAGGAAGCATAAACTTTGAGGGTTATTGTTTTCAATCTAATTTTTAATATAGTTATTCTTCTTATATTCAATTTTTTGTCATAAATTAGACTTTAGAAAACATAATTGATGAAATCAATTTAATGGTTATTTCTAATTTATTTTGCGACTCTAATAGTAGTCTCATCCATAATTAGATATACTGATATATGAGACTATTATCAATCCTTGGAGATTCAAAATATTTTAGAAATTATTTCAACAAAATATTGAAAAAGTTGAACTAGGTGATCTTTCTCAATTAGATCACGTATTGACAAAAATCTCATAAATTGTAATAATAATATTTAGATTAATTTCGAATAGGTAAAAAATCTTTAAATATTAATAGCTTAATTCATAACAAAGAAAATTAAGGCCTTTAAAACTTCAATTTAATTAGTTCTTTTTTTTTATTGATAACTATTGGTAATGGCTTTGATTCATAAGATAATTACGAAATATCTATAAATGGGAGGTAGGCTTTCTCATGTTAATCCAATAATTAAAGTTTTGAAAATTTGTTATAATACTATTATTAATAATATTTTTTATGTTAAATTCTGAGTTATTTATTAACAAGAGTGCCCTTTTAAAATAGACTATGGTTTTATTTTTTTGAATCCTATTATAGTTACCTGAAACTATTCGGAGGCTTTATAATTGTTGATGCTCGTTTCTCTGAAGAATTGATTAGACTTTGGTTTAATTTGACATTTATTGTATGACTTCTAATCTGTCTTTCTCTTATTCTTGGAGAAAGTTTCGATATTTGCTCAAGACTTATACCTTGATTCATCACTTAAAAATAAATAAAATTTGTTTAATGAAATTAATATAATTAAAATTTTTATATTCGAAACCCTAAATTAATATTATATTTTCAGTTCTTCCCAACATAGACTAGTATAATGATGAACCATTTATGATTATATCTATAAATCAGAATATGTTTTTTGTTTAGGGCAGGATATTGTGATCAGCTATTAATTTCACCTTATGTATCTACATAGGATCATTTGTGTTTTAATTGTTGAACCAAGAAGCCCACTATTTATAATAAATATTCTATGAATAAAAGGAAATTGACTAAGTTGTAGCATAAATAATATAAAATCAAAATGATCTTATTATTTGCATTTAAGAATCTACTAAAACTATGTCACTTTTTGATTGTTTGTTAATAATAGCATATTAAATTTAATGGGGATGATAAGTGATGGCATAACTAAGTAATGTTAATAAGTAAAGAAGTTTAGTTTTAATTGAATTTGCACATTCATCCTTAAGTTTCTGAAAGATATTGATTTTGATTATTTAATCAAAAGAAAATTGTATAAGGGTAATAAGACACCACAATCGTTATATCATCTCACGTTAATGATTTTTCATTTCACATTTATAAATATTTAAATGACTTGTTTTTGATAAATACAAAAGTAATTGAACAACTAATTATCTCAATCTATATGCTAGTATCATTATGACTGTGTAAGTCAGAATACTAGTAACAGCAAATCTATTTATTATAAGTATCCTTGTTGGTACACCTTTTCCTATATAAGTATTCTAAAAATATTAGCAATAACTAAAATATAAATAATAATCAAGAAGTAAAAGTCAAAGTATACAGACTTAACAAAAAAATGAGAACAATACTCCAATGTTTAGTATTAGCTTATTGAAAACTTAATTTTAGGAAGATAAATCATAAATTAGACTTAATTACTAAAGAAATGAAAACAAGTATCAAGGATAATCAAAGATAGATGTGGTAGAGATTTGATTCATTATGAATTAGATTTATTATTTTATCCATTCAATACAATGCATAAATTTTATAAATTTTGATATCAAAACATTAATATTGATGATAAAACAATACGATGTATAAATACTTCTTCAAAATAAATACTCTAATTGCGAATGTTATTACTATTCTAGGACTCTGAATGATTTTGTAAATTCAGCCAGAACTCAAGAGGTGATTGAGTTTTATCAAACTTTAGCCTTTAATGACAATTAGGAATTCTTAAGACGGTTCTATATTGCAAGTATAAGCATAATTCATTTTTTAGGTGAATTGCATGATAAAATTAGGCTTTTTACTGAGTACTATAAATATCATAATGAGATTCCAAGATATTTTATGCATAAAATAAGCAGTATTATGAGCAAGTATCTGAGGGTTATACATAAGTTAGTTACCATGATAAGAAAAGAAGAGTTGAATATAATCGTATAAAACGCATAATTGAAGAAGAAAATCGAAGGAATCCAAACAAACCCAAGAAAGCAATTGTAGGGGATCAAAAAGAAGAACTGTAACTTGTGTCTCCAAAACATTAAGAATAAGTCTATAGTAAAGTACTGCAGGATATCATTGATAATTCCACGACAATTGAAGCAATCAATTAAAAATTAGATGCTATTTAAATCAATGTAGGTGAATTAATTTTACAGCCTTCCAACAGGGAACAGGAATAATTACAGAACTTCATTCACTATTTAGCTGAAAAGTAGAAACCTAAATTCTAAACGCACTATTAATTACATTCACCCAAAACATTCAATAAAATTACTTTTAAAGTGAGCCAGTAGACTATCAAACAAATGATATCTAGAACTTCAAAAAACCAATAACAATTTCATCTATCTCCGAAAACACTCAAAGATGAATAGTTAGTATCTCCAAATGGTCAATCCACACACAGATAAGTTAAAGATCCTCTATCTAAACTCTTGAGCCCTGTTCACGTTCATACTATGAATTATCCTCTTATTCATCATACAGTGGAGCTTAAATAAAAACCCACGTATCTCATTTTACCTATTTAGTATTTAAACTCATCGATCTTAATAAGCCAGTGTTTCTCTTTCCAAACAATTTAAAATTGCTGATAATTAGCCTTAAACTAGAAGACTTCATTAACATACAAGATCAGAATTCAGATTTTTTAAGAAATGATATGCTTAATATAATATTTTTTATCCACTCAAATTGAAGAGAATTGAACATTAAAAGATGGTTTCTCCCATGATTTATTTATAGATTGGTTGTATTCTCCTGGGCCAGGGGATTAGACAGCTACTTTACGATATTGAAACCTTTTTTCCTAAGTGTTAATACTAAAGAATACCTGCACATTAAAAGGGGGAGGTGATTATTTTTATTTATAAGGAACTTTATGGTCTTCCTTTTTTTGATTCTATTTCTTCATATACAGTTCTTCATCTAATTCATCAATTTTGAAATCCCCTTTATTTTAGAATCGAGGAGCTGAGGATTAAAATGGAGGTCTCTAGATCTCAAACTCTGGATCATCCTCTTCATCCTTTTTTATAATAAACTCAATCGTATGATTTTTTGGATTGTATTGATCAGGTGCTGGCAACTCTAATTTGCTTTGTACACTTGGATCTATTCTTTTGGTTTAAGATTTAAACACAGTTTGAGCCCCTTATTTTTAAGGAGATTAAGTTGAATATTCATAATATCCTGGACCAAGCTGCTATTCTTTATTTTAATCATCTTGAAATCGAGGTGAATTATATCCAAATTTGCCAACAGGAGATCTATCGAGTTTTTTGATCATGTCATGTTCCAGCTAAACTAACTATTTTATTTGCTTACACTCTAATTGATATTGTAAGATTAAGGGCCAACCTTTCCGTTTAAATGCTTTTATTCGAAACGAGTATTGGATGATAAGAAGGGTGGGTACTTTTGAGCAAGACTGCTTTTGGATAGTGATGTTTCGATTGAATAGTCTCCTGGTCCAACTTAGATCAAATGTGAATCACTTTCGAATCTTTTCAATTTGGATCCAAAGCATTGTGTTCCTAATTTGGATGTAGATTTAGTATGAGTTACTGCACTCTAATCTTTTGCATAATATCCAGGACCAGGCAAATCATTCTAATGTTTTGACAAATTATACTTCAGTTTCCTCGAATTGTTCTTCTTTCAAATCTTGAAATTATCCATCTTAGAGTAACTGAGATTTCTTCATTTCAAATTGAAGTTTAAGGATTTCTTTAGTTCTTTATCCTTTCTCTTAATTATTGAATCTCTGAGTATTAGATTGAAAAGATCCTGAAGGCATCAATTTATAGAGAGGCTAGCTCTCATTTTAAATATCATATGTTCCAGGTCCAACTATCATTTTTTAGTCTTTAGAGACAACAGGTGCTAGTTTGGGTAGTTTTGAAGAGTGCCAATTTACTCCCTTCCCTTTACTTAGATCAAAGGAGTTCTTTAATTCATAATGGCCTGGACCTACTGAATCATTCTTTGATCCTGAAATAACCACTTAAGGACTCTTATTTAATTACAGAGCTAAAATAGATTAATTTAGATAAACTTCCACCATCTACATAACCATACACTTATTCATTAGTTGGGATGGATGGAATTGACTTGTTTCTATTCAACTTCAACAAAGACTCGATAAAATTCTCGGCTGATCCTTTGTGATAATGTTAACGTTAAATTGATTCTGGTTAGTAAGATCCAGGACTAAGATATCACAATACTACTCTACCCAGGATTATCACTTGTATTAACTCCTTGAAAGCGTTTACATTTGGATGCAAAAACGGATTGTTATTTATGGATTTCAAGAATCTTAAGTTCTGATGGATTAGATTGAAGGAGCACTTTCTATCTAATATTTACTTGATTATGTACCCTGCACTAGCAAAGTTTACACAATAACTGCCAGGCCCTGGAAAGGAGGAGTTTTTTAATGGATTAAGTCGGCTGGATAATGAATTGAAGGGAGCAATAGATTACTTAATTGGTTTTTTCTTTTTTTGCCCATAGGAACCTGGACCCACCTATTATAAATAGAATAATGAGAGTACATTAGATGGGACAGATGTCAATAATTAGTTTAGATCTCGTTAAGCTTAATATACAAATGCCATGATTATTATATAATTATATTAACTAATTTTCAAAATAAGTTGGTCTTCTTCATTATTCTAATGAAGTCTTCCTCACTTATTTCTCCGTCGCCATCTCTGTCAGCTTCGTCAATCATCTCTTATAATTCATCATCTGTCATTGTTTCTCCTAATTCTCTTGCAACTCGTTTTAAATTTCTCAATGTGATTTTTCCTGTGTTGTCATCATCAAACAAACGGAATGCTTTCAGCATCTCTTCTCTTGGATCCCTTTCACCCTGTAAATAGTTATTAACCATGATACCATTTTGACTGTCATCAATTCGAGAAAATCAGGAAATTCAATTACTCCTTTTCCTTCACGATCCACTTCCTTAATCATCTATTTGACTTCTTCCTTTTTTGTTTCGAAGCCCAAAGCTCTCATAGCCACCTTAAGTTCTAATAAAGTATGAATTTACATCGTACCTTTGACATCAATATATCCTGTGCCATCAGTGTCAAATAAATCAAATGCCTCCTTAATCTCTTGCTTCTATTCCTCATTGAGTTCAGAACGAGCTTTTCTTTAAGGAGCAGTTTATCTTTAAGGTTGTTATTTATTTCTGTTCATGAAAATTTGAATTTTATTTTAATTAATATTGTTAATTAATCTTCATATTATGCTTATATGTGTAATTAAATATTCATTCCCATATTCTAATAATTTGAAAGCCTATTTTGAATTTTTAAACCCAAAATATACATGTTATTCAAAAATAAGCATTTTATAAAACACATTATTAATACGAAATCACGATTTTAAATTTAAATTCTATACAAGGATATCTGTTCTATAATCCAACTAATTTCCAATAATTAATTCATATTAAATAACCGTCATATATTTTATAATGGCATGAACAAAATTTAATTTAATAATCACGACCAATTGTTTTTTCATAACTTATTCAATTTTTAATGTTCAAAAAACAATTTTTAAAGTATATCAATATGGTTTTTGTGTGTTATAAATTTAATAATTTAAATACAAGAAATGTTCACATTAATTACTTTAATGATTTACTCTTATTTGTTTACAATTCAGGTATACTCTAAGAGATGGCATCACTATCATCCATTTCTGATGTTGATCTCTACACTCTCTAAAATTACTGAAATCTCTTCTTCCTCTCCTATGGATCTAAGGAGAAGGAAAAGTAGGGATGCTCCAAGATTTGAGACACAGTTAAATTCTGATCAGTCATCATGCTCAGGAGTAGCTCCTATGCTAATTTTGGTGTCTAAGCATTTTATAGAGTTTAGATATTCTGCTCATAGTCTTTATCATTGTATTCTTTCCCTGTGTACCTAATTTTATTATGAAATATTGCATACAAGTAAAATAGAATTCGGCTGCAATTCCTAATGTCCTAATCATCTATGGTATTGCTTTGTTTAGCCTAAGAAAAGTCAATTATTTTGATAAAATCTGATTTGTAAATAATATGATAAATATCGATTGTTGCATGAATGACGTAATGTTGATGCAGATATTGGACAGCCTTCAGCAGGTGCTTTCAATATAAGGGTATGCTTACAAGGATTATGGCTCTGCATTGCAGATGACTCAACTTGGGGTTCTATATCATGAATTTCTGTAATGTAATTCCTCCAACGAATTCTTTTACAATATAATATTGGCTTTTATATTGAAAACATTCCCGGTATGAAATTATTCCATGATAATTCAATTATCGTACAAGTGGGACTTGGGTCAGCAACTGTTGCTAAGTTACAATCTTCAGTCCAAATTATTATAGCGATATTTGGTCTTATATCCTTGAAGGGTCATTAATATCTATTTGTTTGTATAACTCAACTATGTTATCAAAACATATGAGATTCCTGCAGAAGCTTCTTAATTGCTCTAAATCTTTGGTGTTTGCCTTGAAGAATTTGATAATCCCTTTGTATTCGATCCCAAAAGCTTATAATTTAAGGTTATCCACATACCAGTGTAAAACATTCTCGAGTATAAATTTATACTCATATTTTTGATGACCCTATTTTATATCACGATGAAGAGATTACCTTGTTCCCAATCGTGAGCCTGTCCTTATACAAAGTTAAAATATAGTTAGTGTTTAGTAGATAGTGTAATCTTTCGCATTTGAATTGAAGTATCATAATTATATAAAAATTACTCTTAATTTCTGTGAGCGCATTAAATTTGATTCTCACCAACTTCTCGAAAAAAGAATTTTTATATAAAAGAAATTCTCAGAATAAATAGTACAAAATTATCAAAGCCCGCATTTTCAATCCTAATTTTATTGATAAAATTCAGAAATCAGGCATGAATTTATAATCAACCTTCGATTATAAAATTAGTCTCTATAGTAAATTTACTCTGATTATAATTATAGTCTATTTACATTTATTAAAATTCTTATTATATATTATTTCAATTAATATATATATTTCAATTATATAAACTTATTATAAAGCAAACATGATACATCAAATAGAATATAATTTAATCTTGACATAGATGGTCAAATCGCCATTGGTATAGACCCTTTTACTATAATTTGTATCACTATCATAAAGTTCTTCGAGATTTGAGAAAGAGCATTAAATCTTTTATAATGAAAATTATAAATATATTCAATTCTGATTTTAAAAATAATGAAATAGAATTGATTTTATTATAATAGCGCAATTATCTTATAGGGAGTACCAAAATAAAAATAAAACAATGGATATTGCAATTGTAATGGCATTACTTGGATTTGAATCAGCCCCCAAGTCAAGGCTGAATAATATCCTACCTAGAATCAGTTGTTCTGGTGCTACTGCTTTTAGAGACGCAGTTGTGAAAGGAAATTAGTTAATGTTATAGCTTTTTGCTCTCTTCTGCAAAAAGGGGGCACATGACAAATTCAAATTTGTTCATGTGGTTCTCACTGATGGAGAGGATAACAAATCTTAAATCAGTTTACAAGACTTTCTCAAGTATTAGGTCCATCTCAAAAATGAACTTCCTGAGGATATTCTGTAAACCTTTTACATTGGAGTGAATGTTGAAAGCAATCAAACAGTTCAATAAGAGATGAGAGCAATTTTACAATGTAGTGGAAAGTCAGCGTAGTACTTTCCCATTCACAGCAATGGAATTAATGAAATCTTCTAAAAGATTTAGATGTAGATTGGACTTAGAGTATAATAAAAGGGTATAGTGATTGAGAGTAATCAAAAACAAATTGCCTTTATGTAAAAGTAACTTTAACCTGTGTTGTAAATGAAAGTGAATAATTATATTGTTCTTTTCACCCTTGACATTTCTGGCTCTATGGAGGGTAATTGGGGTAAGGTTTGTAATGCAGTTAGTGGATTTTTGGGTAATCTAGGATCCAATGATTTAGTGTCAGGAATTGTCTTTAATGATAAAGTTGAGGTCGTGACTTAATCAAATGCAGAGCCTCAAAAGTCTGTTCAATCTTAATAATGTTATAACTAAAATTAATATTAAGTTAGTAATAGAAGAGATGAGGAATGCTAAATTTTTTGATTATTAGAACCATTCCCATATATAATTATTATTAAAGTCAACTTAAAACATCTCTGATAGTTTGAGTTTTAATTTGTCATAGATGGCAAAATTTATTTTATTTTTATTTAAAGATGTTTTCCATTCTCTAAGATGTGCAGGAGGAGAAATCTTAAATTTTTGATTCTAATTTGAATATACATCTGATTGAAGAAATTAATTCTACAAAATTAATATATCAAGTTTACATTAATTGTAATTGGTATTATAATTAAAAATATAATTTAAATATAGTATGTTTTATTATATTATATTAAATTCAGGATATTGTATCTATTTTGAATTGATTTAACAGTTAAAATAGAACGCATATCGCAAAATACATTATTACACTTTATATCATTTACATAGGATTTTAAAATAGGGAACGAATAGTATCTATTTTTAAGAGGATGGTAAAACAAATAATACTCATATAATAATTTTAGTCTTTTGAAAAATATTTTAATTTCTAAAATTAAAGTTGGAACTATAAATTAATATCTGTTTAATTTATCATTCATTCTTAAAATATGTATTAAGAAATTATTAGATCTCAAAGATGCGATGCTCAATCTATTTAAATTTTTTTAATTCTGCATAATGTGGTGATCTAGTCACTATGATTAAATTATCTACAAAATTAACAAGAGGAGTGAACACCCATTTCAAATAAGTAGAATTATTCATGATATTTTGTGCATCCGATCTAATAATTTCAACTTATTTATCTGAGAGATCATATAAATTTAGTAAAGGCTCTTTCTTTTCTAATTTTTCATAGAGAAGTTTAGTCTTCATCTAATAAGTGTACTTTGAGTATCTCCATTTTGGTAATTCTTATAAAAGCAGTTATGAAATTAGTTCTATGCATTTGAGATAAAATTAGGGAACTTTTTCAGGAAAGGCATACATCAATTCATTCTAGAGACCACATTTGAACTCTTCAAAATCGATATCATTTAATTGGGGAAGTTGATTATAGAACATGTTGGATTAAAGTAGTTGTTGCTTGATATCCAGCTGTTTATTAAAGAAATGCTTTAAGATTGGCAGAATTTCAATAAATGTTTAATTAAAGTAGCTATTGACTCTTCTCAGAGATGAAATGTCTTTGCAATTTAGGAAAAGGATGATGTTGTATATAACAGGTTTCTTGAATTGTTGATCAAATTAAGAATTTTGTTTTTTCGGTTTTTATTGTTAGACAATTGTTGCTGATTGTTGAGTAGTGTTCTAGGCTTTTTAGACAATTTGTGAATTTCCTTTGTTTGTTTTAATTTGTGGATTTTTGTTAGACTTATGGGGTTAAATAGCTTTGTTATTTTATAGCATTCAGAATAATTTATTAAATTTATTTTAATTAATTAATAGAGATTATGAAGTTTTGCTTAAAATCTGATAGGAATTTATTTTCCATTAATTTCCGACAAAATGCTTGAAAGTGCTCACAAACTGATTTGAGCAATTGGTTGGCATGTGTTAATGGAGAATGGTTGATAGGAATGGAAAATAAGTTAGTTTAGGAAATTTTAATGTGAGTTAATTTTGATACTAAACGAATTGCTTAAGATTATCAAGATTACGTACGAGATTTAGGGAAATTGAGTTATCGGCAGTGTTTCTGGATGGAGGGGGTCTTGGTTGATTGATTTGAAAAAGGACAGTTATTATAGTGATTTTATATTATAGAAAAGAATATTTTTATTAATGATTTCAATGCATAATATAGAGGACACAACGTCCCTTAATCGGATATCTAGCGACGAGGATGAATATTTAGAAAGCCCCTTAAACAATCAGAAGGTTCAAGAGATCGAATAACAATGTCTTTAATAATGTGATGAGGAAGTGCCAATGGGTGAAATACCAATAGAGAGATGTTTCAACAGACACATTGATGAGAGAATAAATGATACTGCGGTGTTACAAAATCATGCGAACGAAATCACATAAAAGATTATGAAAAATGTTAAGTGTGCATTTTAAAGGGAAATTATAAAGGAACTAGTATCTAAATCGAAGAAAAGATTTAAAGTGGATGGATTTAATTTGGATTTAACTTGTAAATAAATAATAACTTATGCAGATGTTACTGATAGTCTGATTGCAATGGGATTTCCTGCTGAGAATTTTGAGGCTATCTATCGAAATTCCATGTCTGAAGTCTAAAAATTCTTAAATACACGTCATCCGAGCAATTATATGGTCATAAATTTGTAAATTTAGATTGCTACCTAGATGTTCAGAACGAAAGTATAAGCATGAATCATTCTTTAAAGTGGCTGAATTTCCCTTTGATGATCATCAGGCACCTCCCTTCACTCTGATAGTTGATTTCTGTACGGCAGTGCATGATTGGTTGACATCCGATCCAAATCATGTGATTGCAGTTCATTGCAAGGCTGGTAAAGGGAGAACAGGAGTGATGATTTGTTGTTATTTGCTGTACAGTGGTAAGTACACATCAAGTCAAGATGCCTTGGCTTATTATGGATTAGTTCGAACTTTGAATTAGAAAGGCGTTACCATTCCCAGTTAGATTAGGTATGTGCATTATTTTAGTTTTGCCTTGAAAAACGATTTAATCAAGAGACCATTTCTACAGGTTGAGTTGCTTTCAGTTCGTTTGGTTGGTTCAGCTCATGGATCCTTGATTCGACTGCAGAACAACAGCAAATAATTGATTGAAAAGGCTTAGATTATATCGGATAAGGAAATCATTTTTACTTTTGATGGCATATATCTTCAAGGAGACGTTCTATTATAAATATTCTAAAAATCAATTGTTTCAGAATCCAAAATCTTACAAATTTGGTTCAATACAAACTTTGTCTCTCTATCCCCAAATGAATAGGTATTTAAAGCCTCCGAAATTGACATTATGAAGAAATCAAAAAAAAAACACTCCTCGAACATGCAATTAGAGTTGTTACTTAATAAAACTGTAGAAATCAGACAAAGATCAAATTGTTTTTCTAAAGGTATATGAAAATATATTAACTATCAAAAATCTAAATATTAAACTGCAGCTCCTATATCTATTAAATCAAAGGGTTTTGCGATGAAGTAATCGGCACCATTCTTAAAGCATTCCAATTTCAAATTCAAATCAGCAAATGTTGAAATGATTATGGCAAATCCTTTATCAATCAATCCTATTTTCATCTAACCCTTCAAGAATTTCATAACTTCTATTCCCGATAACAGCTAAAATTAGTTTTATATATATAAGATAATTACTGGCAGATGAAATTCAATGAAAAATAATAAGTACGACCTGTTCCCACAATGACAAGGCTTGATTTATTTATTCGAAATCATCTATTGAGCCTCCACCCCATTGAAGGCCTTGTCACATTTGATGTTATATTTCTCTAAAACCTTCTGTAATGATAATACACTGTAATGATCATTATCAACAATTAACACTTTGGCACAACATGTCAACCTCAAACGATACTTAATGACCGAAGGCAGCAATTTAGGAGTGAACTCAGGAGGATGTATAGAAGGAATGCTTTGTTCCAATCCTTCATATGCAGAATGGGAGTCTTATTGAGATTCACTCCTTTCATTCCTGCTCTTCTTATATGTTTATTAAACCATGTCAGGAAACCCTTATTTCCAAGTTCCAGAATAGCTGATGGTCTATTCCTTCGATTACTTAGGAACTGAACCAGAATTCTAAACCTATCTAGAATTTGATGAGTCTTATTTGATCCTGGAGATTTGGGAGAAGTACGCACTGTGAGCATCTAAGCCATCCCCAGGTTTCATAGAGAACTACTTGGACAATTGACTTAACGTGTAGTATCTAATGATGTAGATATTATACTTTGACTCTTCTCTATAGCCACTGCTGTCTTAGCCCAATAATAAGGACAAGGATGTTTCATAGTATTTTCTTTGTCCTATGATTTTAATTGGTCCTGTATCTTGATGACTCTGCATCCTCTACTAACTGGTTTGGGATTCCACTACAAAAGTGAATGTCCCACTTCCCTAGCTGTCATACAGGAAATCAATCCCTCTTTTGAAAGTGCCACTCAACTGGAAACATAATATCACGCAAATTTAGAGTTCTAATAGATTATTTAGATCCACCTAGTAAAATGATGAGGTTTTCAGAGATGAGTTCAAAGTTTTTATTAGGACAAAGATAGATTTTCTGAGATTTTCATCTTTGGCAATCATGCTATCTTTAAATGAAATCATAATTCCACTAACTGTATAACTTTTGATATCCAATTTCAAGGATGATCCTGAAGTGTACTTCAGACAATAGGTTAATAAACAAGCTAAAATTTATTTTAACTATTTTGTTAAATATTGTAAATTTACTCTTTCAATATCACTGAATAACACTTAATTGTTATCACTCAAATCTATTGAGGTTATTAGATTCACATCTCTGATCTTTAAATTATCCTCGTATATGTTCACTATCTCTTCCACCAGATCACTCACTCTAAATGCTGAGATCCTCAAAAACAACTAGTTTTGGATATAGAAAATGTAATCTCTCATGCTATTCACAAATAGGAAGAACCTCTAACTTATTAGTTTGATTGGTGTGTAATAATTCTATTTGAGGGATATTTTTAGAGTGTTCTCGTGATCACTTTACGTCAATAAAATTAGAGTTAAAATACAATTAATATAACTTACTGATTCATGTACAAAAGTAGTGATGACATTGATTATTGGTTGGTTGTTTTCTTCACTCTTCTTTTGCACTGGTTTCTAATCAAAGAGGAAAAAGACATAGGAACTCTCATTGATCTTATTCACAAAGGCTTTGACTTGGACATTCTCAAAATCGAGCACTTCACTCTTCAATGCAAACAGAGTCACCATACACGTTCGCCATCTCTTTAAATCCAAGTAAACTACTTATCGAACTCGTTTTGCATCATCAAAGTCAGGTCGCGTATTGTCAGTTTAGATTTCAATCGGCACTTGTGATAATCATTCACCCTATTCAACAGGAAGGAACCACTTGAATTTATCAATAGTAAATACTCGCTATTCAGTGATTAATCGACAACGTTATTAATCTCTATTAATTCCTTACTCCCCAACAGAATCTAGCTGCTGAGGAATTGCTCCTCATAATCAGGCTTTGACTATTACTAGGTTTGTAATTCATCCAAAGTCGATTGTTTCAATAACTTCCCTAAAAATATATTCTAATAAACAATGTTTAGCTTATTGTTGTAGACCAACACTGATTGATTTTATATCCATGAAACATGTTACAAAATCTACTCATCCTCATTACACTCTATTTTCAGAGGATTCAACTCTTGCAACATCGATTGCTGTTGATTCACTCTACTTCCAATATCTCTATTGTTTATCGATTCCTTCACTACATATCATTCTTATCAATACATTAAGTCGACTTTTGTTTTAGTTCCTTCTCCAGATACACGTCCTCCCTTCTTGTGGTCGTCCATTTCACAAACATAAACCCAAACCATGATACTATGTTGAAAAACAATAAAATGCTATTCGGTATTGTTGTGATGTAATTTATCTCCTGATCCTGTATTATGTTAATCAACAGTGCTGTTCCCAAGCAAAAACCCTTCAACAGTTCATCATCCAACAAATGAGCCATAATTAAACAAAATTGACTCATTTCCACATTCATAGATACTTAGATCAAAATTATTAACAATTTCAACTTCCAAAAAACATTTACATAGTTGTAATCTTTAAATTTTGCCACAAAAAATGCTACTCCAGAAATGAAATTCAAAATTAAAGGAATTATTAAGTCCATTCCCTTAGATTGTTGCAAACCTAAAATAGATATCTACTCACCTAATAAAAGGGCAAAGAATATTTGAAGTTCCTGTATAAACAATTTCCCTACACCAACTTTTTCCATTATTATAAATAGTTTTATATAAATATATATCTATTGATATTTACAATTAATTAAAAAAAAATCCAATTCTTAATAGGTATTCCTTAATTAAACTACTTAAAAATCAAACTTTTTAGTTTTGATTCTGAATTTGTTCATCAACTTTCAAATTCAGAAGGACACATATCAAATTGCTTAATTAATATTCTAAATTTATACAAAAACTTTTGAAGATATTTTAACAAATTTAGGATGAAAAACAAGTATACTAACTAATTGGATCTCCTCTAATAGAAATACGGGTATAATCATTCCAAAATATTGGATTCTGAATGATTAGTATTTAATTCAAAAAAAACCAAAATTAATTGATGAGTGTAATTAAAGTACTCCTTAGATTAAGTATAATTTATTTCCTCAATTGAATTTGAGAGAAAACTACTAATGAAAGTTATATAAATTGAAATAAATGATTCCTTGTTTAGAACATTTCATGAATATATTTTAAATATTAAATATGGAGGTGTTTACTCAATTATGTAAGTATAAACGAAAAGGATTTTTTGAAGGAATCTATTCAATCGTGCTATCTCCCATGTCTACTGGAATAATTGAGGACTTTTAATGATTTTATGAGAGGGATTTATAAATGAAATAATAGTAAAATGAAAAAAATAAGAAAAACACTAAATCTCTATTGATTAAAGAAAAAAATTAAAAGTAAAGTGAATAACAAAGATTTTGTATTATTTGATAATCAGTAATACATAATATTAGTCTTTTGGGATTATTAGATAATTGGTATGCACTTAGATGTTAGTTGTGTAATCCTTTTATAAGCCTCTAAAGTATTAAGGATTTATGTAATTAAATAAGATTTCCATAACTGAAGGTATCACTAATTTTACTTAATATATATAATCTTCCAATTTTTAATTATTATCATCATGTTTACTTAAAGATGTCCAGCAATTATGAAAAAAGTGGAATTCGGTAATATCACGGATGGCTTACAAAGACAAGGCTCGGAAAGAGAATTGATGAAGCAAAAGCACAATAGTAACGATGGGTCTTAGGAAAGGACGAAGTTAAAGTACAATCATATGTGATTACTAGAATGCTAAATCAAAGAGTGTAAACTTAGAGTAATGAAAATCCTATAAGAACAGACTTGTCTACAGCAGAGGGATTGTAATTATAGGAGAATAAATCGGATGACAAAAAATAAAAATTTGACAAATTAAAAAGGTAACCACCAACCTTCTTTGAAAAGATCCCCAAAGATCCAATCACTTTGATGAATTCAACTAGAAAAAATAAATACATTTAAATAAATATATTAGCAAAATCGAAATAAGCAGTAAAAGATCATATAGTAAATCACAATTTACAACAACAATCTCCAGCATAGGATTCTGCAGTTAGAGAACTTTTGGATAGTTTCCAGACTTAATTCAATTTTAGGACTGCTATAGATGCCAAAAAGAAGAGATAGGTAGAAGATCTCAAAGCAAAATATCTGAAGACATTTTTCATAAAAAATATCCCCACGAGGGACAAAGTTGTTTACAAGTACTATGGGGAAAACCAATCTAATTGTTTCACAAATAGGGATGAACAGTATAAATTGTTTAGGAGTTAAATGAAAAATGAATGTTATCAGAAACCATTTACCTAATCGTTTTAGACTCAAACCCAAACATTTTGCAACGAAAGTAATGGTTGCACTGGATATTGTTAGTATCTTAAGGAACTATACAAGAAAAATCATTAGAGTCTTAAAAATTTATCCGAACTAACCTCCTCGAATTGAATTATAAATTATTTATATTAAATAATTAGTCAGTTTTATAATAGCTTTTTTACTCTTTTAATTTTGGATGCAACAAAACATTTTATCGAATAAGGAGTACCAGAAGTTAACTTTTTCCTTTTGAAATAGTTTTTTCTGTTTGAATCCAAAAATTTAACATAGCGATCAATAACTTGATTATAGTTGTTGTGAGGATAGTAAATTTTGTACTCCTGCATTTTTTCGAATTTGTTGAATAAAACATCATTAATAAAGTACCCTTGGTTCTATTCTAAGAATTAATATTACCTCTGGAGCTGTTAACGCTTAGAACTAGGACATTTAATTTGGAGTACTCTATTTGGTACCTGATTTTAGGCTCTTATTGTTGTTTAATTTATTTTATTCACTGAGGGACTTTGAACTATTGATTTTCTTAACCCCTTGTTAATCCACAACTCTGTTTTGACTAGATAAAATGGATAATTTCTATGATTTATTTTATCTGGAATTCGATGAAGGATTGTTAGAGATATCTTTAGACAATGAATTTGAATAAGTATACGATCTATTTGAAGGTTATCTTATGGATTATTTTAACGTATTATGAGTTAATTACGTGAACTGCTATTACTATTGCTGTTGTATTTGTTATTACTGATAAGAATCAGTCATAATTGGATCTTCTTTTAGTAGGATTCCTGATGAGGCTTCTTTATAATACTGAAATGTTAGTTTGTTCTAATTATTGTTTCTCCCTGCAGGAAAGAGTACGGTTCTATCTTTACTCATTTGAGCCTCCTATAGTTAATTCAGGATATCTCTATCATCTTTTTCTATAACTGATAAATTGTTCCCTAAATTTGTGATGTTGTTGGGGTCAAAATTAATAGGGAATCCTGCAGTTTTTAAGGTGGTTTTATTCGAATTCTTTCTAATACTTTTTACTTATTGCTCTTATATTGGGATTGTTTATTCATCTTGACATTCTTATTCGATATTAAATTGGTCTAAGCTCTCTACGTTTACATTGCTAGCTGATTGTTATTGATCAGGACTATAATTTTTCTATGCCAAAGAATTGCTTACAAAACTCACTGATTAATGTGTTTAATCTAGTTAATTTGTACAATTTACTTTCAGAATAGGGCAACTGGGAAGTTTCAGGCAAATCATCTGAGACCTATTCTTAACTCTATCGATTAGCATATTATCTGGCCTTATCCTGATTCAAACTCATATCTTGCCAAGCAAAATATTTTCTTAACCTCCTTGAAAATTTTCTTCTTTGTTATTTTTCTGTGTATAAATGTTTTTCAATTGCATTTATTCTTTAAGGAAAATATTATAAATGTCTACATTCTACTACGTAATGTCCTCTGATTTTACAATAATAGCATTCAAATAACTTTGAATTATAAAACGCATTATCTTTCATTGTGCAAAATATTTCATTGTCTTTTGGATAATTCGATATTATTGAAGTGAAATCAGATCTCTTTATTTTCATCAATGTGGTGACTCCTGAACTGAAAATACTAATGTTAGAAGGGATCCCTGTAATAAAAGAATATTATCCAAAAGTTTATCCTTCACATAATGTTGTTACTGCTCTTTTATTCGTACCAAAGGAAGAACCTTAAAATTAAACCTTAACTTATCCTTTTAATATATAAAACAATCCCAAATCCTCTATTTGATGTTCCTTAAAATACTTATTATTTGTACAATTATGATGTTGTCTTCTGGATTAAAGGTCACTTATTCAATTTCATAAAGCAATTATTATTTGAACTAAGGAGAGAATCTATTCATCAATTCGATCTTATCAATCATAGTTGATCTTAAAGACAAATCGATCTCATCCTCCAATTCAGGACTCAGCTTCTTAGTTAGTTGATCTTTCGTCTTGTTTAAATCTTCCTAAAACATTTACAATCTTATTTACATCTATTCTGAATTCTAAATACGAGTAACATCTTTTTAAAAGTCCATCATTTTCACATTTCTCCCTAAATCTTTCAACAAACCCTTTGAGTAGTTTCTGTTTCTCCTCTTCAATCTCTATATCTGGCTTAATCCAAATATAGATGATCATTGTTGTGTATGCTAAACAAAGGTAGGACAGAACCATATAAATAGATATCACTAATGAATTTTAACTAGTTATTTCAATGGCTAAAATGCTAATGTCTATTTTACATATATTCGAACAATGGGTCAACAGGGAAATAGCAAAAGTAATACAAAAGTAAAGACTTGGATCCTCCTCGCAGTGAGAAACTCTTATTGTTTTATATGTATACCTTGATAAATACAAGCAAAAGAAACTACTATAGACACCCACAGTTAGAACACAAAAATAAAATGGTGAGTGGACTTATAGATATTTTCAAAATTTTCCACTTACCTAAAGAATTAGAATAGCATCATCAATAAGATCGCTACTAGTTTTGCTCTGTTATCTATTTCAAATAGACTGCTTATCGACAATAGGGCAAGTCTTAATATATCGAATATTTTCTTTGTGTTATCCTTGTAATTGACTTTAATGATTCCCCTTGACAATTTATACGGGCCTCTTTAAAACAGAAGGTCTTGGCAAATAGTTAGACATGCCAATCCATAGGTCATATAAGAGATGATGTTTATGATTTTTGAGACATCAAAAAATTAAGCAATTGGAATGAAAATGCATGAAAGGATATTCGATAAGGTAGTGGATAGAAATATATACATAGTGAAGTAATGGTACTTGAGGGGTGAAACTAAGATAGAGTATAAATTCAGTATTACGTTCTTGATATTCTTGGGTAAGGATGGGATCATTATATTTTGAATAGTGAATTAAATTCAAAAATTTAACTTTCATATGATTAACCAATAATTTTACCCTATCCTAATTGATTTACATAGATTTTTTATTTTCCAAAATTGAACGCATCTAGAAATAAACTATCTTTAAAATTATACTGAATTTAGCTGGGAAGAAAATTAGGAACTTTCATCTAAGTAATGAACTTAATGTTATTTTCGACAATCCTATTTAATAGCAACTTGCTCTTGACTTTTATTGGATATCAAATTGGTTATAATAGTAGGGGCTCTTAAGTCTTCGCTTCCTTAAAAGTCTCTTGGTTACTGAGGAAATGTCATTAAAAAAGTAGGCTTGGAGTGGCCATAGATGTTTATCTGAGACAATGAGGAATGTTCTTCCTCTTCTTAAATGGATTGGCTATGGGAATATGGTATAGTTCTCATCTATTTTTTGGATTGATTTTTATCGATGAGTTCTTAGTCCTTAATTTGAGGGATTTAAGGTTTTTTCTTGATCATCTTAAAATATTATAATAAATAATTGATTAATAGTTAAAAATTTATTTATCGTCATTAATTGCTTTAAAGCTCTCTACATCTAGCTTCAACAACCTCAACGCCTTTTTTAAAAGAACTGTTGAATTGAGATATCAATTTCGACACAAAGGTTTAATGAAAATTTGACAATAGTTTCTATTTAAATGATGCTTATATACAGAGTAATGAGTTTTTTAATCGTCTATTGCTTTATAAATGATTGATTCATCTCCTGAAAGGTTCGGGTAATACTTACAGGCTTTCAATAACTTAGTTTGCATCTCCATGCTTCTGTTCTCAATATCAAAAGTAATCTCTTCCAGAGTCAAGCACCAAACCATGAATTTGCGAGCATAGACCTAAGTTTAGATTGAATGAGATCATACGATTCTCTTAATAGACATAGTATTATTGTCATTAAGCATCATATCTACAACTTGATTGAATTTGATGAAGTCGAATTCTTTGCATGGATACTTTCTCCAGAAGCCTTTAACCACAGTCTCCCAATCGAAGTTAAATGTGTACTCAGAATGAATCTGCATTATATAAAATTAGATATTCTAAATTTTGATTTTATACTTAATACAACAGATGTATTTATTTCATACTTAATATTCCGTACAATTTGTACCAATAAAAACTCATTCAATCGTATTATTAATTTGATTTATCATTAAAATAAGTAAGCCTATTATCTCGTGTATAATTAATCGAAATCTGGAGGATTTCCTTTCGATTCTGTATATAGAGTTACAGGTTGAGTCTTGAAAAATGCTTAAAATTCATTTCCTTTCATTTTAAACTCATAGCTAGGATAGATGCGTTTAAACTCTTGCTGTGTCTTTAAAAAGAAACTGAGATTGTTATGATTAATTTCCAAGTGCAACACTTGACTTCTCACCTATTCTAATTTTTAGACTCTCCCATCTTTTAACTAAATCTTTATAAATTTCTTCATCTCTAATTGAAAGTGCTACTCCTTTAGAATTGTCTTCCTCAAACTCTTTTCGTATGCACGTTAATGATTATTTAGATTTAATAATCTATGAGTAATGCTTACCATTTCTCATTCAATAATCCATTTTCCTTTTTCTTAAAGTGATAATCCAAATTCTACCATTCAAACAATATTCACAATTGGTTTATAATCCTTTCATAACATCATAATATTGTTATTAACTTCACCCTGTTCATCTAAACACTTTTTACGTTCTTGTTTTCTGTAAAAAACAATGATTATTGTAAAATTCCTCCACTCTATTAGTTTCTCCAATCTTTTTTAGATTTATCTCATAATGACCTGACTTCGCTATTTCCTTCCTACCTCTAAGAGCACAACAAAATATCCAATGCTAGGATACCTTTTGGTCCATTAAATTTTATAAAATCCATCTATTCCTTGAGTTCACTGAATAAATAAGACTTCTAGCGATCATGAAAATTATGAGGCTTGAACTATTCTAATTAAATTTATCTTTCAGATTCGCCTAACTTTGTATTTATGTCAACAGATATTAATATGAATGATATGTGATTTTTATATTTAATATCATATAAATTCAGATGAGGAGGATGTTTCAAACAAATGATTATATGAAGGAAAAATCTAGCAAACACAACAATTAGCTCTATGATTATTTATATTTATTGTTTTTCTACTTTATAAATAAATATTGATACTTTTAAAAAATTATTACAATTAACGTAAACTCATAGAAAGAATTGTCTTGTCTTCTTTCCGTAAAGGGGAGTTGGTTTTTATATCAAACTCTTGGCTTCAGCCTAGACTATTCATAAATAAATCTCTTTGTTGATATTTAGATAATTGGTTATATAATTTTCAAAGAAGGTTTGAATAAGCTTGAGAACTAATACATTATAATTATTTTAAAACAACATAATAATAATTGTANGTCTCCCAATCGAAGTTAAATGTGTACTCAGAATGAATCTGCATTATATAAAATTAGATATTCTAAATTTTGATTTTATACTTAATACAACAGATGTATTTATTTCATACTTAATATTCCGTACAATTTGTACCAATAAAAACTCATTCAATCGTATTATTAATTTGATTTATCATTAAAATAAGTAAGCCTATTATCTCGTGTATAATTAATCGAAATCTGGAGGATTTCCTTTCGATTCTGTATATAGAGTTACAGGTTGAGTCTTGAAAAATGCTTAAAATTCATTTCCTTTCATTTTAAACTCATAGCTAGGATAGATGCGTTTAAACTCTTGCTGTGTCTTTAAAAAGAAACTGAGATTGTTATGATTAATTTCCAAGTGCAACACTTGACTTCTCACCTATTCTAATTTTTAGACTCTCCCATCTTTTAACTAAATCTTTATAAATTTCTTCATCTCTAATTGAAAGTGCTACTCCTTTAGAATTGTCTTCCTCAAACTCTTTTCGTATGCACGTTAATGATTATTTAGATTTAATAATCTATGAGTAATGCTTACCATTTCTCATTCAATAATCCATTTTCCTTTTTCTTAAAGTGATAATCCAAATTCTACCATTCAAACAATATTCACAATTGGTTTATAATCCTTTCATAACATCATAATATTGTTATTAACTTCACCCTGTTCATCTAAACACTTTTTACGTTCTTGTTTTCTGTAAAAAACAATGATTATTGTAAAATTCCTCCACTCTATTAGTTTCTCCAATCTTTTTTAGATTTATCTCATAATGACCTGACTTCGCTATTTCCTTCCTACCTCTAAGAGCACAACAAAATATCCAATGCTAGGATACCTTTTGGTCCATTAAATTTTATAAAATCCATCTATTCCTTGAGTTCACTGAATAAATAAGACTTCTAGCGATCATGAAAATTATGAGGCTTGAACTATTCTAATTAAATTTATCTTTCAGATTCGCCTAACTTTGTATTTATGTCAACAGATATTAATATGAATGATATGTGATTTTTATATTTAATATCATATAAATTCAGATGAGGAGGATGTTTCAAACAAATGATTATATGAAGGAAAAATCTAGCAAACACAACAATTAGCTCTATGATTATTTATATTTATTGTTTTTCTACTTTATAAATAAATATTGATACTTTTAAAAAATTATTACAATTAACGTAAACTCATAGAAAGAATTGTCTTGTCTTCTTTCCGTAAAGGGGAGTTGGTTTTTATATCAAACTCTTGGCTTCAGCCTAGACTATTCATAAATAAATCTCTTTGTTGATATTTAGATAATTGGTTATATAATTTTCAAAGAAGGTTTGAATAAGCTTGAGAACTAATACATTATAATTATTTTAAAACAACATAATAATAATTGTACATTCTAAAATTTTATTTAATATTTTTATGAATGAAGATTATTTGAAATTTAAATATAAAATTTGAGCATAATCTATTACATGCCATAGTATTTCTAAAGTAAGTGATTATAAATCTACATTAGTTGTAAGTCTGATATGTCTAATTAAAACCTTGTTTTAATTACATAGCCTGAAAGTATTATATTTAGATACTTGTTCCTTTTATTATTAGTTAACCACCAATTTAGAGATTTGGTTGATAATCGAAAGAAATTATTTTTATTTTTGAATTTTACTTCTGAGTTGCACAAGTGTTAAATTGTTTTAATTTTTTATAATTATTTCTAATTTAATGATTCAAGTTAATATAAATCAATTAAAAAATATTTATTTAATTAATACTAATGACCTTAGAACAGAGTTAGATAATTAATTTTCTAAACTTTGAACGCGGTTATTTCTTCCACAAAAATATATATATGCAATCATCAATAATTACATTCGTATTATGAGTATTCTAAAATTAGAATCTAGTTGCAAAAATATATAAAAAACTAATATCCAATTTAATTCAAATTGATGTAATCATAGCAATAAGTTAGAAGTGCTTCTGCAATCATTACAGGATTTAATTAACAATAGTATACAGTTTATTTTAGCATAAAGTTAGGAAATCCAATTACTAGAGGCATAAAGAGAGTTTGACTAGATTACAAGAGAATTGATGCTAAGGAGAAAGAAGTTGTTGAAATCGACTGAAAAGGAGGGCTAGTATGACAAGACGAACACGTCTAAAGCAGAAAAGTTCAAAATATAGTACAACATTTTTCTATATTTTAGGACGTGCATTCTATACCGTTGGCCGAATTAGAAAGAAGGCTTTAAACTTCCTTGACTAATGGGCTTTCTTCACATTAACTAGAGGAAAAAATGAAGTAATTTGGCAAAAACAACCTCTCTTAGAAAGAAAAGACTCCATGGTATATATAATTATTTCATGAATTGACAAATGTTTTTGCTTTATTACTTTGGGCAGCAGCAGCGCTATGCTTTCTAGCATATGGCTTAACACCAGAAGATCCCTCAAATGTAAGAAATTGTTATTATTTAGTTATACCTTGGGATAGTTCTAATTGCATGCATTTTAATAACAGCCCTTATGACATATTTCTAAAATAGGAAATCTGAGGCCATAATGCAAGGATTCGTGAATTTTATACCTCCTGAAACTATAGTAATACGAGATGGGAAATAATAGAAGCTACCAGCAGTTGTCGTAATTATAGAATTTGGAAAAAAGATACCTGCTGACATCAGAATTCTTGAGAGCAACTAAATGAAAGTAGAAAATTCAAGTTTAACTGGGGAATCACTCCTATTGGTAAGATCTCCAGAATGCACTCATGTAGAAAACCCATTGGAAACAAAAAATCTGGCATTCTTTGGTACTCTATGCAAAGAAGTAATTTAAATTATTATCAAAGGGTACTGGGAAAGGAGTGGTAATTTTTACAGGAGATAAAACAGTAATTGGATAAATAGCAGGACTTGTTCAGAGTTCTATTGTTGATGAGACTCCATTAAAAAAAGAACTTGATGCATTCACCATACATATAGCATGTATAGCTTTGTCTATAGGAACTTTATTCTTCGTATTAGGATTTGCAGTAGGATATCGTAATTATCATTATATAATTTTTTAGTTGCTATATAAAATTTAATATTTGCAGTTGGTATTATTTCTGCAAATGTGCCTGAAGGGGTATTAGCAAATGTAGTTCTAGACGTGATGACAAGGAGACCTAGAAACAAGAATGAACATTTAGTCGGAGGGTAATTGATTACATTTGCCTATGCCTAAAATGGAGTATTAGAGACATTTTGTGGATTCTTTTAATGGTATGTTTCCTTCAATGACTTTGGTTTTACTCCCACATCTCTTTATTTCTTATTGAATAAACAAGGAGTTCTTCCTAAATACCATGACATCTATAATCCTAAGGATCCATGGTTTGGTAACTCTAACCTTAAAGAATCTTACCCTAATGGAACTTGCGAAGGAACTGATCTAACAGAATAAGAGGATATTGATTGGATCTATCCAAAACATGGGGCTCATGATTTAAGGATGGTCCTACTCAAATGTGAAAATGGTAAAATCGTTTCAAATATGGAATGGGGAGATTGTAACATAGATTTAATATCACCTGTTACAAAAAGACCTTATTGTTATCACACTGAAGCATCAAGCTATTCATAGACTTCCTTCTTTTTTGGAGTTGTGTTAGGATAAATATGTAACTATTAAGCATTAAGATAACTCAAAGGATCAGTAATCTATAATGGTAACTTTTTATTTCTATACTTAGGATTTGATAATGTTTTCATGTACTTGGCCTATTTTGTTGAAATTTTGATTACATGGAGTCTGTCTTATATTGAAGTATTTAATACAGGATTTGGAACATGAGATATTTTGTTCATTCATTATGGAGTATGTGGCCTTCCTTTTGGTATTATCATGATTGCGTGGAATGAAGGAAGAAAAATTTGTGTAAATTGAATAATTTAATCATAGATCCGTATTTTCAAATCAAAACCTCTTTTCCAAGTGGTGGGATAGGTGCGTCGTTTATTGATTGTTGATAAATTAAAAAGAAAACTAAATTAATAATAAAATATTCATTTATAGATTTAATAATATGGTTTTAAGATAGAATGTATGAGTAGAATTATAAAGTCATTTGAATAATATACTTATAGCTATATCTGTTTAATAATAAAGGTATGTTTTATGAATAAAAAAGAAGCAAATTGTGTTATCATATTTCATAAATTGTTAATTCAATTTTCTATTTTCTTTTATTATCATATTTAATTTATTTATATTGTAAGAAAACAAATCGTTTAATGTTCACAGTTTCTTTTTACAGTTATCTATTAAATTGGAACTTGAGAATCAAATTATTAAATTATTTGAAATTGCTAAAACAAATTTTTAATTTATTCTGGCCTCAATTCTTATTTTTCATCATCAGTCAATCATTTCTAAAAATCAACAAATTATTAATGAACTTTGAATGTATTTAGAATTGATTAATTGATTAATTGTCTTAACAACAAAATTGCCGATTTATTTCTAAAAATATATTAAATAACTATTTTTAAGATTATAAATTAAATCATAAAAGAATTTATTCGTAAAAATGTGTTCTAAAAATAGAATGCTATTGAAATAAAGTTTAAAAATTGATACCCTAATCAATTTAATAATATGAATTAAAAGCCTTAAAGTAGAAGTGCTTCTGCAATCATTACAGCATTTACTTAATAATAGTATATAGATTATCTAAGCATAAAGTTAGGAAATCCAATTACTAGAGGCATAACGAGAATTTGACGAGATGACAAAAGAGATGATGCAAAGGAGGAAGAGGTTATTGAAATAGACTGGGAAAGAAGCGTAAAATGAAAAAGTTGACACATCAAAAGCAGAGAAATTCAAAAATATGGTTCTTACTATTAATTATTTTAGGATGAACATTCCATACCGTTAACAGAATTAGAGTAAAGACTATAAACTTCGTTTATTAATGGGATTTCTTCACATCAATTAGATGAAAAATTGAAGTAATTTGGAAAAAACACTCTCACTTAGAAAGAAAAGACTCCATGGTATATACAATTATTTCATGAATTGACTAATGTATTTGCATTATTGCTTTGGGCAGCAGCAGGACTGTGTTTTCTAGCATATGGCTTAACACCAGAAGATCCCTCTAATGTAAGAATATTCTTATTATTATTTAGTTATACCTTGGGATAGTTCTAATTGCATGCATTTTAATAACAGCCCTTATGACATATTTCTAAAATAGGAAATCTGAGGCCATAATGCAAGGATTCGTGAATTTTATACCTCCTGAAACTATAGTAATACGAGATGGGAAATAATAGAAGCTACCAGCAGTTGACTTAGTTCCAGGAGATGTCGTAATTATAGAATTTGGAAAAAAAATACCTGCTGACATCAGAATTCTTGAGAGCAACTAAATGAAAGTAGACAATTCAAGTTTAACTGGAGAATCACTCCTATTGGTAAGATCTCCAGAATGCACTCATGTAGAAAACCCATTGGAAACAAAAAATCTAGCATTTTTTGGTACTTTATGCAAAGAAGTAACTTAAATTATTATTTAAAGGGTACTGGGAAAGGAGTGGTAATTTTTACAGGAGATAAAACAGTAATTGGATAAATAGCAGGACTTGTTCAGAGTTCCATTGTTGATGAGACTCCATTAAAAAAAGAACTTGATGCGTTCACCGTATATATAGCATGTATAGCCTTATCTATAGGAATATTATTCTTTGTATTAGGATTTGCAGTAGGATATCGTAATTATTATTATATAATTTTTAGCTGCTATATAAAATTTAATTTTTGCAGTTGGTATTATTTCTGCAAATGTGCCTGAAGGTTTATTAGCAACTGTAGTTGTTGCTTTATCTATAACAGCAAAAAAGTTGGCTGGACTGAAGGTATTAGTGAAAAATCTTGAAGGTGTTGAAACTTTAGGATCTACTTCATGTATTTGTTCAGATAAAACTGGAACTTTAACATAGAATAAAATGACTGTTGAAAATCTTTGGTATAATGGTAAAAAAATAAGAGGCCACAACAAAGAGAAGATGGGGCCTACATTTAATTATTAATATGATGTCCAAGACCCAACATTTAGGTTATTACATGAAACAGCAGTAATTTGTTCTGAAGCTGTTTTTGATGATAGTTTACCTTAGAATTTAATGATTAAGATTAATAATTCAATTGGGTTATCATAAGCTCAAAAAGATTAAAAAATGGAGGAAGCCAAAGCTTAATGGGTGAAGGATTTTAAAAAATTAAGTTGTTAAGAAAAACCTACAATTGGAGATGCATCAGAAACTGCACTTATAAAGTTCTTTTAACCAATTGAGGATATATAATAAACTAGGGCCAATAAAAAAATTGCAAAGGATAAAAATCAATAAATTGCTAGAAAACCTTTTAATTCAACAAACAAATTTGCATGTATCATAATAGAAGATGAACAAGAAGATTCTCACTTTACTTTATTGACAAAGGGAGCACCTGAGAGGATATGGTAATTATGTGATAGTATATATTGTAATGGAAAAGTTGAAATTATAGATGAGAAATGGTCATCAGAATTTGATTTAATAAATGGAAAATTTGGAAGACAAGGTGAAAGAGTATTAGGATTTTCAAGAATTCCTTTACCTAAGTCTCAATTTTCAAAAAATTATCATTTTGATTTAGACAATTTTAACTTTCCGTTCAAATAACAAACCTTTGTTGGTCTCATCTCGTTGATTGATCCACCAAAGGATTCAGTTCCAAATGCTGTGTAAAAATGCAAATCTGCTGGTATCTAAGTAATTATGGTCACAGGAGATTAACCAGTTACTGCTGCTGCTATAGCAAGATAATGTAACATTATAACAGAAAAGACTGTAAATGAGATAATGGAAGAAAAGAACATCTCATTTGAAGAGGCCTTCCATTAATCAAATGCTCTGGTAATACATGGTGATAAATTGACAAAAATGGCCATTGATGATGAAGGACTACCTGAAGATGAAAAAGGCAGATAATTATAAGAATGGTTGAACAAACCACAACTTGTATTTGCAAGAACTAGTCCTGCTCAAAAATTAATCATTGTTAGTGGATGTTAAAAGAGGGGTCATATTGTTGCCGTAACAGGAGATGGCGTTAATGATAGTCCTGCTATTAAAAAGGCAGATATTGGAATTGCTATGGGAATTACAGGTTCAGATGTTGCTAAAGATGCTGCTGATATGATATTATTAAATGATGATTTCTCCAGTATTGTTGTTGGAATCTAAGAAGGAAGAAGAATTTTCGATAATTTTAAAAAGGTTATAGTATATTCATTGACATCCAATATTGCAGAGTTAATTCCATTTTTAGGATTTATTGTATTTAGATTACCATTGCCACTCACTACCGTTCTCGTTTTGTGCATCTAAGTAGGAACAGATATCTTTCCATCGATGGTTTTTGTATTTGAGGAGGCTGATCTAGACGTGATGACAAGGAGACCTAGAAACAAGAATGAACATTTAGTCGGAGGGTAATTGATTACATTTGCCTATGCCTAAAATGGAGTATTAGAGACATTTTGTGGATTCTTTTAATGGTATGTTTCCTTCAATGACTTTGGTTTTACTCCCACATCTCTTTATTTCTTATTGAATAAACAAGGAGTTCTTCCTAAATACCATGACATCTATAATCCTAAGGATCCATGGTTTGGTAACTCTAACCTTAAAGAATCTTACCCTAATGGAACTTGCTAAGGAACTGATCTAACAGGGTAAGAAGATATTGATTGGATCTATCCAAAACATGGGGCTCATGATTTAAGGATGGTCCTACTCAAATGTGAAAATGGTAAAATCGTTTCAAATATGGAATGGGGAGATTGTAACATAGATTTAATATCACCTGTTACAAAAAGACCTTATTGTTATCACACTGAAGCATCAAGCTATTCATAGACTTCCTTCTTTTTTGGAGTTGTGTTAGGATAAATATGTAACTATTAAGCATTAAGATAACTCAAAGGATCAGTAATCTATAATGGTAACTTTTTATTTCTATACTTAGGATTTGATAATGTTTTCATGTACTTGGCCTATTTTATTGAATTTTTGATTACATGGAGTCTGTCTTATATTGAAGTATTTAATACAGGATTTGGAACAAGAGATATTTTGTTCATTCATTATGGAATTTGTGGCCTTCCATTTGGTATTGTCATGATCCTATGGAATGAAGGGAGAAAAGTTTGCGTAATTTAAACATATTAATCTTAGATCCGTATTTTCAAATCAAAAACTGGATTTCCAAGTTGGTGGGACAGGTGTGTTGTTTATTGATTTAATAGTATTTTATATAAAATTGCAGATTATCTAAAATAATATTAATATATTCTTTAAAGTTTATTTAATTTTCTGCTATTATATCATAAAACAATTTAAAACTATAGTTGTAATTTATCTCTATAAAATAAGAAAGTTCTATATATATGAATTTAAAAAACAACTTATGTAGATGGATGTAAATGGATAAATGCGGAAATATAGTATATATTAATAAGTTAATTAATCACTTTACAAAAACTCAAACAATTTTAGAAAAAAGTCATTAATTAAAGAGAGCCATAGTAAATAAATATCAATCAATTTTTGTCAAAGACTTTAGGAATTCTTCATATTCTATATCATCTTTTAAACTCATCTCTTTAATTTGATTACATCTTTCAAGTAACCTAGAATCATCAGTTATACGCTTTTTTAAACTGTAAACATGATTTTTTTTTTTGGCTACTTTAAGAAAACAGATTATAATGTCTAAAAGATTGGGCTACACACATCTAAATCCATCAGTTCAAATGGTTATTAACTTATACATAAATTAAGTAATCTGATAATCGAATATTTGTTAATTCTTATATTTAATTTTCATTAATTGTGTAAAAAGCAGTTGAGATACAATACATTAATTCATTTATATACTCAGCAGAGTAAAATCCTTATTCAAATTGTGGATGTACTTTCTTCAAAATCTCACTTTTCAAAACATTATCAAAATCATCTGCTATTAGATTAGTTAATAACGAATAGAGTTAAATTTAGGAAACAATCTTATCACCAAGATGTTCAAATATTACTGCTAATAGACCTTTTTAATTAATTTATGTTCATAATCTCCTAAACTTAAATTATGAGAAATAAGATGTAACTGTTATTAATTTCTTTTGAGTTTTGTACTTTTAAACAATAATGTAATACACCAATTGACATAATAAAATTCAAATCGTTTATTGAATAACTAAAATTGTAATAATTTTTGTGAATCATCTGTGTACTTAGTGAATTTTTGTATTTTACTAACAAAGCAAAAAAGCTTTTAATAATCTCGCAATATGTTGATGAACAAACTTTAGATTCCTTTTCCAATGAATGTAAAAAGGGATGTATTTAATTGAGTTCATTGTAACCTACTCCGTATAATTATTATAATACTCTAAACATTTTGGAGCAAGACGATTTAAATCATTACAAACTAAGAATTCATCTGTCAATTTCACTACAATTTCACACTTTAGTAAATATGTTCAGGCTTCTTCAAATCGATAACAAGATTTGATAAAATCTAGCATAATATTTGATCCTCCTAAACTCTTTTGTTTAATTAAGTATCGCTACCAAATTTCTAGTAAATTTCCTAATTCAAATTCCACCTTTGTCTAATAGGTTAATGATCCTAAATAATAAAGTATTTCTAGCACTGTTTATTATGATATTTCACGATCCATATGATTGCTGTAAAGAGTAGATGAGGCAATATCCTATAAATATTAGTTTACTGCTAAAATATATAAGGAACAGTCCATAAATGCAATTCACTATATTTGGGCAAAAATTAATGCAATTTAGAAAAGATGGTCTATAAATTATTGTAATTAGTCAAAGCTCCATTTAAAAATAAAAGTGCATATTCAGAAGTAACTGATTATTATTATGGAAAGTCTAAAATTCTTTTTTTAGATAAGATTTATTCTCTCTATTTTCTTCTTCGTTATGTATGAAAGACTTCCCTTTTTTATTTTCACAATCATAAATTAATAATATGAATATTTATAGTTTTATTTGCTTAAGATAAAATAAATCATTGATAACATTATAATAAGATTTTATATTGCTCTTTCTCATCACTTCTCATTCAAATTGGCGACAATTTGTTCCCAAGTGTTATTAATGAAAATTGAATAAACTTTTTAACGAAAAACAAGTGATGATTAATTACTAAATACAATTTTAAAATATCAACTTAGAAGCATTAATATTTTTAATAAATTGATTCAACCCAAGCAATAGAGAAGAATCAATAGAAATTATAATAATGATTTATATAAAAGTACCACTCTAGGGAATATAAATTTGATAATGTATTCAAATCTATAAATGAATAATAATTTTTTATGTTCCGATATCGATTTATGAATCTAATATCACATTCACTGAACTGATGACGTATTCTAAGTTTATTAGTTATTATTCAAATGAATTCCTTTCAGATTTTATTAAATTTTCAAAGTTATCTTAGTATTCAATTATGTTTTATAAAACATAATTGAGATTATAGATATTAAAAGGAATCGAATTAATGATGATTGAGGTGCTTGATTCTATTTTATAATTATTTATTTTATAATGTAAGAGACACCGACTCCTGAAATAACTGATGAATAAGTCTAATAGTTCCAAAAAGATCACTTTTTTGAACATGAAATAAAAGGCGAGACTCTACAGGGCTTGGCTATTAAATATAATATTACTCCGGAATCTATTCGAAAATTTAACAATCTCACAACAAATGAAATTTATCATCTCAAATCAATTATAATTCCAAATTAGTCCTCTTACGAATATTAATAAAAAGAAATGGATTAAAATTCTATCCATAAAATATTTCTGTTGCAGTATATGATGAAAAGCATTCTGGACCCCACTGATAGTAGTGAAAAAGTAGCAAAGTATTACTTAGAAGTTGCAGATTGGGATTTAATTAAGGCAATAAAAGAATATAAGGAAGATAGAGAATTTGATAAATGAACACTTTATTTTTATAAAAATATTTTCGTAAATTCTGAGTCTCAAAAAATATGGTTCTTCTAATGGATTATTTTTCAAATTATATTTATAGTTAATAGTAAATTCAGGTAATTGATTATATAGAAACAATTAGAATGATAAATTCTAGAGATAAAAACCCATCTACTCGATTCAAAAACAGACAAAGATCAACAGATACTTATTTAAATTCTCAAATCCTAAAATTGCAAAGTCAGCCCTAATTTTAATGTATAACAAACACCACATTATAAATTTAGAGTTATTACAGAAGGCCTATTCAATGCACTTCCAAACTTAGCCTCAAGAGCTTCCCAAATCAAAGATTAAACAATTGGTATATTAAGTGATTTAAGTATACCATACAATTATAATATTTAGAAACAACCGAAAACAGTCCTACAGGAATCTGGACATAATATTTCCAACCTTGCCTTAAATGTCAATACTAAAAATTCAAATACAATCATAAAAAACCATTCCAAAAAGCAACATTCTTTTAGTCATTATAACAGTAATTAAAATTGTTATTCTTTTTAGATGACAGTAATAATTTAAAGGAGAACTAGAATATTATGTATAATATGAATCATTTATCAAACATTTCCTTTAAGGATTGTCTCAACAGACAAGGTAATTTAAATTTATTTAAATTAAGCAAAATACATTAAATAACGTACTGAAAATTCTTAAAAGATTGTTGAAGGAAAAAAAATGATCAGACAAGGTTAAATATAAGAAGTTCCAAATAAATTTGAGAATGTTATACAGGGTAACGATGATCCTGAAATAAGATTTTAAATTGCTATATAATATTTTGACTAATAAGAATTTTCTTAAGTTATATTGAATCTGAATCATTTAATTTAAGAACATCCACTTTTCAATAAAAAGGCGTACATTATCCTTTCAATTGCATTGAAAAAGTAAGATCAAATTAAAGAATCTTTGAATGTGGTAATGTTTTCTATTATTTCCTAAAGATTACTATTTGTATAAAGCATTATGCAAAATACTTTGATGCTTATATTATTCGAGCTAAATTGTACGTGAAAGTTCAAAAATTTGATAAGGCTTTGGAAGACTTTATGACGGCTGCTGAATTAAAACCAAATAAGGCAATAGGCTTTATTGGAAAGGGTGATTGTTTTCGACTTATGAATGATGTACATATGAGCCTATTAGCATATTCATAAGCAATTTAATTGGAGGATTAATTCAAAAGATCCGCTTTAATCAAACGAACTATGCTACATTTAGATTAAAAGGATTATGCTTCAGCTTTGGCAGATATCAGTAAAGCTATAGAAATTGATAACTAAGATTCAGATGCTTTGTATCTAAAAGGCTTTATATGTACAAAGAGAAGTAAATTATTGAAAGCTAGTTAGATGAAATTTAAGAAGCTACATTAGCCTATGAATAAGCAATCAAATATAATAATTCTAAAAAAGCTGTTTCCAAGTCGATCTATGAATAAGCCAAAATATTAATTTAATAGAAGGACTTTTATGAGGCTTAATATCAATTGAGAAGAGCTGAACACTTAGATGTTGATAAAATCGTTATTGAAAATATCAAATAGTTTACTGAAGGTGTTATTCTTTTGATGAAAAAATAGTATGAGGAAGGAGTAAATCTATTAACAGAATTATTATCAAATCACTAAGAAGAAGATTTCTTGAGGAGTTTAATAATTTCATACAGATCATACGGTTATTTCTGTTTATCTTAGTATTAGAAGGCATTATAAGATCTTGATTCATTAGATTACCTTGAGAAACCTTCAATTTACAATAAGTTTATACTTGAAGGGATAATGGCGACGGTTTCAAATTAATTTGAATTATCATTAGGGTATTTTGTGAAGGCGTCAAAATTAATGCCAAAAAAAATGGAACCCTACTTTTATAGAGCTGTAGCCTTAGTCAAATTTTATTGTTAACTTATTCCAAAGGATGATGAAGTGAAAAAGAACAAATTTTTGAATGATGCTATTAGATTGTTGAATTTGGCACTAAAAATAAATGAAAATTCTAATATACTATATTGTAGAGGAATAATACTGTTTTCTTTAAATAGATTAGAGGATTCTTTGAGTGATTTAAACAAAGCAATTGATAAATCAGATGAAAATGTGGCTAAATATTTTTATGTGCGTGGATTAATTTAAGTTTGCAGGTAACAATACAAATAAGGATTAAATGATTTAAGTATTGCCATCAATTTAGATGAGTCCTATTCAGATGCCTATTTATGTAGAGCCAAGGTGTTTTTAATACTCAAAGATACGAATCGTGCTTATTATGATCTCTAGAAATTCTAAGAATCTTGCTTAAGTGTATAGGATTAAATTATGATCGGAAACCTATTCTATTAAATGGGAGAATTCGAAGAAGCAATCTCATCATATTCGAATATCATCAATTCTGAAAAATGCTCATAAGCCTTATATCATAGAGCTAAAACATTTGTTACTATAAAAGAATTAAATAATGCCATATAGGACTTACAAAAATTAGTTGAATGTTCTACTGATATTGCTGCCTTTGTTGACTTGAATATCTTGTAGCAATTAAAATTAACTTCAATAGGAAATTGCAGTTAAAATTAATTGCAAAATAGTGTAGATTGTCTAAATTCATTCTTAAATAATGGAAATGAAGGCAAGATCTTCAACACATGCGATCTTAAATTCTATAGATGTTTGTTTCAATTTTATTTAAAATAATTTGATGCTGCATTAATTTCTCTACTTGAATCTTATGAAACACTTCAAGGAACGAATGCTAGTTTACTCAAAGAGGAAACGCTTATCAATAGAGCCTACAATAAATTAGAATTCTTATTTAATTAATCTATCCTGTAATTACTATAAGGATAAAACGGGTAGGCTATTGAGAATCTGAAAAAATTAAAAGATAAAATATAATAGTAAGAATAAAAGAATCTACTTTAATTATTTTTGGACTTATTAATAGATGATTAAAGTGAACAAACTGAATTAAAAAAAGAGCTGTGTTAATTGACAGATCTTATTATTTTACCATAGAACAATAGATTGTGTATGATATATCCAATGGTGAAAATCCCTTTAAAAAAATATAAGTAACATCTGTAAACAAGGTTATCATTTTGCTTGCCCTAAGTGGAAATCCCAGAAATGCTTCCTTAATTTGATCTTAAATTAATGGAAACTCTAAGTGTATATTATTAATAATTACGATTAGCCAATAGTTGTGGAAAATAAACCAGAAGCTCCGTGGATATAAAGGGCGGACGATGGAGTAATCTTTACTTAAAATCTATAAAATGCAGATGATTTAGATTTAAAATCTACTGCAAGATAATCAAATGAGGATTCAGAATTTTAGTTATTTCGACATTAATTAAATAATAAATTAGAAAAAGAGGATTTTATTTTGTTTGGCCAAGATGTTATATAGCAAGAAGAGGAGACTAATACTTCAAAAAAGAATTGATTCTTTTATAATAATGATTAATGAATTATTTAAAATATTAATAGATGAGTTCATTTATGAATTTGATATATTCAATAATACTTAGTTGTCATGTTGGAATTGTCATCATCCTCCTCCTCATCATTCCATAAACCAATTGCTTTATATAATGCTCCAAAATCTATAACAAGGACACGCTCTCCTTTGAGAACACTTAGCATATTGCATTGCAATTCAATAAAATAATTGAAAATGTTAACTATTCTTCTTTGTATGTTCAAAATAATTGCTATTGGAATTTAAAAGAGAAGCCGAAATCCTAATCCAATTATAGTCAAAAGGAAAATGATTAGTATTTTAATAAAATTATATAACATATTAATAATATATATTCATTTTTATTAAAATTATGATGATGATTAAGCCATAAGAGGTTGTATGTGAATTATTAAATAATTGTTGCGTTAAATGTAATACATTGCTAAAATTTCATCTAGACTCTTACTTAAGATTATTAATATTAATCTTATTTATACACCTTGTAATAAAGCAATTATTATTGCAACATTATATCAACTAAGACTTTATTACTATTAATTTTGATATTCAAATCATATGAGAGATGACCTAAATCTATCGTATATGAATGATCTTTGATATTTCACTTCTTAACAGATTATTTGAAATAATTTAGTTTATGATTTCGATATTTTTTATTCCATTATCAATTGAAAAACATCACTAAAATTAAGATGAGAATGATCAATTATCTAAAGTTTCTTTAAATATTTAATATTTAGATCATTTTAAATTTTTATTAATAAAACTAGAAATTATTTCCTTACAATTCCCTCTAAGATAATTCCTGGTTGTTTATCCTCTAGAAATTCGCTTGTCTTTTGAAAACTTCATAAATAGATCTGGTAACGGAACCAAGAGCTATATATTAGAGCAAACTTCAAGTTCAAACATTTCTTTCTGGGGAATCTGTTTACTTTTGAGATAATAAATTTGACCTGGCTAACTAAGTTTATTCTCTTAATCCCTTAATTTGAGATCATTCCTATTTGAAAAAGCGCATTCACTGATTCGAAAGTAAGGAAATTTATTAATTATCTATAATTTTAGTCTATCATCTCTTTCACAGGGTATAATTTATTTCTCTTTTACCTTCTAATATGACGCTAATTATTAGCCTTTAGATTGATACTACACTTGATGATAGTTTCAATATTAAAAAAGAAAAAGTATTTAATGGTTTATGTTTCAATTACAAATTATATTATCTTTTAAATATATCATGAATCATAATAAGCTAATTTTTAATAATAATCCTAATCCTTTTTGGTTGGATGACAGCAGAGACAAAAAGTAAATATAACCATTAGTCCCATTAATGCAACCGCTCCGGCTGAAATATCGCCTATGAGTTTGCAAGTATCTTATAATTATTATTGAGATGAAAGTAAGCATTGATCATTCTAAAATAGAGAGAATTATTTACACTTTAATCAAAATTGCTATTGATGTCGTAAAATATTTATAAAGAAAATGGAGTGCACCAACCTGAGCAATCGTATTGTTTTTCAAGACTTCTAAAGAATTGAGCTTAATCTACCTGAGTTTGATTCCAGCCATCATATGCTTAGCATTCTTAAACTCTTTTTGCCTATTTAATTAACTATTTTTATACTGATGATGCTGAAGACTCTGTTGTGTAATTAAAATAAGATGGTGGAAGCTTAGTTGGGTCCTCTATATAGCATTAACATTAAGCTGAACATAAAAGGTTCTGCCCTAAATTCCAAGTATTTTATAAAGAAGGATTATTTGAACAATAAGTATTAATATTTAAATTTTTTATTTCTGTAGCCCACACATATCCAAAAATCATAAGAGCTACAAATCCGAGAAATAATGCAATATTAATCAAATTGAATATTAATAGAAGACAAGCGCTTTTTGTCTTTCCTCCTAAAATTCCTATTATCCCGTTAAGAATCATCGAGGAAGAAATAACCCAAAAACCAATCATTCCTCCCTCCCCTATATGAGTTTACTTGAAATCAGTCTAATATTTACATCATCTTATTTTTCTAAGTTAAATTCGATCTACAAGTATATCGTAAAGCCAAAGCTACCCAGCCCTGCAATCAATATGAGGATAGCCTCAATTTCAACAATGCATTTCAAACAACTAATTGGAAGACACATGATTAAATCAAAATAATAATTATTCTATAATTAAGCATTCTATAATATATAGGGTTGTATAAATACAGAATGCCAAAAATAAAAATTTCCTTCTATGTAAAAATTAATACATAAGTAAACAAATATCTGTAGATTTCATTAATAAAATTGAATTTAGTAAATTTTTATTATTATGCTTGAACCATGAGATCTAGTTCACTCATAAAGCAATTAAGCTACGAATTTGAAAATCTCAATAAACTAATCTTGAATACTTAAAAGTTCTGATTAAATATAGAACTTTGTATTAATCTTGTCCTTGTTTATCTAAAGAATCGAATCTTTATCGTTTCTTAAATAGCAATTGATATTGCTATTTTGGAAAATAATGAACAAAGAATCTTAACATTAATTGTTTAATCGTATTACCCATTTAAGATTGCTTCGTATCTTTTTGAATGAATAATCACAGCTGTATGCTATTTTAGGTCAGCCAACAGTTTGTTAGTTTCAGATAATTATTCATCAGTCCTAATTTTGAATTTACCATCATTGATACATTATTAGATACATTTGAATTCTAAATTTAATTATACATATAGTTATTGTTAGAGAATACAAGTTACTACTTTTATCCATTTCATTCTACAACTATTAAAAAAGGGGATTAATTGCTGAATTTTGAAATAAATTAGAGATATATATAATAATTTTGAAAGAATGGAAAATGAACTAAGGAGGTTTTGGCTAGAAATCCAAATTGAAATACAGATGAACTAGTATTGTAACTTGATTCGTTGTGATTTATGCGGGTATTGGAATGAGAAATAATCATTTTTTAAGATATGGATAGCTATTAAAAATAGAATTTGTTAATTTATAAGAATAATGAAAAAAATTATTCAAAATATCCAAACTTGATTAATTTAGTATTTAATTATAAAATGAATTTTGAATAAGAATTACAACAAACTTTCTTCGATCAACAAATATCTGGGCATTCTATATTTTTAAAACTTAATGATGGGGAATTTGTGGCAAAGTCATGCTCGACTGAAAATAATAATGAACAAATGTATGCATTCTAAATTTATATATATTTAGTTTCTATGAATGGGTATAACATATCCAAGGTTATTAGGATTTCTTCTCTTAATATAATGGTGTAATTACTTTGGAGGATACTCAAGTAATCGAATAGCCGAAAGTAGATTAACGATAATAAAAATGGCTTGAATCTCTGATTGCGAAAAGGTTTAATCCAAATAACAAAAGTAAATGGTGTTTATCAGCATTTAGAATACTTACTTTTAGAAAATTTGGTGCAGCACTAAAAGAACCTTCGAATTCTTGATATAAAATTGGGGTTTACAGTTGAAAAAAAGTCACATATAATACGTTATTAAGAATCAACATCTTCGAAAGTTGGTTTGCGAATTTGTGGAATGAAAGTCCAAGAAAACGATGAAATAATTGTTTTTAGAGATAAGCACTGGGGAAGACGCATTTCAGTAGATGAATTGACAGAGGAGTTGAAAACATTTTTTAACATACAAAAAAAGAGTTGTAAGTTATATATATATTATGATATTATTAGAAATGATTATAAATTTAACCGAACAAGTTGAACATCTGAAATTATTTATAACACAAAATTGCAAATAAGTGGTCTCCTGGTAAGGAACGAGTTTATTGATCATTTCTGATTCAGCAGATGATTTAAAAATCAGACTGATTGATTTTTCAAAGGCGAAGGTGGACAATCAATCAAATAAAGGGAATACTGACATAATAGATTCTTTGAATAGTTTATTGGAATTAGTTAAGCAGATTTGATGATTTAATATAGTATTTAGGAAATAAATTTTTGTAATATACTGACACTTATACTAATGAATATATATAAAAGAAAATAATCAAATCCATTAAAAGTTTTTATATTTAAAAATATATGTAAGGAGCTCCAGTGATTGTTGTGAATGCTAACACTAAAAGAGAGTAAGGAAGAAAGGCTCAATTGGGAAATATATAAGCAGCCAAGGCTGTGTCAGATATAGTCCTTACGACTCTTGGTCCTCGTTCAATGTTGAAGATGTTACTTGATCCAATGGGAGGAATAGTGATGACCAATGATGGAAATGCTATCCTTAGAGAAATCGATGTTCAGCATCCAGCAGCAAAGAGTATGATTGAATTAGCAAGAGTATTGTTATTTACAATAATTAATAGGCTCAAGATGAAGAGGTCGGAGATGGCACAACATCAGTCATAATTTTGGCAGGTGAAATGATGGTTGCTGCAAGACCATTCATAGAAAAGAATATCCATCCAACTGAAATTGTTAATGGTTATTTTAAGGCTTTGGAAGATTCAGTTTCAATTCTAGATGAAATTGCATAATAGATTGACACTGACAAAAAGGAAGAAGTTATGAAAGCCTTGCAATCTTGTATTGGTACTAAATTTGCATTCAGATGGGGAACCTTAATCAGTGATCTCTCTCTACAAGCTACAAGGATAGTTTTAAGAGGTGGAAATGTTAATAAATTGAATTTGGAAATCAAGAGGTACGCAAAAGTAGAGAAGATCCCTGGTGGCACACTTGAGGAAAGTTGTGTACTTGAAGGAGTCATGATTAATAAAGATGTCACTCATCCAAGAATGAGAAGGGAAATCAAAAATCCAAGAATCATTTTATTGGATTGTACATTGGAATACAAAAAGGGAGAGTCTATGACTAATATGGAAATGACAAAAGAATCAGATATGACTGATGCACTTTAATAAGAAATTAATGAAGTTGCTTTAATGTGTAACGATATTTTGAAACATAAACCTGATATTGTTATTACAGAAAAGGGTGTCTCTGATTTGGCTTAACATTTCCTATTAAAAGGCAATGTTTCTGTCATTAGAAGAGTTAGAAAAACAGACAACACGAGAATAGCAAGAGTATCTGGGGCAACAATTGTCAATAGACCAGAAGAATTGTAAGAATCTGATGTTGGTACATTATGTGGAACATTTGAAGTCAAAAAGATAGGAGATGACTATTTTGCATTCTTTGTTGATTGTTAAAATCCAACAGCTTGTTCAATCATATTGAGAGGGGCTTCAAAAGATGTACTCAATGAAATGGTATTATAAAATGAATTAATTTATAGGAAAGAAATTTACATGATTGTTTGGCTGTTGCTAAGAACATTTATCAGGATCCAAAACTCTTGCCAGGAGGAGGAGCTGTTGAAATGGAAGTTAGTGCTAGATTGTTGGAAAAAGCCAATAAAGTTGAAGGATTAGGTTAGTTACCATACAAAGCAGGTATGTTCAATCAATCAATCCTATTAAAGTTGCCTATGCCTTAGAAATCATTCCAAGAACTCTTTCAGCTAATTGTGGAGCTGACACTGTTCGAGTGTTGACTGAATTGAGAGCAAAACACAGTGAAACTGGAGGACTCTACTTTGGAGTAGATGGAAACACTGGAAAGATTGCCAAGATGAATGAAATTAATGTTTGGGAACCACTTTCAGTTAAAAAGTATGTTAAAATGATCTCTAAATCCCCATAGATAGGTTTTTAAGACTGCCATTGAATCTGCATGTATGTTATTGAGAATTGATGATGTTGTCTCTGGAATCAAAAAGAAATAATAGCAATCAGGACGTTAAGGTGAGGAAGAACCCCAAGAAACATTTGGAGATCAAAGAGATGGTTGATATTTGTTAAATATTAATATGGATGTATAAATATCTAACATTTGCAAAATTCAATAATTATGCAACAAATTTATATAAATGCATTCTTTTAAGTCATATTTTCAACTGTCCTTTTTGACTTAATCTATAATATTGAATTTATGGGCTCAATTTAGAAAACCGTATTAACAAATTATCTTTAAAATTCTCTGATTTTCAATTTATTCTGATGAAATTGACATAATGATTCAGTTTTACTTGTGGTATACTTTGTGCAATAAAGTTCTTAGGCGATTGCTATTAATTTATATCTATATATTTTATTTATTTCATAAATCTTAAGAAAGATGAGTACGGGATTGGCAAAACCAAAGAAGTTGAAATTGACAGATTATGAAGTGTTTCAAACACTAGGAACAGGTATTTGAATTGAAATCCCAAATTTTAGGATCATTTGGACGAGTTAAATTGGCAAGAAACAAATAAACAAATAAATATGTTGCTTTGAAAAGTTTAAAGAAAGCTGAAATCATTAGATTAAAATAGGTTGATCATGTTATTAATGAAAATACAATATTGGGCAACTTATCCCATCCTTTTATCGTAATTTGACTGATTACTTTATAATAGGTCAATTTTGAGGGATTTTGCCAAGATCCAAGATACTTATATTTAGTATTAGAGTTCGTATCAGGAGGTGAGTTATTTACCTATTTGAGAAGCATCGGAAGACTCGATACTTAACACGCTGCGTACAAAATATTACATTAATTATAGATTTTATGCTTCATAAGTTGCTTCAATTTTTGAATATCTTCATTCCAAAAATATTGTCTATAGAGATCTGAAACCAGAAAATTTGTTAATTGCAGATGATGGATACTTAAAGCTAACTGATTTTGGATTTGCTAAAGTTGTTGAAGGGAGAACTTATACTTTGTGTGGAACTCCAGAATATTTGGCTCCAGAAATTTTATTGAATAAAGGACATGGCAAGGCTGTTGATTGGTGGACTTTGGGAATTTTGATTTACGAGATGAACGCAGGAATCGACCCTTTCTCTGATGAAGATCCTATGGCTATTTATTAAAAGATCCTTAAGGGCAAGGTTAAATTTCCTAAGTCTTTTGATAAGTACACTACTGTTTTTACTATTTTAGAAATGCAAAATCCTTAGTCAAACATTTATTAGTTGCAGATTTATCAAAAAGATATGGAAACTTAAAAAATGGTAATCCTCTCCTCTTATATATTTATAGGAGCGGCTGATATCAAGAATCATAGATGGTTTGGTAATCTAGATTGGAACTTGCTAACCCAGAAGAAATTGCCAGTCCCTTATAAGCCTGTTGTTAAGTAAGATCTAGCCTATTTATTCATTAGAGCTGCAAATGATACATCAAATTTCTCATCATACCCAGAATCTGATACCTAAAGTCCTGCACTCAAGCCCGCTGATGATCCCTTCCTTGAATGGTGAAATATACATTATCATGAATAAATATGTAAAGAAAATTAATCAATAATCTTGCAGTCTTTTTTCTCTTATCATAATTTAATTAATTAACAAGCTCTAAATATTCTCAACTCCTTTGTTCTACACATTAATATAATCTTAATTTAGAGACGTTATTAATTTAATCAAAATCTAGAACTAGAAAAGGGGTAAATTCATTCTTTATCACTAGTCTAGTCAAAGATTTTCTATAACAAAAAATCAATTAATACATGAATCAAATGATATTAAAATAAATTTTACTAAAGTATTAATCTTTGATAAACAATAATTAAAATGCAGACAAATGATATTGACAACTGCTAGTTTATTATAATTTAAGCTTCCCAAAAATAAAGTCCTGTTTGCGAATTGCGTCTATAGATTTCATAAATTTAAATTGACAAACTTCTTAATTCAATAATAAATGCACATGATTGCTCAGCTAATTAATAAATATATAATGTAGTTTATGATCCTTATCTATCAGTCTAATAAAGTTGAATTTTAGAACGATGGCAAAGAAAGGAGTTATTTAAAAAAAATAGTATTCAAGGATATATATGAAGGATGTTGATATTTCATTTAAATAGATGGCTATAAGACAACTGTATGGATAACCTTCACTACTTAAATACAGAAATATTAAATTAAATATTTACACAATCAATAGTCGCGATATAATTCATAAAATAAATAACAAGATAGAAAATGTATCCCTAACTTTTTGATTTCTAATTTGTCAGAATTTCAGGAGCAACTGAGCTGGTAAAGTTATTCAAAAGGTGTACATTAATTAATATTTTTTTTAAAGTTCAAAAAATAAATAGTTTTGAATAATAATTAAGACATATGATGTATTATTTTATGCTTTTTATTATTAACTAAGCATCAAAATTGTACAAATAAAAGGAACCAACTTTGAATATTTAGAAGCGAAGAAAAAATAATGTTATTCATTAATTGCTAAACTCTAATAATAATTGGTTTCTTAACATTTACTTCCAAAAATTAGAAAATCATTTAATTTTCTTAACAATTCATGAGTATTGAATGTTGATGTTTATAAAAGAAATGTAAAATTAAATTTGGGTCATCGAAATTTGTTATTGGATTCAATATTGTTAAATAAGAGCTTGTAATGAGAATTAAAATTGGTTAAAGTCATAATCGATTGGGTTTAGGTGTTTGTAATTACATTTTAAATTCTGATCAATATCAGAATATAAAATATTCCTTGATTTAGATTAATGAGTATATATATTATTAATTGATTAATTTGGATTGTTTTCAAAATTAAATACAGTAAATATGAAACTTTGTGAGTATCAGACAGTATTAAAATAGAATGGAGAACAGAAGCCATATTATTAATAATTCAGTGTATTAAACAAATACATCACTCAAAGAGTTTCAATGCTTAACCAAGAAAAGAATCATATTTTCTTGTAGTCTAACTATGCTGTTGGAGCTAAGTTTTATGTAAAGGTTTGATGATTAGAATTTTTATTTTCTTGTAAGAAAATCTAACAGAATGACTGTTGTTGTTAATTGTTCTAATTATCCTTGACTTCCTTTTTACGATTATACTCTAACAATTTGACAAAGTCGATCTCAATATTTCTCTGAGGTTAGCTTCTCTGAAGAGGATAGTGGTGTTTTTTTGATGTGCACACCCCCATATGATTTGTAGTAATAATAATTAATTGTTTGTGAATTGATATTACCATATCAAGCAAATTAAAAAGAATTCATATCTTTTATTGAATATTTTACATTCGAATTATTGACGTCTCGACTTCAATTCCATATAAATTTCACCTTCAGGGTTTAATTCTACCATTTTCTATAAAAAATCTTCTTATCTCAATAAATATTTTAAAATTCCAAATAATCCTTCAATGTTTTTATTGCTATTACTTGTGTTCTCGAGGCACTGTGATGCATTTTCTAAAGGAGAAACAAACTCCAAATCTAAAATCTCCCCAAATTAATCTTGAAACTGCACATAAGGATAACAAATTGAAAAAATATTTAGGTGATTTTATTAGCATTCTTAAACAAATCACTTGAAACACCTGTATAAAAATTTAGCATCTTGTGGTTCCCTCATATACATTCAAGATTTCATATGAAATAACAACTTTATAATAGCTTGACTTAAATAGATTTCATCAGAATTTCAACCTTATTTATAAAAAAAATTGTGTATATTTTAATAATAAATATAAAAATGAACTCAAATAAGATATGTCTTTAAAATCAGTTCGAAGAACTAAAACAAAGCTAAAAGAAATAATAAGAATAAATAAAATTTGCTTTCGATACTTTTAATCAGTTGGTGTCATCATTTTAAACTTTATAATCTCCCAAATAAAGTTTAAAAGTAATTGTAGAGGAAAAATAAGAAAGACACACTATTAAGAAGGAAAAACCCAAAAAAAAAGTCTATAAGGAGAAAAATCTATTTAAGAGATTTGTGACTTAAATTGTCTTCAGAAATATCATGTAATTTTTATCCATTCAGGATATCAAATATTTAAGATTAGTGAGTGTTTTCACAAATTACTTAATAGAAACTAACACAGAGTTTTTGTTATATCATAAAATATAGAGAACTAAGTATATAGAGTCATTAAATATCAGAGATTATTAATTACCTACAATCCCTAGTTTGAGGAGTGTACATGTCTCATTAAGGAAATTGATATCATAAAATGGAAATCTTAATAAAATTTCCTAATAACTGTTATCCTATTTAACGCTACTTGTAGATTTGAATACAGCAGCTAAATCTTAAAGTGGTAAGCGAAATGAATATGTGTCTAAATACGATATTATATAAGCTGCAACTTCATAAATCCAGAATTAGCCTTTGAATTGGTTTAATTTCGTTGAGAAAGAAAGAAGAATAATAAAAAACATGACTACTATGCAATTTAATAAGAAAAACAAGATAGAACAAAATTAATATGATGACTTGAAAAAATACATATAAAATCTTATTGATTTTTCTACTAGTTCAAACTACAAAGTAATTTGTGATGCTCATAATAAAGATTAAATAATTGTTACGATCTCAAAATACTCTAGGTTTTTAAAGAAGTTGCTCATTAAAATAAAGGCCAAATAAAATCAATTACATAGGATATCTAATTTAGGAAATGTGTTTTTCTAAACTGTGTATACCTACTGTTCATTACAGGATATCATTAAAGGCAGACTTGTGTGTAAAAAGTTTAATCAGGAATTAAAATAGTATGCAAATTATCACTTTTAGATTCAGGGTTTGAGAATTTAAAAGCAAATCAATTTAATTTAAACTAATTTTAATTTAAGTCAATCATAGGATGAGTTTTTATATAAAAATAAGGAGTAACCCAGTTTGATGGAACTCTTTTATTGCATTTAATAAGAGTGTAAATTACAGCATAATATCAATATGCGAGAATTCTTACAAATAAATAGTCAATAAATTTCTGATATCATTTTTAAATCATAAAGTGATAAAGAGCTTCATTCAAGATCTCGAGAGTAGGTTAAAGAGTGTTTGGGGATAGATATTCAAGTTGAAAGCAATTATTATGCCTTCTTATCAAAATTAGAAAATGTTAAAGAGTGTTTAACGGAATATTATGTCAAATTGCCTCAACTTTAGAACAAACTATTAAATTTAGAGAATCATTAACATGAACTCTTAATTTGATTTTAATTTTATATTATTTTTCTATTGTTTTAAATATTACAATTGAATGATAACTACAATATTCATGGAATACAATGGCTGGATATAGTCCAAAGGAGGAATCCGATTTGTGTGGAGTGATTGTCAAGACCAACTTCTTTGGAACAGTTTTATAATCAGTGCTCAGAATTGATAAAGGTTATCTTCTAATGTGAGAAGGTATTTTTAAATCTGATTACATAAAATTATAATTGATAATAAGATTTTGAAGTTGTGTTTTTGAGTTTTGGTATATAACTTTTGGGATATTAATTAAAACAAAAAATTTCATCATATCAAATAAAATGTCATTCACCAACTCATCAGTTAGCAATTCTTCATTATTTTCATAAACTTCAATTAACTACATCCAAACCCACTTCGACGAAGAATTGGAATTACAAGAATTGGAAGCAGAAAAAGAGATTTTTGCTTAAATGTTTCAAACTCATTATAACACTACTAACATGTTCATCTAGACTGTTTAAGAATCTCATACTTTAAAGTAACAAATCTAGAAAAATTTACTTTTATTAGGTAAACCAAAAAACTGAGAATCCTTAAACGAAAACTTCGTAAACTGATGAGAAGTCAAATAAGTAGAAGAAGAGGCATGAATGGTCAATGGCAGGGAGGGTCTCTAAGTGGAATGACAGCCTCCAACTAATCTCAATATTATCCTTATTAAGAGGGTCCATCTTATGGTAATAGTCATTAAGAAACTGATAACTCAGATGTAAAGTCTATACCAGAACCTATTATAATTCCAGATATTAGTATTATTTCGTCGTCATCTACATTGCATTCATGTTTAGCATTGATTTAATTTTAGCATCTCAGACAAGGACGGCCGATGTGAATAATGTGGATGTTTAAAAGATTACAGACAATAATAGCAATATTACCAAAAATAATAACAATATTAATACTACTAATAATTAATGTGAGGGAATTGTGAAAAGAGCCTTCCAATAATATGACCCAAATGAGTAGTGTTAGTGGTTTTAGCATTAGTAGTAGTGAAAGACACCCTTCAAACTGGTAGCTGCAGTTATGAGGGGTTGAAAAAGCCGTGCGTACACTCAATGAAGTGACAAAGCTTTCATCAACACCTATAAATTATAATTTTTCAAAGTATATCCTCTGTTTACCAATTTCCCCTTTTCTCTTTTTCAAATACCCAAATTTAGTGGTAGTTATTCCGATAGAATAACTCAACATTTTGAATCAATAATTATTATATTTTTATTTTATAGTCAAAAGTATGGCAATGATGGAGATTTAAAATGATTCACTTGAGATATCCAAATCGAATTTCCTTTAGTCTTAAGATATATCCGAGTATCTATCCAAAGATTTTTACACTAAATTTAAGATGGAATAAAATCTAATTGATTAATCAGCCACTCTCTCTAGGTTATCCATAATTGACAAAACAAGTGATGACTTAACTAATAATACTTAAATTAAATTAATTACTTCATCTGAACGACTAGGCGAGGAAATCTATAAAAACTAAGTATTCATTATTATCAAAGAAAAACTAGATTTTAGAGAAACAAGTTGTTACCTTATAATAGCAATTAAAATTGGCCATTGATCACATTACTATTTTATAAGATTAAGTGGAAATCAAATAAAAAGAAATCAATCAATTATAGCTAAAATTATAAGAGTAAATTAATAAAAATGAAAATGAAAGCAGAATAAATACTCAAAATCAATTCAAGATTGAACAATTATAGATCTGTTTAAAGTAATATACTTATTCAAATTAGGGAATATGTCAAACCATCAAAAGATAAAGAAGTTTAAAAAAACTAGTTTTTTTATTAGCTTAAGGATCTTTCTAAAAAATACTCAAAACATACAATAACAAATCAAAAGACTAACCAAACAGAGGATTCCTCAAAAAGATACTAAAATAATTAATTAGAATTCACTGAAGATTCTTCAATGAAAGATACTTCAGTCAGTGACTTTAGGTCAACGTACAATTTATTCAATACAAAATAAAATTTTAATTAAAGTGGAAAAAAATTTTGGTCTCCTCCTTAATTTCAATCTCCTTAAACTTAAAAGCAAACAAATTTAAAAAAACGATTAGATATTACTATATCCTAAATCAAAGCAATGCAATAACATTTTAGTTAATATCAATCAACTAAATGAATTGTTTTCTTTATTTCTTAGATAATTAATTGTATTTATATGTATTTAACAAAATGTTAATTATTATTTGATAAAATTAAGTAAGAAACCAAAATATAAATCAATTATATTACACTAATTGCCTTAAATTCCTTTCAAAAACATTGTCTAAAAATAAGTGGTAAACAGGTAGTAAATATACAAATCTTTAAACAATTAAGTGTTTTTAGACTAGCTTCTACTTAAATACAGTTAGGATAAATAGAATAATTAAACAAAGAACAGAAAAAATAAAAATGTTATGTAACTAAAATATTAGGTAAAATTAATACATTAATCTGGGAGATGATTTTTTCGGTTTATTAGGTTAGGTCTGCATTAAATAATTCATTGATATATCCTATAATATTAGATACTAAAAAGGCACCCTCCAAATCAAGAAAATTTTATGTAGTTCGAGTTTTGAATTAGTTAATCTCCATATCAGTAGTGATGAAATTAATCATATAAACCAAAACTGCTTTTAAACCCATTTTCATATTCTAATTCATCACTATTGGACAAATGGTTAGAGACTTTTGTTTCAAATCGTCAGGCAAGAAATCGCATAAGTCAAGAGTTTAAATGGATTAGTATAAGTCTTCAAATGAGGATGACACTAGATATCTAAAAATGGTATTATCTATTACTTTTTAAATGATCGGCTTTAATCTAAAAAATGAGATGTTCTATTGACTGCTTCTTTAATTTCATTCAACAAATCTTAGCAATCCTATTCAGTGTATAGTTTTAAATTGGCTCTTCCATAAAGAATATCCCTTTGTGCATACATGGTTGGTACATCTGTTCCTACATCTGAGACTTATCTATAAAATTTAGCAGTTTCAGGGTATTTATCCAGATAGTCCCATCCTTCTGAAAAGGTAAGCAGAGAATTTCCAGCCATGATAAGCATAAGTACAATCAGAAACAAGTAATATCGAATTTCAGTGCAATTGATAGAATTTAATTTTTGATTGTTCCTTCTAATAGCTCCTACTTTTTCTGTGTACTGTTCTAACACTTTTTCTTTTTCACTTAAATTAAATTAGTATTTAAAAAGAATGTTGTAATCTTTAAATAATCTTTCAACAAGATACTTAATCTTCAAAATTTCAAAATCTATGTATTAACCAGGGATATTGTGCATCAATTAAAAGTTTCTATTCACTCTCTTAGTTATTCTAATGTAATAGATGAAAATTTCAATTTAGAATAAGATAAGCAGACCGATACAAGTAATTAAGATTATTAAAATTTGTCTTTGTAAACTTTATGATCTCTCTATTGTTTATTCCTAAACTAATTGATTTAGGTCAGAAAATACTCTTTTAAGAGGCATATAATTTCTATACTGATAGTATGAGTAAGGACTGTCTGCTTAAGCCACTCCATCAATTACATAGGCCATTTTAGAAGTGTATATGTAATTCTTTAATACATTTATACTGTTTCTCAATGAAATATTATATTTTTCACCTACCTATGATTTAATAAAAATATAGATATCCAAATAGGTGTTTTCTAGAAAATCTTACAATTCTGGACGGTTCATCACTTATTTCAGATTTTAATCCAGATAATCATACCCAAGAACAAGATTGGATTTTGGAAATTTAACGAGTTCATTGAATTGGGTTAAAGTGATTGCTTTCGAATCTCTTTACTAACTATATGCTACAATAGTGTATCTAGTCAACAAAAAGGTTTCAAGTGGCTGAAAAACGAAATACTTTATTTAGAGCAAATCTATGTCTGAGACTAAATTGGTAAAATTAATATTAATTTAAACTAGTTGCTAAAGTATATAAAAAATAATTACTAATATTTAGACTGCAAATTAAATCAAAATGCTTGATATGATAAGAATGATTAAGATTTGATGGTTTTTAGAATAAGCCTCTATATTTGTAATTTTCTGGACGATTTCATATTTTTTATAGAACTTAGATTTTCTTACTCCCAATAAACTGGAGACTTGTGAAGATCGATCATCCTAATAGGCAACAACTCTTTCATGACTTGATTGTTCTCCAGCAATGGAAATTCTGACATTAGGTTTTGGTAATTTCGGTTTAGATGCCTTGGCTTATTCATATGTTAACATTTCAATATTGCTATTATTTGGACTAATCAAATTAAAGTTCTCTGATTATGAAATCAGTTTGATTTCATTCGTAATTATTGGTTATTCAGAGCACTCTTCTACCTAAAATAGTTTTCGGGCATCTTATTAACTCAATATCTTTTATTAACTATTGTACTCATTATATGGGATTTTAACAAAACTCTCCTAGTTAATCAAATTGAAACATGTCTAGATCACATTTTCTTTTCTGAATGAATTGTTCAACTTAGAATGTATCATAGAACTTTATCCAGAATTCTTTTTGAAATATTCAAAAGTAATGATATAATAAATTATTTGATCTTTTTATTTTTTGTGATATATACTATAGGCTGTAATGTATGACTCTTGCATTACCTAGAATAGATTCTCATCTTCCCCATTCTTAGAGAAGATGGCTTCTACATTTTCGACAATTTGATAGTTCTGATTGGGGGATTAAAACTCTGGTAAAATCTCATAGATTTTGTTGCCAAGATATTTAGAAATCGAAAACTTTAGTTCTAAATATGAGATGAGTCCTTCACTGATGCAAGTTATGATATGATCATGGTTAATAATCAAAGACATGGGTTAATTCATGACTGGTTAAATGAAGGAGATAAAACTGAAATCGTTTTGAAAATTAACATCGAATGCAAATTCTATATTTGTCATATAATTCCTCTCTGAACAATAATAATAGTTTGAGTTTATGACTCTCATGTATTTAGCCTATCCTGTTGACAGAAACTCGAGGATGAACTCATCGTGATGTTATGAAATACCAGGCGGTATAAGTATATTTGCACTTTCGCCTTAGAGGGAATCTATTGATTTATTAAAAAACTTAGGAGCATCGCTAGATACTTTTTTGATGATTAAATTCTCTTTGAATGTTGTAATTATGAATACCATTTTGTTCGAGAAGACATCCTGGTTAATGTTGATTCTCCTGACCTTCTCATCTGATATCGACATTACACTAAATAGCGAATTTGCTGCCAAATAATCGTTGATAACTTCCACATAGAAAAACCCCAATATACATTGTGTTTTGGAACAAGCAAAGTTTTTATACTACATTTCCAACCTCTTTTGAAGATCCAACAGTTTTGAAGTAAAGCTGAAATATTGGGAATAATGTTGGGTGGTTTAACTCTATGCTAATAATGTAAGTATTCGGATCTTGTCTTTCAGGATTTGGATGACATCATCATAAATTATAGAATTTTACTGCTCGCTTGCTATCAAGGAGGCAACCGTTAGTGATAATCGATGCTGCATTTCTGATTGCACTTGTATGTTGATGTCTATTTTGTTGATACACTGTTTCTTAATCACTTTCTTTTTGAATCGCTCCAGAACATTCAGATCTTTATCGTTTATTGCTGTCAATTCACAGAAGGCTTCGTAATTCTGGCCTTGCATCATGAGCAAGGAACAGTAGATAATCTTATCCTTCGAGTTCTTGGGCTTCTGTATTTGAATTGCTTTCAATTCTTTGATGTTATCCAAAAAAACCAGTATGGACAACATATCACAAACGCCGTCTTTTTTGAGCAGTATGCATAATTTAAATATTCTTGTGTACGTTAGGTAAAACACATTGTAAATTAGAGGGATCAAGACTAGTTCTGATATGAAATCTCTTTGGATAGAAAAAATCCATAGGAATCCTTGGTATAGATTGTATATGTAAATAGTCAATAACATGCATTTAGTTTTTAAATTCTTCAAGGGAGAATAATAGAGTTGATTGATGGCTCTCAGCAAATTTATAGCAAAAGCTAAAAATATAATTGATTAATTTGATAATTCATAAGAATAAAAAATCATAATAGTGTAGTTTAAACTTTGGATAATAAAGTCCAAAATAGTATATCTAGTGTGTTGGAAGTTTATAGTTTATGCATTTAAAGTACCCTAAAGAATTAAGGTTTCAGTTATCGAAATTAACAATAATAGAGTATGAGTAAAAATTTTGATTATTCCAGTTGAATATTCAAAGAAAACATTCAGCAAGCCACTTCTTAATAGTTGTCCATATATTTTAATGTGTTTAAAGTGAGAGATCGTTGAAACGATATTTAGCAGGTAAAATAGGCAAATAATTGAAATTGCATACTAGGCTATATCACTACTCGGCAAATAAACTTGTGGTCTGGCAAACATCGATACCAAAGTCAAGTAAGAGTGAGCGTTCTTGCCATATATATAGCTGAGGGTTTGCAAGGCTTATTGAAATCTTAAAATCAGTATTAAAATGCCAGGAAAAACAATCTGCTACTCCTCGTTTTTCAGATACAACTCTATACAATAATTTAGCCATCTCTACAATTTTTCATTCATTTAAGATAATATATATATAATATATTAGATCAATTAATAATTGGATTTAACAAAAACATGGATGGCATCTTTTTTAATTTCATAAACATAATTACGTAATAAATTTTGTGTGCTATTCATAATTCTAATTATTGCCATAAGAATTTCTAGAGGATCTAAAATTATTATTATTATAATATATATATAAAATGTGTTATTATCATTTTTAATAAAAAATTAATTGAAATTTCTTTGGAAGTAAAAAAACTAAACCTTATGCTAAGTAACTTGAGAGTATACTCTAAAAAATTTTAATGTGAATATGATCATTTTAAGAGGAATAAAATGGGAACAAATTTTATACTAAAAATTAATTTCATCATTACCAATTGGTGAAGTATTTTTAATTCACCAAAGATGTTAAAAATGAATGAGACTTTAAATTAGAATATTGGTTTTGTAATTTAATATATAGCATAAAGATTGAATGTCATATTATGATTTATTTACTCTGAAATGCTTTTTGTTAGATCTTCTTTAGTTTTAATTCATAATAGTCATCGAAAAAGATGACTGAAAAAGGTATCATAAAAATGGATTAGCTGATTGCGTTGTTTTTATTGGTCAAGTAAAACTTCCCTACAGTTAACGTAAAAAACATCATAAAGATAAGAACGCAGAAAATTCCGATAACTGTGAACTATGCAAATATGATATAAACATACAATTAGTTAGTTTAACTTTTCTATCGTAACACTCTTCAAGTCCTCATAGAACTCACCGTTGAGGTGCTCTATGAATTCGGAAAATATCAAGGCCCCTTCTAATTCATATTTATCATAGCCAATCTTTTCAGTAAATTGATTTAAATCTCTTTCTGTTTTTATTGAATTTAAAATGTAAATTAGCGCAGATGATATCCCCCTTTACAAGTTTTAATTAAGTGATAGATTACAGATTTAAGGGGCGTTATCATATATTTCCTCATTAATATAATCACAAAGATTAGCAGTTTAAAGAAAATCATAATTGTTCATGAAATTTTAAGATATTATGCTACTATTACATAAAAAATAATTACTTTTCTTAATCATTTTGAACATTGACGAAATTTTCTAATCTCTAAAGAGATTCCTGAATTTCAGTAATGAATTTCTCTTTGTCATCGTAACTAAGAAATGTGAAATTTGAGATCCCGTACAAAACACTAATATGCGAATACAGTGTGGGAATGTCAGTGCCTACATCAGAAAGTTCCCTGTAAAATTAAGCAGTCGGTTGGTATGACTTAATGTACTATGACATCATCAAATACACATATGTCCCCTAGATTAAGAGGAGAAACATAGTGAAAAAAGATAATATTCTCACAGACAAGTCTCCCACTTAGATCTTGATATCCTTGTTGTTCTTTTTATTTTGCATCTAATCTTTCGATTTCAAAAGTCGAGAATTAGACTTCATCAAGTGTTTTTCTTTGTCGTGCACAAAAAACTAATATTTGAATAAATTATCGCTGTCTTTAAGAATAAACTTAGTTAAAAGCTAGTAGTTATGTATATCTTAATAGTAGGTTTCTTTGGGACAATAAAAGAGTAGTCTCAAATGTTTTAAATGCTATTTCTCAACAATTTTGATCAGTACAATTAGAATTATCAGATTCGCTATGATCAATATTGATTATATTAAATATAGTACTCTTTACTGGGTTAGGATATAAATAGAATTTATTTGAGATTGTTCATATATATTATCATTTAAAATTTGAAATTGTTACTTGAGATTGAATGAATTCTTATAACTATAATAGATGTAGGCACTGTCAGTTTATGGCTGTTACTTTTCAACGTAAAATTACTTTAAAGTGTATTAGAATTCTAATAAAATATTAATGCAACTCCTAATTGAGATTTCATAAATCTCTCCTTCATCAGAATCAATGTATTGTAACACTTTTATATTGATAGAAGACATAGAGCTCTGTAATTCCTTCTTATTTACTATTTCATTCAAATTAGATTACAATCTCAGAAATTATAAGGGTATCGTGTATTCTGGAAATATCAACAATTGATTATACTCGTCCTCATCCAAGAGGTGGTTCTGCTTCATTTTCATGTAATTGAATATTATCCATCTATTCACCCAGAATGTCTCCAAAGGTTGAAATGCTTGATTCTTAACTTAGAGTAATTCAATATCCCTCACTAGCTAATTTAAGCTACTATATAAGCTTTAAATAATCTATGATTTAAATATATTTTACTATGTAAATGATGATTGAGTGAGCAATCAATGAGAATAATGCTGTTCTTATAAATAAGCATGCACCTAAATGACATTGCTGCTGATTGACATTATTCAATATTTGATACTTCTTAAAATGTTGAGATTGTTTTAAATTTTACACAGAAGACACCTAAGATCGCTTGCAATCCTCTTCTTAATTGCTATCATTTGCAGCATGGAGTTCTTTCACCATATCTATGCTGCATTCTTCCTTGACGTAGGATAGTTGTTTTTGAGAGTTTCTAGAAAAGTACTGTTGTTGAGAGAGTAATTAATCAAAAAATAAACTATTATTAGGACTAATTAAAGTGGAATTATTTTAACTCTTGGTTGGGAGTGCTTAATTTGGTTGGAGAGTTCTTTTTTATTTATCCTGGGTTATGGAAAGATAATTATTTGAGAATTATTAAAATTGAAAAAATGTAGAATTTGCTTAATGTCTTTAATTTTACTCATCCATGATATAGGGTTTAGAGACTGTAATTTCTTCTTTGAAGATTCCAGAAAACCTGTCATCCTCAACTTTAATTTTCATTTCTGTAGTTTTAGCATCAGTTTTATCCTGGCTCAAGGCTCCATTTGAAAAACTCTGTACCATCTGGTTAAAAGTGTAATTTTGATTCATTTTTTTAATAAATTGAAAAGTTAATAAGTAGTAAATAATTCTACCCTTTAATTCTTTGATCTTTACATTGACTGTTGTGATGATAGAATATGATTTCAGTGTACTGTAACTGCTCTATTGAGATATCATTTCAACATTCTCCAATACCTAGCTAAATTCAATTGTGTCAATAGATGGTAAAAATTGGTTCATGTGTTTGTTTAATATATTTTCAGGCTTCTCATTTAATGTTTCTATCAAATTCTCACTAAATTCTTTGATTATCTTATTCTAATTTAGAACTATAATCATTGGTTAATGAATGACAGGTTATAGGAATGTTACGAATTTCAGAGAGGACTTAGTGAAACTAATGTCTAAGGTAAAATCAGCAGTGATTAAATAAGAGGACTGATGAGATTTAAAATATTTTAAATCTACCTTTCTCATATACTTGGAAATACCTTCCTCTAAGAAATTCATGATCATTTCATTGTGATGTTCTCTGATGCCCCAAGGTAATAGTTGATCAATGTCCTTATTAATTAGTTAGTCATGTCTGAGATTCAACAATTATGATGTATTGCTAGACATTCGTTTAATTATCAATCGTTGCTGATCGAAATCTGTAATGAAGTAAATCATCTTAGAATTAAACATGTTGAAAATGGCTTAATGATTTTGCAATTTAATAAGTTCTTATTTGGATGCAGAGATGGACAGTTTACTAGCAGAGATATAGTCATTCAATATTTCAGCATATAAAAAACTTAAAATCGCCTAAGTTTTCTGATTTGGAAATTGGGAATACTGTTTTTCAAGTTTCCGTTTGACTTCTTGTACTTTATTAACGAAGTTCATGAGTTTCTGATATATTTTAAGGTCTCGTTCAGTAATGCATTTCTGGATGTGTTACTTTTATTTTATTATTTCGATAATTTTCTCTTGAATAATGAAGTTCCTGTCCTCGCTTTTCATCAATTATTCAACAGCCAAGGCTACACTTTGATCAAACTTCGAAGACGTCTTTATCTTGAACTCCAATTATTGTAGACACTCATCAATAATTAGGGTTTTTTTTATTTGATTCAACCAATTCAAACTCTTCTAATCGTACAATAAGCACAATGCCTCATAATAATGTTTCTGTTAGATCCTTATTGTAGCATACAGTATCTTGTCTTACTCTTTTTGAATCAGCTTCTTGTTTATGATGATTTTAATGTGTTCAGCAGTTATGCAACCATCACCTATGATTAACAACAAGGATTCCAGACTTTGAATTGGGTACTTTAATTGGATTTCACTTGACATTTAGGTGAGTTTAAGTATTAGGGAACATAAAATTAAATTTGGAAATTCATTTAATTTAATATCTGCAAAATAAATAACACACTGAATGATGGTTATTAGGTGAGCATAGAGGATGTAAGGGTGCAGCTTCATTGATTTTATGGGGGAGTAGATAATTTGATTAAGAAATCCATTGAGTGAGTAGAGCATGCATAACATGGTTATTATGAGATGACTATAATTAGAATATTATTTAAAAATTAGTATTAAATTGTTTAAAATGTGGTTGGCTATTTAAAAATAGTTAATCGAAATTTATGAGAAATTCCTCTATCTAATGTTTAATGTGCCCAAGATAAATAGAATGTCAATAGTGCTGACGATGATTAGTAGGATTTAAACAACAAATTGCAATTCTCCCCTTGAAATTTCAAAAAATATATTGTACACACTCACCCTTAATAACTATCCTATCACCAATATCTTTTGTCTGCCAGGTATTTTCTTAACAAAAATACTGATAATGTATAGTAATAGCACTGGTAAAATCAAATAGCAACTATTATTAGAATGTAAGAGTAATTGTGGCCTCGATGTAGTAGCAACAATGTAAAAAAATGAATTGTTTTTCTATTCGAACATATATGAAAGCATTAAAAATTGATGTTGTATAATTAGGAGGCTTTTAATAGGTTTTGAGAGTACTGCTGATTTTAGGTTGACATTCTGAAGCGTTGATATAATTTTATCACGCAAATTTTCGAAAGCTTTCATAATTGAATTAAAATAATCTTAAATATTATAATTTATTTGCTTAATTCATTATTATCCCTTATTATGATATTGTTACAATTCTATTGATTCCAAATAGATTTATTACATCATCCAAATCTCTCTATTTTACAATAGTTTTTTAATGTGATCTGAAAATATCTACAAATTCCAAAATCAAAATGTGTTATTAATTTATAAAAAATAGATGATTTGTTTTTCATTATTATTGATTACCTGTTGATGAATTCTGACAATTTAAGATTTTATAATTTTCATTCAATAATTAAAAATATGTATTAATTAAATAATGAATAATCATAATTAATAATTGGAGATTATTGTTATTGGCACTATCTACATTTCCTTCGAACCATTAGTATAAGTAGAATGCATGTTGATCAAAGCTGGAAAAGTATCAAGGCTCGGATAAACAGCTGAAATTCTAAATTAAGTATAATTGCAAAATGAACTCCTATAAGAACATCTCAAAAAACCAGGTTATTGGGAATTGCAAATAGATTAAACGAAGTAAATAGAAAGACTAATATTAGAATCATCAAATTAAACGAATTGCAAATGGCTATGCCTGGAATGATTGATAGTCATGTGCATCCCTAAAGTGGAGGGATTTAATTAAGCAGACTCACAATCTAAAAGTATTGTAGTTGGGAAGATGCTAAGAATGCAATAAGGAATAGCATAGAGAAAGGGGAACATGATAAATATGAGTGGGTGTTTGCATATGGATATTGTAATGAAATAATTAAATATGTGAAAAGCATAAGGATGGTTTAAAGAGAATAAATAGAATATATAAGAACTAGATGATGTATGTCCTGAGAAGCCATTAATAATAATGAGAGATGACTGTCATGCTTATTGGTGCAACTCTAAAATATTTGAAGTCACACAAACTCACTAAGAGGATGGCATCTACATAGAAGAGCAAATGAATGCTGTGAGAAAATACATTCCAAAGTTAAGCGAGATTGAACAACAGAATTGTTTATTGAAAGGATTACAACATTTGGTGAATTATGGAATTGTTGCATTTCAGGATGCTGCAGTCAAAGAAAAATTGTTTCATAATTACAAGAAGTTGTATTAAAATTAAACTTATGGAAATCAATTACCATATTGTTGCATGAGTCTATGTTGGAATGACCTGTTTTTGGAATAGACATAAAGTAATTATTTTCAGTTATGTAGATGTTGATGAGGAAGTGAGATTTGAGACTGTCGAAAATTAAATTAAAGAAATAAGAGACTTGAATTTAGAAAAATTATATTGTCATAGTGTCAAAATATTTGTTGATGGTGTTGTGGAATCAAAGACAGCTTTAATGAATGTTAAATATTGTCAGTGTTCACACAATGGATAACTCATGATTTAGAATGTCCCTTAGATTATTGAAGGACTGAATGACAGAGGAATCCAGGCACATATTCATAGTATTGGAGATAGAGCAACAGATATTGTGGTTGAAGCATTCGAGAGAATCTCACATAAGTTGAACAAGAATGTCATCAACTATTTAGCTCATCTTGAATTTGTTTCACCAAAAGCTATAGAATTATTCAAAAAGCTTAATTTGGGTGCAAATTTCTCTGCCTTGTGGTTCTATGAGAGTCCATCACTTTCATTAATGCCCACTTGTTTACCTTAACATTACATGGAAGGAATGTATCCTATAAGGGATCTGGAATAGTGTATCATTGGTTTAGGTAGTGATTGGCCTGTCAGTTCAGCCAATCCTTTTTACGCCATTGAAGTGGCAGTAACTAGGTAGCCTTTAGGACACAATTAAAATCCGATTCCAATCGGAGATTTGAAGCAAAGAATCACTATTCAACAAGCTTTGCATTACTATACTGAAGGATCAGCTAAGTTAATCTAGAAGCCAGGGTTTGGATTGTTGACAGAGGGAGGCCATGCTAACTTTATTATTATTTCCTAAAATGTCTTGAAGGTTAACCCATCAGAGATACATCAAACCTAAGTTCTGTCTACATTTATCGACGGCGTGGAAGTGTATTAATCATAAAAATTGGAGTAAATATGAACAGGATATATTTTATAATTTATGTATTAATACAATATTAAATTAAATGCACAACTACAACGTGGATCACAAATACAAGTTCTAGACACGCATTGGTAATTGGTTTGAAGAGTGGGAGTTAGATGAGACCAAGTGAGAATTTGTTCATGAATATATTAGGAAAAAAGACTATTTGAAAAATAGATAAAATGGGTAACTGGCAAGCATTGTCAAGGATTAAAAAACTAATTTCAGTCTTAGATTGGCATCACTTACCTTTCCAAAAGACGAATACATTCATTTCGGATTCCATATAATGCTTCAAAACCTTAAAACATTAGGCTTCTTATCCATTGACATTTAAGAAAAATTAAAAATAACTGAGGAAGCATACAATGTTACCACTGCACCAACAACATAACCAACAGTAAGATCTGTATTTGTAGTTGTACCTTATACCAAAGAACCCAATTTCTTTGGTGATGATGTTTTACATTATGGATAACATTTTAGACTTCTTGCAAACCCAAGGATTTCGAATAATAAAACCTTCTATCTGCATTCACTTCCATAGACACCAACTAGATGTGCAAAGATATCCAGAAAATAAGAGGTTTGTGCCATAGAGAGTGATGTTTTTAATACTGTATGGAAATTAGAACATTCAGATCCAAAAGTTAGATTCGAAATGGAAGGACAACCTATTAGAATCGATGATGTCGTTCTTGTTAAACATTCATTTACATAACATTGGTTAGCAAGTGATGATATTGTATACTAAAACGATTTTGGTAGAGAACGTGAAGTTTTTGTGCATTCTTACTAATGTTTGAACAAAACATAAAATTTGATAGCTGAAAAGGAAGGCAGAACAACAATTGATATTCCACTAAGAAATTAAGAGTATAAATTATTGATAATTATAATATAGACCTTAGAATTTATGGAAATTTGCTGTAGCAACTAAATAAAGCGAATAATTTGATGAGTCAGTCATGGATGACAATCGAAATGTTAAAAATCTAATGATCAGAGTTAAGTAACAAATTACTGGCAAAGGTTCTTACGGATTGAGAGGATTGGCTAAAGTCTTTTTAGAAATGGATCAAAATAACAGTAATTAATTACATAAGACATAGATGGAGTTGTTGAGTTTGATGATTTTAAATGGGGACTTAGAAATTTTGGACTCAATCTCTCTGAGGATGAAACCAAAATGATCTTTCAAACTTTTGATAAAAATAGCAATGGAAAAATTGAATTTAATGAATTCTTGGATGCTTTTAGAGTATGATAATCCTTGTTATTCTTAGTTGTAAATGAGTGATAAAAGACTGTATTTTGTTTAAAGGGCCTATGCATCTATAGAATAAAGAGCAGGCAAAGTTACTTTGGATACCATGGGCAGAACTATCAATGTTAAAGAACACCCTGACGTACTCAAGGGATACAAAACAGAAAGACAAGTGTTTTAAGAATTTGTATCTCATTGGAATAAGGGGTAACCAGATAAAGTCATTTCTTTTTAAGAATTTGGTGAATTTTATTAAGTAATATTCGCAATATATATAATATAGGATGTATCATCGGCTATATAATAAGATGAGACTTTTGAAGCTATTTTAAAAAAATCATGGAATTTATGATGATTATTATAAAATAGGAACATTAAATTATATTTCTCCAATTTATTAGCATGCCTATGAAATCCACAGACTTTCACATGATAAGGAGGGGTTTGTCTGAGCTCTTACTTGAGTTCTTCTTATTCATATTCAAAAAATAATAAATATTTTTTCATCCATCATCCTGATTTCTTCAATATGGGTCATTTTTGAAATTCATTAATTAGTACGTGGCTGATGGATGGTAATCAAGTTCTCTAAATACTTATTTCCTTAAAAAAGTGAGTATTGAATCCAAAAGTTTAGAATGATGTTTATCTAAAAATAAGTTTTTTCAGAAAAAAACAGTAATCATAAAAAATTTCTCTCTCTAAAATATGATCTGGATGCTATGCAATAATTTGAAGGTCGATGAGTATGATTGTTTTAATGGGGATGCAAAAGATAAATATGATAGAATTCGGACTTATTATATAACACTGAATATTGATTCAAGCCATAAAAAAACTATTTTCCAAAAACCTTTTTTTATACAATTTTTTCATAGAAAATTCTTTCATATTTGTTCAACACATATAGACCAGCTCATCAATACAGGCAAATAATAAGTTAATCGCAATATTTAGAGGAGAATTGGTTTGATGAGCAATTCATTTCTACCTCATTTATAGTTTACTTTATCACTTGAAATGCACATAAATCAATATAAAATCATTTATAAAATAATGATAAACTAACTATTAAATTTTCAGTTCCAATTTAAATCTGATAGTTATTTTTTTAGAAATTAATAGAATTTCTTAAGATATTATCATTGATAGAATTGATTAGTTATAGAATTGAGCAATTATTTTAATATTAGACTCTAGAAATCAATATTAATATTAAAATGTAAACTTAGACTAATATACTAACTAATGAATTAGAAGGAAAGAAGAAATTATTCATGAAATGGGCTTTGAATTCAGTCAGAAAGTTTTTCAATAATAATTAATTGCCATATCACCTTCTATCTACATGTGTGTCAATCAAGCCAGGGTCGGCTAATAGATGCGCAACGTTGTAGTCATATCCTAATTAAGGAGTATGGAAATATTTGAAAGAACTGCCTGAATCTGTGAGAAGAGATTTAACAATGCATCTAAATAATGAAATGAAGCTTGTTGAATTTAAATTCTAACAATCTATTTTGATAGAGTTTAAAGATAGAATATTAAAAGACTTTGATTTCTCAAGTTTTTACAAAGAATCAAAAAATTTTAACGATAATAATGAGATACCATTAATTGATTCAGATCAGAATGAGTAGCAAGTAAAATAAAAGAAATGGTGCAAAGGATAAGACTTCGTTAGTGAATCTAAACAGATTTTGATTTAAATGTAACTGTGCAATAGAATGCCACGCTTAATACCTGTGAAATAGCTCCATTATCACAAGCTGAGAACACTTTTAGAAAAAATAAAGGAACACAAGTTTAGCATGTCGGAGGAAATGAAACAGTTTAAACATGAATTGGAACAGTTTTGCAAGCAGGATTTTTGTTAAGAATCAGAAAAAAAGAAAAAAGTTAAAACAAACCATGATCAGTAATAGAATGAATTTGAAAAAGTCTAATAGAACTGCGTAATAAAGGTGGAAGATGAAGATAATAAAAATGATATTTTGAGGATATTTAAATAAAGAGTTAAAAGTATTGAGCCTGGAATTTCGCTTTTTCTACCAGATTTATCAAAATTTGATTAGCAAATGAGAAACAATTTTTAAGAATTGGAGGATAACTATTACAAAAATTTGTATTTTAAAGAAAAAGTAGAAGAGATGGAATTAAATTCAAAAAATATACTAGCAGAATGCAAATTATATTATGAGTCATTACAGTGCAAAGAGGGTAGATAGAAGATTGAAGTTTAACCAGATAGAAGATGAAATCTTTCTTAAAAATATCATTATTTTATTTAAATAGAACTGAAAATTATTGTTTTTATTTAAATTATAATCGTTAATTTGGATAATGATGCCTCCACCTGATCGCATAAATTATGCTGAAATGAAAGTTTAAGTATTATATCATCTTATCTATTAGAGGATTCAAATTCCTGTTTAAGTTGCTGTGCTTAAGCCCGTTTATGTTGATTGTCCATACCCATCCTATGTGTTTGTTGAAGGCGAAAGTCAAGCCAAGTTATTGGAAAAGAAATATGGAAATTGGAAACAATTCTTAAATGAGCCTCAATTAAAGACTTAAATTATGCAGCTATTTAGTGATAGCGACGACTCTGATTCTGAATAAGAAAAAAAAAAAAAAAAGAAAGTCAAATCATCCAAAACAAAAGCATTAGTCAATACAAAGTCATCCAAAGAAATAAAAGGAATTTAAGAACAGCAACAACAAGTTTAGTAATAGTAAATTCAGCCTTAACAATTTAATTAAACATATTCTTAAACCGATTAGAATAACAATTATGTTAGACCACCAATCTTTTTGGATGATAGAGGAGCTAATTTTTAAAAATAATATGGCAATCAAACTCAATTATCAAGAACTCAATTATCAAGAACTCAAACATAGAATTTCCCAGCACTGAATGTTCTTCAAACTAGGTAATCAATATTGTTATTTTTAGAAATGAAACCATTCCAAATAATGCTTCAAATGTTTCAAGAGGAAGATAAGATCTCTAAAATTATAAGAGTATATTTATTCATTTTACTTAGCTTTCCTTTAAAAATCGTAATAAACTCTTTTACCTGCAGGAGAGGCTGGTAAATCTAGATATGAATATTAGAATGTCTGAGATATATTATTTATTACTTATCCATCACAAGTACTTAAGTTAATATATTATTCTTTCAATTTCTATCAAATACCATATCTAATTTGGAATTGAAACAAATTTTCGCATTATTAAATAAAGAAACTGCCATTTATATATATATTAATATTTAAATAAATAATAATATTACTATTATTTGACATATTTTTTTATGGTGAGACTACTTTGATTATTATATCTTAGTATTACCAGATAATTATTTTCATAATATAATTTTGATTTATAGTTTAAATGATAAGGAGTTATGTATTATAAGTGACTATAAAGTAATTTATAACATCAATTACGTGCTAAAGCTAAAGCAGCCATCACTGAAGTATTTGAACTATTAAAATGCTTAGCACGATAGTATTGGAGCTCTTTCAGCAACAGCGTAGTTTTGCCGAGATCAAATTTTTCAATCTGTTAGACTTTTTCTCTAAGCTTTTTGAGAAATATATGTATACGTTAACACTCTAATTTTCAATTACTACAATCTGTTGTTGTCCTATGCAGAGTCATTCCTAGTTAAACAGGTTTCTGAAGTTTCTTGAGAACTATTGGATGTCAATTTTTTTTCAGTGGATTTTTCTGTAATTATCTTATTTGTGGTCTTTGTTGACTTGGTAAGCTCTTGAATTGTAAGAGTGCGCTTCTTGGTGGTCCGATCAATCAACGGTGATATAGATTTTTAAGTTGGCATATAGGATCTGGCAGATAAATTCATAAAGTTAACAAATAATTAATAATAAAATGACATTAATTTATATTCTAGTGTTCTATGCATTGAACTAAGTGCTTGCAGGATTCACGACATTGAATGAAGCATTATTATTCAATCCCATAACACTCTATGTCCCTGAGTGTGTGGAATAACCTAAATTTGATAATATCATTATAAGTATTCGTTATTGGATTGAAATATTGCAAACTGATGATTGTGATTTGTAGAATGACTTAGAAACGTTAAAACAAATAAAAGCGACACTCCCAGAATCAAATTTATTTTTGAGTTCCTTCATCTAGAAAGATCAATTTAAAATCCACGGATTGATGCAGATCACTGATGATATATGCAAAGATGCTTAAGGTAATAAGTAGAATAAGCGGTTTTTAGATTAACCAGGCTACATAATAGATTTATTGAAGAAAGAGCTTCAATCAATAATTGATTCCCTGCAAGAAATTTTGGCTACACCGAATAAGCAGCGAAAAATTTCTGCATTGAATTCCCAGATAGAGGAGGTCTAAACATATTAGGAATTTTGTTTCTAAAAGGAAGAAAGACAGAGAAGAAAGGCACAAGAAGCAATCAATTAACAAGCACAAAACATAAAAAATGAAGCAGGCTATATAGATGATGCTTATGGCACACCCAACACTTCAGATTCCACTCAAGGATCATCAACTACATCATCATCTTCTTCCTAATCAAATACTTAACAATAAGGCACCAATATTTCAGGAACATAATAACCAATTAATTGTGTAGACCCTCAAGCCTCAAATGCATAATAAAACTCTAATCAACAATAGGGAAGTAGTGCGACTACCACTTCTACCTAATAAACAACCACTAATTAGAATTAAGCGCCTACAACTGTACCCTAATAATCTACATAAACTTCAACTACTAGTTCTACATCCTAGTATCAGCCTTAGCCTACATCATAAGTAGCTCCTTCCCAATAATCCTAGAATCCCTAAACATAACCTTAACAATAATCATAACCATAGGATTGCTAGCAAATTCCATAATAAAATCCTCCAATTTAAGATCCTTCCAAGTAATAATAACAGCCTTATTAACCTGTTTAAAATCCACCACCATAATCAAGCACTACTTCAGTTCAACCTCAACAACAATTTCCTCCACCTCCATAATAATCACAACCTTAACCACCAACAACTTCAGGAAATCAAGCAAATGTTCCTTAATAACCACCGACATAATAAAATCAGCCCTGTGAAGTACCATAACCTCCATAAAATCAACCCTAAATACCAAATCCTGTACCCCCTCCACCACCACCAACATAAGAGCAGCCTTAAGTTCCTCCACAAATACCTCCATAGCCTCCTGCTTAACCTCCTTCTGAGGTTCCTCCTTAGCCACCAGTCTAGCCACCTCCCCCACTTGTTGAACCACCTAAACCTCCTGTTGAGCCACCAGTTTAGCCACCTCCCCCACCTGCTGATCCACCTAAACCACCAGTTGATCAAACTTAACCACCTGCTGAACCTCCATAACCACCAATTTAGCCACCTGCTGAACCTCCTTAACCACCCACTGAGCCACCTAAACCATCAGTAGAGCCTCCTTAACCACCAGTTGAGCCACCTAAACCATCAGTTGAGCCTCCTTAACCACCAGTTGAGCCTCCTTAACCACCAGTTGAACCACCGAAACCACCAGTTGAGCCTCCTTAACTACCAGTCGAACCACCGAAACCACCAGTTGAGCCTCCTTAACCACCAGTTGAACCACCTAAACCACCAGTTGAACCTCCTTAACCACCAGTTCAACCTCCCTAACCACCAGTTGATTCACCTAAACCTCCTGTTGAACTACCTACTGAGCCACCTAAACCACCTGTTGAACCCCCTAAACCTCCTTCTGAACCACCTAAACCACCAGTAGAGCCACCTTAACCTCCTACTGAGCCACCAAAGTCTCCAGAATAACTAAAAACAAATATAACTGTTAATGGGAACAGAACTACTGAAGTTGAAGATTTGATAAAATAATTGTAAGAAGGTAAGATGGAAAATGTTTCAATAAACATTACAGTATACTAAAATTCAAATACAACCACTATCGGAAGTTAGAATGGAGAATTGTTAACGATTCTTGAAGCTTTATGTAGAATATATTATTTGATTAAAAGTATCTTCTTAGCCTGCTTGTTCTGCTCCAGCCCAGCCAGTAGTAGTTGTAGTGCAGTAAGACGATGATGACGACTGCAAAGAACCTGCCTAACCCGTTAAGCCAAAGCCAGTTGAAAAGCCCGTTCCTGTTATTGAACCAGAGGAGGAAGAGGAGGAAGAAGAATTATTCCCTGAAATGTCTTTCCCAGAACCTGCTCCAAATCCTGAGCCTGAGCCAGAAGAAGATCCTCAGCCGGTACCAGAAGAAGAACCAGAACCTATGCCAGAGGAAGAACCTGAACCTATACCAGAAGAAGAACCAGAACCTATTCCAGAAGAAGAATCAAAACCCATTCCTGAAGAGGAACCTAAACCTATTCCAGAAGAAGAATAAGAGCCAATTCCAACAGAACCTACTAGTGTGAACACAACAAAACCAGCTGAACCATTGCCTTTACCAGAAGAAGAGTAAACTGAAGAATACATTCCTGAAGAAGAGATACCAGAAGAACTTATACCTGTTGATACAAAGAACGTGACCAAACCTTCAGAACCTTTACCATTACCTGAAGAAGAACCAGTTGAATAAGAAATTATAGAGCCAGAACCTATTGAAGATCCAGTTGATACATTTAACCAAACAAAAGTTGTAGAGCCTCTTCCTATTCCCGAAGAAGAATATGTTGAGGAGGATGTAATTGTGCCAGATGAGCCATTTGTTAATTAAACAAAGCCATCTGAACCTCTACCAATTCCAGAAGAAGAAGTTCCTGAGGAAGTTGTGGTTGTGAAAGATCCAAAAAACACTACTAAAACAAGTGAACCCTTGCCTATTCCAGATGAAGAATATGAGGAAATAATCTATGAAGAATATTATGAGGAATATTATGAAGAGATTATCATATAACCTGCAAAAAACACTACAAAATCAGCTGACCCACTGCCTATCCCTGACGATGAGGATGACTGGGGTTAGATGGGCTTTGATGATGAAAGTGATGAGGGTGAGTGGGAAACCTATTGGGACGGATCTTAATATGTTAAAAGAAAGAAGTCTGAAACTGTTATTGAATATGAGTATTACTGGGATGTTGATTCATAAAGTTACAAAACCAGAGTGAAGGGGTCTGGTCCAAATGAAGATGATTATGAACTTTATTGGGATGGTTCTAGATATCTGAAAAGAAAAAAAGGAAGCCAAACTTATGACATAAATACAAAACCATCAGGTACCTACACTTATGATGGTTTTGTTTATGAATAATATTGGGATGCCAGCACCAATTCATATTAGTGGAGAAGATATAGAGTAGGTTCAACATCATATGAGAGTGGGTCATTCGAATATTATTGGGATGAGAGCAGTTAAAGTTATAAATTCAAATAATCAGCCAGTTCTGCATCATCTTATACTTATAATGGATATATTTATGAGAAATATTGGGATCAATCATCAAATTCATATAAATGGAGAAGGAGATAAACAGAATCAAACACATGGGAATCAGGTGATTATGAATATTATTGGGATGAGAGCAGTTAAAGTTATAAGTTCAAATAATCAGCTAGTTCTGCATCATCTTAAACTTATAATGGATATATCTATGAGAAATATTGGGATCAATCCTCAAATTCTTATAAATGGAGAAGGAGATAAACAGAATCAAATACATGGGAATCCGGTGATTATGAATATTATTGGGATGAAAGCAGCTAAAGCTATAAGTTCAAATCATCAGCCAGTTCTGCATCATCTTATACTTATAACGGATATATTTATGAGAAATATTGGGACCAATCATCAAATTCTTATAAATGGAGAAGGAGATAAACAGAATCAAACACTTGGGAATCAGGTGATTATGAATATTATTGGGATGAAAGCAGCTAAAGTTATAAGTTCAAATAATCAGCCAGTTCTGCCTCATCTTATACTTATAATGGATATATTTATGAGAAATATTGGGATCAATCCTCAAATTCATATAAATGGAGAAGGAGATAAACAGAATCAAACACATGGGAATCAGGTGATTATGAATATTATTGGGATGAGAGCAGTTAAAGTTATAAGTTCAAATAATCAGCTAGTTCTGCATCATCTTAAACTTATAATGGATATATCTATGAGAAATATTGGGATCAATCCTCAAATTCTTATAAATGGAGAAGGAGATAAACAGAATCAAATACATGGGAATCCGGTGATTATGAATATTATTGGGATGAAAGCAGCTAAAGCTATAAGTTCAAATCATCAGCCAGTTCTGCATCATCTTATACTTATAACGGATATATTTATGAGAAATATTGGGACCAATCATCAAATTCTTATAAATGGAGAAGGAGATAAACAGAATCAAACACTTGGGAATCAGGTGATTATGAATATTATTGGGATGAAAGCAGCTAAAGTTATAAGTTCAAATAATCAGCCAGTTCTGCCTCATCTTATACTTATAATGGATATATTTATGAGAAATATTGGGATCAATCCTCAAATTCATATAAATGGAGAAGGAGATAAACAGAATCAAACACATGGGAATCAGGTGATTATGAATATTATTGGGATGAGAGCAGTTAAAGTTATAAGTTCAAATAATCAGCTAGTTCTGCATCATCTTAAACTTATAATGGATATATCTATGAGAAATATTGGGATCAATCCTCAAATTCTTATAAATGGAGAAGGAGATAAACAGAATCAAATACATGGGAATCCGGTGATTATGAATATTATTGGGATGAAAGCAGCTAAAGCTATAAGTTCAAATCATCAGCCAGTTCTGCATCATCTTATACTTATAACGGATATATTTATGAGAAATATTGGGACCAATCATCAAATTCTTATAAATGGAGAAGGAGATAAACAGAATCAAACACTTGGGAATCAGGTGATTATGAATATTATTGGGATGAAAGCAGCTAAAGTTATAAGTTCAAATAATCAGCCAGTTCTGCCTCATCTTATACTTATAATGGATATATTTATGAGAAATATTGGGATCAATCCTCAAATTCATATAAATGGAGAAGGAGATAAACAGAATCAAACACATGGGAATCAGGCGATTATGAATATTATTGGGATGAGAGCAGTTAAAGTTATAAGTTCAAATCATCGGGTAGTTCTACCTCATCTACTTCTTACACTTATAATGGATATACTTATGAGTCATATTGGGATCAATCTTCCAATTCATATAAATGGAGAAGAAAATAAATAGGATCAAATACTTGGGACTCTGATGAGTATGAATATTATTGGGATTCAAACTAATAAGCTTACGTTTGGAGATTGAAATAGCAATAGTAGAACGAGCAAAATGATTATGAATGGCAGTGGGATTGGGAGACAAGTTCTTATCAATGGAGAAGAAAAGCAGACTCATATGATACTAATGAGTACGAATAATATTGGGATTCGTCAACTTAATCCTATTAGTGGAGAAAGAGGAGCAGTACTTCATACAATTATGATGATGGTGAATATGAATACTATTGGGATGTGAATACTTAATCCTATCAGACAAGATAGAAAAGCGGCTCTTCCAGTTAAATTGAGTATGAGTATTATTGGGATTACAATACTTAATCCTACCAATACCGTTAAAAGGGCTAACAATCTGAAGGGTACTCAACATCTTCATCAAGTTCGACTACATATTATGAATAATATTGGGATGCCGCTTCTTAATCATATAAATGGAGAGAAGTATCCAATGATCAAATAGCTCAATAAGGCACGTATGATGATGGAGAATATGAATATTATTGGGATGAATCTACAAATTCTTATTAGACAAGATCAAAGTCAAGTAGTAGCAGTAACTCAACTCAATATTCTTCAAGCAGCAGTGAAGAGTCTTATTCATATTCAACCTCTTACAATGTATCATCAAGCACTGATTACTGGGAGGAATATTATGTAAATGAGGATGGTGAAATGGTTACTTTGAATTTAGCTTCTTAATCTTTAAATAATAACGATGCCCTATAATCAGACAATCAAGCTCATGAGAAATGGATTAGTTAAGATGTAAATATTTTCATTAAAATTAGGCCAAGGAAACAGATGAGTCTTTAGAATCTTAAGATAATTAAGCAAATTAAGCCAAGTTCATTTATAAAACAAATTAGGTATGGGAAAGCGAAGATGAATAAATTTATAATTCATATAATTTACGTAGCAGGAATATTAAGAATGCTGCAAAAATGAAGAATGTTAATCATAATGATAATCAAAAATAAACTTAACAAAAGAAATAAATTGTTGGAACAAGTTTCAACTTCAGAACTATACCACAAGTGTAAGATAAAGTTGAAAAGCAATAATAATTGAAAAATTAGCCAGAGTTTATTGATAAAAAGGAAAGTTCTGACAAAAAAGAGAAAATTTCAATGTTAAAGAAAATAATGAATATATTTAGTCATAATTGATTTGACATGAAATAATAAAATTTTAATATACATAATTAAAATCTATGATATAATTCAATCAATTTTGGGCACATATTTAAGATATGGAGCTGAAATTGGATTTTTGTAATATTTCTAGATCTCATTCTAAAAGTAGTTGTTTAATTTATTAAATTTATCATCAACTTCCTCTTGAGTTTATATAACCTTGTAATTTCTAGCCACCCTTTCACTCATCATTATGAAATCAGGTGGCAGGGGTTAATCGTCAGGTGTTTGATTGAGAGTTTGAAAGTTTTTCATGATTTCCAAGTTCTAATGACTTAAATCTTGAATTGAACCCAAGATATTTTCTAATTTAGATTACTCTACATTTTCATCTTCCAAAATTGCTTGATTTTAAATTAATTTCCCAAGATGAGCTTATAATCTAAATTTTTTATAAATTATCTACAATCTAATATTTGTGAATATGAATTTTCTTCTGTCATGATAATACTATTTCTGATTTTAAGATTTTGCATTCTCAGGTTTAAATACTTCTAATTTAGTTTCTAATTTCTCAATTTCTTCTTTGGTCTAGGTAATTCTCGTTTAAAGCAATCTAAATAGAACCTGAATTAAACTTTTTGAAATCTTGAGTTGTTAACTCTGTTTTTTCTTTCTAACCAATTGATATTCTGTTGTGGTTTTGTGACTGATGCATATAATTACTTAGTTAAAATTTTCTATTGTAAAATAAATAGATATTTTATAATCTCAATTCATGTATTTTTCATATTTCTTAAAATTACGAGTGAGTATATCTTCTAGAGGGCCCAATAATCTTTTAAATGTCTCTCTATCCAAATAAACTACTGTGCATGGAGTCTAAATTAAACTAGAAATAAAGAATACCTCAGCAATCACAGAAGCAGCTCTTGGAGCCTATCTAAGTAATGCAATTTCACCAAAATAATCACCCTCCTTATAAAAATAGACGACTTAAGCAGGCTAACCTAAAAATTGTAGATAAATCATTTAATACTCTGATTCAAGACTTTAGTGGCCACAGCTTCTCCTTTTTCGAGGAAATAGAAGATGTCTCCTTCATCTCCTTCTTTGACAATGTAATCTCCAATATTAAAGTTTTTGCTTTTTAGGGCATCTGCAATTTATGATCTGCTGTAAGGATCAAGTTCTTAAAGCAACTCGACATGAGCTAAAAAGTATTCATATCTTTCTCGCTTTCTGATAGCAGCGTCTTTGACAATGTGATTGAATGTTCCTCTATCCAGAGAAAATAGGACGCAGTTTTCTTCTGCAACTATGGTGGCTGCTCTAGGTGAATTGTATAAGAGTGCTAATTCACCAAAAGATTCTCCTGGTTTATAAGTTTTAAGATGCACAGGATCTTGGCCGGCTTTAGTTCGTGAACAATCCAAAGTTCCTTCGTCAACGATATAGAGGTTGTCGCCGTCATCTCCTTATTTGATGACAACATCTCCTTTGATGCATTGTACGACTTCCATGGCATTGATTACGATTCTCAAATCATGTTCATCTAATTCTGAGAACATAAAGGATTATGCTAATTTTTCTTTGATTTTCTGAATTTGTAGGTGAGACTTTGCGACTATTTTAGGTTTGAAATTGGTTTTTTTGTTATAAATTCCATAGACTTCAGCGCTTACACTTGCTCTATCAGGTCTGATTGGATTATTAGCATATAGTTCATAGTCATCTTCATCAGATTCTGTATCATCGGAAGATTCGACAGTTTCATTGTGTTGATTGTTGTGTAATCCATTTTCAATTTGAGCTAGTGAATTGATGCATAATAAGATTACCTCCTGTTACGCTTAACCATTCGATTGATGCTTGTGTCTATTAAAATCATAGTGAATAAGATATACCACATTGTCAGGCTTTTCTTTAACTAAATAGAGTGCCAATTATTCTAAGATGGGGTTCACATTATTGTGTAGATATTCTTAATCTTAATTTTGCATTTTATTTTATAATCTATAAATCAAATGTTTTTATAATAAAATATATTTAGAGAAATAATGAGAAGCATAATTTATGATAAATATTATTGAATTATATTAAAACGGATTAATAATTAATAAAAATATGAAATACATAGCAATTCTTCTGTTGATTCTTGCCTTGACAAATGCAACAAACATGAGGGCACACAAGAAACACAAAAAAACTTAGAATGTTGAAAACTTGGTTGAACTTGAGTAATGATAGATACATTTTAATCTAGTTCCAAATTTGTGGGAGAAGCATAAGATCTTAGTAGCAATGTTGGAGTCATTTCAGTAACAGAGGAAACAAATAATGATTTTGTTAAGTAGAACAACATCAAGAAGGCTGAAACAAAGGAAAGAAATGCCGTAATGAATGCAATTAAAAAATCCAAATCACACAAATCCTTCATTTAACTTGGTGATAATGAAGTATATGTAGAGGAGACCTTGGATCAAACTCCATAGAAGGAGATAAACTTTGCAGATTTATTCACAAATGACGGTTCATCACCAGATATGGGAAAGCAAGCAATAATTGAAGACTCTCCAAGTCCCCCTATGGTTCATTTACCCCAAGATGAAAATTTGGAATATGTGAGAGCCATCGATAAGTTGGATTTATTAGATGAGAATGGCAAGCCATTACAAGTATTGCCTGAAGAGTAGACACTTTTAGAAATGAGACAATTTGAAAGCAGATTTTAATAGGATGAAACTCCATAAATGGATGCAGCACCATCATGGGATTTATAAAGTGCTTATGAGAAGACTCCAGGATAAAGCGAATTATCACCTGAAGAATTGTAGAGACAAACTGATTAGATGGTCGATAGTTTGAGAGGAGAATTGGAAGATGAAAATATTTGATCAAGTAAAAAAATATATACAATATTAATAATTTAATAACTAACAACTATTTTGGGCATGAAAGCTAAGGTCTCCTAAATTTCTCCTGATAAATTGTATGCTTCTCTCCTCAAAAGGAAAAGTGAGCAAGAGCAGCAAGCTCGTCTAAAATCTCCTATTGTCAATACCAACAAGTACATAAATCATTTTTACTATCTAGATACCTAGTACCAAGCAATAGGAACGGAGGTGGCAATTCTAAAATAGAAGCTAAAAAGACAAGGCCTGCAAGTGGCAAGGATTTGAAAGACATAAGCAGTGTATTGCTCAAAAAAACTCATGCACGTTAGAACAGCAAATTAATCGAAACCAAAGAAAATACACAAAACTTATCAGCTAATGCTTTGTCTATCTTGTTAAAAATCAAATAAGATAAGCCTGAAACCAAATAACCTGTAATTCAGTAAAACAAAGATATATTCAATCAACAAGCCATCTCAAAAAAATATCAAAAATTAATGGAACTGTCTAAGCAGCAACAGCAATCCATAGTTAAATCCAAATTGTTCAAAGGACCTCGTTCAATCAGTAATCCAGATATTTCCAACTTGCAACTCTACATAACTAAAGCAAATGGCTTGAGTTCTCCTGGAATGCTTTACAATGGTTAAACCAAAACCAATTAAGACATCTACAAGCTAATTAACAAATTTAACAATAAAGAAAATGATTGGTATATTCAAGTTTCTGATGGCCATGGTACGAATGGTCATTAAGTAGCTCAATTCTTACAACAAGTGTTACCTTCCTTCATAGAATAGGGTATCATGGGTATCTCATCTTGTTATGATAGAGATAAGTAAATATATATAACAAATCCTTAGGTAACTCAACACAATCCTCAAAAATTGTTTCTTATAAACAAATGAAGAATTACTCGATAGTGGAATTGATGTGACTTACTCAGGTGCAACCACTGTAACAGTAATCTCCTTTGAAAATGTATTATACTGTGCCAATATCGGTGATAGTCGAGCAATTATAGGAAGATTCGATAATAAATTGTCAGTAATTGAATTGTCGAAAGATCATAAACCTGATTGTTTTCTGGAGTAAGCCAGAATCATTCAGAGAGGAGGTCGTGTGTAAGCATATAGTGATGAAGATGGTAATCCAGTTGGACCTGCAAGAGTCTGGAAATCAGATGAGGATGTTCCAGGTTTAGCCATGTCAAGAAGCTTTGGTGATTATGTTGCTAGTTAAGTTGGTGTGATTTGTGAACCTGAAATAATAAAACATTCACTCTTGCCTTGTGATAAGTTCATTATTGTCGCATCTGATGGAATATGGGAGTATTATTTAAACTAAAAATTAGATTTCTCTCTAATGAATGGGTTGTTGAAACTGTTTATGAATATTATAAAAAGGATGATGCTTAAGGGGCTTGTTAACGATTAGTGTAAGCTGCAAGAGAAGCATGGTAAAGAGAAGATGAAGTCATAGATGACATTACAGTGGTAATTGCATTTATTAAATGACTAAATTCTCTCATTGATAATTGTTTTTTTTATATTTAAACATTTTTCATGCTAGAATTACATAATCATTGCTGTGTTAATACATAAGTAAATAAAAGATTTGAGTTTGAAGCCAATTCTATAATATTATTATTCTACAATATTTTATCATTAAGTATTTATCAGAATATTACGGCATAAATGTTGATGCACTTAAAAGAATTGAATAATAATTATGATTAATTAACATCCACTTTATTTGGAACAATAACAATGGCTAGCCTAATTTTAAAAAGGAAAATAAGAACCAGAAGAGTAATAGGATCAATCTCAAGAATATCTTGCAATGGGTTTTGATGATCAAAAAAGGATTCTAAAATTAATAAAAAAGCACAATGGAGATAAGGCTAAGATAGTGGAGTCATTGATAGAAAAGACAAAGAAAAAGGTTAAGAAGGAGGAGATTAATATTATTTAAATTGTTAAAGATACCCAAATTTTATATGTGGATTGTAACAATGTGAAATATGCGAATAGAAATTGGAATGAATTTCATGGAAAATAAAAAGAGCAAATTGTAAAGATGTTGGACATTGTAGCAAGTTGGTTATAAAATGTTAACTCATAATTAAATGAAGTTCATTTGATTTGGGATGTTTATAAAATTAGGAATATACAATAGTTGTAAGGTGAAATAACCTAATTGGATCAATTCAAAAATCTTATAAATTTAAGTTAAGAAGGGAAAAAGATAACATTTTGGATAGAATATGGAAATAAAAAGATATTATTTACTATTCAATCCTCTCAACCAAGAATAGCAGACGACTTAATCGTGGAATTGTGCTTTTAGAATGCATAAAAATCTAAGGAAACAACTGTTGTGACCAGTGATAGAGGGTTGAGAGATAGATTAAAAGAGTGTGGAATTTAAACTTTCATCGGATGTGGAAAATGGTGGAAGTTAGATTTCAATAATGACTAACACTAAATTTGAAAAGAGAGAATTGTATGATATAATATTGATTTTTGTATTAACAATTTTTCATGAAAATTACAATGTTAATTTGAATACTCCAGTCGTTTCACCAAACTCAAGTCCTATTCCTTCATTTAATTGTATATTAGATATATATGGGAAAGTATTTTCATTGCTGTATGAACATTCAACAATTTTCTACATAAAAATTATGAATTACATTGCTAGAACACTTAATGGTTTAGGAAGGTGGTAATCCGTATATTTTCAATCTACTGATAAATAATGGATATGATGCTGGTCCTCCATTATCAGCTCTTACGATTGTAAATTCAGCTTGATTGTCTTATTTGGAGAAGTTAACATTAAGAATGCAGTTTAATTGATCACATTTCTCTACTATCTATAATTATAATACAAATAAATGTTTACCTTTTAATCCGAGAATTCATCTAAGTCGATCATCGTACCGAACGAATCTTTTTCGCCAATTGCTATGACAGCATAATAATGATTTTTAAGATCCTTAACAGATTTCACTTAAGTAATATTTTGTTGCAAGATAATACTACCACCTTTTATGTATAATGGTACATAATCTGTGTATTTACACATAACAAAATGTTCTTACCCTGGATCTTCTAGTTTTTGTAATCTAGATCCACTTAAGAAATGATACCAATAAGACTTGGGGAAATAGGCTTTTCTTATAGTTTGACCTTCTACTAAGATGGGAGTGGCCATCAACTCATCTCCAATAAGAAATTGAGTATCCAACACTTCATCTTTGAAAAGATTAACGTCATCATTAAATTCAAAGAAGACTGGACGAAATATTGTACCTGTGTGATTAGATCTCAAAAACAATGAGTAATACCATTTGATGATAGAATATCTTAATTTGACATTTCTTCTAGCGGCCAATAATACATCGTCACCGAGAGAGTAGAATTCTTGATCCTTGGCTCTGTCATTATTGTGATTTCTGAAAAATGGATAGAGACTACCCAACTACACCCAACGAGCACATAATTTAGGAGTAGTGTTATCTAAGAATCCGCAAACATCAGCGCCAACCATGGGAATACCAAAGATATTGAATTACATTGTAGATCCAACAGATAAATACAGGAATGTATAAGATGCTTCGTTGTCTCCTTCCCAATGCTAAGTAAAATGTCCACTGCCTGGAAATGTTGATCTTGAAATGATGAATGGCAATGGTTTTCCAATTTCCTTTTATGCTTGATAAGTTTCAAAGGATTCTTGCAATCCATACAGATTATGAACATCTTTGTGGAGGTGTTTGCCATAATGGAAGAGATTTGGAGGAAGAGTCATCTTTTCAAGGGGTGACACTCCTGGAATGTAAGGGAATCTAATATGATTGTTTTTGTAAGCTTCATTCACATCAGTGTAGTCCATTGTAGAATTCCATTTTTCTCTTCCTTATTGTAGATCACATTCTCCGTCACAGAAATTAGTTGGTTCATTCATGTCAATCCATAATCCACTGAAATTAGTGCTTTAATAGAGATGTTTGATCATAGTTCTCCAATAGGTTGAACAATTAGGATGAAAGAAATCAGGAAAATATGAAGATCCTGGCCATACCTTGCCTCTGAATCTTTGACCTGTATTTGGAGATCTTAGAAAGATATCTAAGTTGATTCCTTCTCTGAATCCTTTATCTTGTTTACCATACTTAACTCCGACTGCTACATCAATGATTGGGATGTAATTAACTCCTAATTGATTTTAGATTTCTTCGAAGTCATTCTTATGGAATCTCATCTCATCCACGGAAAAGATCTGTCTATCATTCATGTAATCAATATCTGACCATATGGTATCTAAGGGGATATCATGTTCTTTGTGCTTATAAACGTACTCCTTTAGTTTCTGACTGCTTTTGATTGGCCATCTGCTATGATGATAACCCATAGCCCAAAAAGGATGCAATGCCCAACCTCCTAGATATGAGTGATACAATTTAACTGCTGTCTCAGGATCGTAGTCTCCTAAGAAGAGTTTCAATTGCAGTATTCCACCAATATATTTGAATGTCAACTTATCATCTTTATATATGACATCCATTGGAGAACTATTCTTAAAAAATAACACATGGTATTTGCCTGATCTTTCTCTCATCAAATAAACTGGGTGAGATGAATAGACACCTTTGCCTGGTTACTTCCCATCCTCTAATAATTATGGTACATCTTTCGCCATCAGAGTGTAAATTCCTTCCTTGAATCTGAATCCTTTTTGATTTCTCTCTCCCAATCCAAATAAGTATTTGGTTGGTATTTTAACTGTAAATTCGCTGTATAATTCGGAGACTATAATATCATATAAAGACAGCATAGTTTCTTATGTGTCAGCTCTGATAACATTAAATTTAAAAGGGGACTCATCAATTTTAGTTTCGTAATCATAATGTGAACACGCGATTGGATTAATGATATCATTATAAATGCTCTTAAAGGGCTCCATGTCAGATGGAATATGAAATTGTCGTTTTTCAAGATCTTCAATCTTGATATCCAATTAATTGTAGGATTCATACGTAGCAAACACACTCAAATTGTACATCGGATTGTCTTCTCTTTCATAAAACATAGTTTATGTGATGAGTGTTGAATTCTCATAAAGATAAGAAGCCAATATTAAAGGAATGTACAATATTAATAACATAATATATCAATTTTATTTATTGTTGTTATTTTCTCCACCTTCTTATTATTGTTATTATTCTCCCTATTATTCCGAAGATTATTGTTGTTATTGTTCACTTGCACCACCGGTATTACGATACCTAGACATAAATGGAATATGAGTACATTGCTTATCCGATTTTCATAGCTGAATTCTTGACGTTTTCAACGGCATCCTTAAGTCTTTGAACATCATTGGCAGTGAGATTTTCAGTTAAGAGGACTCTCAAGTTTTGAATGGCACTTTCAATTTCTTAAACTTCATTTGGTTGTAATTTGGCCTTGTGTTCATTCAAGGACTTCTCTGTGTTGAAGATTGCTCCATCAGCTTCATTCTTTAAATCAACGAGTTCCTAAGGCATAGATATTATATAATACTCTTCTCTTCTTATCTTCATCCTTGTACTTTTCAGCTTTATTGATCATGTCTTAGATTTCAGATTCACTCAAACCACCTGATGATTGAATGGTGATGGAATGATCCTTTCCTGTTGCCTTGTCTTTGGCAGATACATGGACGATACCATTGGCATCAATATCGAAAGTGACATCAATTTATGGTACTCCTCTTGGAGCAGGTGGGATACCTGATAAATCAAATTGTCCCAATAATTTGTTATCAGCAGCCATTTCTCTTTCTCCTTGGAAGACTCTGATTGAAACTACAGTTTGATTGTCACTGGCAGTTGAATAGGTTTAGCTCTTTTTGGTTGGGATGGTTGTGTTTCTTGGAATCATTTTGGTGAATACTCCTCCCAAAGTTTCAATACCTAAAGAGAGAGGAGTAACATCCAATAATAATAATTCCTTGACATCTCCTTTCAAAACACCTCCTTGAATGGCAGCACCAATGGAGACTGCTTCATCAGGATTGACTGACTTGTTGGGTGGTTTGTTGAAGAGATCTTAGACCAACTTTTAGACCTTTGGCATTCTACTCATACCTCCGACCAAAATGACTTCATCGATCTTGCTCTTGTCAACACCAGAATCTTTAATACAATTTTCAGTTGGTTTGATTGTTTTCTTAAGGAAATCTTCAGTCAAAGATTCAAGTTTGGCTCTTGTCAATTTGAGATTGCAATGTTTGGGACCTGAGGCATCAGCAGTCAAATATGGTAAGTTGATATCAGTTTGAGTTGTTGATGACAATTCAATCTTAGCCTTTTCAGCAGCTTCTCTGACTCTCTAGACAGCCATTTTATCCTTTGAAATATCAACTCCAGCTTATGCCTTGAATTCTTGACTGATCCAATTGGAGAGAATTGAATCAACATCCTCACCTCCACAACTTGTATCACCATTGGTTGCTTTGACTTCAAATACTCCTGCATTAATTTCCAAAATAGAAATATCGAATGTACCACCTCCTAAATCATAAACTGCGATGATCTTGTTATCCTTCTTTTCCAAACCAAATGCCAATGCAGCTGCTGTGGGTTCATTGATGATTCTCAGAACATCCAAACCAGCAATCTTACCAGCATCCTTGGTGGCTTGTCTTTGTGAGTCATTGAAATAAGCAGGTACTGTAACGACTGCCTTTGATTAAGGTTTTCCAATGTAAGCATCAGCGGTTTCCTTCATTTTTATTAAGACAAAGGCTCCGATTTAGGATGGGGAATAGGTTTAACCACCTAGATGATTAATAATGTATGTTTACTTTTCAAACTAACCCAGGCATCACCATTTTAAGCTCTCACAACTGAATAACTTAAATGCTTGATGTCTTTCTAAACATTTGGGTCGTCATATCTTCTACCAATCAATCTCTTTGTTGCATAAACTGTGTTTTCAGGATTTGTTACAGCTTATCTCTTAGCTGGTGCTCCCACTATTCTTTGTCCATCAGCAGTAAATGCAACAACTGACGGTGTTGTTCTCATACCTTCTGCGTTCTCAATAACTTTGGGTGTTCCAGCTGAATATATACTACATCCATACATTCCATAATTGAAACACAAGAGTTTGTAGTACCTAAATCGATACCAATCACGTATTCTCCCTTCATGACCTTGCTACTGAATGCATTCACAGTGTGTTAGTTCACTTTTGATGTTGATCTCAATAATTTGCTGAGCATTTAATTACCTCAAATTAATTTTTAATTCCGAATCGAAATCAATCTCCTTAATTATCAAAATTTCCCAATTATTCTAGAAATATCCATTAATTATTATTATATATTATATTTATTCATCTCCTCCTTTTTCCTCGTTCCACTTCTCCTCAATGCCAATGTTGCATCTCCATCCACCCTCATCCAGTTTCTGAACAACTGACAATCAAAATTATGTTAAATTTATTAATCATCAAATTTTAAATATCTTTTAATTCATTTATATTCAGAATAAATAATCAAATGCTCTCTCCTCAAGGCGATTAAAATCTCAAAGGTTGAGTCTCATCCAAACTCTGTCTTTGTTGATCATTCTCTGCTTTCGAACTGTACTACGAGTACTTCTTCAATTGCCAATTCTCCTATTGCAACAAATCCCTCCTCTCAACTTTATAGTTCTGCTTCTTCCTATCACTTAACTTATCAAAATCATCTTGCACCAAAATCGTCGGCCTAATTGACATAAACCTATCTGCTTAATCAACCATATTTACTTTAAAAATGATGTAACCACCGTTATAAAAGAAATTGCTATTCTACAATATGTCAAAATTTCCAATTCCCCCTCAAACTTCACAGCCTAACTCACTGTAAAATAAGTCTAAATCACTATCTATGGCAAGTCTTCAAATATAAACTATAGAAAATAGCCCTAAAATAATTAACTATTTATTCTACTTTCACTAAATTACTCATTGATTTACCAGCTGAATTTGGTACTATAGCTCTTGTAAATTTATTATTTGGTATTACTGACACATTGTACGGTGCAATTGAATCCAATAAGTTTGATAAGGCAGCGTTTCTTCCTTAAAATCCAATTGTATAAAAGTCGTTAATGAATTAGGATGACAATTATTGTATTTATCTATTTTATTTGGATATTCTTTTCAAGATTAAATACATGAAGTAGAGAAAATGAACCCCTGAAGTAGCAGCAGTTATTGCTATGGTTAGATAAAACAATTCATTATAGTTGCAATTCTAAAGTACTAAAATGAATGTCACATCACCAAAAAGGTCAAACTTAAATAATTAGGACATGAAAAATTAAATAATTCGATTCACTATTGCTGCTTATCTTGATTACCCTGCACTTTGTATGCGAGAGATAATTTACTCAATCGATAGTTCAATTCTAGATTTTCTCTTTTCCTTAAACTATCTTTCAATTATTTGAACACCATTTGTATCCAAAGCACTCGATTTTAGTTTGTAATCAGTAATCTCAATTTCTGATTCATTAAATTATACTGCATGTTCCAAAGCTGTAACGTATTCTGGAATTACATCCGAAATTGAAAAGTACAGATATCCCTCAACCAAAGCAGATATAACTGCAAATCCAGCATAACAATAGTACTACAAATATCCTTAAGTTACTTAACATTATTATTCGTTTTCTTGGGTAACAAATTCAGTCAAGAAAAATGGTGCGACTAAGGCAGCACCAAAAAATAAAAAGTTTGTTAAAACTAAAAGTAATAGATTTAATTTCTTAGTCGATAAATAATTGTCCAACTTTTTGACTGAATCATCAAAAACGTATTTTTATGTAGGTTTTACAAAAGTATTATAAAAGTTGTACTTGGTCATTCGAAGCAAATTAGACCAATAATTTCCTTGGGCTTCTCTATACGCTGTTTCTCTCAACCCATATCCAATACCGATGTTCAAAAAGTCATCAAATTTATAATCAATAACTGAATATTAAAAGTAATAGGTGTCATATAATATAGAGTACAACCCCTTTATTGCTTATAGACTGAGTGTTCCTTAAATTCTGATCTTCGAGGGAGGAATCAATCTACACAATGAAATGAAGTCTCTCTCCGTATACCCCTTTTCCAACATCTTTTCAACTAGATCATCGTTTAATGTATATTCCATCAATATTTAATCAATTTAGCACTAATAGAATTGAATATTTTCCCAAATTTGCAGCACATCAAATTGGTGTAACTTTTCCAAAGACTAAGAATCCGCTTGGATTAAACTAATTTTTTTAATTTTGTTTTCCTTCTAACTAAGAAATCTGTAAGTCTCTCTTTAAAAGATCATATAATATGGGTATGGCTTTGCTGGTTTCTCCTTTGTGTATCTAAATAGATTTGAGAACTTGTCTAAAGTGGCTAAATTTATGATTAGGTGAGAATCTTCTGGGTTCGAAAGTTTTAAGATTTATAAATAATGTTCCAAAAAGTTTAGATGGAATTAGGAGAACTTTAAAATTTCTGCGCATTCAATGTGACTGGGTATGATCAATTCAGTTGTATTATAGATTAAGGAATTCAAAATTTCTATTTGATCTCCTAAATTAATTGGAATTTCATCGTAGATACCTTGCTTCCAACATTTATAATCAATTTTAATGGGTAAATCCTCAGGAGCTTAATATTATTATGATTTTTGAGACAAATATTAAGCTATCATAGTTTTTAGAGTCACATTGTAACATAACAATGTATGTAATGGAAGTAATTTATTTTTTGAGACAGCTGCTCTTTTTTTAGCGGCATTCATTATCGAATTCAACTTCTCCTCAGAATCTAGTTGAGTACTAGTCATATTTAATTCTATTAGGAAAACCTTTGGATGAAAAATAAAATTATTAAATATATCTTTCCATCCTACTTCAGTTAAGAAATTGTTCTTGGAAAAATTCAATCTCTTCAAAGGGAATTAGAAATCCTTTGATTTTGAATTTAAATATTTTAATGCATTATAAGAGATATTGTTAGCTATTCCATCATTCAGAGCCATAAAATGAAGATTCAAGATTTCCAAATAAGGTGCCTTGTCAGTAAAAACAAAAGTTCTTAAAAACTTCTACCAAACTGCTTTATCTTAAAATAACTCATTTTTTCCAATGTCCAAATAACGAAGCGGAAATATCTTAGTGAATTATCTTTGGTTTCTCTTCTGAAAATGCAACCAATCAACTGCGTACTTGATCATATCAGTAACCATCCTATCATCCAATTCTATGGCCTGTAGTTCTATTCGTTCTATATTTATATATTCATAGTAAATTAAATTATTAAACAATAAGTCCATGCCTTCCTATCCAATGTGGAATGAATGCAAGATGCATATTCTTTTTAATGTCAAATAAAAGGATTTCTAACGCCAAGTATATGTTATTCTATCTCTCAACTTCTATGCTGAATTAACAATCGCTTTGACAGCAGGTATTCTTAGATCACAATTCATCAACACTAGTTCTTCCAAAACACTATCTTCATTGTATATTATCTTAGATGAAATCAAAGTCAAAGCATCAACATCTAATTAAATTTTAGAATTATAATCAATTCCCATATCCAATTTTAAATATCTAAATTTATAAATGGAGTAATTCAGTTATAAATTAGCAAAACTAACAGCATCCCTCAATATTAAATCTGTAAATCCAAACATTTCATTAAAGATTAGATTATAATAAAAAAAATAAGTGTCCTCGTGCTCTATTTTATTAAGTTCCAATTTGCTTCCTAATTTTGGAGTCATATAAACTTAATGCAATTGATAATTCGCATCGTTCTACTTTAGATATATTATTTTGTGAATCTTCAAATGTTTCAAAGTTTCAACTGACTTCTGGAGAAAATAGAACAGTTCCATATCAACACTTATCTCTGCATTGATGATGAGACTTTTCAGTTTCAATTTCTATGTCTTGCATACTTCAAATATATGTTAGAATATGCTATCTGCATTTGGAGTTGTAATTTCCAAATACTCTAATTAGCTCTCCTGAAGAAAAAGCAGAGTAAATATCTTATAAATTGAGGACATGTGATTTTTGCCCTTATCATCTACCGATATTTTTAATTTCTCTATTTTGCAAATGCTTTCTGTTTAAATTTCGAATTGCTTTATTTAGTCAAATAGTATTCCTTTCGAAATGGACAGAAATTTGATTGGAAAGACTTTACCCAAAATAAAGTAATTTAAAAATTTATTAGATTAATCTGATGTCAATTTGTCTTCGCAATTTTCGATTGACAATTTTTCAAGCTAGTAGGATTATCGTTTATCACATATAGTCAAGAGGATCTATAAAAATTATTCCTTGAATCCATTAATAGATAATTTTTTTAAATTAATTTGATTATTACAAAGAAATAGACTAAAGAATTGCTCAATACTTTGTTTACTTTGAGTAGTAACTTAATTTATATGAATATTCTCTAGTTTTATAAATGAAATTTGTAATGTGTTTTCAGGTTTTGATTCCAAATATTTCTAAAAAAAGTCAATGGACTTTTTACAACAAGTCATAAATAAATCTAAATCTAAATGAGACAATTTTAGCTTTCTTAATTCACTACCTGGGAATAAAATTAACCCAGTTATGATTCTCGAATAAATTTAACTTTTCATTTCAAGGTATTCTAATTATGACTAACCATTATTTTTAAGAATAAAATTCTGAAATTCCAAATCAATATTTATTTGTTACAATTATTCTGGAAATTAAGGTTTAAAAATTTATGGGTTATAATACAATTTAGACTTTAAACCAAGTAGAGATTATGTGACAAATTACGAATTTTCATTAATTAGCATATTAATATCATCTTATCTAGTATCTTAAAGGGCTTTTTCAAGCTAAAGAGGTTCATTCAGATGAAGGATTGAGTTAAATATCTAGGTTAAATATTTAAATTACATTAATCCATTAATTTTCTGAGATGTCAGGATTATTTGATAAGTTAATTTATCTCAATGAAAAGATTCTTTTAAACTCTAGAATCTTACTTGCAATTAATTGTAATTGCTTACATATTGGATTAATCATATCATCATTTAAATTACAATTATCTAAATTTAGTGTCTCCAGTAGTTATCTGTCAAAATTCAAGATTAAATTCTCAACCATCCATTCAAATAAATTAGTATCTGTAATAGAACAACCCTTCATAGTGAATAGTTTCAAAGCAAATTAGTTGATTTCTTCAATGTAATTTTCTCTCACTTTCATCATTGCTTAAGTTAAATTCTTGCACCTAATGATTTCAAGTTTTTCAATCTGACTGATAGGAAAAAAAAATGATAAAAAGTCATAGCTCAAAGAGCAATCTATAAATCTAAGTTCATTAAGTGATAATAAGGGAATTAATTCAGGATCTTAGGAAGATTTTATATTTTAAATAAACAAAGCTGAAATTTAAGTCATACCTAAAGTAAAGTTATAATCCAAGTTTAGAGAATTGAAAACTAGTGACTATAATTTTCTATTTGAAAAAATGAAAGTTTAAGCTAATCGATTCCACAACTCTTTTGTTTATACTTAGAATTCTTCAAATTCCAAATAACTTAAGTCCTCTAATGGATTGACATTCTTTGGTATTATGTTAGCTTACAGATTTTCAATAAGATTATTAAAATTCACAGCTTTTATAGTTAAATTCTTCAATCTGATAAATCGACTGAATACTATGTATTTAAAAAACTCCTCTTCTCCAGTACCTTATAAATCTCCAAATTTCAATTATCTTAACCCCAATATCCTATTGCAATCTGTTAGATTTTAAACAATCAAATCTAGTTCTCGTAAAGTTAAGGAAGATTTTGTAAGCTTGATTTTATAGAAGTGAAACTCTTTCAGTTAGATTTTAGGAGAGTAGATCATCAAACTAATCAATTTTCCTACATCAAAGGAGATGTTTGTTATGGTATCTAATTTTAAGATTGATAAACTATGTACAAAAGTCTCTGGCATTTCATTCAAGAAATTCTAAATTTAATTCAAATAAACGCTTCCTTCACCCTAAATCTATATAAATGGTTATTACTTTCATTTCGTCTTTGAAGTATTTAAATGTCCTTAATCTTATATTTGGAGTTAATAAAAAACACTTAAAGGTCTAAACATCCAATTCTACACAAGATGAAAAAAATTTTAGGCAACTTAAGGAATACTTTATCTTAGGATTTTTGTGAATTGACTCTAAGATGTAGGCTGCAGCCAATTTTAAAGCTTCTTTTCTATTTTACTTAGCAAAACTTTTTACAAATCTGAAACTTTCTATTTCCAAAACAGAGTTTGTAGTTGTAAATAAATAATCTAGAAAAAACTATTTCATAACTTCAACATTCATAGAATATTCTGGTTCAGAGTCTAGCATAATCAAATGCTTTAAAGTTAACTAAAAATTTTGAAGATAGTTTAATTATTTTTTCCTTACATTAAATTCTGATAAGAATTGATTTAGGGCCTTACAATATATTTCAGCTCTTCCTATATCTAAGTTCTAAATAGCTAAATATTATCTAACTATAAATACTATGAGTTCTAACATTACTGTGCTCGGAGAATATCATGACCTTTAGTAAAATCTCTATTTGATCATATCTATTAAAGTTTTCTACTTTTGATAAATCTAAGGTTTGCAAATTGTGTTTATATCTATACTTGCCTTAATAAATTATAGATTATACCTAGTACTGCTTTTTCTTATTATTTTTATTTTTAAAATTCCTCATTCTGCGTTTCATAGGCCTAAGTCAAAACAGCTATTTTATAAAGAGTACTGTTATTCTCTGTAAGTGAATTGTTTAAGTTGATGGATTTGCATTTTAAGAAAATATTGTTTGCTAGTAATTAAAAGGCTTTTTCGAATATATTTGAATTCTCTGATATATCTAAATGGTTAACTCTAAAGCTATCGTATCTATCTCCAACAAGTGAATAAATGGCATTCGTATTATGGAACAATGGTTGATTTCTCAACTTTAAGGAAATCAATCCCTTGGCTGTGGCTAAGTTTTAACAAAGGATATTAAAACTACTTTAAGTGCCTAAATAATTGTCCGATATATCCAATGAGGAAATTTATTCCAAAGTTTCTAAATTGTAAGTACATTATATTAAATGCTCGAATCCTTTCCAATTAATTTAAGTAAAACAATTAGATAAAAGGAAACTGAAATAGAATGTTTGATCTATTTTCTTTAGGGCTATCTCCTTTTCTTCTCTGATTCTCTGCACCTGCCATAATCTTGATACTTTTATTATTGCTAAAGAGTATTTTGATTTGTTCTTCAATAATAGATAATAGAAGTCAGGATTTTCTTCGTATTTCTTAATCAAGTAATGTTTCAATTTTCTTAATAAAAAACCCTTATAAACACCAGGATTACTAATTATAAAGAGCTAATTTAGTAGATTAAGGTTATACTTTTTCTAGGTTGATATTTCTTTCAAACAATTGGAAGATGAGTTTTTCAACACTTTAATCATCTAATTCGTTGTGTTGGAATTCTATAACTAAATTCTTTGTTTTAACCCAACTAAACCATAAAGGGAGAATCAATAAGTTATCTTCTTCAAGCTTTGTATCTATGATTCTAATTTATTAAATGGAATAGTCTCCTCTCAACCTCAATTCAATCATTTTCCAATGTTCCAATTTGAAATTACCCTTATACCCTTTGATTGTAATTTTTTTATCATAATGGCAGGCCTAGCATAATTGCTATTGATATAAATCTACTATACTGATAATTCATCAAGTTGATCTTCAATGCTTTTGGGTGGTTTGAATTTGAATTCTCCATTAGGGAACTTATTTTTGTCTTTTTTCTCGTGAATCTCCTTTTTAAAGCTGGATATCCACGTTTTATGTTTTTTAATATCGTTCACATATACATTGGGCTGCATGAAATAATATCAATTATATTTAAATTGATTAAGAATATCAATTAGATAAAGTCTAAATTGTGTATTTTAGATTACTTGATTATTTTGTAAATTTGAGATATATTTTATTGTATCTAAGGAGAATTTACTTCGAGTTTAAAAATTCAAACCGTAATTTTGGAAGAAGGATAAATTCAATTTAATTACAATATTTTACTGTTTCAGTCTCCTTAATTATTAATAATTTTAGATTAATTATGATACAATATATTTATTTCCTTATTCAACGAACAACTTATAAATAAGGTTATAGAATATAAAATTGCCAACAAATTCTATATATACTGTGTGTGATACATAAAATCATAATTATAAAAAATCAATTTTACTTAAAATAATTTTTCCGAACATCTCCAACAATTCCTGATCAAATGAGCTAACCTTTTGAGACCTAATTCCTTTGTTGTTAATAACCTACAAAATCACCGATTGATTCTTCCCTTCAATTTCAATGCAATAGATTGGCATTGTAGTTTGAATATCAACTGAAATATAACTTAAACTAAAAACCTAAATTATTGAACGACTAATGATTGTAAGCATTCTGAACCCACAGAAACTCTTTGACTCTATGAGCCTCCCCTACAATTCCAATTCCTAGTTATGATACCTCTAGTAACTTCTTTTCATTAACCCTTAACAATCGATTATTATTAACAACATAAACTAAGCCTTTTTATGTATGAAACAAGTTCTTCAACAAGTTTTCTGCTTCGAATAAGATTTGTTCCGAATCATTCATATAGACTAATTGTAATTAAGCCTAAAAGTGAATACAAATTAAATACATGTATGATATTTCTGAGAGCATTTTAAATACTAATTGATTCACTTGATTATTGATGATTTCTCAATAATATTGATATCATTTCTGATGTTTTCGAAATGAATAGTTGATCATCATTATTAAAATGACCAATTAGTTTATTAACTCCCATAATAACTCCATTAGAATTCTGTTGCTTATCCAAAATTGGACATAACAAAATTGTATTTGTTTTGTAACCTTTATCATTTTCCTTTTTGAATCGAGGATCATTGTACGCATTATGAACATTGATTAAACCTCTTTCCTAAAAACATGCTCCAATTATGTCTTCATTGGCTTAGATTCTCAAGACTCTATCTTTAGTTTTGGTCCATAATTCCTAATGTTCGCTGTCTAATACGTAAATTTGAACCTTATCACAATTTAGCGAATCTCTCAATAACCCTTGCAAACTCTCTAATTAATCATTCAAAGGAATTTACTAATATTAATCACTACAATTATTATTACTTCGTATATCTATAAGCATGCATCAAATAGTTTATTTTGCTTGATTACATTCTTGAACAATAATTTATGTTCCTACAATACTAGTTAAATTGCATCAAAAATGTGAACTATATTGCTCAATTCCATTTTCTAAATGTTTGCAAAGAACTAATCTTCATTAGAAACTAAATTCTTAATTTATGTCAAATGATTTAATTCTTCATAGCATTTTACATATTGACTCAGTAATGCTCAAACTAATTCTAATATAAATACCATAGTCAGAATCTAGGATGGCGGAGAGATTCTCATCAAAATTGGTGTCTTTTGTTCTGGTCCTCAATGATTTCTTTGGACCCAAACTAGGAGTTCTTGATGAATCATCAGTCTTTATCATAGGTTTCAATGGATTCACGACCTCAACTATTTATTACTTTTCCACTCTCAATGCGCTAATAATGCAATCTCTTTTTTCTATTGCAATTTAAAGGGATTTAATCATGAATTCATATTGTTGAATTTATTTGTCCTTTTAGATTACTGCTGAATTGAGTTATTAAACTTGTTTCACTAATTTTTAAATCAATTCCTGCAACTCTTTTTCGCTTTGTTGCTTCAATTTTAGATTCATCACATCACTTAAATTTGGCAATTTCTATTGACTGTTGCTTCCTAACTTATCTATTGATCTGTAGTTTTGGGATGTTACAGGTCTTCTTATATTTTAGACTGAATTATTCATATATAATTAAAAATGATTTTCATGCATCATAAAATTCATCTTTCCCTTCTTCATAAACTTATTATGACTTCGAAAATCTCTTTAACACATACGACACAAATGCTAAAAACAATATAGCAAATATGATGCCGTTAACCTAATAATTTGAAATTTAATAAGTACCAACAAAAATGTCTCCAAGAAGAAGTATAAAGCAGGAGCTTCGGATAGGCAATCATTGGGTGCCATATACATGCGTCCTCCATAAAACAATAATAATGCTATGTATATCCCAAAACAAATGTCAAGAAAATTGAAAAACAAGTTGATTGCAGCATTTTTATATCTAATTCAATTTAGAGCATATTACATACCGTGGTATTAATGTGATTAGTATATAAGTACCCCAGATGATTAATCCATAGAATACTAAGTGAACAAACAATTACAAATTCTGATTGCATTTCTGCTCAATAAATTAAGTCTCTATTATTCCAGAGGCTGAAAGGAATATCAAAGTGTAAAAAAAGTGAGCTCCTTCACTTGCCTTTAATTGCTTCTTTGCTTCTATTTCTTGCATTTTTAATAATTTTATTTATTATTTATAATTATACCTTTTAACGATGAATTTGATAATTGCAATGTAATTATTATAATAATAATATAATACATTCCCAACGGCACACTTGTTTATTTCACTAATCTATTGATTTATTTTTTATACTTTTTAATAAAAGTTTCTATATGAATTCAGTTCCTCTTCATGAATTATATCTGAATTATATGAATTGTGATTAATAAAAATAAGATCTATCGATCATTAAATATATGGGTTTGTTGTATAAATGTAATATCAATTTGATCATAGAATTATCTAATTTGTTTAAGGCGGTAAAATGTTCTAAATTAAGATTGTAAATTAATTACTTTAAAACACATTTTTTCTTAAAATGGAATATATTCCAGAAGACGATGAAGTGCTCTAAATCCCAATTAAAAAGAAACCAAAAATATAAGAACCACACAATGCTAATTTAAACTCAAAACAATAAAATTGCTCATAATAAGCGAATAACAAGTCTAATCAAAAAAGAATAGATCTAAAAATATAAGCATCTTTGTTAGATTCACTTAAATTTACTGAGAACATTCAACCTGATATTCCAGAATCAAGTTTGAAGGTTGATTTTACTGAATGGGAGCATTAGAATTTTGTATTTAAATTGAGACAATAATCTCAAAATTCAAAAGTTGAATATGACGATAAAATCATTCAATATTTTAGTGACTTTAATTAAAAGTGGAATATCTATCCTTATAAGCATTTTGTAGATTTAAAACCTGAAACAGATTATGTTATTATGAAATAACCATTGTGTGAATCCAAAAAAGTAAACAAAAAATATAAGAGGCAGAAATAAATAAAAGTGATTCCTTTGAAATAGAGTGATAGAATGACAGCTATAAAAATTAAACTTGAGCTTAAATGAATTATTTTACGTTATTAATTTATTATATAAATATATATCATTTATTTTTTCTTAATTTATTTGGACCAGATCTTTTATTTTTAGTTTAGTTCTATTATTTCTAGAATAGAATATTTATGATACTTCAAGTTTTTCTAAAGCTTTTTTCTTGAATTCTTCTACTGATAATATTTTATCTCCTTCTATATCATCCTCCTCATGTTCATCTACTATAAGTGAAATAACAATACCAAATTATGGCAATTCAGCCCTATTTTTATTTTATAGATGTTTCTCATTCATAGCCGCTAATTATTGCAAAGAGTTGATTTAGTTTTCTGATATCTTTTGATGAATTTACTAATAGTATTACAACAACTTATTTGTTTTATTCTCTATTAAACCTAAATATATCATCATATTAGTATCAGTGACTCCATGAGATCCAGCAATTTCAGTAGCCATCTATTTATCACATTCAACAGTATTAAATAAAGTTTCAATCCAATTCTAGTATTGAAATTAATACTCATACAGTTAAGCTGTTAATTAATTTTAATGAATCATTGTATTTGAATTCGTATTGTTCTGACTTTGATTCAGCTCTCGATAATTTTTCTTCAAGGTCTTTCAAGTGTCTTTTTCTTTAGACATCCACATTTGATCCCTATCCTTCATATTGAGATGCTTCTTCCTTTAATTCTCCTATTTGCTTTTCAAGATCTTCGATTTCATTACTCAGTTCATTAACATATTTAAACATTTGAAAATTCTGATAAAATCAATACATTAGAGATACCTTCTCTTCATTTTAAATGAATATTTTGATTAATTCATCAAACACCTTGATTTAGGTTGCTGCCTATATTTTGGCAAAATCTTCTTCATATTTCATGATTTATTCAACAATAGTTTAATTTACTGTTTTATCTCTAGTTAATTTGGTAGTTTTGGGTTTAGTTAACTTTTCTGGATCTACTACTTCTTGAGTGTCCATTTCCCTATTCTTTTCTGTCAATTTCATATAATCTAAGGTTTTCTTATTTTTTTCCATAATTTAACTCAATTCTCTCAAATCCTTTTCAAAATCAGCAGATTCTCTTTTTGCTTACTATTTTAAACTTTGAATCAGATCATTGGCTTTATCTCTTTCTTCATATGCAGTATTGGCAGTTTCAATAATATCGGCCATTTCCTATCCATAGCTTATAAGACATTACTTTCCTCTTTTCATGCAATTCTTTCTCTAATTTTTTGTATAAATTATCGAAAATAACACGTTCTCTTCTTAAACTGTCAATTTGCTATCTCAATTGTTTATTAATGGCTATGGCTTCATTAAACTTTTGATTTGTTTTGTCCAATCTATTTTCCAAAATCTTTATTTATTTTTATAAAGCACTCTCATTTTCTGCTCCTGCATTGTAACCTCCAAGAGCATGTCTCTTTTCAATTATCTTTTTTTAAAAATCTGCAACATGAGTATCAATTTCCTCTTATGATTTCTTTTCTTCATTAATTGCTACTTTCAAATCATCAATAATAGTATCAATGTTAGGTCCTTTAGAATATGTAGTTTAATTTAATTATAGTTTCTGAGAATTCATTTTAGCAATCAAGTCCTTTAAAATATAATTCTCGTTCTTCAGTTTGTCTATGATCCCCCTTTGTTTCTTAATGTTTGCAACTGTTTCTTCAGCATATGCCTTCCTGTCAGATTCCAAGTTCCTAAATTTCTTCTATTGTTCCAAGAGTTGCTCTGAAACAGTCATTTCCTTATCAGCCATCTAGTTGTCCATCCCTTGATTTTAATCCTATTACATTCCAAAAAAAGAATTAAAATTCTAAATAAAATAAACAAAAAAATGAATATTTTCAAAGAATAACAATCAATAATGCCCATCTCAAACATAATGAATTACTCCCTATCATGATTCCTAATTTTCTAGGGTTTTAAAATAAAGATCCAATATTAATAGCAACATAGTAATTCAATTATTTATGTGACCCCCATTACTCATAGAGTGCTTATGGAAGGAGTGTGTATATATTGACAATTGATTTGAATGGCTGTTTTAAGAAAGGTCTTTATGAATTTATTAATACTAATCTAAATTATATTTATTTTCATGATTAATCATTTCTTGCATAAATGGCAGCAACCTTTAGGAGATCCTATTGAATATGAGGAAATCAAGAGATATGATGATGGAAGAAGAGTAAATTTCTATATGATTACGATAGAGATATGATAAAACAATAAGGGAAAAGGGTGGAATAGAGTACTATTTAGTATCAAAAAAATTTATTAAATAATGGAAATATTATGTGGATTATTATGAAGAAATGGGAGATCAATAAAAGGAGGCCAGGAAGAAAGTTTTGAAATTTAAATATATTAGCCTGATAAAATGAATTCAGATTTGCAATGCAATGAAAAGGTTTTTAAATATATACCTGAAGATCATGTTTATAATTCCAGCATTCGTTATTTGGAAAATGAATGGGATTATGAATACGTAATAATAAACATCAAAAAAATTAGATTCTTAAAGAAGTTTTTGATATTTTTAAAGAGAAATACTCATCAATTGAACCATAAAAAAGAATTGGATTCTATTCTGAGAACGAAAAAAAAAAAGTTGTTTATCCCAATTTGGCTAGAGTATACAATTTTATTAATTCTAGTTTACATTGATCTACTAGTCCTTAAGAGACAACAAATTTTATAGTGTCAAAGCCTAAGTAGACCATCATTCTGAAATCAAAGCATGGTTAGACCTACTAAAAGCGACATTCCAAGATGAATTCAAACAAAAACAAATTAGCAACATCAGAATCTGGTTACCGAGACATCAACACCTCAAAGTTGATCTGTTAACCGAATAGATAGAATAAACCATGCTTGTCGACGGAGATGTCTTATAAGAAAATCTCATGGTCTTCCAACTGTAAGCGAATAGGGATAATTGTTTGATCCTCGATTTCGAATCAAACCAATGGCAATTTAATAAAATGGATTAATAATAGTAAATTGAAAATGATATTGAACTCCTCTTTAACAGAGCCTCTAAGGGTTGTGGTAAATACGTATGTGATTTTGCTTAATGCAAATTGAACAATGGTTTTCTAGAACAGGATTTTAGTTAAGATGACATCAAAGGGATTTGTTAATAGTTGGTAGAGAATGAAGAAGTCAATTGGGAATCATTGTGTTATCCAGTCTAAAGCATCAATGATAAATTGAGTCCATTTTAAACATCTGAATTTTAAATAGATTTGCATGAAGCCACTCTCAGAATCTCTTTTTAATTGGAAATATTTGGAGCTTCTTTCGTTGAAAACTATTACAACAAGGCTGGTATATATCAAATTGATCCTCAAAATGCAGAAGTTGATACAAACCTCATTATTGAGACTTAAAAAAGGTTTATCAAATACAAAGGGGATTTCAGTTTAATAATAAATAACTTATTTTCTTAAAGGGAAAAAAACTTAGAACAGTTGACCAACTTATATCAATTGAGAGCACTCTATTTGATATTATAATTTCGTAGATTCTTGGAATCCATTATTGATGAAAAATCTCAAATAATTTTGAAGATCATAAGAAGACTAAATAAACCATAAAAATAATAGTTATCTAGATGGTTTACAAATCTGTCAAAGGCAGAGTTTGAAGGGACAACGAAGGTTGTTAAAAAGTTAATAAATTCTGAAATTTTAAGACAACAACATACTCCTCTGATGCCATTTTTAGAAATAGAAGACACACAAAAGATGGTAGGTTTATTTGAATTATTTCAAATTCTAAAAATATCTAACAAAATGAATACTAGATTATAGTCTTCAGATTTCGTAATTGATTTGATAACGAAATTGTATAAGTAAGATGCAGACAAAGAGGAATTTTCACAATTTCGTTATTATGCAGCTAAGTAATGGAGAAATTATTCGTTTACCTTTTGTTTATATGCTTGGTCCATCCCAATTGAGTTTAAATCAAAGTTGTTGAGTCTGGATTGCAAAGTCAAATAACACGATAGCATGAGTCATTCAGTAAAATATCATTTTACTGGACAAGCTCCATATTTAAATTTATCAATTGAGAGAAACAATATTATAGAATCAGCTATTAAATAACTATAAATAACGCATATCCCACTTAAGAATCCCTTGAAAGTGTAATTTATAGGAGAACAGGGAGTGGATGAAGGAGGTCCAAAAAGAGAGTTCTTCAGATTGATGATGGAGAAATTGATTTCACCAGATTATGGCATGTTTATCCCTAAAAACAATGGAACCGTGTATTGGTTCAATCCGTAGTCCTTTGAAATTCCTATATACTATTCTTTGATAGGGAAGTTGTTAGGATTGGCTCTCTATAATTAGGTGCTGCTAGACGTACGATTCCCAACAGTCTTATTCAAAAAGTTATAGAACGAAAAGGTTACTGAAGAGGATCTTAAAGAGTTGGATATGGAAATCTACACAGGATTTTAGTATTTGAGAGAACAAACAGATTCTAATTTAATATAGAGTCTGGCTTTGAATTTTAATGCAAGTTATGTTGTATGGGGAGAAGCATACTTTGATGATTTGAAAGTATAAACTATTTATATATGTACAGCCTAATGGATTTTAAATTAACGTCACCAAAGATAATAGAGAAGAATATATAGAATTATATACTGATTGGTACTTAAACAAACTAGTGAAAAATCAATTTGATTTATTACATTCAGGGTTTAAATCTGTAGTTGATGGAGATGGTATTAAGGTAGTTGATATTATCAGAATTAGTTATTCTCAGGAGAAGAGTTACAGGCTCTAATAATAGGTTTGCCACATTTTGACCTCAAAGACCTAGAATTAGTTACAAAATATGATGGGTTCGATGATAAGTCTGAGTATATAAGGTATAAGGATGATTGTATATCAATAGGTACTTCTGGAGTTGCATACATTCCTTGAGTATTGAGATGTAAAAGAGATTCTTGTTTTTCTGTACTGGGACTGATAGGATTCCTGTGGGAGGACTGAAATCAATAAAGTTTGTTATTTAAAAGCATGGTGAAGGTAAGATTTGCATAACGACATTAGATACTGAGTAATTGCCATCAGCTCATACTTGTTTCAACGTTCTATTATTGCCACTTTACAAGAAGAAGGAAACATTGAAAGATAAACTTATGATATCTTTGGATAACGCGGAAGGCTTTGGATTAATGTGAATTATAAATAAAGTTATCATTTATAATAAAAAAATAGTTGAAAACTTTTGCTTGAATTACTTTCTCTAACTACAAACATGAACCAAATCAAACTGATTCAAAAATTTCATCTGGATTTAAATCTCTATATTTCTCAAATGGGTACTTTTCTTAATATTAAACTACCCTTCTAATATCGCTTTTTAAGTCCCTTAACTACTACTATAAATCATTACTCATTTAAATGTTGATCCAAAAGCGACCTTAATGTATCAAACATCAATTAAGGTTGAATTCTTTTTCCTTCCAGCATTGGAATTATAATTTGGAGTTGAATATTTTCGTCCTCTAGAGGTTTCTAATATTTAAATTAGTAGTATTTTAATTCTTACAAGTTTAATATTTGCTTCATTTAAAAATATTCTGTTCTTATATTCTTGACTTATTTCTGGTACATAGGATATAAATTGATATCTTTTGCACATGATTATAAAATCCTCTAAATAGCAGTGATATCCTTGTTTAAAATATAAGATGGGTGAATATCAGTTATGATACTATGGATAAATCCCATGCAATAAAGAAGCTCCTAATATCCTAATAATTACAAGCACAAAACAGAAATCATTATTTTAATATCGTTCTCATCTTAATATTTTTTCCAAATCGACTTATAAAAATAATATTTTCTAAATTGGACTGTTTGTATTTTGAAAATTTCATATTCTTCTAGGTTTACTATTGGATGTAGAAAAAATTGATCAAATGAAATTCTTTCCTCTTCCTCATAAACAATCATCTTTTCCAATAAATCAACAATTTCCTTAGCGCGATCGTAGTTTGGAAGATTGCATTTAAATTTTTATGTTTTAATATTTTGTTAGAACCATTGAATATATCCTAATTATTAGTTATTTTGAGCATTTTTTGGCTAAGAATTTTTTTAAGAATGTGGTAATTTTCCTTGAAAAAATATTTAATAGAATAATATCCCATAAGAGTAAATGTCACATTTACCTGAATAAGGTTTCTAAAAGGTTATTTAAGGAGAGGAATGAGTTGCGGTTCCAACGCATGTGAGCAGAGCATTAGGTAAGTGAAAAGCATCTAAAATTTTGCTAAAGTCAAAATCCGTAATCTATTATCAATACATTGTAATTTACTTTATACAACTTCTTTTCATTATCTTTATTCTTATTTTCCACTTTCACTAGAATATTAGGAGGTTTAATATCTCTGTGAATAATATTATGCTCATATAATATACGACATCCTTCTGCAATCTAATGAACAATATTTAAACATTCTTTAAGATCATACCATTACTTCTATTTTAGTAAATTTTGAAACTCTTTTTCTAAGTCCATATCACATCTTTCCATTATAATTTCGAATTGATGAGGCAAATTAAAATAATTCTCTACACGTATTAGCCTTTCTGCTTTAAGACTCTTTAATATCTTCTAAATCTCCAATCCTTATTTTTATTAGTTGATTATGTTTTTATTTTTTTAGATTAATTTTACGCATAATGAATTAGAATCGGAATCACCCTATCTCGAACATTTGTATACTTCTCCAAACGAACCCATACCTAATAAATTACTATCAGAATATTTTATAAAGTATTAGTTTCTCATTTCTGATGAATCAGACATTTTTTTTGTTCTATTATTGAGAAAAATTTAATTAATTTTATTTATAATTTTTGTAATTACATCACTACGTAAATCCATCAATATGCCATTTATTTCTTTCTTCATTTTGTGGATGAGTTCTAATTGGGATTTCCTTTCCATTAGCTTCATCTTAGACCGCGAACAATAACTAATCAGGGTTGGTAGCAGATTTGATTGTCCATAGATTCTTACCTGCTTATTCAATTATCCATTGATTCCTTGTTTCATTAAATGAGTGAAATCTGACATCGAAATCTCCCCATTGATTGAATTTTTTATCGTTGGCTGCAAAAAGCATTTGAAGTGGATGAGAAGCAGATCTGATTATATACTTGTTCTCTTGGACTAATTCCAAATAAAAGTTGGTTGATAAATTCTTGGCACCGATGACCTTAGCTGCGAAATCTGATTTAAATTAGGGGTGAGAATCAGAGATGGCCAAATAATTTGAGTTAACGTGAGCAGGTCTAAATTAAACAATCAGGTGTTGTTTTAGTTCACCGTATGGATGCACAATATTTGGAATTGTAACAATAAACCAAAGATTTTTTTCTTGATCTTTATTGGAATGTGTTCTAACATCGAATTCACCCTCATGTTGATTTGAAAAATCATCAGCAATGAAGAGATATTAATCAGGATTTGTCTCTGATCTAATTGTAAAACAACTCCATCCAGCATTTTCAATAATCCAATTATTTCTTTGCTCATCAAATGCATGAGTTCGCACATCAAATTGGTCCTTGAATTTCCTTGTGTTATCATTTGAGCAAAAGACAAAATGATTAGGATGAGTAAGTAATCGTATTTTGAACACATTCTCACCAATTTTTTCTAATAAGAAATAGCAATGTTCTTAATTTTTATTAGTCACTCTAACATCGAAATCATTCTCTAATGCTCTTGATTTATTTATTGCTGCTGAAAGAAACCTTGTAGGTACAGAAAGAGGAACAAAAGAAACAATTAGATATCCTGAATTATTTGACATTATTAATAAAAATAAATATTAATCAAATATAAATCCTTATTTGTTACGCTAATAAATAATATGGAATATACAAATCTAATCATTATTTAATTACAACCTCTAAATTTATAAAAGATTCTTGATTATCTCTCATTTTACAATATCTTAAGATTTTATGATAAAAAATAATAATTACAATTAAATTCACTCAATTTAATGATAAATCATTTAAGGTTATTATTATGATTGAGAGTATTTGAAATTAAATGAAAGAAATCATTCAATATACTTCTTGAATATTCAAATAATCTATAGAGTTTGAAAGAATAATTAACGATATATTTATTTTGAAACCAAAATTAATATTCTTATGATCAATTGGGTAATTAGATGATACATATTTATTATACTTCCCTCATTTGATAATATCTTATAGACAACTCAAAACCTATAAATTATTATTATTAATAAAAAGTAATTACTAAAATTGATTTATTAACTACATTTATATACTTTTTTATAGTTATAAATTTAAAACGGGTTTCAGTGTGGGAAAGATAATAATCAATACAAGAACCGCAGAATACGAAAGATAGAATGCAAGTTTAAAATAGATGTATTATGTTAAAGGAATTTTGAGTAGTAAAATAGAAAATATTAACTGTCAAATTAAAACACCTTCAAACCAATTTCCGACAATGATTTGATCTCCATAAAAGCGTCCTTTTCCATGAATCATACCGTTAATGAAATGGCCTTCAAATTTCTGACCATTTGTAAGTGTAAGGATGCCTTCGCCATGCATTTTATTTGATTTAAAATAGCCTTTGTAATCATGCCAACCATCTTCAATGGTGTTTAAATCTTTGGGGTCAATTTTATGTTTAATAACATGTGGGGATTGATTGACCAAAATTCCAAATCCTTCATAAAGATTATTGAACCACTCTCCAGAATAGACTTCTTGATTTTCGGTGTTGAATAAGACTCCCATGCCATGTCTTTATGAGGGTGGAATTCCTTAACCCCTATAAATGCAGCCATCTTCGTACTTGAGATACAACTCTATAATAGTGGAGTGGAAATACCCTCTAATCGCTGTTTGTAATGAGTATTACGAGCTCGTTGGCCCACTTCTAGGATGGCACTGGCCTTCATGATATCTTAATTATATGGTATTTGTATGGATTCTCTCATTTGTTTGATGGAAGTGGGAATGACCTAAATAATAAGAATTGAATATTGTACAGACATTCTGGGTGATACAATGTAGGGATTGCAACATTGTTGTGGTTGTTTAGGTTAAACATAATGAATACGAGAGTAATAATTATAATACATTAAATAAAAATAAGAAGTATATATATATAAAAATGAGATGAAATTGATTGATTTAAATTGAGAGAAAAGGTAATTGAAGAACAGATCAGAAAAATAATTTAAGGATTTATTTTGATGTAAATACTCTACAACTGAAAAAAGTGTATAGAATAATATGAGTGAATATCCAAAACGAATATTGGGAAAGAGAGCCAAAACTCCAAATGTGATATTTTATTTGATTGAATTTGAGACTCCTACTCATAAAGTAAGGACTCAATGGATTGAAATGTACAAATTGGGCAATTACCTAGATTTGATTGAATAGTATGAAGCAAGAAACAATCAGAATTATTATATGGAAGTATTGAAGGAGATCATTGAGGATGATGAGCAATATGAATAGATAAGAGAGTTGGATTCATTGAAAACCACAGAAGATTAGATATGTAGACAGACAACAACTGATTTTATGATTCCACAACGAGAAAATTAAGAATTCGTATATCATTTGAAGAAAGAAAGCAATGAGTAAGTAGAATTGAATAAGGAATTGAAGAACATTACAAAATCATTTCAAAAGGGAGGGAGTAGAGTAGCATTCACTGAGGAGTAAATAGTCAAAATAATCACTTATGCAAAGGATGAGTTGGATAATAACAAATATATATTTTTGGTGGAATGGAAACCAAGAGAGAGTGGACAACCAGTAAGACCATCTTGGGTTGGATAAGAGAAGATGATGCAATATGCCCCATAATATTTGGCACGTTATGCAAATGAAAAGTGTTTTAAATTAAATTGAAGTATTAATTATTTATATATAAATATAATTAATTTACCAATATGTCTCGAGATCCTTAATTGGAATTATTGAATATAGAACCAACTCTCAGAGAATTCATACAAATACCACTCACAAATAAATTCTTTCGTTAAATAGACACAGATTTCGTAGCAGAACCTTGGGATGTACCCATAGGTCCTGCAAAAACAAGTCAATAAAAGAAAAGAATTATTACATTTAAGTAACCAATATCGCGATTATAACCACGTCAATCAACCACTGAAACTCCGACTAATATTTCAAGGCCCAAAAGTTGTCATAATAAAAGTACTTTTGTGGAGTAGAGAATTCCAACTCCTCAACCCAACCATCCTAAAGCATTTTAGAGGATCGTCATTTCCACATAACATAAATCATCTCGGAAGAATTCGACAAGTCAATATAGATAGAAATGTTTGAAGAATTTACTACTCGCTCAGAAATATAATAGTCAATAGAGCTATTGCATACACACATCAACTGATTATTTTAGCTTCATTTCTTCAATCAATCCTGTTTCTCAAAAAAATAAAACAACCACAGAACCTTTTTTAAAAAAATTCAAGCTTAAACTTAAAAATATGCTTAATTGATTTAATTATGATATCATTATAATACTACTTATTGCACTATCTTATTAACTATCGTTTTTGGATCATATGTCAATACTTGGCTATACAGTTTTTTATTCACTGTAGTGGTTCCTCTTATCTGAAATACTTTCAACGATGAAATATTGAAGTTCTATTTTTTTTTTGTCATTAAATATCCAATAGCCACAACACTTGTTGTCGAATAACCATCCTATCATTAAAATATTATAATTACTGGGCAACACAACAAGACAGGGGCATTTTATGACTCAATTAAGTCGGTTATTTGGGAAAAGTCTATTAATTATTCTCCTTCCTCACTTATAGGATAGTTGATGTAATTGTATTGTTCTTTTTTCCAAACTGATAATTTTGCATCTGGTTCATATCTCTTAAAATCAATTATTGTCTTGATTTACAAGGCATCCAACTATCTTTTGCTATTCGCATTTAAATTACTTCCTAAAAATACTTTGCTGTCTTCTAGTTATTAAGGGAATTGTGAATAAGAGAACAACACTTTCTATTAATCCTCATTATTGTCCAAATTCTCGTAATTTTATAACATAACTTTTGACAATGTGTAAAAGGGATATTTCCCCAAGAATACTTCCACCGAAGTCTTCAAATAGTATACCTTATATTCATTCATTTTCAAACTCTGAACTAGATTCTGAATCAATACGGCATCTTATTCTATCTTGGTGTAATCGTCATTAACAATCACAATTCTGCGAATAGGTTGAGTATGATATTTCTCTTCGTTTTTCTTCGCATTAGCATCTTGTTTCTCAAGGTGAGATGCAATCGATTGGACATTGTCCTAAACACAAAAACTTCCTCTTATTTGCTTTTCTTCGAACTACTCCAACTTTCGCAAATCAGCTATCACCAAATGTCTATTATCCTTTATACTTAATGAATATTTTATACATTCATCATATTATACAACTCCATCATTTAAATTGCCTTCATATTGGGATTAATTAAATTTTAATTTATATAAATTAGTTTGTTAATCCACTTAACAAGAACTTAAATTATATTTGAATTTCTATTATTTTTTACTCAAACTTCTTTTTTGCAATTCCTTCTTACTTGTGACCTCAATGCATGTAAAATTGGGGTTATAAACTGAAATAAACAATAATATTAATAAATAATGTAAGAATATGAATTTGATCTTATGAAAATCAATTAGGGAAATGTGGATAAGATTATCCAGAAGATAGAAGCCAGCATTTAATAGCGAATGGAAAAGTATGGCGATGATGATTAATAAGTATATAATTTACATCTAAAACTTGTCTAGAAATTGAAATACGACCGAATTCTATGTAAATTGCTTAATCAACAGGCGCTGGTTGCACTCTAAGTGGAAAATTTTGAGATTACTTTAAAGTACCTCAAGAAGGCTGAACTTATAACTTCTTCGGTTCCAGAGCTTAAGGTTTCTATTAAGTTATATAGTAGGCCCAAACCTATAGTAACCTAGCTTGTTATTATCGAAAAATTGGAAAGACAAGAACAGCCTTATCATATCTTTAGTAGGCTTTAACCATTGAATTAAAGTAAGATAAATGCGATTAATACTAAGAAACGATAAATCCACGTAACTACCTGAACTCTATCTGAATCTCTGTGCTGTTTTTTCATCTTTAGAAAGACATGAAGAGGCTACATAACATATCTATCTATCTATCATTATGTTATAACATGAGCTACTCCTTTAATTCTTGAAGTCCAACTCACAAATAGATATAGACTTGATGAAAAAGCAAAATTCTATTGACTTATCACTACATTAATTCAGTACTGAATAAAAAACTAGATAATCTGAGTAGAATTCTCTGAATAAGGATTAATAAGAGAGAATGCAAATTTTAATTGTGGCTTATCATAATTTGGGAATCGAAATGGAGCACTTAAGGTAAAGCGTGGAATCCAAGAATATATTAAAATCCGCTTATTAATTATCATAATTCACTCTTACCCAAAATCATCCACTCAGGTAGACTTTGGGATGCATTATTAAATAACATTAAAGAGAAGATTCAAAAGACAATTTTCAACCTGTGACGTTAAAACCCATTTTACCAAAAGTGAGTCTACGATCATCAGATGCCAGATAAGTTAAAAAAAGTGGCTCTCCTCATTTTTTATCAAATAGCAAACATTTCTCTTTGCCCAAAAATAAAAGCATTAAAGGATCAAAAGATGATAGAAACTCTTCAAGTCTAACCTCCAGAATAGAAGGGTCTAAATTTGTAAAGGTCAATGATTTAAATCATGAGTAGCTGGTTTGCTTAGACAATAAAGAAGTCATTAACCTTAAAGAGTTGTAGATATCTCTGGATATGATTAACTAATCTACAATGATGTGATTTGATATTTTTATACTTGATTATAATTATCAACACCTATACGGCAATACTATGTCCACAGTCGCAATATCATCTTCCTATATAGTAATTTGATCAATTATATCTTCCGTAACTATCTAAAAGGTTCACATAATTATGTACCTTATCTTCTTCATTTATCATTGACATAACAATCTTCTTGCCTCCATATGCTATATCTTTATATTCGACATTCTACCCCCAAGCCAAACCATCTGGATTGATAGTATCCTTGATCCTTTTGGCTATTCGTTCCAATTAGGCTTAATCGGTGGTCTCATATAACTTCAATTCGAAGTTCACAATTGACTTGCCAACTGGTTTTTGTATTTTATTCTTGACTAAGGCTTCTTTTTTTCTCTACTCAGCTTTAACCTTCCTTTCAGCATCAATATTATCATTTCCAAAGAGATTGATGTCATCATTACCAGCTTGCTTTTATTGCTTCTTTTTTGGCGTTTGCTTATTGATTTCTTACTTTTTTGGTGCAGCAGCTGAAATCCATTAAGCTCTAGCTGCTGGAGTAAACAAATTGAGATGTAAATACCAAAAATAAATTTCTGGAAATTAATTCTTGGGTGGTACACCATTCAAGGTTTCGAAGAATCTGGCATCATCAGCACCTGGATGATTTCCATTTAGATAATTATTAGCTGCAAGATGTTCATTAACATATGCAAGCTTATCGATTGTGAAATTGGCCATTTAAAAAAAATTTATTATCTTACATTTAATGCATTTTTTGTTTGAGCACCAAAATATTATTATATAAAATTCTTTCTTTGTTAATTTCTTAAGAATTCATTGAAATATAAATTAATAATTTTATTATTAAGATATAATTAATTGAATTCAAATATTATCAGGAAAAGTAAGTTGTTAAAGTATTGCATAGGTTATTAAAATCAAGCATCGATGATCTTAAGGCATCCAATGTGTTGTAAGTATCTTTACATTCCTTTTTATTTTGATCCTTGAGTAATTAAGACATATATTTAATTACTTAGTATAAATTCTCTTTTTCAATTCTTTTTATACTATTAAAATTACTTTTTAGTTTATTTAGATTTCAATTCATTTTATTGCTTCCTCTCTATGACTTCTCTATGTTGATCATTATTTTTATTCTGATTTTATAAACTTAAACTGGAACCTACTTATTAATCTAAAATACACTGCTCAAAAGATTCATCGTAATAAATCTAGCAATTAATTTCGCTTGCTTCAAACTAAGATTCTTATATTTTGAATTTTTGTTAATTTTAAATGCGGATTGAATTATTTTGAGAACGTGGCTAATCTATTCTTTTTTATTCTTAACTAAAGGAAAATGCTGGTTGTTATTTGTGATTGTAATCATCCAATTAACTTTGATTTTGCTACTCTTATTATTCGAAATTCTTTAACTAAAATTCTATCTCTGAACCACTAAATTCTTCACACTCTGTAATTTGTTAATCATGTTATCTAGATTCAATAAGCAAGCTTTAAACTAATTACTATATATTCTATTTATTGTAAGATTGTTCTCCATTTTGGAATATCTAATTATTATCGGAACTATAAAATAGTGATAAAAAATACCTCTTTTCAAGTGTGTCATTTGTAATCAATATGTTTTATTCAACTTAATTAACAAGTTCTTCCAATAAACTCCTTACTGTTGCATAACAAATAGTCTATTCTTGTAAATCTCTTTATTGAATTTGATTTTATAAATTTTCGATATAATCTTCAAGTTATTGAATTCGTATTTACATTTCAATTACAATTTAACCTTCATTCTATCCTGATACAGTTATAGATTTCTTTAATTCAATATCAAAGTTTTATTCATTAGATTGCAATTAAGTATTGAGAAAATCGATTCTCAATGATTTATTGTCTAATGATTGCATAGTACTCTTTTCTAGGTTGGATTGCAACTGCAGATCCTTGTTATTTATGGCTACCTATTAGAGTTACAAATGACACTCATCGTTTTATTGTTTTAGCACTTATTTTTCATAATTGTAGTATTAGAACTACTATTGTTAGATTTTCTGAAGATTATCATATTACTCTTGGATTATCTGTATTTATTTATTTAAACCAAAGTTTTCTTCTTATAATTTATTATAATTTTATGAGTTAACTTCTAATATTTACTTAAAATATAGTTCACTTTATTCTAATTTTTAAAGCAATTAATTTGATTTATTTTCTGATTGCTCTAGTAAAAATTAGATTTAAAATTTCTCGCTTTCTAATTATTTAATTTATTCTAAACTATGAAAATTATCAGATTCTCTTAATTAATTTAATTTTAATATTTATTAATTAAGTTAGTTGATGATTTAATTTTATTTTGATTCCTTGTCTTGATTTATTGTGGACTCAAACTTCAATTATTTAATTTGAGATGTTAAGTCATCAATTTATTGTTTTTCGTGCTGCATATTTTCATTTTCTTTTCCTGAATGATAAATTTCGAATCTTTTTACTTCTTCCAATCTATTAGCATATTAAGAAGTAATTTATTATAATTCGGATCTCCATTATTAATTCTATTTTTCCCTACTCACCTATATTAGTGCGCAATTCCTAAATGTGATTTCTTACAGTTGTTGATCTTTAGATAACTCTTTAGATTGCTGTACCTAATTTCTTAGATTAACATTCTAGAATTACAATAAGAAAATAATTACACTAGATTGAGCCTTTGATAATTCAATATCTAATTTATTTAACCTTTAGGTTAAGATTAGATTCTCTTATTATAGAACTTCTTCTCTACTCTTGGATTCCTCAAACTCAATCATTACTTAAGCCAATTACTTTTTCAATTATTCGTTTTCTTGTTCCTACTCAACCATTACTTTATCAATTTCTTCTAGAAATCCTTTGTGTTGTTCCTCTACTTTCTCCAATTTAATCTTATATTGCATTTCTGAATTACTCATCTAGTTATCTTAATAGTTTGCTTTTGACTTTTGGGTCTCTAATTTTGATATGATTTCATCTTTCATTTATAATTCTACTTTTAGTTATTGTACAAGTTACTAATAGATATTTCAGAATCAAAATACTTCAAAGTCAACAGTCTAGTTAATCTATAGCGTATTCGTTATTTTCATTGCTCTCATGCCGAAAGTGAGACTTGATAGAGTTTCTTCAACATGTTTTCCTGCTGGCCCAATATTTACAATTAAAGCAGTCTTACAATTACCTCCCAATGCTTCCTATAGAATTCTTGTTAATTTGGAATCTCTAAATGGAATGAAGGTATTTTTTGGACCAGTTAAAGCATGAATGCATTTTCCCAAGGCTGTTAGTGAACAATTTATTGATCGAGCTTCATTCAATCTATCTCCTGAGGCTTTTGACTTTTTTATTCTTTCACTACCAGCCAAATCTACTAAATATAAGGTACCCCCATTGCTATTATTATTCAAATCTAACTATTCAAATGTAATATCTTAAGAAAGATTAGTTTTTTATTTATGAGATTTCTAGAATATGGTAATTGATTTGGAATGCTACCTTTGAGATTGCTTTTCTAATTTAATAATTAAAATTGAGTGAGATCTTGAGGAATGAGCATTGAGATTAGTAAAGGCAACGACCTTATTCTTCTCTGCTAAATTGATGATCTTCAAACATTCTTATGGGGATGCAACTTTAAGCCATTCCAAACCAGATATGAATACTCCTTGATCAAGTGATTCTCTAATTTTGACTTCGAAATTATCAGGTCTTATTAAATCTAGCAACTATGTTATAGGTATGGATGTGTACCATTTCCATGTATATTTGCAAGTATCCCATTTGTACATTATATGTATATTCATCATCGAGTGAAATGTCATGAAATATTTATTCAAATGTGCGTGGAGTGATTCCTCTTTCTTCAGTATCAATTTTGCCCATGATAGTGTATGTCTTACCAGTTCCTGTTTGGCCATAACAAAATATGGTTCCATTAAAACCTTTGATCACACTCTATAATTTCAATGGATTGTAATACTGCAACGATGTTTCTGGCTACGTCATTGTAAATTTAACTTTGAGTAACTTTAGGATCGAATACAGTATCGAAGTGAAATTGCCTTTTTTCAAAGTCCTTCTTAACTGATGAATGAATTAGAAACAAATACTTATGATTGATTTTTTTGAGGTGTCAATTGAATCAACACAAACAGATTTATCTTTGGTTAGCAACTCTTCGTCTAGTAAAGGACGTAGACGGACTGCCACTTTAACTTTTTCATACATGGTTTTTGTTTAAATTTAAAATAATGAACGGTTTAATAAATGTATATATATATTTGAGATAATGGTCGATAATTTCAGGGTTTCTTTTTTGTAGCTTGTGAATCATCCAGAATCTGATTCAAAGTCTTACTAAATGGGGTATAAGAATTATGAGTACTTTTTTATTTGCTGCAAATGTTGATCCTGTTGATTTTTAATGATCAATTTCTATATGTTAAACATCTTAATGAGTGCAGAGCTATTTTGAGATTTGAGAAGGGTGGAACTCTTATCGTTAACCTTTTCCTAAGAAGCATTCATATTGATTTTTTCTCGACTGAGTATCTTATATAAATGTCATACATGTTTTTCATCATTATGTATGAATGTTGGGTCCCAGAACTTCGTTTGTCTCTGGTTTAATGACTATCACAATTTTGTATGACCGATGCGCAGTTGTCCTGCGAAGTAGCTTATTATCTATTGTACACCTGATTGCCTAAAATGTAGGATTTCTTGAATAAACTGGGACTCGATTCCCTGGTAGCATTCTATGAGGAGATCTTTCGTTCCTGACTTTGAAGAAGTGTCTTATTCTTAATGGCTAGTAGAATGAAAGCGTACTTTGTCGAGTAATTCTTATTTTTCCCTCTCTAATTAATCGATCTTCTCTTGGAGACTGTCTGAATATAACTTCATTTACTATTCTACCTAAATTAATAGAATTGCACAATTACTCTAACATGGTTTCGAATTTCAGCTTCAGCTTTCTGAACTGCCTTCTCCAATTAATCATACTCAACACTCTTTTGTTGTTGCACCAACTCAATTAGAATAGTCACTTGTTATCTCAATATTTTAATCAATTCATCCACATTGGGTTTGAGATCGAAATCACTCTTGATTGCTAATTGAATCTATTGGAATTAGATGATTTTTTATACATCTTGTACAATCTTTAGTAATTAGTTATTAATGTTCATAATTTATTATTATCAAAATGAATTCATCTTAAGTTTATCATATAATCAGCGACAAATTTCATTCCCTTTATATGTCAAACATCCACGCGGCTGATCAACTGAATCTGCTTCGATCCAGAAATCTGAGGACTATTATTTGTGTAGACAAGACTCCTTCCTAACATCATACTGATTTTGCGCGATACTATGTAATTGAATGAACTTAGCGTTTAGTAAGTCTTTTTACAGGACAATAAATCCACTTAGTAACTTTAAAATATTTGCGAATTAATCTAGAATGGATTGAAATTATCATCGATTCTTGTAGTCTGCAATAACGGGTTGTAAGGAGCACCCACAATCGTAATTGCTTATCTCATTAGTCGAGGCTGGAATTACGAAAAAGCCTTTTATTATGTCAAAGAAAAGCATAATCTCATAAATCCAAGTCTGCAATCGAAAAAACAATTGATTGAGTTTTATGGTTCAGTCTCCACATAGTAACCTAAAGAAGACGAATTTACTCGATTTACTTAGGTTCTAAAAGAGATGTGGGACAAGTAAGATTATTTTGAAAGTTCCCCTTGCTTCGATCCTCTTACTGACTCTTTTCAAGATGACGGCACCAAAACACCTGGTTTCATATCTCCTACTAATGTGCTTAAAATGCGCAACTCAATTAGGAAACCAGCATCTCGCAAGAGCAGTATGATCAGGAGCACTTCTTGCAATCAAAAGAGCGATACGAATGTATAACAAATTCTATGATAGATGAATTATTCATTTCATTTTGATGAAATTAGAGAATTGAACCAAGAATAGAAATAGGAAATAATGTCTCCCTCCTTTTTGCAAGTCCAAGAAATTTGCGAGGAAGAGGAAGAAGAATTAGTTAGATTAAGACATAGAAGACATCGAAGAAATATAACTAGAAATAAAAGTGCTAATCAAAAATTATTTGATTGATTTCAAAATATATTTAAATTAGTTTCAACTACAATCCTTAATTATTTATATATAGTAAATTTAAATTAAATCTTAAATTCAATGAGTTTTAAATAATATTTGTAAAGCCTTTGTGTCTCTATTACTCAAACCCTTCAAGTTTATCATATGTAATTTATAATATTTTAAAATATGAGTAAAATATTATAAATTACTTATCTAGAATATATAGATGTAATTTCCATGGTTGACATAATAAAATTTATAATTCATTTGCTTTTTAGATCAATTATTGAATTAAATATTATTAATATGGAGAAGTGGAGACAATCGATTTATTAACCACCTAGTCTATTTTTAGAAAGGAAAAGAACAGCACAATTCCGAAGACTGGATCCATTACTCGTTGCACCATTGACTAAATTTGATCACAAGGCCTTTGACTAACTTTTCAAGTCCTAAGCCAACTAACATCTGAGAATCAGAAACCTATCATTGCAATCTGAGAGAGTTCAAGAGACACCCAAACAATTGGGATTGGAAAACATTGTTTATAAATTACAAAAAATTCGAAAACTCAGGAACATTTGATTTTAAATACAATAACAATCTTTTACTACTTTATTTAAGTAACTAAATCCTCCTTTTTAAAACTGCCACATATTCATTAAATGTGCGAGTATGTTAGTAAAATAATTGTGTATTTTTCGAGAAAAAAAATTAGAACATAAATAAAAGAATCAAAAAAAATAAAATATAATAATTAATAAGATTATTATTATTTATTTTAATAAATGAAAGTTGAACTTAGACCAAGCAAACAAGGAGGATTGTACAGTCTGAATCTCGGGTAGAACAATGGTCCATATCTACCAAAGGACATCATGCTCACAAACTAAAAATCTCTAAAGGTTAGATCATGTAACAGCTTAGCTCCTCCAAGGAGATGAAGTCAGCAAATCAGTATCTCAAGTACTTACAAGAGCTGGAATGGGCTAACTTTACGAACCTCCAGATATCTATGATGAGAAATCGAAATAATTTGTTAATTTGGATGAAAAGTATAAAACCAGAATGAGTGCGAGTGATAATGTGGCTGCAATGAGCACATTGTACACTACATCCATCAAACAATTACAAGACTCTTTATAGGAATACAAAGATCTAATTAAAAAAACTGAGGTAATCAAATGTTGGAAATGATAGGAAGAACTCAAAAACATGAATGAAAAAATTAATAATGAAAACATTACCAATATACGGGAATTGTAACCAATGCTTAAGAGCTTTCATAGCAAGTTAAAGGAGAGACTTCATGATGAAAAAAATGAGAATTATAAATTAATGAGAGAAATTGAAGGGTTGAATAGAGATAAATTATAAATTCAGTAGATATTATACCTAAACATTAATTTAGATAATCCATTCTATTTTCACATAAAAGAATTATGGAATTAGAAAAATTGGTTGGCATTCAGCATAAAACGGATTCCCTATTTGCTTAAAAGATTGAGGAAGAAGATGCAAACGAAAACGAAAACGAAGATGAACTAGATAACTCTCAAAAGGATCAAGACTCTCAAATGTCTGAGTCATATGACTGAATTCGTTTTTTGTTTGTTGTTTTTGAAATTTGTGGAAACGTATGAAAGACAATCACTCTTATTGAAATAAGGATAAGTATTTCTTTAGTATTAATTGTTTTGTTTAGTGCAAATGATTCTCGATGTTGGGTATCAGTATCTTTAGTTCTTTGATTTTCACATCTGCCTCTATGTTCTGGTCTCTATTAATAATTAGAATTTACACTTACTCTATCAACTCTTGTATCCTAATTATGGTGTTCTCAATCTCTCCCTTCTCAGACTCCTCGTTTAAAACTTTAAGCTTTTTTCTAAACTGCCTTCTAATTGAACTTACAGAGCTTCCAGGAATCTACTGAACTACATCTTTGAAATTGGAACCTCTCCTCATATTTTCCATTATAAGATGATTCTATTAAATTGTAAGTCTCTTTTTTCCTATTAAAATTACAAAAGACACTAACCTTTCCTCTTACTAGAAGTTGTTTTAGACTTCCTAGACTCTCCTCGACCCTCCCTCTCAGACATTGATGAGGAACTGTCTTCATCCTTCGACTTTTTCTTCTCCTCCACCTATTATTCGACACCCTCTATCGATTCATCAACCGACTAGATTTTCTCTTATCCACCAAATAAGTATTCCTCACACTTCTATGCTGAAATTTCCAAAATGGATGGTTAAGGTGGGTTTTATAAGCTGCAGACTGTAGATTCCTCTTCCTTCTTTGGAGTTTTTAGTTAATTTTCCCAAAATTTACAGGCAGACATTGTGAGATAGTTGAAGTCCCTGAGGCTCATTAATTTCTATTTATAAAGAGAAAATAATATAATAATCAATCTTTATGCTTATTAAAGTGTGAAGAATCTTCATTAATATTTAAGAAAAAAAATAATTTGTGCTTTAACTTTTAGAATAACTCTAGAATTATCTGAAATTTAGTTGTCAACCCTTGTCACTAAAATAATCTTCTGCTTGTTATAATTAATTATAATTAGGAGAAAATAGCTAGTTATCAAGTTTTTTAAGATGAACTAAATAATCTAGAAAATATAAATATAGAATTCTTATCTAAAATGACCTTCTCTCTGCCTAAGAATTTGTCTCTTTACTCTTCCTCCTACTCTCAATCACTCCCGTATATTATTGATTCACAATAATCTCACCCTCAGTTATAGTTAATTTATTCAAAATAGAATAATTCATGATAAATCGTGCAACAAATTTATTAAAAATATATTTAATATGTACTATTTATTAGATGTATCAAACTTCCTCAACTACTTCTTATATTGTAGACAATTAATCCTTTTTACCTCTAGGATGTAATTATGAATTTTATTATTTTGACCATACTTTTATACCAGCTTTTAGATTTCTCCACTTCTCTACAATCAGCTACCTATTCAACTCCATCATTTTTTCATCAATCTATCTCTCTTCATCATTTTATTCCCACCCTTTAAGATCCATTTCCAACTATTTCACCTTTTTATGAATATCTTATCCCTTCATCAATAGTTTCATCTCTTCTCCCAAATCATTCAAAAAAGAATTTAATAAACGAACATCAAGAGAATTAACGAAGTTTTACCTTGCCTTTAATAATTACCTATATATATCAATTTATATATTACCTCTATAAAGCTACACTTTACTGCAAATTCTCATTAAAATTTGAATTATTCTATTTCATATATTTATTTAAATCCTTTAAGGTTTAACATAGATTTATGTTACTCTATCTTTCATCTCCAATCCTAAAGTATTGTAAACTTCTATTGAATAATAAATTTCGCTTTATTGATTCAGTCAAATATATTTTATGATCCTTTCTAAATCCTTTCCACTTCTTTACCAAATCTCTTATACTATTTACCTTTTTATCTGCTTCACTTTAATAATTATTCCAAACCTATATACATTTATCATAACATTCATCTAATTATTACTATGATTTTTTGTTCACAATATTTATTTCAATAATATCCTCATCTAATAAATTTGTAAGTGTGCTCATTATGTGCTTTTTGTGTTAAACTTCCTGTTTATTCTTTGAAATTTCCTTAACTAATAGATCTAGTAATCTTTGCGATGTTTTTAATTGCTTATTTTCTTTTATAAATTCGATAATTGTCTTAATAGTCTTAATTTACTAAATATTTAAAAGATTTATTGCAAAAACCATTAAAAATTATAATATTTTCTCCTAGTAGTATTTAGAACAACAGGACTAGTAAAATTCAAATATAAGATATAGATACTCTTCAATTAGTGGTTAATTTTTTAATTAAAATACTCCTATCTCCAATTTACAATTTTGTTCATCAACATTCTCAATGTTATTTAAATATTCTTTATAGACTTTAATTATTGTTAATTTCTCTTAACTATTAGACAACAATGATATAAGAATATTTAAACCAATTCTAATCAAGTGATTTAATTATTCATCTAAATAAAACCTGTCGATTACATATTGACTATAATCTAAAAAACACCCTATGGTATCCTCAATAATACCAAAATTTTAGCATTCCAGAAATTCCATGTATTTAAGGTATGCTTCATTTCCTTTTTTCTAATTTTAAAGGATTAATACAGCAAAAGATAATTAATCAGTCAAATGTAATAGATTAATTGCCATAATCATTGCTGAATGATAATTATCTTTCGAATTTTTATTCTGGAGTATCAAATTCAAAGATATCTCACGAATCATTTATTTAATATAATTAGGAGTGTTTGTAAATCTTATATTATTTTTCAAAATTATTCTTTGTATTAGTTATAGTATTTAAGATGGCTCAGAATCAATTATTGAATACTCTTAGGACTCAGTTTATTTTGAGTAATAAATTGAAAGAGGATGCAACTTTTTTTATTCTTCTTTTTTCTAATTCTAAGGAAGCTTGCTTTAAAACCTTTTATTAGATTAATCAAGCATTAAAAATACTAATAACTCTGCTAATGTATCTTCCCAATCTTCTTAAGAGCTAACAGAAAAAGAATCATCATAATTAACTTAATAATACTCCATAGATTTTTTAGATTTATTATTCAAAATCAACTAAATCTTCAAAGAAAACGTACTTTTAATTAATTCTATAGCTTGCTCAAATGGTATTGAAATATACTCATACCCAATATCGACAAAGATCAAAGAACTATTTGATCTCTGAGTGTCTTCCTTATTATTATAGTCTTTGACCACATGTTTTATTATTTTAGATGATATATGTATTAATAAAGAATGAGAGTAATGACTCATAATTTATCCTTAAGGAATTGAGAAGCCATAGCAAAATAATAACGCTTCTTTGATGTTCTCCTAATTTTCATATGAAAGCAATGAATTATGAAAATATTCGACTATCTCAAACAATCCTATAAATATTTCATCTGAGCAATCGAATCTCAATTTAAGGATATCAAAACTTAAGATAATAGCTTCTATTTATTTAAGTTTTTCATTAAGATTCAAACCTTTTTTGTGGATATTAGCATTAATGATTAGTTAATTAAGATCCACCTCTTCCAATACTTGTTTTTTATTCGCATAATAATTCTTTGTAAGTTAAAAGATGTTATCAAGTTCTTTTGCAAAATCCTATGCTTTATCCTACTATCCTTAAATCAACCTAATCTATTAATAATATTATATTTTTCTGAGTTGTAACTGGTCATCTTCTGATAATTATTATTTTCTATGCTATTAAATTTTATTGAATATTTCAATTCCGTCTATGAAGTTGTTAAAGGAAAGACATAAATCTATTGAATGTTTAAAATTCAATTAGTACACAAATGTCTTCCAAAAACCTAATCCAATTAATTGTTAATAGCAACTCAATCCTAGACTATTGTTTAGATTTAATTCTTCTTCATTTTTAAATGTTAGAAATATTGGATTAATTGTTTCTAGTATATTATTTATTGCAATTTAAGATATCGCCGATTATTCAAGCAGGATCCTTCTCTAAGATCCCATTGTAATCATTTGAATAAAAACTTAAGCTTTCTTCTTAGGCAAAGTAGAATAACTGGAGACTAGTGATACTAGATACCTTCCTAGATATGAAGCCAACTTAAAGTGATTGCATAATTAGATACACAATTTGTAACTCTTGAATTCCTCCAAAATATCCAAAATCATATAAATTGAATCGATATCTATGTTATCCAAATCATAAACAAAGTTTATTATGTGGTCAAACTCTTTATCATCATCTTTTCTATTTGACAATTATATAGATTGATATTTTTATGAAACTAAGTGATTCTTAAATTCATCAGAGAACAATTGAAATTTTTGAATCAATTCTTATAAAATCTTATTGGAAACGAAAGCATTGTTTTTTGATGATAATAGTGAAACTTAAGCTGGTTGATTCAGGAGTACAATGTTGGAAAATTCTGATTAGTGGCTAATCTTGGATGACATCGATTTAATTAAAGATTTTTAATCTTATTTCAACCATTCATCTTCGGGATCAAAAATAGATAAATGATCCATATTTTATTAACTCTCATTCTCTATTTAAAATGATTAAGATTATTCATTATCTTCCAAATTTAAGATCTCATGGCTTGATTCAACCTTGATTTAATTAATAATTTGACTAAGCTCGCCTTAAGAATCCTATTGATTTTCAGATTCATTAAGTATTGAATTCTGAATAACAAAGCTTTCTGACTAATTCAATCCAGATTTTTCTTCTTAATTAATTTCTTAGAATTCTTAAGTACAATCAATTTATTCTGCTCCTTGATCCTAGATTTCCTATGCTAAATTTTATAAATAATTAGGAAAGAAAGAATTTAAAAATGCTTGTCTTTCTTAATGGTTGAATTCATTTTTGTATTTATTTAACATCATAACAACTTTGTCCCACTCCTTTGATAAACAGTAACAATCAATAGATCTTCTTAAATCTCCTAAAATCTCAAAAGTTTAAGCAGCTTTTTAATAATTTTGGGCAAAAAATGCTGATTCAGCCATCTCGTTTATCTATCCTAATTGTTCATATAATTCTTATGCTTTTTTAAATTACTTTGCAGTGAAATAACATTATGCAGCCCTTGGTAATAAACCAATTTCTTCGAATATCTTTGCAGCTTATAGAAATTGCTGATGATTATTAGCGATATGAGCATTATTGACAACAAGATTATAGGCTATAGATTTTTATTCTAATTGTTTTTCCTCAGCAAATTTAAAGCATTTTGCTGCTTGATCATAATTATTCATTCTGAACATCTTAAAGCCTTATTATTTCCAAGTCTCCTTATTATTTTTTTACAATTATAATTAAAATTTAATATCTTTTGGTTAACCTTGTGAATCAACAACTTTAACAGCATTGAGTTTTGTCCATATATTCTGAATAATTCTTCTCTTTTCTAATGATTAATCAAATATAATTAGTCTCTATTTAGGTCTTGTGATTGCTACATAGAGTTATTTTAATTCTTGACACAGATCTATGGATACTTATTGGTAATCTTTGAAATTTTTTTATTTCAATTACCAAACTTCTACTAATTCATTGTTATTCTTTTATTCACTTGAGGCTATTACTTCTGTCTAATGATCTAATAATTATTTTTATAAATACTTGTAATGTATTGTTCATAGTCAGACTTCTTTAAATATTCTGCATAAGGATCTAAATCATTTAATGATTCCCAATCTTTGATAGAAGCAGTTGAGTCATGGAAAAAGTTGAACAAAATCACATCATCAAATTCTAAGCCTTTTGCTTCGTAGATGGTTAAACATAGTATATTTTATAATTCAATTGGTAATTTAGTCTTAGATTCTTGATGTTTGACAATAATGACTTAATTGCAACCAAATTCTACAATGAGTTGGTCATTTGAAAAGAAATCACAAAAAAGATTACTCAATAAATGATTCACATCATCACTTTTAATTATGATTGGTTTTGGACCATTCAAATTTGATGTTTCTTTTTTTAGCTTATCAATTTTATAAGGAAATAATATTTCTATCATTCTTATTACAGAGTTAGCCAATTACAAAATGTTGTTATGTGATCTAAAGTTTACACTCAAATCAAATATTTTAAGATTTCTATATACTTTTTTCTTGTTATTTCTATAAGACAATAAACAGTTTTAAACCTCAAAAAATTTATAACCAATCCCTTTAGCTATGTTTTAAGCATTGTCACCACAACAAAATAATCCAAGTTCTGTTAACTGATCTAATAAAATCAACACAGCCCTTGGTACATCCTATAATTCATCTAGTAATAAATAATGAACATTTTCAATAACATCATCACCAAAAGCCAACTCTTGATTAATATGATTTACTAAATCCAATAAGTCATAATATCCCAATTAATATTTTAGTTGTTCATATATTTGAAATGCCTCATAAACAAAGCTACACACATCTTCTTAAGAACCTTACATGTAATAATAATTTTCATAACTCAAATATCTATCTATGTATTCATGAGATGTTTCATGACCTTTTATTTTTGTACAAATCTCTGACCAAATATAGATTGGATCAGAACATTTAGACAGTGGACTTTATAATTTTATGGTTTCTAGTATTTTAGGCCAAAATACCCTCACAAATACATCTTAGGTTACTTCATGCATTTTTGTTTAAATGTAATCTGAATTATCAATTTCATCCATTAATTTTTAATTAATTTGTTCTAGTTTCTTTTCTATCACTTCATTATTCTGAGACAATTTCATTTATCCAAATTATTCATTATGCCATTAAGATGATCGATCCTATTTATGTCCAAAAATAGCAAAGAATGAATTTATAAGTGAGGCATCAACCAGAAATAGGAACTTTCTCAAAGTTACAAATATTGGAAATTGATTTACATCAGAAAACTTCAAAAATTTACCCATCTCTTTTTCATACTCATCAATCTCTTAATCATCCACTTCCTCTTCTTCATTTAATTATTGACATTCCTATTACTCCTAATCATTCTTTATTGCATCTATAATTTAAAAAGTACTCTGATCCAACCCCTCTTGATCATTCTACTCTTGAACTTTCGTCTAATTGTTTTATTGCCTCTTTTTTTTGTTATTAATGGCATCTTAGATATTCTATACTAATTTCTCATATAATCTCTTAACTTAACATGCTAACAAGGGACTGGCTGTAACAAAGATTGTCTTCAATTAACAATCCTTTTGTAATTAGTTTAGTTATATATCTGTAGTTTAATTATTAATCTAATCTAATTTACTTCTGATTTTAAATAGAACATCTGTTGTGAAGAGCCTCAATAAGGCACAAGTGGTCTTCCCGGTGCCACTTCTACCAATTACTAATCCATCTCCATTATAGGATATAATTTCTTATTACTCATTGGTTAGGTTAACTTAGTAATTTGGAATATTTTAAATTATTTTAAATAATTAGAATGCAGATGGCTATTGACTATATTTTTGGATCAAAAAATGATTATGAGAAAATTGATTGATCCTAGCCATTTTGTTGTTTAGGATAGTTTAAGTTGAAACTGAGATCCATCTTTTAAATTGTTCATTGTACACATAATCTTAAGAATCTATTAAAATAGGTTCAAATGTCCTTGGCAGTAATAAATCCTTCCAAGATTTAGGGTTTTCTCCAATCTTTGTTGCATGAGTTATTTTTTAATCTGCTATTTTTTCTTTTACTAATTTCATGTTAGAAAAAAAATTAGGAGATGTCTATTAATTTCTAAAATACTTGTCGATCTCATAATAACCTATGGAATTCTTTTAATTCTCAGGACCTAATCCTACCAAAATTATTAAATGTTGAAATTCAAAGTGCTTGAGCTTTCCTTCATCATTTAAAATTGGAAATAATCTAGGAGTTACCTAGATTACCAATTTTAAAAAGCTTTGAAAATTGAATCCTACTATGAAATTATATTCAAAAGGAAATTTGACACTACCTCCCTCATAAGGAAGGACTCTGATAATTGATTCTGAGGAATAGTTGAATTTTCCTTACAAGATTAGATTTAACATTATGAAAATATTGATTATGTCTGGTTCAGAAACATTATATAGACTATTTATAAAGGATTCTACATTCATAATATTTTATACTTGCAACATCAAATTACCAAATTTATTTGGGAAAAAAATGCTTTATGTTGAATTCTTTAAAATAGTCAATCATTTCATAAAAGAATGGACTAACATCGCCTTTTAGCTATCTCTCATTGAACTCCAATAAATATTGAAAGTATCGAATTAAAAATTATTTGCGTGATAAACTAATATGATAAAATTGATTAATGTCTGAGAGTATCGCATTCAGCTTGTCTTGATATATTTTTTGTTTTCTCTTCATATAATCTTTTGATTTTTAGACATTCTTATTCATCTTAATTTAATTTTAATATAAATTTAAGCACTAAGCAGAATCAATTAATTAATTTAACAAAGACATATAGAAAAAGATTCTATTATAAATAGCTTTTTTTATTTTCATGTAATTTTTATTTATTTAACATATAAATGTATTATCTAAATTCTTTAGTAAGAATTTGTTAAATTATTTAACTTGAATTTATTGTAAATTTAAAGTATGTCAGAGCCTTCAATCCAATAATTTGGAAAACTTAACATAGTTATTTAATAATAGTTAAAACCCGTCTATGTTTCAAAGGAAGAGCGTAAAAAAAGCAGCTATTAATAATAGCATTAAAGAAAAAAGAGTTTTAATGAAGTAAAAAAAGTTGAAATTCCTGTGTTTATGGGTATAAATCAATAATCACATTTGATGGATCTTTGGGATCAATTTAAAAAGGAAACCTCCATTGATGAATAGAACTCAATATTAGAGAAAATATTGAAATTAAAACCTTGAATTTTATAGTATAAAAGTGTTAATATAGTAATTACTTTTTATACTTTTATGATTAAAAAGATAGATTTGCTTAATACTTTTTTTTCATTGATACAAATCCACTAATTAACTTAAATATTTAATAATTTCAAACTCAATTTTATTGAGCATACGTAGCCTTTTTTTTGGTTAGATTTGTCCCTGATTCTTAAAATAGGAGAGTCTCATTCAATCAATCAATAAAATATGGATTGCATTATAAGTCTACTATTCTGCGAGGCTATGAATATTAATATATATAAATTCATGCATCCAAAATACTATATAAGGTTCATTCATTTAGTCTTAGTTGAAAAAATGAAACCAATTATTTTCATTTAATTTTATTCAGATTAAACTGAGTATAAATCTAATTGAATGATAATTACCTTAAACCTAATAAGCTAAAGAATTTTGTTAGAACAAAAATATTTGTAAAAATTTGATTGTTATATGTCTGTATTTAAGAATAATTATTTGATGAATTATAATGCTATATTTAAGAAATTTTTGAGTGAATAAATAATTTAATTGCTGAATTTTCCGAAAATTAAGAATTATAGATAGATTTTAAAATGAATGACTCCATGAATAATGAAATTAAAAAATGGAGATCTAAGTCATTTAATGAAATTTAACAGAATTATATTTTGATCAAATAAAGAAAAATTGAAATAATAATTACAAACTATATTTTTAATGAAAATACCTTTAAATCTCACAAAACCAGAAAAAAATAAAAAAACACTATTAATCTCTTAACCAATTATCTTTCATTCAAAGACATCAATTAAAAATCATCAAATGACAGATTTCCTTCCTAATTCAACAAAGACAAACACTTTTAGATCAAATGAAACCGGCAATTTTTATAATACTCAATATGGATTAGGAGATTAGACTAAATAATTTATGCAAAATCAAGAGCAAATCTAGTCACAGAGTAATTTTAAAAGAGTGTTGAAATAAGGTGTTGATACGTTTGTTTTAACGCAATCAACACAGAATATTTTTGAGGGTATAGTAATAAGTGAATTGTAGAGGCAAATAATGAAGAGCGAAAAAAGTATATAGATTATACAGGAGGTCCTAAGTATGATAGTGATAAGTAGGATAAGGTGATCAAATATTCAGTTGTTGGATATTAATAGTTCCTAAAAATTGATTAAGAGAAGCAAAGACAGTATCAGCGACTAAGAAAACTATAATAGAATCCCCAGACAACAGATGATTCAATGTTTGATGATTAACCTCCAACAAGATCCAACCAATAGGCTTAATCGATTATTATAGATAAACAATAGGGTAGGAAAACACCAAAGAAGAGTAAAGCTGATTAACGTTATTTGAGTAAAAGAGATTTGAATGAGAAGGTTAGAGAAGCTGAAAAACACATTTAATAGGCATTAATAGAATAAGAGAAGGCTGAGGAGAAACTTCCATTTCACTTAAGGAATGCAATATCAAGAGAAGAAAGAGCAATTAAAAAGTTTGAGAGCGTAAAGGCTCACTGGGAAAATGTGAATATTCAAGTGGCTTCTAATTGTTAAAGAGAGCCAGAATAAACAATAATGAGTAGAGCTGATTAATACAGAGAAAGAAATCAAAAGATATAGGCAATCGAGCTTAGCAAGGGAGAAGATGAAAAGAATAGCAGCAGATATTGGTATCTAAAATTAAGATGGTATGATCACAAAGATAATAGACCCTAATTTTCTTTACTTACTTAATCAATGAAAACTAAATCTTGTCAGAAGTTTGAAAATAGGTTAGTGAATCGCTTCTTATCAGATTTTGATGCTGAAAGGCTTGTCTAGTAGTAATAATTTGTTCTTTCTGATATCTAGGCTAACTTCAATACAAAACTGATTGATAATCCATTTAAATAGGTTGAAACTGTGTTATCAGATAACAGTAATTTATATTATTCATATTATTTAGAAATTAATGAGATTGAGACTACTTAGTCTCAAAAAACAAGGTTGTATACTAACAAATTGGTTACACTTTACGATCAGAAGTTGAAGGATTAACCTAAGAAAAAGTTTGTTGATTGCAAGAATTTTCTTTTCGTAGCAGGAGAAAGTTAAAAGGATAGAGAATAGAGAATGCTAATGAGGGAAACAGGAAAACAATTTAAAATGGCTGAAATTCCAAATGAAGAACCAGAAATCATAATCAATAATTGGAATCAAAAGAATTTAGCAAAATCTGGAGAATATATTTTATTTTGATTTTATTAATTTTTTTAACGAATTTAGACATGAGTTCAATTGAAACTCAATAAGAGTTATGTAAATTTTTCTAGATCATTATTAATGGAATGAGGTATGTCAAAATATATAATTAGAGACGACTTGATCGATGTTTAGAATTTATATAAGAAATAACCGATTATTAATTCATTCCATCCTTTTTCAAGAATTCTGTTTGTCGACTAGATCAATTGTCAGATTACTTATTAAAATATTAAATCGAAACCTAAACATACGAGTTGAAAGATTTGATTAGTCGTCTGGGTGGATTTGAAGACAAATTGTTGTTCTCCAAATTCTAGGAGAGGTATCTCCGTTAACCAGGAATCGTTTAAAAAAAGGAAGCTGACTTAACATTTTTAAGATTATTGTTCGAAGAAATAAAATTAGAAAGATAGCTAGATGAATAAAGAATTAAAGTATTCAAGAGATGGGATTATAATGCTTAAGTACTTTTTAAGAAGTTATCATTTGGAACTAATTAAGTGGACTCATAAAAGCTGAAGAAATTCTTTATTAGAATCAGATAAACTGTAACGGATGAAGAAATTGAGTTATTGCTAAAGAGAATCGGTAAAGGAGATGCTAACATAATGACATATGAAGATTTTAGTTAAGCCATTAAAACATAAAGATAGAGATCATCGGAAAAAATAGAGATTCCGTTGATGAAAATAAGTACAATCATCAAGAGAGAACCTTAACATTAAAGTTATATGGAAAAATTAAGAAGACGATATAAACCACTTTAAACATAATAATCAGTTGTTATTTAAAAAATAGATAATAAAGGGTGTCACACTCCTAGAGCTAAAACACCCACTGCCACCACACGAACTACTGAAACTAAGTAGGCTCGAACTAGAACTAGAACTCCAAATTAAAATACAGAACCTAGATCCTTTACCAATGAATCTAAGGAACTTAATACTTTAATGTCTGTTTACTTAAATTAATAAAGATGCTTGTAAAATGTTATGGCTTAATTGGAAGAGGTAGTAGTTTTGAAATCTTTAATTTCGAAGAATTGGCATCAAGAATGGTAAGATTTGGGAGTTAGTTCGAAGAATACTTCGCAAGAATTATTTTAAAATATTCTCACTTATTATGATGATCGACAACCATTGTAACAAAAGATCAAAGTGACAGATCTGTAGAGTTCAGTCTATATTGTTGCCAATAATTTATTTGAATTATTGAGTGAATAAGAACAGCAATTATAAAAAGCAAAATTATAATTTTTGAGAGAGGGAAACCTAAATTCTTTGGATAGGTACTTCCATAAAGGGTATATGGATGTACTAGATGTACTTTAGATTTTAGAACATTCAACAACAAGAAGTGTGAGTTTGGTTGATGCAGAATTAATGATTGCCAAATTTAATAAATTTGATGGCAAAAAGACGATAACAAGAAAAGCACTATTAAATGAATTAACCTGATTTAAATGATCATAATTCACTTTTTGCAAAATATTCAACTTTCTTATCTTAATCTGGAACAATAGTTCTTTACCCAGGTTTCCAATTTGCAGGGCATACTTCACCATGTGTATCTGTGTATTAAAATGCTTAAATCAATCTTAATGTTTCATCAACTGATCTTCCTACTGGAGCATCATTTATTTGTATTGTTCTTACCAAACCTTTTTAGTCTATGATGAACAATCCTCTTAATGAAGCACCATACAATTCATCCAATTCATCTTCAACTAATACACCATATGCTTTTGATATCTTCTTGGAGATGTCTGCCAGCAATGGAATTTGAAGATCTCCAACTCCTCCTTAATTTCTTGGAGTCTTCAACCATGCCAAATGGGTAAAATGGGAATCTGTGGAAATACCTAAAACTTCTGCACCCAAGGCTTTGAATTAGTCAATTGCGTTTGAAAAGGCAACCAATTCTGTTGGGCAGACATATGTGAAATCAAATGGGTAAAATAACAAGACCACATACTTTCCTTAGTAATCGGAGAGAGATATCTTTTGGAATTTCAAATCTGGGGTAACTGCTGTTGCGCTAAAGAAGGGGGCCTTCTGTCTAGGCATCAAATTCAGATTTCCGAATGCAAACTTTGCGACAGGCGCATCTTCTGAGAAACATATTGTAAGTAGAAGCAACAAAGGCAATACCTTAATCATTATGATTATTAATGTAAGAATTGTAAGAATTTCTCGATAAATAGAAAGATTTGAATTTCAAAATGCTTGAGGATATGTTATCATCTTAGAGTCTTCAAATCCATAACCTCTCCATGGGACTCAAATCTTTTTAGCATTGTTTGGAGAACTTTTAATAAAATCGTAGATCTAGAAACAAGAGCTTATTCAAATTGTACAGTAATGACGAAGCAAGCATATTTATTCATCTGGAAAAAGATATTTAAAACTTATACTGCAAATCTGATTTCACACTTTCTATTTCTTTGAGAGATTATTCTGGCAATTTGACAAAAAATGAAGAATACACAGTCTACATTAAATTGTACCCTATTCCTCTAATGAAGATTTTCAGCAGATAAATTTCCTAAAGAAATCACTGTCAACTCCCAAGGAAAGCCCCTTTTAGTTGGAAGGACCAAATTGCTACTAAAAGGAAAAGGAGAATTCAAAAAACTACAGATCACAGAAGTTTTATTATTATTGATATTTTAGTAATCATCAAATTTTCCCTTAGGCAAATTTGCATTAGTTTTATATTCTAACTCACCAGATGTCTAGTCTTTAATATTAGAAAATATAGTGGTATAAAAGAAAAAATGAAAAATATATTTTTTAATAAAATTAATCAATGGATCACGAGAATCTCTTTTTCAAAGCAGTGACACAGTGCTATAAATGCTGGGAGCTTAATCCTGAATCTTCATGTTATTCCACCTGCGCAAATGAATACTTAATTTATAAAAAGGGGTTGTAGTTGATATAAAATGAAAACAAAATCTGTTTGGAATCATGTTAAAATGATAAAAAATGTATAAAGAAATGTGAGTCGGAATTAAATACTAATCAGAAATCATTATTAAAATTCTTAAATAGAATTCAACCTAGGTGATACTTTTTGCAAAATAATAATTTTTATTATATTATTTATATCATTAATCATAATTCCACTTTATTAGGGCACCTTATTTTTTATTCATTTTAATAAATTGCAAATGATCAGAAAAGATTAATTTCAATTAGAAGATTTATAGTATGATTCCAATATCTCAACCATTAATTGTCATTAACTACAATAATAGAATGCTTTTCACAATTTGAATGTTGTTCAACTCTTTAATTCAAAATAATAAGTTAATGATGAAACTATTAAAAAAATAATGTTTGAAGCTCAAAAATTATCCAATAATCGATATTTATTGATAAAAACAAAAAAAGATTATATTGAAATAAACTATTATATTTTGCTTTTTGATCATCATAATAATCTAAATACTATTACAGAAGGAATGGAAATTCTTGTTTATGGAAATTTTAATAGTGATAATACAATTTGTTTCAATTAAAAAATTAAAAATGATCATTTTTATATTTTGGAGCCAAAAATCTTTATTTCTGCTACCAAATTAAGTAATCTAGCATATTGTAGAAGGAAATAAGTTCTCAAAGATTTTTTTAAGAATTAATCCTTTGGTACAAACACAAACAAAATAAGAGGTAATTTTTTGCATTATTTGTTCTAAAATGTTATAAAATCAATTAATGACTATTCTGAATATTTTTAGTATGTAGATGAATCAAATACAGAAGAATTAGAATTAACTAAAATTCCAGTTTTGTTGAGGGTACTTTGTGAGGAAATTAAATCAAAATTCTTGAAAGAAATATATTCCGTAAAATAAAAGTTAGATAAAGAAATGGAAGCAAGTTTATTCTAAGGAATCATTAACACTTTAATTTGGATTAAAAAATTTGTGATTAAGCAATAATCTATTGTATAATAGGTTGAGGAATAAAAATATGAAATCAAAATTATAAAATGGGTAGAAAATGAAAAAAATATTTAATCATCTATTTTTGGCTTAGTCGGAGTTGTTGATTCGATTATAGAAGTTAGCCTAACTATAGATAATGTTTAATAAAAAGTGTGTAAGATTCCAATAGAAGTAAAAACTGGAATTAAGTTAGCTTCTGACAGGACTTAAGTGTATACATATTTGCTTTTAATGAATGATCACTATTAATAGAAAACTTTATTAGGATTGATGTTATATTTAAATAATTTAGATTATAAAATCATTCCCTTTACTTAATTTCAATAAAAAGACTTGTTGTTTTGTAGAAATCACTTCATTTCTGACTTATTTAATTTTAACAAATCAGAGGAAGATTACCATGTTTTGCCTTCACTTTAATTAGAAATAAAAACAGCAGAAGAATAGATTAAATGTTAGAAATGTGGAATTAGAGTTGCATGCTATGGTTTAAATTTATTAAAAAATTAACCAAAATTTGAATTTACAATTTATGAATATTAATAAATGGAAAAATAGTTTAATGATTAAACTAGGCATTATTTAAATACTATGCTAAAGTACCTAAGATTAGAGAAGCAAGCATAAATATGTTCTAAAATAGAATATGAAATTAAATAAAAATAAAGACTTAACGATATGTTTGAAATCCATTATATATTATCATCAAAAAACACATTTCTTGAAGATTAAGCAAGCAAAATAATAAAAGACTACATTTCTAAAAATAAAGAATTAACCCTTGAATGCAAGAGAACTTAAAAAAGTTATCAATTCATTTTGAAAAAGTAACCAAATATTATTTAAAAATACTTATTAAATCAGCCTTCTAGGTCAGAAATTCTATAAGAAGATGACCTTGAATACCTGATTCGCATGCATGTTCAAGAAAAAACAGAACTAAGAGCATTTGGTAGTCCATTAGAGATAGAGGATATACTAATACAAAAAATATAACAATCTAATCCATATAAACATTACAATTATATCACATTTGAAGTTGCAACTAATAAAAAATGGTAGAGAAAAAAAGAAATTCTTATATTAGGTTATACTCCTTAATTTAGGAGTTCATCTCATCTTGATGAAGGCATATAAACATATGTTTAATAAATATTAGAGGATTTTAAATCAGGCTTAAATGAAAATTAATTTAAAGCTATTTAATTAAGTCTATTAGCTGAAGATTTTGCTTTAATCTAAGGACATTATGGAAAAAGGACAATGTTAACCCATTTATTATTCTTATTAGGATATACAAATAAAAAAGTATTATTTTGCTCTGTTGATGATAATATTTTAGATGAATAAATAAATGATTTCATTGAAACATTTCCCAATAATTCTGAATGGATTTTAAGATTATAACGAGAAAAGGATTAAATCCCAGAAAATAATTAAAAGTATACTTTTGAATTTAAACGATTCAAAGATATGCAAGAAATCAATAATATATTAGAAAATAAGCATTTATATTTCTCCACTTGTTAATAGTGTACTGATATTTTATAATCAGATTCTTATGATTATTGTATTGTTGATTAATCTACAAAAATCATAGAACCATTTTGTATTTCTTGTATCCTTAAAAGCAAAGTTTTTATATTATTATAGGATTCAGAAAAAGAATAACCTTAAGTTAAATCCAAAAAAGCTAAAATATTATAAATTAGTCTCTTTTAAAGATTATCATAGTAGTTTAAGAATATAGGATGTCTTGTAGACTTAGATCAGGAAAGATCCAACAAATAATTTCAATGAAATTTATATAATAATTTAATCAATCACTTTAATTTTTTTAATATTATTAATTAGGCTTATAATGTATCCTGGTATTATAATAAGCTAACAATCATACTTTAAATAATAACTCCTTGTGAAAATAGATTTTATAACAGGAGAATTTTGAATTAAGCATATTTTTTCCTATGTTCATTTTTTTATATGAAAACCTTACAATAAATATAAGTAAAATTCTTATTATCTAAATGAATGGCATTAAGTTTTTTGGAAGAGGAATTGGAGAAAGCTTAGCTTTTTTAAATATAAGACTTGAATTATATAAATTGATATCAACCCAACAATAAATAGCTTTCCATTTTAGATTCTTAGATTGCAGACCTATCCTTACAAGTTATTGAATATATTGTATTTTCTTGAAATCAAATAAGTCCTATAAGTAATTAATAATAGGGTTATTTTAAATTGATTATTGCAAACAATAATTTTATTTATTAATCTGCAGAAATTTAAAAGGTACCCCTGAACATTCATAATAAGTATATTGTATATTTTTTTTGTTGATTATTAAGAATTAATATATTAATTTTTTAAATATTTATCTAAAAATGATATTATTAATAATATTATTTAAATTATATGAAAATATATTAAGTCATTATTTTGATTGTTAGTGTTTTTGCATCTCCAATAACTCTTAACGAACGTCGATATTTTCAAGATTAGAATGGAGCAATTCGAATTTTTCATGGATTCAATGTGGTCTATAAATAAGCTCCTTACATTCCAAAGACAGAAGGGTTCGACTACATGGAGTCTTTTAGCGAAGAGGATTGTTAAATTTTAAGCAAGAATGGCTTTAATGTGATTAGACTTCACGTTTCATTTGAAGGAGCTATGCCAAGGAGAGGTGAATTGGACGAGGAATATTTAGACAAGATTGTTATGATTGTATAAATGGCTGCTAAATACAAAATTTATGTTATTCTGGATGCTCATCAAGACTTATTTAATAGATAATTTTGTGGAAATGGATTTCCTGATTGGGCGGTTGAAAAGAAAGATTTTCCATTTCCAAAAACATTAAAAATTAGATTAAATGATCAAGGCTATCCAATATTAGAAGATTGCTATTAGTAAAAGTTTGCTTTATTTTATTCTACAAATGATATTGGAAGGCATTTTGAAATGCTTTATTCAAATTAGAATGGTTTGGCTGATTATTATGGGTAATTTTGGTAAAGAGTAGCAGAGAAACATAAGAATGAATGGAATGTCATAGGATATGAAATTTTGAATGAACCCTCTCCAGGAAATTTTTAAAAAGGCATAATTGACTTTTTTTGGCCAGGACTTGCAAATTCAAAATATCTGATTCCACTCTATAAACTCATTCATAATTATATAAGAAAGGTTGATAATGAAAAGTTAATATTTTTTGAATCTGATTTTCTTGATGTTTTAGGAGCTGGTTTTGATTCAAATATTGGTGGGCAAGAATATTAAAATAAAGAAGTGTTCAGTTATCATGTTTATTGCGGAATAGAGAAGATTTCCTCAGTATTTTGTAATAGGATTAATTAATTGATGTACTACTTGAAAATGAGGAATGTTAATGAACTTAAAATAGGAGGTTTTTTGACTGAGTTTGGAGCAGTTGGAGATGATGAACAATCTAAAGAAATACTTGATTATATACTTGACAAAGCTGATAGTTACTAATAATCTTGGACATATTGGTAGTATAAAGGATATAATGATCATACAACTATGTCAACCATGTATGAAGAAGGACTTTTTTATGAAGAAGGATCATTTTAGAAATAAAAACTTAATGCATTAAGAAGACCTTATGCATATTAAATTTGTGCTGATTCTATTGAAACCAATTAATATTACTCTGAAACTAAAGAGTTTATTTTATCCTATAAATCAAAGGCAGGTTGTTAATCAAAAGCTTTTATTCCCAATGAAATTCATTAATCATAAGCCTTTGATTATAAATGTTCAAATTGTTAATTACTTTTGATTGAAGATTAGCACTATGAAGTAGTGGGAGAAGGAGATATTGAGTTATATTTTTAATTATGAAATATAAATAAATAATATTAAATGGAATAAACTTCATTGGATTTTAACATAGATATTTCGCCTAAAAGAATAACAAACCATATAGAGCCTGATGTGGATCTTACTGTTGACAAATATGATTAAGTTTATCAAAATAATCAATAGGAAGAAGAGATAGAAGCAGCTAATGTAAATTAAACGATTTATATTATTAGAAAGATCTATTAGTGCAATAGTATGATATAACTGAAGCAGCTCATCCTTTTATTTGTGTTGCTGCAGTAATACTTACTGGATTGCCAGGATTGTGTTTTATTGTTTTGTAGGATATGTCTAATACATATATGTTTGTTGGATTATTGCAATTAGTGTAGTTTATTCTGATGAAGAATTATTTTGGATTGAAATTGGTTGGGCTGTGTTGGTGGCTTGAGGTGAAAGGAAAAAAATGGAGTGTCTAAACTTAATCTTAAGAGCAATCGAATTAAGTAGATTAATATTTTTTTTGGGCATGTCTTGTTTATGGAACTATTTATTGGGGAATAATGTGTTTAGGTGACTTAATTGGATTCAAAGCTATTTGGGTAATCTATTTAGATTATTTTTTAAAGTTGCCATTACCAATTATGTGTCTTTTATTAACTGCAACAAATTTCCAAGGATTTTACAAATGCAGAGGGGATCATAAGAAAAAATTATAGCAATTAAAAAGAGAAATGGCCAAGAGTAGTTTGAATATAGTAGGAATGATAATGAAATGAGATTAGATTGTTATTTATTAATAATTTAAATTTAAGTATGAATGAAAGTGTCTAAGCGATACAAGAAAGGTTTACTAAAATCAAGTTATTGAGTAATGATGTCTAGATTAAAGACTAAACAATTAATATAATTTAAGAAGATTACAAGAGTTGGAAGAATAATTGAGTTGAGTATGGGGATAGAAAATTTGCTATTCTCTAAGAAGTACATGATTAGATGTTTGATAATTAATAGAAAAAAACCAAGCAATTGCAATAATTTAATTAATAATTATTAGTTGCATTGAAGGAAGTCTAAGATAAGAACTAATAACTTTTGTAGAAAGTAAAATTTTAAAGTTAGTAATTATTTAAACTATTGCGGAATGTTTGGTTACCAAAAAAAAGTCGTATGTTTATGAAGGATTGTATGAAGGAAGAAAATCATCTTCTGCTTCCAGTTGCAAATCGGTTCCTAAAAAGAAGAAGAAAAATAGTATAATCAAATAAAAATTGAAGAATTTTTTATTGACATCAAAGAAATTATTTAGAGTTTAATATCCACAAATACTCAGTTAAAGGAGGAAAATGATTAAGTATGTAAAAAAATTTAAGCATACAAAAAGTAGGTGAGTAACTTAGATATAAAATTGAATAATTAAATTCTGAACACACCAAGGCAAAAGACTTATTACAATTAGAACATAAATTATAATCGAGTAACAGGAAGAAAAAATTAATTAATTTTAGGATGCTCTAGAACAAGAAAAACTAAAAGCATAAAAAGACAATCAATATAGATCAATTAATTGAATCATGTAATCAGTATGATACATAACATATAGAGAAAGAGAAGTTAGGTTAATGGTTTCTTTAATAGAATAGGATTTGGCATAGGAATTTGAAGATCTAAACAATTAATATATATAACTTCAAGTTGAATTCGAAGAGTTACTTGTAAGAAAAGCTATTTCCTAAAATAAAGTAGCTTTAAGTTATAGTTTATAATCATATTTACTTTAAAATAAGAGAACTCAAATTTTTTTTTCCACAATTAATTTAATATTTAAATTATATTCATTATTTTGTCCTCCTAAGAAAAGAATTCTAGATTAGAAAGCATAATATTTACTTAAGATTCAGAAAAGTAGTCTATTCCATAATTTTTGTTAAAAAGTTGAAAAAAGCCTTGTATATGAAAGATGAAGTAATACTTGAATTTGACAATAATGAGTTCATTGATTAGAAAATTGAAAAGTTCATACCAATATTTCATAAGATCACAAAATCTACATTTAGTTATTTAATTTGTTATTTAAAATTGACAGATGATTAATGATAAGAAAAATCGTGTAATATATTGTTTATTCTTCATAAAAGAGTTGAATTTCTAAATTAATACATATGATTTGAGATATTAAGGAAGATCAATCAATTCATAAAATTATTATTAGATTTTGAATTTTGCTAAGGAAGATATTCAAAAAATACAATCGGTTGGAAGTCAAATTGATTATTATTAATAATAATTAAGTTCTTAATAAACCAAGTTTATTAATTAGATGAATATGTATACCAATTAGAATAAGAACGATCAGAAACAGTAAGTTTTTCAACAACTTAATAACAACAAGTCTTTATGTAGTAATCTGAAGAATAACCAATCAACAAATTTAGAACAGATTCATCTCCTCCATAAAAAAGCAATCTATCAGTATCACTCCAAAATGAACTTATGTCAATTTTGAGTAAGAAATCTTCAGTAAATTTATCAAAGGCTGGTCAAATAGTTAAGCAAGGTTTATGAATTAAATATATATTCTAAATTAAACTTTAAATTAAAAATATCATTTAATATCTAGTGGTATTATGTTTTAAACTTTAGAACTAACTTCATTATTAACATAACTAACTATGACTTGAAGATAATCTATTACATCATTACAATTTTTTTAAATCTATTAATTTAAGAAAAAATTTAGAATTTATTCAACCTAGTTTGGTTGTACTAACTTTTTTAAATGGCAAATCATCTATGCTTAAACTGAATTTTAATTTTGATTATTATTTACTAAAAAAATTTATGTTGTTTCTGTGTTTGATTAATTTATAATAGGGTTTATTTGTAGTGGTATAGTAACTGGAAATTGTGGTTAAAATTGATTTTTGAGTGGTTGTTAGGTAAGTTAAAATTATTAAGGTTATAAAGTACTGAATTGTATTTTTGAATTACTTTATGATATTTATGATTAAGCCTATTAAATATTTTATTAAAATTAAAGTGGACCTTAGGGTTAAAACTTTGGATCTTTTATAGGGAAAGGTTAATTGCTTTGAAAAGGAATATGTTATTGGACAGTTGAGGGCTTTTAAAGGGTGCCCATTAAAATATTGCTTTATCCAGGAATTGATTATTAAAATATTTATGTTTACGGTTGGGTGTTAATAATACTTTGTTTCAGAGGTTAAAATTTATTGTTATGATTATTATTATTGATAGTTTTGACCTTTTCACTGGAATCATCGTTAGGAGTGATAGGTTTGTCCTAGAGATTAAGCAATTCTTCAATGGTTTAATAAATATCATATCGTAATAAAGGATCTACTGTCATCAAACATTTGCATAATTTTTATAACTTAGAATTTTTAATCTTATTGAATCTATTATCATTATTTTTTTCTCTCGCTTTCTATTTTTAATTAAAACAATAATTTTCAATTTATTATATCACATCCTCTTATGAAATTCCATTAAAAAACAAATCGCCTGTTAAAATTTCATAGATAATGCATCCAAATGACCAATTATCTACTTTATTATTATATTAATTAGGGTTAGTAGGATCTTATAAAGCAATTTCTGGAGCTATATAATATGGAGTACCAACCCTTAAAGTGGCAGATTGACTAATTTGATGTTTGAGAAATCCAAAATCACAGAGCTTCCATTTANACAACTTAATAACAACAAGTCTTTATGTAGTAATCTGAAGAATAACCAATCAACAAATTTAGAACAGATTCATCTCCTCCATAAAAAAGCAATCTATCAGTATCACTCCAAAATGAACTTATGTCAATTTTGAGTAAGAAATCTTCAGTAAATTTATCAAAGGCTGGTCAAATAGTTAAGCAAGGTTTATGAATTAAATATATATTCTAAATTAAACTTTAAATTAAAAATATCATTTAATATCTAGTGGTATTATGTTTTAAACTTTAGAACTAACTTCATTATTAACATAACTAACTATGACTTGAAGATAATCTATTACATCATTACAATTTTTTTAAATCTATTAATTTAAGAAAAAATTTAGAATTTATTCAACCTAGTTTGGTTGTACTAACTTTTTTAAATGGCAAATCATCTATGCTTAAACTGAATTTTAATTTTGATTATTATTTACTAAAAAAATTTATGTTGTTTCTGTGTTTGATTAATTTATAATAGGGTTTATTTGTAGTGGTATAGTAACTGGAAATTGTGGTTAAAATTGATTTTTGAGTGGTTGTTAGGTAAGTTAAAATTATTAAGGTTATAAAGTACTGAATTGTATTTTTGAATTACTTTATGATATTTATGATTAAGCCTATTAAATATTTTATTAAAATTAAAGTGGACCTTAGGGTTAAAACTTTGGATCTTTTATAGGGAAAGGTTAATTGCTTTGAAAAGGAATATGTTATTGGACAGTTGAGGGCTTTTAAAGGGTGCCCATTAAAATATTGCTTTATCCAGGAATTGATTATTAAAATATTTATGTTTACGGTTGGGTGTTAATAATACTTTGTTTCAGAGGTTAAAATTTATTGTTATGATTATTATTATTGATAGTTTTGACCTTTTCACTGGAATCATCGTTAGGAGTGATAGGTTTGTCCTAGAGATTAAGCAATTCTTCAATGGTTTAATAAATATCATATCGTAATAAAGGATCTACTGTCATCAAACATTTGCATAATTTTTATAACTTAGAATTTTTAATCTTATTGAATCTATTATCATTATTTTTTTCTCTCGCTTTCTATTTTTAATTAAAACAATAATTTTCAATTTATTATATCACATCCTCTTATGAAATTCCATTAAAAAACAAATCGCCTGTTAAAATTTCATAGATAATGCATCCAAATGACCAATTATCTACTTTATTATTATATTAATTAGGGTTAGTAGGATCTTATAAAGCAATTTCTGGAGCTATATAATATGGAGTACCAACCCTTAAAGTGGCAGATTGACTAATTTGATGTTTGAGAAATCCAAAATCACAGAGCTTCCATTTATCACCAACTTTGATAATATTTTCAGGTTTAATATCTCGATGAATGTGTTTAAAGTTGTGAAGCTCTTTGATCCCCTAAGCGATCTATTAAATGATTTCTATATTATGCGATTCGTCCCTATTATTTACTAGTTAAAGCTCTTCTAGTAAATTTCTGGTACCCAATTCCATAACGAAGCAATACTTTTTAAATGAATTATTGATATCCTTATCGATTTCATAGTACTAGATTATGTGATGAACTTAGTTGGATGTTTTTAAGAGTCTATACAAAAATTACAATTCATCATCCCGAGTATCATCTGAAAATTTTATTGCTACCTATAGAGTGGATTGGTCCTATTTGTAACCTCTATATATCTATCCTTGAGCGCCATATCCGATTAATTCTTCGCATACATAAGACCTACCTCCTTAACTAGTATAAATAAAAGGCAAATTCTATTAATTCATGATGAAATGATTTTTATTTATTTTTTATTAAGTTATTATTATTGCATATATGCTAATTATTTTAATTTGACGTGTTTTATTATTATTAATGTTTGGAATTTCATCAATCTACATTTTGGATTAGAAAGGAAGAGTCTTGATTACAAGGTAATACAGAAATGAATTGCCGATGAATATTCATGAAACATTTAATAAAAAATTATTGGAGTTTGACGAATATACTCAAAAGCCTGTAATGATAGACAAGGATGGATATACTTACATATTTATAAGGCACAACAATCTAATATTTATGACTGTTTGTTCTCAAAATGCTAATTGTCTAATGATTTTTTCATTTTTATTCAGATTGGTATAAGTGTTATAGGAATATTTTGTAAATGTTGAAGAAGAGTCAATCAGAGATAATTTTGTAGTTGTTTATGAATTGTTAGATGAAATGCTTGATAATGGATATCCATAAACAACAGAATTTAAAATTCTGAAGGAATTCATAAAAACAGAGAGTTTTTAATTGAAAGAGAAGAAATAACCAGAGTAAAGTAATTTTAATGTTGTTGCATTGGTTTCTAATAAGATATCATGGAGAAAGGAGGGGATTAAGTATAAAAAAAATGAAGTTTTTTTGGACGTAATTGAGAAATTGAATATGTTAATTGGGCAACAAGGAAATGTAATAAAGAGTGAGATTATAGGATAAGTGTAAGTGAAGTGTATGTTGAGTGGAATGCCTGAATTGAAGCTAGGTTTGAATGACAAAGCATTTTTTGAAGCACAAGGTCGTTAATCCAGATCAAGGGCAGTTGAATTTGATGATATTAAGTTTCATTAATGTGTGAGACTATCGAAATTTGAAAATGAAAGAGTTATTTAATTTACACCTCCAGATGGTGATTTCGAATTGATATCCTATAGATTGGATATAAGAGTAAAACCACTATTTTCTGTGGATGTACTGATTGAGAGGAAATCAGCAACAAAGATAGAATTCTTAGTTAAAGCCAAATCTAATTTCAAGCCTAAGAGTACAGCAAACAATGTTGAAGTAACACATTTCATTCTATATTTAGATATTTGTACCAGTGCCTGATGATGCAGAGTAACCTCAATTTAGAACTGCTCACGGTTCTGTTAACTATATGCCCGATAAAGAAGCGATGTGTTGGAGTATTAAATAATTTGGAGGTCAGAGAGACTTTATGATGAATGCTGTATTCCATCTCCCAACGTATATATACATATCAAATTAAATATAGAATCGTATCACCAAATAGAGATAAATTTTAGAAGATGCCTATAAATATCACATTTGAAATCCCTTACTTTACTGTCTCTGGTTTTTAAGTCAGATATTTAAAGATTCAAGATAAAAGTGGATATAATGCTTTGCCATGGGTGAGATACATTACATAAAATGGAGAATATTAGATTAGAATGAATTGATATTTTTTCGTATTATCATCCAAATAATATCTGATAAAAGTACAATAAAAATCTCATTGTTAAGCACACACCCTTAATAACAGATGCATTCTTTAATGTTGATCGTGATATTGATATATAATAAAATTGCATGGTTAATATACTCATGAAAAGTAATATGTGATTAGCAATAGATCCGATTATTTTTACTAAATAATATTAATTTTTTATTTGATAACAATAAATGAGATAACGAAGTGGTTAGATAATGTCCCCAGCTCGTATAATATAAAACTTTTAAATGAGCACTAAAAATCAATCTAATAAAAATGCATCACAATCTCCCTTAAAATTCATTTAAAGAAATCTATCGCAAATTATATTGAAGGATTTAGTGAAACAAGTATCAGCTCGAAAACTTAATCATGGTAGTTTAACCGAGAGAGTGCATAGTTAGTAACGATCAAATTCCAGAGATAAGCCGAAACCATTAGTAGAATCTTCAAAAGTTCCAACTGAAACAAATTTCCCATCTCAATAAATTTCAAAGGGAATTAACTTAATTCTAAACTAAAAATTGACAAATAAAAATAAACTCATCTTAGAAAAAGGTTCAATGACTCGCAGAAATAGCGTTGAAGATCTTCTAACATGTTCTGTAAAAGTAGGAGGGAAATCTTCTGCAATTGATAAGATGACTAAATAGGAAATTTCCGTTTACATCCATTATTCTTCAGAAGTTACACAAATTTATAGATTTCATCCTAATGTAACTACTGATAAAATAATAAGTGTTCTAAAAAGTAAATCTGGGAACTATTAAGTCGTTGGATTTGCAACACTTGATGAAAACATAGGATTTGATTACTATCTCACAGTTCCCTCTCTTCCAATGAATCACATGATTGGAAAAACCATAAAGTTGAAGCCTATAATAGGTATATCTCCACCGAAACAATTGAATTTAAGTTGCTTTCAATTTTTGCATGTAATAGGTAGAGGTGGATTCTCAACAGTTATTTTATCTCGATCATTAATTGATGGTAGTTTCGTCGCTTTGAAGCTAATTAGCAAAAGCTTTGTCATATAAAATGAGAAGAAGGATTTAGTTTAGAACGAAAGAGATATTCTTATAGAAACTACCAATAAAGGTTCGTTATTCACATCAAAGATAGAATTTGTATTTGAAACTAAGAATTGGATAATTTTTGGCATAGAATATTGTCCTGGAGGGGAAATGTTTAGCTACATGAAACGAACTTAAAAGATGACAGAAAATCAAGCTAGATTTTACATTACAGAAGTATGTTTAGCCATAGGCTTTCTACATCACTAATAAATGATCTATCGTGATTTAAAACCAGAAAATGTGTTAATTGATATAACAGGACATATTTAATTAGCTGATTTTGGTTTGGCAAGACCCAACATGCAAACAGAATAGAATGCTTATTCATTTTGTGGTTCTCCTGAGTACATGGCACCTGAGATGTTCCATAATGACGGACATAATTATTTAGTTGATTATTATTGTTTAGGAGCTTTACTATATGAATTTGTTACAGGACTACCCCCCTTTTATTGTGAAGATAAAAATATCATTTACACTAGATTGTTAAATGAATAGGTGACATTCCCTAAAAAGTTAAGTCCAGAAGTTAAAGATTTGATTCGATTACTTATGATTAAGGATCCAAGTAATAGATTGGGATCGAAGAGAGGAGTTGATGATATTTTGGCACATCCTTGGTTTTAGGATGTTGATATTTCAAAATACATTTAAAAAAAAGTAGATCCACCTTATATTCCTGACTTAACTAAGTTAGTATTTAAACAACCTACAACTAACGATAGAATTTTGTTCGAATAATTAAATAGGGAATAGAAATTGATTACTTAATTTACACCAATGTTTGAAAGTGCTTTTTTCTATCAATAGAAAAGATATAAATCTTATGAATTTGATAAAAACTCATCTACTCAAGTTACCAAAGACACAATAGACTCTTTAGTAAGAAAAAGAACCAAAAATTCTCAGAATAGTTAACAATCACTATTATCCCAATAATCATAATCATAACTATCGTCAGTGATATGTTCAAATGATACACTCAAAAATACAAAAAGTGTAACCAATCTAAAATTTTATTAAAGTTTATTGACTGAACCATCTAAAAAATGAGTCTATATTTATTTTTAATATTTTCTCATCACATTTTCTTCTTTTTCTAAACTGGCTACTCTTCTTCAGATTCCTCTGCTTCTTCTGCATCTTCTTCATCATCTTCTTCCTCATCATCTTCTAAATCCTCCTCCTCATCATCCTCATCATCATCTTCATCTTCTTCATCCTCATTTTCTTCATCTTCTACTTCATTTCCAGCTTTGTCCTTGTGATCAATGTAACTCAATTATGGTATCGATTCAAAAAGGAATGCTCTATCAGTATCTTTTTCATTAAATACTAAATGCTATAATTCTTTTAGTTCAACCAAATCTTTAAAATCCTTTTTTTATTCAAAATAATAATATACATCTTGGCTTATTTTTTTATTCCCACTTATGTCTAAGTACGTCACTTTTGGAAAATGCTAAATAATATGTTGGAGACTACTCTTATCCAAATTATTATTGCATAATCGTAATTTTGTTAGATTTGGGAATCCTATTAAATTATCTAAAGATGACAATTTGCAATCATTGAATTCCAAACATACTTTCTTTATTCATCATTTTTACTTAAATCATTGTATTTTGCCAATAATTTTATTGTTTCATTTGTAAATTATCCAATGTTGATATTTTCAAAACATAATTTTTAAATTTTTTCTTGTCCTTCCTTCTATGCTTATATTTCAGCCTTCATGCTTATTAAAACATCCATCTTCTTATTTCCACTCATTTAATTATCAATTAATATTAAAATTTATAATAAACTCAAAATGTCAAGAGCGCTTAGTTTTAGAGAAGATTCAGTTAAACTCGATGATCCAATCTCTAATTTAAGTGAAAGAGTGTCAAAAAAAGAGTAAATTCAAATGAAACGATAATTAGATATTATGCTTAATCGAGTTAAATTACTTGCTATCCAAAAATCAAAATTGTACATTTAAACTTAATTTAGACAAACAAAACAGTAATAATCTGAAGACAGAATTGAATTTCTTAATAATATTAGAAGTTATAATCATTCGCATTTTGAGAGAGTATTGAGTTTATAATTCGGTAGGTTCAAAAAAACAAAGAGATGAGAAATCAATCTCTGCAACTCTACAGGGATATTAAAATGTAACAAAAATAAGATTAGATTAAGCTTTAACAGCAAATTCGTCTTTCTATTTAATAATAAAAACAATAAAAATTTTAATAAATGAAACTAGAATCATTACAATATGATAAATTTATTACTCTTTAAAGAGAGAGATCTAAATCTTTTAATGTTGAGAAAAAGCATAAAGTTTAATTACAAGAACAATAAATATAATAAAATCTGGAACAATTTAAACAACTAAAAAAACAGTAACTCAAATCCTAACATAATTAAGTTGTCTTAAATAATTATCTGTAAAAAGCAAATGATTTTGTGAAAATAAATAAATTATGGGACTTGGAGAAAAGTATGTTGGATTCTTTGAGAAGCTCTACAAAATCAAAATTTAAAATCTCTTTAACAAAAGCTTGAAGTTTAATTCTTAATATATGAGTGTAAATATCAAGAATCATATTCTATATTAAAATTTAAGATAATATATTCATTATTTTGAGAATATATTTAAAAATTAAATCTATTAAATATGATTTCCGATTATTTATAATTTAATTCAATCTTTTGAGAATAAATATTCATATTTTTCAGTTATACTATTTATATTATTTCCAACAATACTCAAAATTATGGTATCCAAAAATACTTTTTTGGACTATTCCTCTAGGATTTTCCATAAATTCCAAGTATAGCTCAAATTATTTTTCAAGGCCTAATAATATTCAATTTATAATATTACATTATCTAATTTCCTAATTAAATTCTGATAATAATAATTAAAACAATTAGACTATTTCAATCGACTAGTAATAATAGTTCTTTAACTTCCCCAATTATTGTATATAGCATTTAAGCTATCTTGATTTGAAAAAAAGAAATTATCCTATCTTTATTTTGTAAACAAATTATAATGCATGCAAAACATTCCAAATTAATAAAAGTTTAATCCGTCATTATTTTGCATCTCTTTCAAAAATAATTTTTTATATTGTAATAAATTTTAGTTCTCTTCAATCAAATTAAATAATATCTCAAATTCTTCAATACTAATAATCTGATTATCATCAACATCTATTGCTAAAAATAGTTCATTGAAGTTGTCTTTCTATATTTTTCTTATATATTGAAATTGCTCGAGGCAGAATTAATAATATTGATCTAAATCAACATATATTTCACCTTTTATTATTTTATGATATTAAGTGAGTTACTCTATAATCTCTTATCCTTTTTCATTTAACATCATTAATTATTTTATAATTTTCGATTGCTTAACATATATGTTTTCATTGGTTTAATTGCAGTACAATAGATTCAACGGATTAGAATGTTCATCTAGTGTTGATAAAGATTATATATAGAAATCTAGATCATCATTTGAAATCCCTTCATATAGTTGTAGAAATCGAGAGAATAATCTAATTCTAGTATTTTATTGGTAAAACATTAGGCTTTAACAAAATTAAGTCATTTTTTACTCAGCAACATTCTTTAATCCATATTGATTCATAAAATATTCATAACAAATAGCATATAATGGGTACTTATACTCCAACCTTTCCTTATAGAAAAAAGAGACTTATTTTAATATATTTTATAATGTTGTTGTATTTTCTATTTACTCTGGATTTTATTTAAAATCTTGTTACAATTAGCTTATAAATGCTAAAGCGACATCAACATAAATGTTTTCCCTTTTCAATTTTTATTATTTCTATTCTAATGATAATAATAAATCTTTACGTAACTTGTCCTATTAAATCATAATATAATTCTGTTATTGTGTCAGTCTTCTTTGTTAAACAATGCTTCCTCTTTAATTAAAATTAGTTTTTGTATCAATCATGAAATCATTAACAAGTTTGCTTAAAGGATCCTCATTAACTTAATTCTTATCTAATTCTTAGGAGTTACTGACATGAAGTGAATTTTATGATTATCTTCTAGGGATTATTTGAGATGAATTTTTAAAGGATTTTACTTATTTTTTTGATTCTTTTGTTTCAACTGAACTTAGTTTGCTTAATCCAGTTGAGTTTGTCTGTTTAAGTTATTAGGATGGTTACGATTACTTGGATGCTTCTAAATTTATTAATTATTTAGATTTCTTGCTTTGTGATAATTTATTTAGATCTGATGCATTTTGATGAATTTTACTTTAAGTTTCAATTTTGTAACTTGTTTTGATCGAAGAGGTAGTTTGTTGAGGTCCTAAAGTCATTTATTGTTCTGTATTTTGTTGTTCAATACTAACGACTGTCATTTCTCTTTATTTAATTTCGTTTTACTTTTCCAATTACAATTAAAGGTGTTAAATGTCATTTTGTAACTGAATAATTAAATTATCCTAATTAGTTAATTTTATTTATTAAGATTCAACCTCTCTTTAAATTAATTGTTTTTATTTTCTCAATTGATCTTGAATTTAAATCTCCATTCGCACTCTCTCTTCTAATGCAAAATTGATTTCCTTAGCTTTTCTTAATTCTGAATTTGGAGGATTGGAATTATTTCTACAAAAATGATAAAAATTACCTATTTACAAATGGCTAAGGGGTTGATATGGGTTGTTCGTCCATATCTAAATTGTCACATTAAATTCCTACTTGTTTGAAATATCTATAGTCAGTTTGTACATATTATTGAGTTTTATCTACATTTGTTTGAGTTAATTTATTGACATGGATTTCCATGGTAGAGTATAAATCATAACAACTAGTTGATTTATGATCCTCAAAATCTCCATAGCCATTTTGACCTCTTTTTTATTTTGAGAGACTATGATTAATTCTATCGTTGAGTTATTTTAGTATTTTCTGGTTTTCAGTCAATAAGGCATTATTTTTTATGGATAAATCCTCATTTTCATTTATTTTAATGAAATAATTATTTTTAAGTTCATCATTTTCTTATTTTTAATCTTAAAATTTTGAAATGATGTGTTTATATTTTGAGTTTAGATTATCAAAATCCATGACTTTTTCTTCATATCTTTATTATTACTATTGTATTTATTTTTCTAATTATTTAACTTTGTCCTCATAAACCTAAACTGATATTTAATAGGTTTAATGTACCTAATTTATATATGAGTATTTACTTATTTTAATTGATTTAAGTATTCTGTTTCTTAATTGATTTTATCCTATTGATTTGCCTACATGACTATATTATTAAAATTGACATATTGATTCCAAATCTTCTCCAATAAAACTCTAATTAAAAGAACTTAATTACCCTTTTTCTACACAATCAATTGATATTTCTCTAACTAATTCTTTGAGACTCTAATTAAATACTTACTCCAATTGAATAAGGAGCTTTTCTTCCTTTAGTTTTGAGTCAACTACAATTATTTTCATCTAATAATCAATCCATTAAGCTAATTTTATGACATCTTATCTTTAAATTAGAACATTAGCTGGTTTAGTTTATTGGATGTGTTAGGACAGTTTGTCAGAAAATTCGCTGGTTTCATGCAACAATTATGATAATTTCTCCTTATCTCTTAGATCGAATAAATTCACATGAATAGAAGATACTTCTAATATTTGCATAAATTTGTGTAAGTACTTCGAGGATATTCAGGAACTATGTCTTCTGAAGAATCATTATTAAATTTGAATGGATTTTCACTCAGCATTTGAGAATACACCTCATTTTTTCGTTGTCTGCTTTGTCTCTCTACTTCGAACATTTAAGATTTGCTTAACAATGGAGATGCATAATATTACTAATCAATTTTTACTGTATAAATACATCTTGTTTAACCTCATATTTATCATTTCGAATGAATGAGACATTACTAATGTTATGAAGAGATTTTAACGAATTATCGTGAAATTATTTGGATTATTTTTAAGAAGAGTTGAATAAATGTTCTATTGAGTGGAAACTTCTGGCTTGAGGCGTCCTTGAAATGTTGGGTAATTATTTCTAACTTATCATATATAAATAAATAAAACTATTATTTTCTAAAAAATAAAACAAGAATTTCACATTATAAATTATTTATTTTGTCAAAAATCAACCTAACATGTTCATTCATCATTAATAACTGTCAAAGGCTACTTATAATCAAATGAAAAAATACTGTTATTATTTCTTTAAAACAATAAATTTATCAGCTAATTTTTAATATATACTCTTGTAGAGAAATTAAAGTATCTTAAAATTGGATAAAAACTCTAATACTAGATTTTAGAAACACTATGATGATTCATGCAATTTTATTTTCTTAAATGTTATAATTTACTAGTTTTGATGATTCAAAATTTAAGGATAATCTTCATTTTGTTATGATATCGTCATTTGGCTTTTGCTTAAGAGGATATGGATATTAGCAATTAAGTTACAATTGATAATAAATCTAATGGATAACTGAGAGTTAGTGATTTTTTTGTTTTTATAATCAATTAGTTTCTTCGCTATATATCTGTTGTATAAGATAACGCATTTATTTTCAAATTTAAACATTACTTACATAGTTTTATCAAATGAGGCTTTATTAAAAAAATAGGACATCAAACTATTAGTTGTAATAATGAAATTCTATAAAGATTGTTGATTAAATGATTATTCGTTTTATTGTAAGAAAGGATAATTATCAGGAAAGTATTAAATTACAAATATTTCATTCATCATTTAAAAGTAAAAAAATCAAATTAGAATTATACTTAAAATAGTTATATGATAATTTTTTGAGGCAGAAATATAGAATATGAATTAATTACTAGAATTCATTCATTATTGATTATCCAAAGTAGAAGATTAGAATTTAAGTTCGGTCTAATTAAATGAAATATAAAAATCCATTATTTAATTAATGGGGTCTTAGTTAAGCTTCATTTGTATCCGATAACACACATTTTTAGATTAGAAATATGTTTTTTAATTGTTTCCCACTTATATCACTCTAAATTAAGTACGCTTGAATTATAATTAAGATTGACAAAGAACCGAAATATATAATCGAATTAGAATTGCACAATATCATTTCTTGGCAATTAAATCAAATGAATTAACTCATTAGTTTTAGCATTTTGTGGAACAACATCGAGAAATAATTCCGCTCTACACATGAGGATCTCTTGAAGTTGCGATAAGCTATTAAAAATAAAATAATGTATAAAACTGTTCGACATCTTTATAAACCCATGCAGTAATTGGGAGAAGGAAATTTCGATGAAGTAATTTATTCTAACATTTAGGTATATTTGTGTAGAAACAGAATAAATGGTAATTCATACGAAATAAAATGCCTTGCCAAAAATTAATTTGAAGATTCTATTGTATTTATTGCATATTTTACATCGGACTCGTATTCATAATGAGATATCTATCTTGCTTAACAAATATTAGATCTGACTATGTCTAAAATTTACAAGAGGTATTTAACGGAGAAAACACTGTGTATTTTATTAAGGAGTATTTGGAAGGATTAAACTTATATGAATTAATTATGAATGTCCCTTTAGATAGGACTTAAATATTAATTATTATGAAAGTAATTTGTATTACCATTATCATAAAGATTACTGCTGTTAGAGATATCCATTCCAGTAATATTATGCATAGGGATATCAAACCAACTAATATAGTATTCAAAAATAAAGATTCCATAGATGGACTAAAGTAAACAGAATTTCACTTAGCAGTTAACAGAATTTCACTTAGCAGTTCACATTAATCTTTCATAAGACTTGAGAGTCTGTGGAACCCCTGGTTATGCAGCTCCAGAAAAATTTAAAGATTGTTATAATGAAAATGTAGATCTTTTTAGAGTTGGATGTATTGCTCACAACTAACTAATTTCATCTTTTCTTTAAATTGTATACATTTTCCTTACAAATCATTTAATATTGTCACTACCAGAGATGTGTTTCCTGGAAAGACACCGAATGAAATCTTAAGGATGAATAAAATTTGCAACATAGACTTTAAAATTCTCTAGTTTTATAAACTCACTCCAGAGGAAACAGATCTCCTTTAGTAAGAAATCAAAGAAATTGAAAAGAATCCTGAGGAATTACAAGTAGATCAAGAATCTCCACGTATTAGTGCAATACCCAATTTCAAAGTATTGAAAAAGGATTCTCAAATACAATAATCTCAAGTAGTAAGAAAAAGTTCCAAATTAAAAAAAAGTGAAATTTAAGAATATACTCAATTAAACTTCAACAAGTCTAGTTTTTAGGCCAGAAATTCTGTTCATTAAACAATGGTTTGATTATAAATTATTAATAACACAATTTGCATATTTCTCATCATAACATAAAAAATTATTAATTATAATTAAATTAAGTAGATGATAATATATCAAGTAAAAATTTTCAAAGTAAGTTTTCAGTTTGCAAGACTATTTTTTTCATTAATTAAAAAGTATCATAATCTTCTAGAGCAGATAGCGATCCTAAAACATAATTACATCCTTTTAATTTTATTAATCTAACCAGATAAATCTCAATCCAAAGAGGGATTGATACTATTTTAGAGATCCCGCACTCTAAGAAATCCATCATGATACTTTAAATTCTATTTCGTATTTATAAATTAATACAATTAAATTATTTAAGTAGCTTCATCCTTATATAAGTTTAAAAGTGAATAAGAAACTTGAATCGAAATAACCCTATCGTTTATTTTCTATAAGAGTTTCTATGCTAGATTGTATTATTTAAGTCTTTTGGCAATTATGCTACAATTAAATAAAAAGATTGATTCTTGTTTCAGAAACTAATTATAAGTTTGAAGCTCATCCTGATCATTAAGTGCAAGTCCAAAAATAGTATAAAACTCCTTGAGCTCTATTTGTTTCTCTTCATAATGTTTATCCTTCAAAGATTCCTTTAATGAGGATGAAAATATTTATTTTAATTTCGCCTTTGATGCTTATTTTTCAGGACTATGAAATTATTACTTCTAAGAACCTTAGCTAGTATTTACTACTTTACTATTATTGTAAAATAGATTATCTAGTATGCTAAATGTCTAAGAAATATAATCAATAAATTCTTTGAGGTAAGGATTTAACTAATCTTTTTTTCTTTTCATTGAATCTCCAATCTCAGTTTATTTTAATAAAGGAAGATTTTCACTGAGATGATGAATCAACCCATAAATTTATACTATCGGCGCTTAAATAAATTTTTTTTCATTTAAATTTTAAATAGGACGATTAACAACCCCCTTAAATTAACAAGAAATATCCCTTTAAGACTCAACACTTTCAAACATATTTTCTGGTATAACCCAATAAGTTTGCTTGCTAAATTTGGAGGAAGCTTGTTTTTAAAACTGAGGCTTTTTAGGATTATTTTTTTAATTTTAGGTTGGTATATTGGTTAGTGAAATAGGATGTGAAAAATTAAATGATTTGTTTAGGTTGGATTATAAGAATTCAGGTTGATCATCATCGTCTGAATCAATATAGTTTAAAGACAAAGAACCATCAATAATTTATTTCTAGTATGAAATTATTAATAATACCTTTGCAAAATCTTAGAAATTTCTTTTTACATTTGTATTTTTTAAGCTTATTTTGAAATTCTCATTATCATTATTAGTAACAAATGACGAGCAAGAATTATGAGGGGTTTGAAAGAAATATAATTTTAAATATTTTTATAATTACTTATGCCCAACTTAAATTGACAGTTTAATTATTTCTTTTTAAAATGTAGTAAGCTCATTTTTACTTTCAAGAAGCTGATTTTATGAGATGAAATCTTAAACCTGCTTCTCAATTTTATAATTCCAATTGTTCACACATTTTTAAACATAGTTATACCACAACTATTGATAAATATATTAATACTTTTAATTACTTTTTATCTAAACCCCTTGATCTCATTAAAAATTATTAAAGTACTGGGTGATTACTCAATTAGGAGAAGCTCTCAACTTAATCAACTTCAAAGGGATTGATTTGTGTATAGATATTATCTAAATCATTTAGATTACTTATTGAATGATCTTGAGTCATCACTCTATAGTTTGTGAAATGAATCTCAAACCATATTTATTTTCTCATCTTCATTCCTTTTATACCTGCTGCTTTGTTTAATAGACTCAGACAAACCTGATATTTATTCTATTTTCTAAATATGGAAGCCTATGATAAGTTTGACTTTTACAAGGGCAATCCAAACTATTTTATCTTCATATGAGTTTGTCAGAGTATCTTGTAGGATTTAAAATGCCTGCTAATATTTGCCCAATTTGATCAAGACTTTGCCCAATAAGTATTTTACCAAATTAAATTACTATACTTTTTGAGTGATATTACCTAAACATGATAAGGACTTTTGGTATTATCTAATTTACTTTTAACTTTACTTCATTTTATAGAATATAATGCTTTTAATCAGATGAAAAATAACATTGTTTTATATTTTGTCTAACTCTTTAACCAAGATGAATAATTGATGAGATTTTACTAAATGTGATACCAAAATATCCAAAGGCCAACATAAATAGTATAAGACATCATTTATATCACAAAAACATTGATTGGACCTTATTTTTTCAAAGTCCTAAAATTAGTTTGCGTTTATTGTGATTAATTCAAGCATTGATTCAATCATTTTGCACAATTTAGTGTTATTTTTTAAGCATAGATTGTTAAAAAATCGCCCCACTCCCACAAGCTTAAAATCTTCATCTATTGCTCGCAATACATTGCTTATGTACACCCCTTTCCAATGCTACGATGTGGGCAAGATCATTCTCTAGTTTTCTTGTACTAAAAATACGCTTTTATTTTTCTGGCCTTCAAACAAGGCTTCACAAACTAGGAAAGCTCTTGAGAATATGTCATAGCAAAGGTATGTTACCTTAATATATGCTCCATTTACTTTAGCAATGCTTTAAACTTTAGAGAAGAAGACGTTTTATCTCTCTTTTTCCTAATTTTGCACAATGCTTTCTAAATAATCAAAAACATCTCCCTACGATTGTGGGCACAGGCCTTAGACGAAGTGGAAGGAAGAGGACGTCTCATAGGATGATTTTATGAAATTGATTGGCTGTTGTTTTGTGATAATGCAGATATCAGGCACTCCCAATCCTTAAAGTTAGTCTAAAACTTGTATTGAATTTTTACTAATATTTTTGAATAGATTCTCCTTGACTCCATCCAATTTCCTATCCTAATACTCAAATATGTTCTTAATGGAGAGCAATTACATATTTATTTAATTTATTTATGATTTTATTATACTGTTCTATCATTTAAAATTAAATAATTTCTATTAATTTTATAATATTCCGTATTGATATAACTATTCCAATTCTATTTTGATTTCGGCTTTTCTTAAATCTATAACATATCTACAACCCTTTGTTGATAAATCTTAATATAGCGTGTCTAGTAAGTTGAATAAAAGCAGTAATATAAACAAAATGTTGAGGGATTTTATATCACTTCAAGACAAATTATTGTGTGATTCATATTATTCTTACTGATTACAAGAGTATCCTTCAATATCTGAACCAATATTAGTGTAGTAAGAAAAAGTATATTTATAAATTGAAAATCAAAAAATCACGATTTTTAAATAAAAAATTAAAAATATTTAATTAATATTTAATTATTATAATAGAAAATAGATTAAGAGATGATGAGTAGGAATCCAAATTTACAATGTTCTAGGGATGGCCACGATTAAAGCCCTATAACTGGAGTGTGTTCAAATTCATAATGTTAATCAAACAAAGCGTTTTGTGTTGCCTGTAAAGTCGAATTTCATAAAGGACATGAAGGAGAGTTAGTTTATTTCCAAAATTATCCACAATGGATTGCTAATTGTCTCAAACCTTATCAAGAATTTACAACTTTTTAAGATACAGTTCTGTAAACATCAAATAAATTAAACGAGGTTTTAAGTTAAGCGAACTATTTAAAAAATTAAGACATCTCAGCCATGTCCTTAACTTAATTAGAATAATACACAAAAGGTTTGTTGTCACTGAAATCCTCAGAAGCACAATTGAGCTCAGCAATAAATAAAGTTAAAAATGACTTAAGTACTCTATTACTAGTTTTGAAACCTATGTCAGGCTAATAAGGAGGAGGTTAGCAATAATAATAAATCATTTAGACCCAAGCACTTTAATAAAATTAATCAAGTTAATAATTAAAATAAGGATAACCTCAAAATGTTGCACCAACATAATTAAATTTAACATTTTCAGATAAAAACAAAATATCTCCAAATATTAAAATAGAAAAAGGTGGAAAGTAAGCAAGTGGAATTGGGTTTTTCATTTGTGATTTTGTGATTCCAAAGGATAGAGATTCGATTTTCTCTTTCAAGTATAATAGTGGATTTAGCATTGCTTTGGGATTGTGCTATAAGGATAGAACTATAGAATAAAATTATTCAAACAAATTGCAAAAAACAGGTCATGAGTAAGGTTACTTTCCTAAATAGATTTTATTTAATTACGAGTGCCAGCATGAGTTATTCTCATTCAGATGAATAAGTTAATAACAAATCCCAGAAGTTTAAGATTTCTCCACCCGACGTCGTGACATTGAGGATCAGAGCCAATTAAAAATAGCTTACCTGGATAGTGAACAAGGAAGAAGTTTTGGTAATTTTGTAAATTATGTAGACCATGACTATTGATTTAAGTAAAGAGCTTTAACCCTTTATTGACATATGCGGAGTAGTTGATATAATTGATGGATGATGAGAATCAATTTATTTGGGAAATATAATCAATTTAAAATTACAGCATCATATATAATAGTATATGTCTAAGTTTGATATTGCAAAGGTGAAAAATAATGAAATTAATGCCTCTCTTCCAAGTCTAACACTATGCCTCTTGTTTTCTATTTAAATTCAGGTTAATATCTGCATAACTAGTTAACTCTTCATTTTTTACCCTAATTAATTTAAAACATAAGAGCCAAGTCTGTTGTCTATTAATGTTGTCAAGATAAAATACCAATTATTTTATGCAGAATGGTTTTGAAATGCAGATTCATTTAGGTTTTTCAGTTTTTAAAAGAATCCTTAATACATATTTTAGAGCTAATTGATTCAAACCTTCATCATATGGCATACTGAAGCTAAGAATTGCCCATTATTCACATCAGAATCTAAAATGCTGAATTTGTGACATCTTAAGACTAATTTGAATGTTCTCGGTTTAAGAATTCTTTATTGTAATTTTTTTGCCGATCATAGGAAATGAGGGTAGAAAGAAATCATATTCTCAATAATAAAATAAAAGGCATGGATAATTGTAATATTAATGAAAAATGGGAAGATCTTATGGAGAATAATGGTATGAGAGTAGGGTTGAAATTTTAGTGGTTTTAGTTTAGAATTTTCAATTTATTGATGTAATTGGAAGAGGTGGATTTGGTAAGGTGTGGAAAGTTAGATAAAAGAAAAATAAGTAATTTTATACTCTTAAAGTGATGTCTAAACCAAAGAAAAAGCGATTAAAATATAGAATCATTTAAAAGAAGTCATTGTAGTCTGTAATGAATGAAAAGACGTTATTGAGTGGGCTGAAACACAAGTAAAATAATGAAATGGAATTAAGTTTCTGATCAACATGCAATATTCTTTTTAAGACAGGGAAAATCTATATTTGGTAATGGATTTGCTTTCTGGAGGAGATCTGATATATCACATAGGAAGACACTGGAAATTTGATGAAGAACAAACAAGTATATGGATATATACATAAAGCAAGAGTTTTTCAGCGGGTGTATCGTAGTAGCACCTGCACCAATAAGGAGTATTGCATAGAGATCTTAAGCCAGAGAATTTAGTATTTGACAGTAATGGTACGTTTCATTTTTTTAATCGGACTAGGATATCTGAGATTGACTGATTTGGGAATAGCCAGAATATGGAAACCCGAGAATTCTCAGGATACTAGTGGAACTCCTGGGTATATGGCTCCAGAGGTTATGTGTAGTAACTCAAAATTTGCTAATAATAGGACATAATCACTGAGTAGCAGTAGATTACTTTGCACTTGGAGTGATCATATATGAATGCATGTTAGGCAGGAGACCATATTTGGGAAGGAGCAGATAGGAAATAAGAGAACAAATGCTTGCCAAACAAGTAGTCATTAAGAGACAAGAAATTCCCCTTGGATGGAGTTTGGAGGCAGCTGATTTTACAAATAAGGTATAATAAGATGTCTTTACTTAGCTTTTACAAAGGAAGCCATAGAATCGATTGGGTAACAATGGACCAGATGAGAGCACTTCTTCATCTCGAATAACCAAAGAGCCAACAACTACTAATACACCGAGATCGGCTAAGTTAGCTCTAAAACTTAAAAATTGATTTACATTTTTTTTTTGTATTAAATTATTATAATTTCTAAATTGTATTATAAAAAGAATTAACTCCTTTTATTATTATGAATTTCATAATTAAATTTAATGGTTTCTTGTGCTTAATATTGCATGTTTATATCTGCTCCAGGATGCATATTCATGACCTATTTGGGATTTATGATAGCCATTGGATCTGAAACTGTCTATGTAGTACCTCATAGTCGAATTGAAGGTGCTTTTGCATTGTTCATTACAGCCGTGGTATGTGTTTATTTGATTAAAGCTTTACGCTATTTTTTTTGCAATCAGCTACAATAGTGAGTATTCTCAAGTTTAAAGACAGCAGAATGTTGATGAGTGGATTAATTCTCAGGAAATCAGAGAAGCTGAATTGGAGATGCAAGATATTCCTAAGTAGCCTAAGTCAAACCTATAAGAATCCGCAGAATAATTGCCATAATGATATCAATTATCTACAGATATGCTATTATATATATCAAAGAAATATACTATAATTTGAAATATTGACAGAATTGTTTCATTATCATCATCTCATCTCCATTATCAATTATCCTTGTTGATTTAAATAATTAAATAATGCATTGTTAAATTGGAGCAATTTCTCTGTCTTCAATCTCAATGTCATTAAGTAACTTGATGAAAAAGAGATCATTTAATTATTTAAATATTCGTTTATATAGTTAAGGATGTGATCGCTCACTTTATTTCATTATTTTTTAATTAAATGGGAAGTAAGATAAATTAAATATTGTAGATTTATGCGGAGAAGAAAGACAAGAGTCGAAATCACTCATGAAATCTAAGTTGTGCCTCTCCAAAGTTATAGGCAAGGCATTTGTACAAATACTTCAAGGAGATATTTTGTCAGAATCAGCATCGGCTATTTGTAATTTCAAATTGTTGAATTATTATTAGTAAATCTTGCTCATGATCCCTATTCTGCTCAATTCATTAAAATCTAAGTATCCTCCATAAACACTCGACCTCAACGTAAACATTTATTTTATTCATTAGTAATTGCTGGAATACCAACGATTACTCCTTTTCATTAGAATGGAATCCCATTTGTAATTCACCTGAGAATCCAGAACAACTTTGTATCAAATCCTTTAATAATTTAAGCATTTGCAAGATTAGGAAGATCAAATACAAGCATTTGTTGATGCCTTTGAATTAGCGAGTTCTAAAAATATGGAATGTATTTCATTCACAGAGCCTCCTAAGGACATAGCACAGAATCAGAAGAAAGATATCTACGCAAAATTAATATTATCTGCATTCTAATTTTTCGTTTTTAACTCTACTGATCCCAAGGTTACTTTATTGAAAATAATAAATCCAGACTAAAATACGACTAATATTTATATGAAAGAATTACTATAAATTGCAGTCATTAGCACAAAATAAAGTTATGATGTCGAACAAAATAACAATACTAAGGAGGAGTATTATAAAAAATAAAATGATTAACTACATATTCAACCAACATTAAAAAATAAAGAATAATAAGACAATATTGAAAAAATCGAAAACACTGAACAAACCTGTGTCAAAGAATAAAAACAACAGCAGGAGGAATTACCGCAATCACAAGATTAATAGGATAAGCAATAAGGTTTGGCAACAGAAAATAATACTTAGCAAATTCAATAATAAGATACATAAGTTTAGAACGACAAATTTGTTGTTGAACCCCCATAATAAGTTAATAATATTGAATTTGATTACACGAAGTTCATCAATGATTACTCAAAGCTTTTGGTTTCCGAAATCTTACAAAAGTCGATAGAAAATATACAATCTTCAGTTGATTGTTGATTTATTTATTCTAGAATAATTTAATAAAACAATCACAACTTAATAGACTTATAGAATTATAAATTGATTTAAGATCACTATAACTTTAGCATATAAATATTTATAGAGAAGATCATATAGACTGCATTGATTGAAGAATGTTGAAAAAACAATTATTATTTTTAAATCGATAAGTTAGTAGAAATCATTAAGCTAATCAAGTAAACGAAATTACATTATCATTTTGTTTAAATATGTTTTTGAATTTATATACAATACAATTTGCTTGCATGCATCATTTTATAACTTAAATCTGAGTCTGACTCTTTCAATGTATCTTTCTGAATAAAGACAGAATTTTTAGAAGTTTATCAATTTGTTGCTTAATTCAGTAGATAAAGTAATTTAAAAAGATATACATTGCATTGGATGTTTCAAATCGAAATTTTTAAATTATATGTAACATATCTATAGAGCATGAAGTACATATTTATTCTTCTTGTAAAATTAATATAATTGTTTAATAACAATTACAAAACAATATTTTATAATCCAAAAACTATGTTATTAATAATGTTTATTTATCTCTAAAATATAAAAATAATAATTTGTTAATCTACATTACGCAATAAATTGTGATATTAAACCATTGTAATTATTCAGAATACATAAAAATGTGTTTAAATATTTCGTGATATCAGCTAAAACCATTAATTTTATAAATTAGTTTAAATGAAATAATGTTAATCCTAAGAAGTTCAAGGGTTACTAAATGCAGGTATAACATATATATAGTTCTTCTTAGGCTTAGATAAAAAGGAATAGCCTATTTATGTTTTGCTCTATAATTAGATTATTCAAAATAAAAATGAGGAATTGATAGTGAATAAATTATAATCCTACTTTCAACAAATCAGACCTTTTAAGTAAAATATCAATTTAATGTTAGAGGATTCGTCATAATTATTTGCACTTAGGATGACTTGGAAATAAACGCAAAGAATGTTAAAAAATTAATAAAACAAACTATTAAGTAATTCTTCATATTATTTAAGAGACAAGTGAGTTATAAGTAATTAAAGAGAATCGATAAATTAATTGTGATCAGTAGTAATCAGAATTATGGAAAGAAGGAAAAAACAATACCTTTTACACTAAAATTATTAATAAAAGATAAAATACACCTAATATACAAGTATTCCATATAAATATACAATATTAAGTGCTTCTTTTCTGAATCTTTATGATATAGAATTAAATTAGTCAATTTTGAGGTTCATGTGCAATTAAATCGAGTTTTAGGAAGAGCAGGCTTTTTATGGGAGGGATTTGGCATCTTATCCGATAGCTTAGTCAGGACTACCTGTTTTTCTTGAAGAAATTCTGAAGTTTTATACTGAAAATAAGGTTCATTTGCGAAAATAAGGAATATTTCGATTGTCAGGTTCCTATGACGAGGAGATAAAATTAGTAGATTAATTATTATAATCGAATTATGAAGCTATAAAAGTTTCGGATCCGGATGTAATAGCTACAGTATTAAAAAACACTTTAGTTAATTTGAAAACTCCAATTTTTCCTTTTGAAATTTATGCAATTCTAAGGGAAACTGATCCTTAAGTACCAATTAGCCAGTTGATAGATATGTTCAGCATATTTTTTGCTCATCTGCCAAAAGTGAATAGATTGATTGTTTTTAGATTGACGGAATTTATAAAGTTTGTGGCTAAATTCGAGAATGAAAATAAAGTAAGAAATAATAAATATGGATAGATGGGCCTTCACAATTTATCAATAATATTCGCTCCATGTTTTTTTAGAACCAAGAGTGCAAATGAATTAGATATTCAAGGTGCGAAGACTATAGTTTTGCATTTTAAATCTATGATCCAAAATATTGATTAATTTTTAGAATAATAAAAGAAACTAAGCTAATGATTCAATATTTAAATTTGATATTGAGATTATTAATTATAGTCTAAATCTAGTTATGAATGATTTTGTTTTTATTTTAAATAAGTGGAAATGGTCCGAATTTTTGTTCTATCAATTCCATGCTACCTTCTGGCAATAGTTGATTTCTCATAATTCTTTATTGAAACAGTAACTTAGGACTTTGAACTCTTTTGTGTTTCATCTTGTTCTGTTCCATTTTGAGATTATAAATTTCATCTGTAATCTAATAAAAGAATGAGTGATACTTTATGTTCAAGTTAACGAATTCCATTGGCTTCAGTTTGTATTTGAAGTTCATCGATTTTTTCAATTAAAAAGTTTATATCCCTGATAATGTTGAAGTTATAAGTATCAAGAGACAGAAGAGTGGTTCCATCCATTACATGTTCCTTGATACAAATGTTTTGTTTCAAATGAAATACTGTTAAAGGTTCGATTATTGTTTGAGTTTCTAAATTGAATAACAATTTTGAAAGTGTTTTCTTCAAGCCGATTAGTTTATAGATTTGTAGATGAAACTTTCTGTTGTTATTCATTTCATCCCTCAATTTCAATAATTATCCAACAAGTTTAAAGAGAGATTCATTAAGCATTTAAAGTTTCTCACTGTTTTACTCATCATATAAATCTTGTGCTTGAGCTTATTTGCCTAAAATCGTAGATCTTTGAGATGCGAATCTGGCTCTAGTAAAAGGCTTTTATCTTGATGCTGATTATTATGTAGATTGATTCAATTCTTTTACTGAATTGCTAGCAAAAAGGTTTTGTCTTAATGGGGTCTTTTTGGTTTTACTTTAAATCAAGTTTTTGAAAATTCTTTTATCAACATCCTTTCTGTCACTCATCATTTATAATGAGCTTAAATAGGCATTAATGTCTAAATTTTCAGCAGTTGATCTTCTCCTATCTCTCTCTGTTAAACTTTCACATGAGTGATTTGTGCTTCTAAAGAGACTCTTTATTGACGATTTATTTAGACAAACCAACATTCGATACTAATTAAATTAATTTATTAAAAAAATGGTTTTAAATTTTATAATAATCTATGATGAAAACTAAATAAATTTAGTTTCTTTGTTTTAATATTAATGCATAGTACTATTTTCATTATAGAAACAAAGTATTGTTTCAAGTGTCAACTGTTCCTTATATTAATTTGGTCAATAATATTCGATTTTCAAGAATTATTCATAAGCTATGTTAATATAATAGAATTTATGTGTTTGTTTTGAATGAAATCCAATTTAAGTTTGAATTAGAGTAGATAATTTCATTTTAAAGGAAAATTAGACAGAGATATAAATAAATCATACTGAAATCATTCAATCTCAAGAAACCAGATATATATATATATTATGAGTCATATTATCCTAATCTAATTATATTAGTAATAAACACCACTATATTATAATATTGTTATATTAAAGATTTTGATGCTCTATATATATTATAGGAATACAGTATTAAGGGAATATTTATGGTCCTATGTTGATCGAATTATCCATATGCTCAGAATAATTGAATGAAGAATTTGAAATGAACACGACTCTTAGTTAAAAAAAATAAAAATATATTAAATTATTTTGATGTGATTAATTAATAATCTATAATTAATGTATATATTTTTCTTTGCTTTTCGAGTCCTTTTGGCAGTATGAATACCTTATAATTCAAGATAATACCATAAGCACTTCCTTATGCTGATGAAATGTGGTAAGGCCCTGAAATAGCTCATAATGATGTTTTTGGATATGGATGGCTAACTTGGGAATGGACAAGGGATAAGCCATTGCGCGGCCCCATTTATCATAGCTTATTTAGTTTATTATATTGGATATTGAGCAAACTGAATTTAGATCATCCCTAAATGATAGCTTATGGTCCCAGAATGTATGATATTCATATCTAGACATTTAGATTATAGTGTGCTATTTCAGCTATTTATGATGTATATTTGATCAAGTTGCTTACACTAGAAGGAATAAGAAATAAAGCATATGTAATTTTGGTTAATTATACCCTTTGGTTTTCCTTGAATTGCTTTTCAAAAACACTAATCAACACTTTTGAAACTATTCTCTTTACATTAGCCTTATATAATTGGGTCTAATATTTATAAACTAATCACAATAAAAACAACTGGTTTTGTAGATTATTTGTAATTCTGAATGTTATGGCACGTCAATCAGCTATAATTCCTTGGATATTCATATGGGTAATTATACTTTATAATGTCATTATAGCCTTATCATTTAATAACTGCAAAAACCAATCTTAAGGGAAGATTTGTGATTTTAGTAATAAATGGAATTACTCTCCTACTATTATTTTTATTCTCTATTTCTGTTGATTCATTATATCATGGTAAATTAACATCTACCTTTTACAATTTTTTGGAGTTTAATTTATTGTCGGGAATGAGTTCATTTTATGGAGTGCATGATAGATTATGGTTTATTACTTAAGGGTTACCATATGTGTAACTTGGTTGGGTAGTCTCATTTATTGTTGGAATGTAATAGTGATTATATAAAATTAGATATTCTTATACAAAGAAAGGATTATTCAGTGCCTAGCCATTAAGATTACTGTATTATATGATGTTCACAATTTTAATATTGAGTCTATCAGCTCATAAAGAGGATAGGTTCTTACTTCCCTTGTTCCCTATCATTATATACTTTATTTGCTTAGGTTTGGAATATTTGGATAAAATTAATTGGAAAAAATTGAAATTGGTTTTAGTAATTTTGGCTGTCATCTCCAACATTTCTTTCTTCGTTTTGATGAATACTTATTAAGATGTTGGAGCCTTGAAAACTATGGCAGTTTTAAGGTAAAGGAATGCTACTTAAGTCTAATTTTTCACTCAATGCCACAGAACTCCATTTTACAGTTTTATTCACCAGAATATTTCAATGACATTTCCTGACTGTTCCCCTACTAATGATGTTACATCTTTAGAAACTTATCAATTGCATTAAGATTCTGCTAATTACATTAAAAAGAAATTATAATATTCTAAATTGCCTTCTCACATTGTAATTTATAATTATTTGATGAATGATAATGTTCAAAAATTATTAGATTAGTATGATAAAGTAATATGATTTAATAATAAATTATAGATTGAATCAATTTACCATTAATATTATACAGATACCTATTTTGAGGATTAGAAGGACATTTATATACAGATATATGAATTGCACTAATGAATTATATTTTGGTATATTAATAAATAATTAATTCTTGTTATTTTTAATCTAAATTATGAATCAATTACCAATTAAATGAGTTTCTCAGCTTATGTTATTTTATTTTTGTCCTAAAAGATTTTAACCTCATCTCCCAGATTCTAAATATAATATAAAGTTAATAAATCGATTAGATATTATATATCATAAGCAAACATTTATAATGACAATATTAAAAATCGCCAATAAATTATATATATAAAAAAACTTAACAAATTTATTCATCTTTTTTTTTTCTTTTTTCTTTCTGATTTTAATGAAGTTATCCAATGAACTTACGATGGTCTAATCGTTCCTTGTCCTTCTTCTTTTAAACAATGTATAAATGAATTGATATTCTTTTCTTGAATTTCAAGATAGCCATCCTTAAGCACTTTAGGCAATTTGGTTCTTTCTTTTTTTATGCCCTTTTAAGGTTTTTGATCTTAATTTTAAGAGATCGAACGCTTTTTGCTATACCTTAAGGAAGTTTCAAAAATTATGGAACCTAGATGAGGTTTAATTCCAATTCTATTACGTATCAAGTGTTCATACTCTATTTAGTTTGATGAGATACCATTGACATGTTTCCTAACTTCTCTATATCTTTAGTAGTGTGTCGCTTTTCCATTGAAAGAGTTTTGCGACCAAAGCAACTTGGGATGTCATGAACAGTTTTATTAAGATCAGTGTTCTAGATTGGTTCTCGTAATGTACTTATGAATGTGATATTCACATTGTTGAAGGAGGAATCCAATCGATTATGGTAATAGTCATTTATATTATGACTTCTAATTTAATTACTCATTATTATTTATATTTTAATTCATAAATCTTGATTTCATTTGTTTCTCCAAACTTAATTAAATTTAAATTCCCATCAATAGTAAACAACTTAATATTCCATCTTGGCTGCTTATTCTATTTCTCATCTTAGACATCTTGTAAACCATTTGAATGGATACTCAAACTCTCCCCATTAGCAAATGCTCTTATTTTTCCATTACCCTTATCAATACTAATCACAATTAGTTAATCCTTTGTAATGATGGTATTCAATTATGCAATTTCACTCTCCAACACTATTTCCATCATTTTCTTCATCTTTCTAGCTGTTTATAAAGGAATCTCATCATATATTTTAATTGAATTCTACCCTGTCAACCACCCATTATTAAAAGATATCACCCTCAATCTGTCCCCAATTATCATTTAAGATAGACTTGATGTCTGTGCTAATTCAATCAAATTAACTATCTCTGCCTTTCCAAAAGTCTCTTAATCATCAAATATTTTAATGATGCAGATTCTACCATCTATACTTAACGTATAAATGCATTTAGTTGAAACCTCGAATTGCACCTCAATAATCTCAATAGTGGGAATGGACAAGATCTAATAAGGTTCTCCCTTTATAAGATTCCAAAAGAACATTTTTGAATCTCTTCCCAAACTGGCATATGTATTGATATCTCCCAATTAACATAAAAATCTCACACTTTTCTCATGTCCTGGAAATGTTTATATCTTTTTTCCATGATATAAATCAAACAAATATATATTTGGATCGAATTCGCTTCCTCCCAACAACATTAAATTAGAAGGTATCAACTCCTTTTCTTTCAATTTGTATAATTGCAAACAGGAGCATGGTACAAATCTCATGGAATCTATTCTTTGTATCAATGAATTCAAATTTGCATCATACAGAAACAATTCATTTTCATATGTTGCAATAAGCATTTGATTTTTGTTCAATAAAGGAAAGATGTCAAATATTTAACTGCAATTAAGTGTTTAACACTCTTTAAACGAGATACTTTCAACAGTATTAGCAGTTCTTCCTATTCTTCCATCTTTAAAGCCTCCAACCACTTATTGAATTTATTTGAATTTATCTTTCAAAGAAATGGGATTAGGCAATTACACGGCTTCCCTTAAATTTTTCATGTACAATTCTGCTGCCTTCAATAATAGCTACATCACATCCAATAATGAAGACACTTATTAATTGTTATTTGTATCTTATTATTTCTCTTGCAAGCCCCCAATAGAATTTGAAATTTATTCTCTCAATGCTAATTTATAATTACACAAAGTTACTTCTCAAATTTAAGTTGGCGTAGTTTTGAATCTCATCCCACAAATACTCATAATTCGTGAATTAATTATCCTATTATTTGAAGTCTCTAATTTCCCTATAATTTTATCTGAATTCAACAAAGTTTTTTTCGAGTGTTTGGAACACGTCCAGGGTTGATTAATTGATAATGGTTTGAATCTTGTTGATGAGCACTTCATTCTGTGTCTTAATTGCTTTCTGTAAAGTATTAATCTAATCTTAATATTTCTTTTCTAATTCATCCATTTTCTGATATTATTATTTTTAAAATGAGTGACGAAGAAATTGAAATAATAAGGTCAGAAGAAGAATTTTAGAGGCAAAACAAACTGATCTTAAGTCTCCAAACTGAGAATACTGTACGTATATGTCATCTATAATTTCCACTAGAGATTGTATTAGGTTGAAAAACAGCTGCGAAAAGAGATATAATAATTGCACCAGAAATTAAAAAGTATTGAAATGGACAATGCAACATCCTCTTATGAGAACAAGAATTGGAGTATTCTTATAGATTAAACTTAGGGGCTCAGTTGGAGAGTAATTTAAAAAAATCAGAAGCACAAAATATTTAATATGAACTCGATTTAAAGAGCATCAACAAAAAGTAAGAGAAGGACAAGCTTGAGATTTAGAATTTAAAACAGCAATTGCAAGAATCCCAAAACACCATTGAGAAGGACTAGCAAATAGAAAATCTCTAAAAGGAGATATAAGGTTTAAACTAAAAAATAAACGAGTTGAATTAGGACCATAAATAACAAACTGATAGATTAAGCAACAAATTGAAAACTGCTAAATCATAATTAAAATAAGAATAACAAAATTCAGTATCTTTGTAGGATAAAGTTAAAGAGTTGTAAGATGACATTGTTAACTTAAAAGATATAAATTAATAAATGGTCACACAGATTGAAACTTTAAATTCAGAAAAAACTTAAATGATCAATCAGAATGATGAAATGCATACAAAATTAAATTAGGCGTTAATTGAGAATCAAAATCTTTAGAATTAATTTGGTTTTTCATAATCCCAACATTAAGAGACACAAGTTTATTTGTAAAAGATGGTCGCTGAATCTTAGTAATAGTAAGAGGAGAAGAGACAAGCCTTTTAAAGATAGTAAGAATAACTGAATAAACAAAATTAAGAAATGTCTATTTAATTAGAAGAAATTAAATAAGAGAGGGCTCATTTATTAAAGTTAGTTAGTGAATTAAACGGTCTTAAGAGTTCCTTGGCTTAAAAAGAAGTCCAGATCAAGGATACGATTGATAAATTACACGTATCAGAAGCTGAAAGAATCAAAGTTGGAAAAGAATTGCAGGATACAATATAAAATCATTAAACTATAAATTCAAAGAAAGATGCTGAAATTATTAGTCTAAAAACTAAAATTTAACATTTTGATACTAAAAGAGAAGAGTACTAAAAAATAAAGATACAGCTAGGTGAAACAATCCAAAATTTATTTTTATAATTGGATAATTCCCATATCAATATAAAAAATCTTCATGATTAGGTTAATAGATTATAGGATGAACTATCCATATAATAAATTGAAAAGGAGGCTTTCCTCAAGTAAATAGAAGATCTAAAATAACAATATGAAAGCATTCAACAGGTAAATATTGATTAGTAAAGAATACTTGAACAAGGTTATAATTAAAATAAAGAAATTATAGAGAAACAAAAAAAGAAAGTTAGTAAATATAACCAATTATAAGAGTAATAACAATAGTTAGATTAGATATTGAAATGTATTTCTATTTTTTATTTTTAGAGGGTCTACCTGAGACTTTAGGTTTTATAATCGAATTAATTGATGCCAAAATACAAGAAATTTATACGCAGGAAGATCAGAACCAAGTTGATCAAAAACAAGATTTTAAGATTAAATAAGAAAGCATTATGGAACATATAGCCTAATTTTTCATAAGAATGAAAGAAGTTTTAGAAAAAGTGTAAATTAAATTCATTCACAATATTAAATGAATAGGATAAAGAAATGAACACCCCTATAATTTTATTAAATTTCTATATCTTTTATTTACAAATTTAATTAGATTAATTATTAATTATATCAAATCAATTTAAATAAAATTATCACTAATAGTAAAGATATTAAACCAATCCATTTTAATTAGCTCTTATTCTTATGTTAAGTATTCTATTTTTCAGTTAGTTCATTCCTTCAAATTGTTCTAATCAAAAACAAATATTCTACAAATGTAGTCTGTGACTTTTCTTTCGATGGAAGCCACTCTATATTCTTAACCCTAAAGCTTCTGATGTAATGTAGAGGCCTTATTAAGTACATGAGATGCCTAATTCATTCCAATTGATAAATAGTCATTAAGCTGGTATTCTCGTTTATACTTTAATTTCCTGTTGTATTTAGTTTTTTATTGTTTCTTTAAATAAATAGTTCATATTTTTAGATTTTTGTTCATTGCTTACTATTTATGCTGTCAAATAGTACTTTCAATTTGAAACTCCTTTTCCTGTTCTCTATGAATTTCTTTGAATCTTCTTAACATATTACTCTTGAGTTTTGCTAAACTTCCTCTGGATTGAGTTTATAATCTTTGAGCATTCTAGACATTGTACTTATTATTAAATTTAGTTCATCAAAAGAATCTTCGTTTTTTTATGACAATCGATTAAAAATATTTCTGAATGTCTTTTTCATCCGCTGCACAAATCGAATCTGACTTTCTACAATATAAATCAATATAGAATACTCTATTAAATTAATTTGCTTCCAATATCTCTATGTATTTCATTTATCTATTACAATTATGTTTATAATAAATTTTCTTACTGATAGTATTATTTCTTAAAGTTTCCCAATCAACAAATGAATTATCTTTTTCAATTAGAATAGGTTATTTCTCCTAATCATATTATTCTTTATTCATACATGTGTATTAAGTAAAAAAATTTAATATTTACCTATATTACATAAAATTTAAGAGTAATAAAATAGAATTCTGCATATTTTTTTGACTTAATCTATTTGTAATATTAAATGATTTCTAAAAATAGTGATTCATATTAAATAAATTATTTTTAAGTTTTAAGAAGTATTGAGTTATGATAACTTAATAATTTAATTTTATTTAAAATGAAGTTTAATTCTTCTGGACAGAGTTAATAATTTTGATTGGAGATTTAGTATTAAAAGAAATAGAAATACGCTTACTAAATTTAAATTATATTAATTTGCATGATAACATAAATAATGTATAATTTTATTTAATAATGGAATCAACTGATTACTTCCTACTCTTCTTATTTATTTTATTATTCTTATTATTCTTCTTATGCTTATTATTATTCTCCTTATTACTCCTATTATTATTCTTCTTGTTTTTCTCCTTATTACTCCAATTATTATTCTTCTTATTTTTCTCCTTATTACTCTAATTATTATTCTTCTTATTTTTCTCCTTATTACTCTAATTGTTATTCTCCTTATTGTTATTGCTCTTCAGGTGAATTTATTTCTTCAACTTTAACTTCTTAAACTTCAACTTTCAAGTTCTCATGTGTTTCAACCTACTATTTCTCAGCATCTTTTTCTGAAGTTTCATGTTATTATTCATGTTATTATTCATTTTATTTAACTTATTCATGGTGATCAACTTGATGTTTATGGATGTCATCATGTGATCCCTTTCTGCCAGGTTCTTGATGTTCCAAACCCTCATGAGCCTTCCAATATTTATTAACAGTTTGATCAGTGAGAATTTCACTAGCTTAAGGAGATGTCTTTNTTTTGTTCATTGCTTACTATTTATGCTGTCAAATAGTACTTTCAATTTGAAACTCCTTTTCCTGTTCTCTATGAATTTCTTTGAATCTTCTTAACATATTACTCTTGAGTTTTGCTAAACTTCCTCTGGATTGAGTTTATAATCTTTGAGCATTCTAGACATTGTACTTATTATTAAATTTAGTTCATCAAAAGAATCTTCGTTTTTTTATGACAATCGATTAAAAATATTTCTGAATGTCTTTTTCATCCGCTGCACAAATCGAATCTGACTTTCTACAATATAAATCAATATAGAATACTCTATTAAATTAATTTGCTTCCAATATCTCTATGTATTTCATTTATCTATTACAATTATGTTTATAATAAATTTTCTTACTGATAGTATTATTTCTTAAAGTTTCCCAATCAACAAATGAATTATCTTTTTCAATTAGAATAGGTTATTTCTCCTAATCATATTATTCTTTATTCATACATGTGTATTAAGTAAAAAAATTTAATATTTACCTATATTACATAAAATTTAAGAGTAATAAAATAGAATTCTGCATATTTTTTTGACTTAATCTATTTGTAATATTAAATGATTTCTAAAAATAGTGATTCATATTAAATAAATTATTTTTAAGTTTTAAGAAGTATTGAGTTATGATAACTTAATAATTTAATTTTATTTAAAATGAAGTTTAATTCTTCTGGACAGAGTTAATAATTTTGATTGGAGATTTAGTATTAAAAGAAATAGAAATACGCTTACTAAATTTAAATTATATTAATTTGCATGATAACATAAATAATGTATAATTTTATTTAATAATGGAATCAACTGATTACTTCCTACTCTTCTTATTTATTTTATTATTCTTATTATTCTTCTTATGCTTATTATTATTCTCCTTATTACTCCTATTATTATTCTTCTTGTTTTTCTCCTTATTACTCCAATTATTATTCTTCTTATTTTTCTCCTTATTACTCTAATTATTATTCTTCTTATTTTTCTCCTTATTACTCTAATTGTTATTCTCCTTATTGTTATTGCTCTTCAGGTGAATTTATTTCTTCAACTTTAACTTCTTAAACTTCAACTTTCAAGTTCTCATGTGTTTCAACCTACTATTTCTCAGCATCTTTTTCTGAAGTTTCATGTTATTATTCATGTTATTATTCATTTTATTTAACTTATTCATGGTGATCAACTTGATGTTTATGGATGTCATCATGTGATCCCTTTCTGCCAGGTTCTTGATGTTCCAAACCCTCATGAGCCTTCCAATATTTATTAACAGTTTGATCAGTGAGAATTTCACTAGCTTAAGGAGATGTCTTTAAGTTTTACTCTTAGAATTAAATGATTTATTCAACTAAAATAATGAATGATTTGATTACCAACTTTAGGACTAGTCTCTGGACTGTTGATAACTTTCTCAATTTCTTCAACATCAATCAACATTTCAGGTTTCTTAGAGTTGGCTTCTTAGATTTATTCTGTTTCATCGTCTTCTCTTTGATGAATAATATTTTCTTAATTTTCATCGGTATTTAATTCTTCTTCTGTTTCTTCTTCAACTTCAACAGCAGGCTATTGATCTTATTATTGTAATTATGGCTATTGATTGCTTTGAGAGTATTTGTTTTTTGAAAAGTTCTAAGGATTTAATGAATTTAAAATACTTTAAACATTTCATTCATGTTGTCATCACTGGTATCAATGGGGATCTTGGGTTTTGGATTAACTCCTAACATGAATTGATTTTCAATAGTCCTAACAGGTTCGAGCACTTGTTCAACATATTGATTCCATTCTTGGTTGTGCTCGAATTTGTCAATGAAATAATAGGCAATTTTACTGAGGACTCCCACATAGCCTCTTGTAATTTATGCATTCAAGGCTCCAACGTTCTATTTCTCATATCTATTGTGTTTCATAAGGAACGATATGAGACCAAGTGAGAGGAACTCTTCTTGAATGGAGTCGAATAGAGGTCTGTCAAAGATGAATATTGTGATTTCATAGAAGTAATTTTGCAATTGATTGTTGAATTCGTATTCAATAACGAATTTCATGAGAGCTTCATAAATACCTTTATGATCAAATTGATTGATCCACTGAACATTATTGATTCTCAATATGGATAGGTACAATTGGATCAACTTCAATTTCATTTGACTAAAGGGCTGTTGTGAAATTCCATAGGTGGTATTGAAAGCACCTTGAATAAGGAGACAAAGTTACTGATGGATATCTTTTCAGCCAACAGGGCATTCTTGAACTCTTAGGCGATGGGGTAGAATTAATTATAATCAAAAGTATAGGCGGGATTCTTCTCCTATTGTTATTAGACGTATCGGTGAATGGCTTCGATTAATGTGATTAGGACTGAAACTACAGTGGCTGAACTGGAATTTAACTATGATTAATTTGGACAAAATGTTACGGCAATGGCAAAGAATTTTTCTGGGATGTTAAGGACTTAAAGGAACAATTCTGACTTATTGAGGATTTCAATGATTATGTGACTGCAATTATCGGTGATGTCATTTTGATGAGTTTTATATTCGAAGACTCTGATCACTCGACGTAAGAGTTCGCTTCTCTCTTCCAGGAAGTTGGTCTGATTGTCGGATTGTTCTTGATTGGTGTCTAGGATGATCAACTTTTCAATGATTTCAGCAACATGGAATACATCCAAGTTCTTAATTAAATTACTTAATATTGATTTATGTTCTGGCTAAGAAAGGAATCTCCACAACTTATATGTTTATGCACAATAAATACATCGAAACCTCTTCTTCTGATGATTGCACACACCACTTTGGATAAATAACTGGCAAGAGTCACATTCAAGTAATCCCTATCCAAGATATCGAAAATCTTGGGCAGGAATTCCTGTCTACGTTCTTCATTCTGCTCATAATTTGGACTCGATTTATCTGCTTCGAATAGATAATCTATGATGGGGCCATTCTCATTTCCTATTGCTTCACTTATCATAAAGGGGTATCTTATGATGTTTTAGTTTAATCATCTTACCTAATCTAGGTTTTCTCGTTATACTCCTCATCCTCATTGACACTCAAGTACCCTATCATCTTACTAAAAGTATCAATATTCTTTGTCACACTCTAATAAAATCAAAATGATTACAAACTCCCAAACTTTTGCGCTCCATTCAATTTGATTTCTTATAATGAGTCTTCGTCAAGAATAGCCTCCAATGTGGGGTTCTCTTGAGACAGTATAGGATCTAACACCGAACCAAAACCAGCGAAGAATCGTTAGAAGCTTAAAAAATACAACCTATAAAATCTTACTTGAAGAACATCATTTTTATTTAATTATAATAGGAGAAAATGTTCGTTTCTATTATAAATTAATAGTTAATAATAAAATCACAATAAAATAATGCAGAAAGATGAAGCTTACATCAGGACACCCCCCATTCGAAAACTCAATAATGGACTCGCCATTTAATAGAAAATCAATCAATTAAATAAGTAGGGCAGCATTAAATTTTCCGACTTGACCAAAGAGTAGCCATCCAATTAAAAATTATCCTACAGACGACAAAGTCAACCTCGCAAACCAGTGCATCGATTACAATAAGGTATCTGCTTCCTCTTCTCTCACTTTAGCTATTTCGATGCAAAGAAATCTTTCACAAGAACCCCAAAATAATGGCACTTACAGTGTAGTTTTTACTAATAGTGTCCCTCAAAAGAGAGATAAGAGGAAGGTGCAAACTAGCAACTGCGATTAATTTGAAGAATCTAAAAATAGTTAAGTTCGATTAGTTAAAGGTTTTTATCCTTCTGACATCAATAATACCAAACAGATTTTAACGAACATTTTGCAGGGAATGCAACAGCGAATTTCAGCAGAAAAAACCTTTGGAGTCTTGGGGTTGTAAGTAGTTCCATTTAATAAAATAATGGAATCAAATGTTAATACTGTATTAACCTAACAGACGATCAGATTAAAGGCTTTATCTCATGATAAAGATAGAGATAACAGAGATAAATCACAATCATTTACTGAAGAAATGGAGAAGAAAGTGAAATGCAAAATTCCACAAAAATGCAAATAAAAACACTCTATTAACTCTAACAATGCCAGTCCAGTGCCACCCAAAATTATCGCTCCACAAAGCAGTTCTACATTAATTTAAAGCAATAATTTCAAATTTTCATTAACTGAATATGCATCATTATCCAGAGAATAGTTATTCCTAACTAAATTGTAAAATTATTAGCATTTCTTGTTTTTGGTTTCCGCTTAAAGTGGGTTCTACACAGTTCCATAAGATTGTTTGATTGATTTGAAATTTAAAATTGGCAGGGGAAATAATTCACTTCTCATCAAAGAAATATTTAAATTGAGATGGTGGTGGAATTGCTACAAGTACAGTGAATTGATCGATTCTGAAAGCAATTTCATTTGGACTTAGATTAAAGTTTAGAATTACATGGACACTCAAAATCCATCAACCAACGAAATTAAGTCATACATGAGAAAGAAAATAAATCCCCCTTAATCACAAACTCAAATAAAGAAGAAAATTCAAATTGATCACTTATTGAGATTAATGAATGATGATTCAGATTATAAACAAATAGAAAGAAATCAAAAGGCGTACTTTAAATTGATAAATCAAAAAGGATTCACAATTTTAAATGTTCATCCAAATTTGAAGGTAATTCAATCTAAATAAGTTAGATTCATAATCATATAGAAAAGAATTATCATTTGGGGAACAAGAAAGCTCTCTATCATAATCTCAAAAGATACTATGAATTGACTAGACAGGATTTACATTCCATAATACCAATGACATTCCATGTGCAAAAGGGATCCAGAGACAAGGTCTACATATAATTCCTAGAACTTTACAAGAAACTTCCAAAGTAATTATAAATGTACTATCTAGAGGCTCTACTTGGATAGTCAAGCCTGGCGAATTTACAAACAGAGGATCTGGAATCATAGTTTGTCAAAATTTATCTGAGATTAACAAAATCATATCTAAAAAGTAAGTGCATCCAAATGGAAAGCCATTTACATATTTAATCCAAAGGTACATTGAGAAACCATTTCTATATAACAAAAGAAAATTTGATATCAGGTGTTACTTTCTTATCACTTAATTGAATAATATTTTTAGAGCATATTGGTATGAAGATGGATACATAAGAACATCATCAGAGGAATTCGATCTCGATGATCCTGCTAATCTTTATGTCCATTTAACAAATGACGCCATCTAGAAATATGCTGATACTTATGGGAAATATGAGAATGGCAATAAGTTATCTTTGACTGAATTTCAGCGTTATTTGGAGAATTAACCAAAGAAGTATAACTTTTACAAAGACTTATATCCTTAATTGATTGAGATAGCTACAATTAGCATAAAATCTGTGTATTGTAAGTTGGCTCCACATAAGAAGGAGTTTAATTTCGAGATCTTCGGATTGGATTTTATGATTGATTCACAATTCAAACCATACTTAATTGAGATTAACACTAACCCTTGTTTGGAAACCAGTAGCCCTGTTTTGTAGAGAATAATACCTTAGATGGTTGAAAATGCTATGAGGTTGTCAATTGACACGATAATCCCACCACCAGATGCCTCTGTATGGCCACCTTGCAAAAAGCACCTTATTTTTTATGACAATTTGTTGGAAAATAATAAATTTCAATTGATCTTTGATGAGAGAGAAGATTCAGAGGAATTGATTAAATTGTATGGTGGATTGTTGCAACATGATGAAATCGATGAAATGGATGAAGAAGAAGAAGAATATTAGAGTGATGATGAAAATGAAAAAAGTGAGTAGTGATATATTTATTTTAATGATTTTTTTTAAATTAATATTACTTAAATGTTTGGAAGAACCATGATTATTAATTACAAACAATGTAAGCAGAGGAACTACTACCAGATCACATAAATGATGAAATCTATCGTACCTTAGAGCATCTATATTTGAGACTTAATGAAATTGTTCGCAAGGCAGAAGATGTCCTAGATTTATCTTAATCTGTTAGTTTTTAGGCTACACTCAAAAGATTGAATACTGCATCTAGAGGAGAGAACTACTAAAAGGTTCCTAAGAATTATTTCCCACCTCCTTCAGACCAAGAATCATTTGAGAGGAAGTTTAAATTGCTCAGAAGATGTGGTCACATATTGTCAGATACCATGTTGAAAGTAAGAACCTCTTTAGTAGAACTTCATGATGCCACTCGGAAATAAAAGTAAGACATAGTCAAGATGAAAAAAGATGAATTCGCAATCAAGCATGAAAAAACATTTCCCATCCATCAAATGTAGAGAAATGGATAATAATAGCAACAAAAGCCTCCTCAAACCATCCTATTAGATGAAGATGATGACGATCTCATGATTCTACCAAAGATCGAATTTGTCATAGAGCAACCTCAACTACTTAGTACATCTATTGCTTCAGATCCTGTGTATTATGCCTCTTGTACTTGTCTACTTGAAAATACACTTCAATAGCAAATTCCAGAGGAACTAAAAGTGTGTATTGCTGTTGAATCCTTACAATATTATGATAAATTCTATTTGAATTCTACCATCATCCAAGAATGCAAGAATGCGAATAAAATATTACTCTAATTAAATGGAGATACAAATTGCATTACCAAAAATTGTATCTTCTATGAAAAGCTCTATTTGAATATGGTCAAATACCCAATTGTTCAATTGAACTTTGCTAGAATTCAAAGAGGAGAGCAAATCTATTTCCCTCTCTTCTCAGACATAACAGATTTATTCAATGAATAAACCTTATTCCTATATGGGATCTATTAATTTAGCAGATCTATTGGGAGAACCACTTGTTAGAAGGTCGGCAATATCAAGTATCTTTTGAATCTATTACACACTCAATCGACTTCAGGATTAGTTATAAATGCATTCAGTCCTGCACTTGATAAGAGTCAATTTTTAATAGATTTGCTGACTGCTATGGTTCATCTCAATGGCAAAGAAATCGTCACAGGAGTTAATAAGATTACATTTCCAGAATGCAAACGAAATCCTAGAATAGTTTTGGTTCGATACACGCATAAATTAAGCTAGCAAGATTAAGATTTATTAGAATAGAATTTGAATGATGGAGTTGATGGAGGATACAGAATTAATGAGTCAAGTTGCAAATTGAAGCGGACTGTTATAATATTTAGCAAGGACAAGATGTTCATTCCAGAAGTAGGCAGAAGTCTAAAGCATTGGGAAATTCCTGTCGATTTTCTCAGGTAGTAATGTGAGACATATCATTATCAATATCTAATCCATTACATTGATTAAGTAGTCAAGTGTAAAATTTAAGAGAGATTACCAAAGTTCTTCACTGTTCTCATTACCCTTATAAATTGGAAGAATAATAATGTTAAAGAATTTAACTAATAAATTATAAGAGATTTTGACTACTTCATTAAGAATAGAAATTATGTTAACTATTTTTGTTTAAAGACCTATCACAAAATAACTTAAATTGAAAATTACTTGCAAGAATCACTGAAATCTTAAAAATTAATTTGCTATTGCAAGGATATCATGAGATTACTAGGCGTTGAAGAAGAATGAAATTACAAATAATTACATATATATATATTAAAAATAATCACACCTACTTCATCAATTGAATAAGGTCTGTATCTGTATTGAACCTTTTACCCTGAGATGATTACTTGAATGATCCCGAAATCAATTATAAAATGTTTGAATGTTCCTTCACTTAAGAAACTGGAGATACACCTATTTGAGTCTTCTAATACTGTTTTGACAATCCTTATTATCCTTGAATCTGCCTTGATTTTGTTAATTAGTCTAGTATAACCTGTCTGTAATCTACCATTCTTTTATTAGCATATTCAAAATATGGAAATGACCGAGTAAATTTACCCTAAAATCATAGTATTTTAAATTAAACCTATTTTTCTAATCTCAGATTATCATAGAGCTTTTTCAAGAATTCATTATCACCTTTGCTGAATTCCACTTCATCAAAATTATACTTTAAGGGCATTGGTTTATAACTGATCTCGCATTTCCTTTTCACTAAGGCTTCGATATCACAACCTTAAAACCATCTGTGCGATAAAATTGCTCTTATTCCATCTTGTGCTCCCAGTCGTTTGGATGGATCTTTTATCAACAAATTAGATATCAAGTCCTTAAGGTCAGGATTGATATTTTTTAGGGGAGGGAATTAAACTTTATCATTCAAAATACTATTATAAATTTAGTCGATGTTTCTGCAATAAAAAGGAGGTGATCCAAATATAAATTCATAGAGCAATGCGCCTAAACAATAAATATCCACCATAAAATTATGTCCTTCCCTCTTTAACATCTCTGGTGACATATATTCAGGTGATCCACAAAATGAATAGGCTGTCTCATCTCTGTTCATATTTGGCTTAGACAAACCGAAATCTGATAGTCTTATATATCCATCCAAATCTAATAATATATTTTCAGGTTTGATATCTCTATAGACAATTCCAAATTTGTGCAACTCGTTGATTGCTAAACAAACCTAAATAAAATATTGTTTTGCTAATGCTTCTGGCAATCTTTTCCATTTTCTCAAATGATAAAATAGTTCACCACCTGCACAATATCTAAACTTAATAGGATTAGTTACTCCATCACAAAAACAAGATAGAATTTAGTTTCAAAAGAATAGAATAATTTAGCCAAATATTGAGAGTTTAAATGTTCCATAACATATTTTTCATTACAAATAATTATTTCCTTGTTAGACTTGAGTATGAAGTTCTTGTCGATGAGTTTCATAGCATAAAATAATCCATTGTCTCTCTTTCTTACCAAATATACTCTTGAAAATCCTCTATTGTCATATATATTATTGCATACCCTACACCTATGCATTTCAGTATATCGTAATCTTCTATACTCATTTGATTGCCCAATGGGGTTGAATAATAAGGTTCTAATTTCAAATGTCTTTATTCTTCAAATACTTCTAACGGTTTTAGTTCAAGTGATAAGTAGTAATCAATGTTGTAATTCTTAACGCTAGAGTGTGTTTGAAAGTGTTTTATTTTATTTACAATGCTTGGATTCACTTGTAGTACCTTTGCAATTAATTTCTTATATAAATCAGTGGTGTTTTAGTAAATGCTAATGGGTACAATAAATCTAGTTTAATTTGATTGAATTACTTCTGACCATTTAAAATTAATGAGATTGTTATTTCCACAGGGTCTCTTTCACTATTCAAAGTTTTCATTGTCTGACATCGACCAAATGCTTAATTCATTTTATTCCCAGATGGAGATTGCACTCTAGTCAAATTAGAATTAAGACTATGAAAATCTGAAGACTTCTTCTTATGTAAAATTGAAGCTGAAGGAAATCTAGCCGATGAAACTAATGATTGCATATTATAATTTAAAAATAGTAAAATCAATTTGGTAGCGCAATAGTTAGTATTCTGCAAAAATGAATATTATTTGTATAATTAATGGTACTGATACTTCCACTATGCAATTGATCAAGAAAAACCATTTTTTTTAATTTTTAAACATTTACAAGAAAGAAAAGTAATTCGATTCTACAAAGTTCGCGTATTATCAAAAATAAAATAATATCTTTATTCTTTATAGTAAAATCAGAATTATTTATGTAATTTGATATTACTGTTTTGGAGAGTTCTCAAATAATCATTAAAATATGATTACTGTTGGAAAAGTATTGATTAATTTATTTCTATAAATTATGATTTAACAATTTTACCTACAGATTTTATATTATCTATAGGAAATTACTTCTATTAAATTGAATCTTTGATACATAATAAATGATATGAATAGCCATTATTACAATAGTTTTGTTACTATTTATAAATATAAGTTTACTTTTGTTGAAATAAATTTTCAATTCAAATCTATTTAAGAACATGTAAGCTAGAAAAAATCATTTTGGATTTTATGCGAAATAGTTCTGAATCAAATTCAAAAATATTGAAATAGAAAAATACTCATGAAGTAATAATAGATTTTGTACCCTAAGAGAACTGGGGAGTTTCAACTTAAGACATGAGAGGTGTAATAAAAAAACAAGGTTGTAATTGAAATTTAATGTTTTAACTTTAATATTGATGGAGATAATATTTATGTTAAATAATAAAGAAATATTTAAATTATATTAGTACCAGAGAAGTTGCTGATTCAAATTAAAGAAAACACCATTAATTTTAAACTAGTAAAACCCTTGAATGAATGTGTTTCTTTAATAAAAACCTTTTTATTTTATTGGAAAAGTACTTCGATTCAGAGTGAGTTAGAATTGATTGGGAATTGAGTTATTTTCATAAAAAATAAAAATTATATTTATCATGCATCAAAGAGAACAAAGGATAACTTAGAGGGCTTTTTCTTCTACTTCACCAACTACTCCAACAATGAGTAATGCTTATGCATCAGCAATGAAAAATATGCAAGATAAATTAAAATAGGATGGCATTCGAAAATCTGTTGATATATCACCATAAGACATAATAATAGAGCACCTTAAATAATAAATAAGCGAGTTATCAGGAGAAAAGGATAGACTTCAATTTCAATTGTCCAAAATCTAATAGGAACTTGAAATGAATAACAAAGCATCATAATAAATAGAACAGTTACAAGTAGAACGACTTTAGCATTTAAAAGATTATTAAGATCGTGTTTCTGAACTAATAAGAAAGAATGAAGAACTTAAACATGATAAACATGAGCTATAATAGTCTAATGAGTATCTTTAACGACAACTATAAGCATATAAAAATAACGAAAAGGGTCTTATACACAAGGCAGAATTAAAAAAGTTTGAAGAAAATTCAGCCCTTTTGAATGCTATTCAGGAGTATAAATAGAAGCTGGAATATAAAGATTCAATGATAAGTAATCTAGAAGCTCGAATTGACTATTTGGATAAAGAATTATAACGCATCTAAAATGAATATGAAAATTATAAATTATAGCACCCCTAAATTAGGTTGAATGAGTTTGAAAAACAAATAAATAATTTAAGATACTAATTAGATGAGAAAGATAGAGTATATTATAAAAGTATTGACGAAGTTTAAACAAATCGAATATGTCGCGAAGAATAGATGGCTAAACGTATTCAAGAATTAGTAGTGAAATCACTAGAATATTAGGATATAATTCAATAACTAACCTTAGATTATAAGGATTTAAATATGAAATATTAGTCTATTCGCATTAAATTTGATTAGGAAGAAAGGAATTAGAGATACTTCAAGTAAGATTTTGATGAATCATATGGGAATTAAGGATATAAAAATTAAAAAACCATTAACAAATTAAACTTGGATTAAATTCTGCCAACATACTTTAGTCCTAGAGTGAATGAGAATACTAGATAGAGTTAATTGAAATAAGTAATCAGAGATTGTTTAGAGGATATGAAAAATACAGCATAAAGTCCTGATAAAAAAAATGTTGCCAGAAAGAGATTAACTTCGCCAATATCACCGCAATAGTAAAATGAAATTGAGATAAAATTGAAGTTTCTAAATGAAAGATATGAAACACTCATCCGATAAGCTTAACAAGAAAACGATATGAAATGTAAAGCAAATATAAGAAAACAGCTTCTTGAAATTGCAGAATAGATAAAAGAAGCTACAAAAATTAACAAAAATATCTGATTTGATAATATTTACTAATTTATATTCAATATAAGTGATAATATATCATCAACTAGAATTATTTATTTTTATATAACCCTATTAATTACACTAAATATCAATATTAAAATAAGTAATTATTTATGAAGTCAACATTTATTATTAAATTTCATTTTTGTACTTTTTTATTAAGTTTATTAAGTATTTACAATCTTTCTGATATTTGTTTTTCTCGTTTTCTTAATTCATATGATTGGACCAAGAATTTAAATTGATCAGTTTTTGTCAATTTTGTATATCTTTACAAATACAAGCAAACATATCCTGAAAATTTATATTGAGCCTAAATTTTCTGTGCATCTAATAACATCACATCTTACAAGGCACTTATTTATTTTTCAGTAAGAATTTTATTCCATTCCGGTAGATCATATCTGAGGGATTCCCTAGTTAGCATCTTTTTAATTTTTTCTAAAGTTATATCTTCAGGGAAATCAGGATATATTGAAATGTACATGAATTTAAATACTTAAAAGATTTCAGGTTCTAATTCTTTGGAACCATAAATTTTATTAATTTCTTTGAAACTCCATACTTCTTCCCAATCTATTAATGCGTTTTGTTCTAAATGATAATCATCAGGAATCTTATTTATTGTGGTAGGAATGCTTTTGAAAGTATTTTGAATATTTTCTAGTATATTTTAGTATTAGATAATCCTAGTTGGGAGTGATTAGCAAATGATTTAATTAAACAATTAATTTACTTTACGTAATTGCAGAATCTGTTTTACATTTAAATACATTGTAAAATGGACGATAATTTCTGTTCTAAATTTTGTAAACAAATTTCCAGTTTTCTTCTATTGAACAATCAAATTTTAATTTTAAGGCAATGCTGAATTTTTGGCTTAACTGTTTTTGTGTGAGATTAGCTAAAGCTATTATTATACTTCATGCAGTTCAATGAAGAGTTAAGTAATTTTGGCTTTTTATTAGTTTTAGTTCTCATATAGCACAGTTAGATCTAATTATGCATTCATTGGATATGAATATTATTTTAATAAAAGAAATAAATTAATACTGATGAGTTTTGGATTATATTTAAATTATAGAAAGTATTAGATTTAATAAGTCCCTAATATAGTTTATTATAACGTCTAAATAACTATTAATAATCGAAAATGGAATACAAAATTAAGTATATAAAGTCACTTTTTAATTTACTAAAAATTGAAGCTCTTTTTAACCCATTAAAGCTGTATATTATATGATAATGGATCTGGAGTTTCATTAGTTTGATGCTGAAATCTTTATTATCCTTAGCCAAATGCTGGTGGATCTTTAGAGATTGGTTTCCTATAATTTGAAGTTCTTTCAATCCTTTCATCTTCAGATTCTTCAATGATTGCTTACTTCCATCTCTCTTCTCCAATTCCAAATGGTGGTTTGTCAATCAATTGTTCCAAGTTGTATTCAATTTGGCTTTTCAACTTCTCTTAAATGGTTCCTAGGGATGTATCATAAAATCCTGGAGGTGGTACATCTTCAGTCGACGTCAACGAAGTTCTTTTAACTTTACTTTTAAATGGACTTGAGGAAACTTCTTTTTTCTCTATTTTGGTGGCTTCACTATGATAATAGCCAGGTCCAGGAGTGTTCTTAGGTTTTTTCTTCGAAAATCTTGGCAATCTACTGCCAACTTCTTAATTAGGACTTTGAATCAATTTTTAGACGATCTTATCCTTCATGGATGTTTTAGGGGAGTAGGTCACTGGACTAGGTGAAACAGAGGTGGAATTCTGTTTGAATCTTTCTGCTTTGGCAAATTCAACTTATTAACTAATAGAGATCAAAGCTGGATTATATTGACCAGGTCCAGGAATATGTTGGTTTTTAAGAGCAAATCTTGGTGCTTTGGCTAATAGTTTGGCTCCAGTAGAGATAGCAGTTGACTAGGTTTGATAATATCCAGGGCCTGGAGTCGAATCATCTAAGTATTCATATTATGAGGAATCAGAGTCAGGAGTGGAAGACTTTTAGAAACTGTAATAGATTTTATTATCAAGTCCCTTTTTAACGTAGAATTTAGGTTCTTATGAGGTCGAAAACTTTACTTATTATCCAACTTTTCTATCTCTATACCTATAAAATCTATCAACATCGTAATGTCCAGGACCTATGGAATTCTCAGTTTCTTCATGTTTGGAGGTTTTCCTCGACCAATTACTTACTAAGCTGGCATGTTTATTAAGTTGAGAAAGCTGTGCGTCATAATAACCAGGTCCAACGTTGGCTTATTATCTCTCTTAATTTATGAGTAAAAATACTTTCATAAGGGATTGAGTTTGCGGTTTGATAGGTTCCTGCATACATTAATTATTCGATGATTTTTGGACGATGAGAATGTGGGTATTTTTGTTTTTATAACATTGCAATATCGTAATACCCTGGACTTTATTATAGGATGATACTAATACCCAACTAAGCCACATTTCTCATCTTTGAATCTGTCTTCTTCGTTTTTGAAGACTGCACTTGCAACTTGGCTGTTTTGGGATTATCCTTTATGATCATATGCTCCTGGCCCAGGACTTAACTTTCTTGGGATATCAACCAAAGGCAAAGAGGGTATTTGAGTGCTCATTCGCTCCCACTTCCTATCTAATTCATAGGAACCTGGACCTGGGGAAGGATCCAAAATTTAACTTTGATTACGAGAACGATAAACAAATGACATTTATATTTTATATATATTATTCAAGCTAGCAAGCATAGACTAAATTTAGATCCTGGTTTGATAACATATGTTTTTTATTCGCCAGTCTCTATGGCAATGATAGGTACTTAGTCTTTTAAAGCTGTGGCACAATCTGCTATACTTTTAACATATTGGCTTAATTGAGGATTCATTGATTTATTGGCTAAGGGGAATCCAAACTAATCAACAATCAAGGCACCTTAAACACTATCTTACATAATGAGGTCGATTTGTTATAGCAATTGCTTATCCATTTAAAATATTAATGATATTAAATTGTGTTATAAGAATCATATATCATTAAATCTTTGATATTGGTCAATATTCAATATCTGGTAAAATCCTTCCTTCCAACAATTCCAAAGAAGCATCACCAGTTGAAACATATCTGAGTTTACATTAGCCTGATTGGCTTCAATTAAGTCAACAATATCATCAAAAATGGTTGTAGCACAACTTGAAGTCTATTTAACCTAGGCATTCAACATACTCACAGAACCATCCTTGACTTACTCAAATTCAAGATTATCAAGCATTAATTTAAGTAACTAGATTTTATCATTAACTATATTCCCTTTTGCAATGACAAGGAATGGTCTTTGAGGTGTTTCCAAAGTTTTAGCAAAATAATCAAGTTCTTTTTTCATCAAATAACCAGCCACTCTAACTTATGATCGATTCCAACCATAGAAGAGTGTGCTCTCATTTACATAAATATCTCCCAAGGCAGATATTTCCTTTCTAATTTTCTTAATACTCTCATGTCAGCTTTGATCTCTGCTTCAATTGCATCATCACCTTTTCCGTCCTCCTGGACATGGAATCTAAGATTTTCCAATAAATTGATTTATCCATTTCTAGCATTTGCAACTTAAGTGGCTTCTGAACCTGCACAATCGTTTACGAAATTAACTTCAGTGCCCAGTAACTCTTCCAACTTAAGTACAATTATTTTGAGTGAAGCGTTTTCAACTCTAAAATGTATTCATATTGAACATCTCTTTCCATCTGGTCTACCCATGTGCGACATCAAAGCGACATTCTATGGATTCAATTCGAGTATCTTCATGATTGTTGGAATAGCTCCTTGGATTCTGGTAGCATTCTCCACTTTGCCTTCTTTTATTGGCACATTGAAATCTACTCTTATTAACACACTTTTGTTGGCTAATTAATTTAACACATGATCGATATCAGCCTTAGAACTCAGCATTTAAGATTAATACATTTACCTATAAAAGATATTTGACTCTCAAAGTTTATAAATTAATTATGTTAACATTATTATTGCTACAAGTGGTGTTATCACAGAAGATTTTGGATTCTCCGCTTGAGCAGGTCGTATGGTGCAAGTAGGAAACCTTCATCCTAACAGCTAAGGGTATGCTCTATAAAAATTTTACATCTGAAATGCCCAAATTCATTAGCAATGTAATCCCATCTCAGATGATTTATCTAGTTTACCATAAGAGAAATCCTACAATCTGAAGCAGATGCCTAAGTGGTTTATTTCATCGGAGATTTCGATACATCCTATGTCTCTTAAAATTGCGGAAAAACGTACACAAAATTTAAACATGATAAGACCTTGCATGATTTCAAATTAAATTCTTTGGAGGCACATAGTCTGATGGCTTTCAAAGATTTCAGATGTAATTCCTCAACGACCTTGTGTAAAGATAAATACAAGAAATAGATTTATGTAAGTAATGATTATGGAGCAAATTGGAGGATGGTACTCAATAGAACCAGAGATGCAATATGGGATAAATTGATAGAATTGCCAGAGATTCCTGATTCTAGAATTGTTGCATCCTACCTCAATGATTAAGGTCTTTTATAAGTAAGTTATAGTGACGATTACTTCAATACATTTAAATTGCTCAGAAATAATTCCTACGGGTTCTATCAGACAAAAGAGTATCTCTTCATTTTGATTGATGCTGACTCTTTTAGTAAGGGCTATGATTTAGAAGTTATTAAACAAGGCACTTTGAATCCTGTAGAATTGGTGTTGCCAGTAGAGGATCATCAAAAGTATACATTCACTGTCCTGGACACTGTCAATGGATCCATATTCATTTCCATTTCTCATATAGAGGACATGCCTAAAATTATGAACATCTATTTGAGTGACAGCACTGGCACAAAATATACGTTGTCACTCATGAACAATGTAAGAAGTTTGGATACTGGAAACTGTGATTTCGAACCTATCATAAGAGGAACATACATAGCTAATATATATGACAATTCTGAATTTGAGAAATTCAAGATGAGAAGATCAACTAAGAACACTGATGGAATCAAGAGACTAGAGAACTACAAACAAACAAGAATTACCTTTGAACAAGGAGGTGAATGGCATGCACTTAAAGCTCCTAAATATGATTATAAGGGTTAACCTATTTAATGTAATGGGGATTGTTCCTTACATCTCCTTGGAAGAAGTGAAGCCCCTCGTAATAGAATAATAAGTCATTCCTACATTGCCATAGGTACGGGTAACACAGGTATTTATTTGGGAAACGAATATAAAACTTACCTCTCAAGAGATGGCGGTCACACTTGGTTTGAAATACTCGATGGCATGCACATTTACGACATTGCCGAAAACACAGGAGTCATTGTCTTTGTGAGTGATGAAGAATAAGCAAATGAGATACTATACACTTGGGATGAAGGCTTGACATTCTAAAAAATCAAGATGAATGTCACTTTTGATATCACTAATGTAGTCTATAAGAATGGTAAATTCTTATTCCATGGAATACAAGATAGTAAAACACTTGGTGTTGCAAAAGAAGATGATTTTACATCAAATGCTCTTAAAGGAGTTGTTGTATCTTTAGATATAAATTAAATAATGGTTAGAGAATGCTAAGGGTTTGATAGGCCGGGTGAATAAGATTCAGATTATGAGTTTTGGTATCCTTCAAATTATGCAGGAGATAAGTGTTTGTTTGGATAAAAGGAAAAATACATTAGAAGAAAGAGAAGCTCATAATGTTATAACAAGTAGCCAAATCTTCCAGTTCAAACTGAAAATTGTCCATGCACCAAAGCTGATTGGGAATGTGATGTGGGGTATAAGAGAGACATCTATTCGAATTGCGTACCTATGAAAGAAATCAAACCAAAAGCATGCAAGGGGACATACCTTAAAAGTTAAGGATATAGGAAGATCTCTGGAGATGAATGTTAAGATGGGTATATATTTCATATTATTAATTTAGTGTTTATTTGGGACCAATAGAAACGAAATGTTCTGAAGAAGATTAAGTGACTCAAAAAGATAACATTAACATTAAATAAGGCAGAGTTAGTGACATACCAACTTATACTGAACCTGTAAAACCTCAAATTAATAAACCTAAAACCACCATCGAAAAATAAACTGATGGTGGCATTAAATACTCATATTTAATTATTGGATTCATCTGTTTAGGACTAACATATTTAATCAAAAAAAAGTATTTTGATGTGAAATATTAAACCAAAAAACGACAGCCAGCTTATTATTACCCTGTAAAATCATAGGAAAAGTAACGATTATTTGGTGAACCTTGAAATGTGTAATTCTATTTTTGTATTTATTAATATTCTACGTCAAGTCTAATCTAGTATCTAGATGCTGCTTTAAATATTTAGACCAACAAATGGGAAATAGCATTTTGTGGAGTCTGTATCAACTATCTAAGATTAATAATATTTTACATATGATTCTTAAGTTCTCGCTTTTATCCATCTCATTTTGCCTATTTTAGTATCAACTTAAACATTGATAATTTCATTGCATCCCCATTCAAATCCACTTTTGATTTATTCAGACTCCTCATCCACATCAAAATTAAGACTTGCCTATCCATTATCATTTAGTAGATAGGTATCTAAAATAGTTTAATTAATACTCTACCTTCGGTACTGATAGTACTACAATTAAAGTTCTTTTATTCGCATATTCCAATGATAACTCCACCATACTAACATGTTTTAAATGTAAATTGAACAATGCTTTTATTGGGAATACTCGGTTCACAAAGAACAAAAGCTAAATCCTATAAAACATTCTTTGCTTCAGTTCTAGTTTAATTCAATTTAATCCATTAATGTTTAGATTAGTTGGAAAATCTAATTTTTAGATTTTAAACTATTGATTATTTGTTTCATTACTATCATCATATTGAATATTTATTTAATGTTATAAATTTTACTATATCTGACTATGACATTGCTCTTACAATGTTGGTATTATTTGTTATGGCTTTTCAGAGTTTGATTAAGTTTATTATAAAATGCTACCTTCATCAATTTACATATTGAATAATTATATACTTTATAAATTTAAATCAAAATATTAAATCCTCTCTGGAGGAATGGCTAAGACTCATTGTCAGCATATCAGACTTTCCTTAATAATAAGGGTGATAAATTTGTATACATAAAAATTAAATTAATTAATTCAAATGTCTGCTTCTCCGTTGATTAAAGTTGCAAGTTCAGCCTTTACAAACGGATCAGCATTGACATTCAAAAAGAAGAATTTGTCTAATTCTTAAACTCAGAACTTTATGGCTGGTAACTCTCCACTCAAATCTCTTGATGAGAATGAGCAATCACCTTCAAAATTAATCAATATCTACTCTGATAGTGCGTTATTTAATGTGGGAAATTCTTACTCAACTGTAAAAAATGCTCCAATTATTGAAGAGGAGAAAACACATAAAACTTACACGTATAGTTAAATGCCTCCAGAAGAAGCAGAGAAAGCGTATTGCGAAAGATAAAAAATTATAAAGGAATAAATAAAGAGAAGCAAAAACAGTGGAAAATTTAAACCTAAAAAGAGAGTTGATACAAACAAATCTACTTTGAAAAGTGCCTTAAAGAAATAACAATTAGACTATTCAACTGCCTAATCTTAATAGATAGATATGTCAAGAACATCTCAAACATTCAGAAGAAAATCAATCGATTAACCAATACAGACTGTCCCTAAGCCTCATCCGAAAGTAAATAAAATAATTGAAAATAATAATGCCAATAAGAGTACCAAATAATCCTAACTAAATAGTTCAGACGTCCTCTAGCAATCCTTTCATTAGTAATTGTAAAGCAAAAAGTAGTAATTGCTAACCGAAATTGCTTAATTGGATAAGGAAATAGTAAAAGAGAAAGAGAAAAAGTAATAATCTCTTGTATAATCAATTAATATTTCCCCAAGAGCTCAGAAAATTAAATAAAATCCTACTTAAAAAGATGATCTGAAATCTACATATGAGAAAAGATAATAGATGAAAAAGGTTGCGGATAAAGAGAAGTAACGTAAGGAGATGGAATAATGCACGTTCAAGCCACAACTTAATAGTAATACAAGTAGAAAGTTGAACACTTCCTAAAGTTCAAAGTTTACTCCTTTGACTTCACCAAAGCAGGCCAAAGTCACTCATCCAATCAAGGTGCCTACTCGATCTTAATCACAGGAGGAGAGGATTGTCAAGACGGACGGATTGCAGAATTCAAAGGAGGATTTAAATTGTAAGAAATTCGCATTAATAGTAGAACGGTTACAACGAATGAATGAGAAGTATAACATGATATTGGAACAATCGAATAAAATTAGAAACCAGTTAAAACAAATCTGAATATTTTTAATTAATATTTATATGGATATCAATGAATTATTAGATGAGATAGTTCTGGACAATCAGTATAAGCCGAATTCAAGAGATAAAAGTAGAAGGTCATTTGTGGATCCACCGTAAATAGAATTATTTAATGAAGGAAAATTGAGACTCAAAAAATTTCAAATGATCCATATGAATTTGACAGTATTTTGAAATCTGCGGATTCTCCACTTGATAAACAATAGACCTATGCTTCTCGTTAAAGACCTTAAACTGCTATCATAGACGAATCGAAAAAACAGAAAATGGCTGATTTATTTTAATTGCCAAAACCAAATGTAGTCAAAGATTAACTGCCAGTCCAACCAATGGAGGACTCCACAAATACCAACAATGATTTTTAATAGACTCAGAGCAGAAGAGGAAAGATGAGAATGCTTTCACAAAATAAGGGACAACCTTAAAAAAGTGGAATGGACATGAGTCAAGACCCTGTATTTAATTATAATCAATAATCTGAAATTGAAAAATAATCAATTCAATCAGATTATTCAAATAAATAAAATAAGTAACCAGATATTGGGTTCAATATCAATAACAATCAAACAATCAATACTAATAATATCAATATCAATAATGCAAATTTAACAAAATTATAAGATGAAATATAATCATTAAAATAAGATCGAGATAAATTGAACCAAGAGATATAGTAAATTAGGAATGAAAAAAATAAACTATAGGATGAATTAGACATTGAAAAGAGAGAGAGAACCAGGTTACTCTAAGATAAATTAGATCTTGAAAAGTAATTCATTAAAGAAAAGGAGTACCTCAGATCAGAATTCGAAAGGGAGAAACAAAGAATTCTTGATACAGCCAAATTAGAAGTAAGATGAAATATCTATTTATTCTTAGAATGAACTCATCAAATAACAATTAGGAGAATAAAAGTAACTTGACAATTTGGCAGAAAAAATAAATGTCAGTGCAAAAGAATTGGAATTATTAAAGAACTAATTATATTAGAAGCATGAATAATAGACATAAGAGAAAATTAAATAATTGGATATCAAAAAACTAGAAATTTAAGACAGGGAGTCTCAATTAGAAAAAGAAAAGTCATATTTAGAAAATGAAAAGAGAAGACTGCAAAACCTATAAGATGACTTAAGCAGAAGAGAATAATTGTTTTAAGCATCTATTGATGGAGAGAAGAAGTCATTACAAAGTGAGAAGCAATTATTATAGGATATAAAAGATTCATTGAGAAATTTGGAATTGGAAACAAAAAAACGATTGGAACAAGAGAATCTATTATTATAAAGACAAAAGTAATTATGTTGATCATTAAGATAGAAATGAATTTGATGTCTAAAAACATGAGTTGAATTCTTAGGCTTAGAGTAAATTAAGATAGTTGGAGGCGGATAGGTAGATTTTTGAATAGTAAAAATTGGAATATTCTGATTTTACTTAAAAGAATAATGAAATTATTTAATAAAGGTATGCAGACATTGAAAAACAATAGCAAAAGGTGGCTGCTAAAGAAATGCAACTAATAAATCAATAAAGAGATTTGGATATGAAAAATAACTAAGTTAACAGTTTGCATGCTGAATATACAAGGAAATTGAATTTGGTTGAAAATGAAAGGTAATTATTGTTGGACAAGTTGAAAGAAATTAATGAAAAGGAGAAATTGTATTAATAAGAAATTTCAAATGTCTAAGAGTTTAGACAAATGCATTAATAGGAAAAGGAGTAGATTCAAAAGTAAAAGATTGAATTAACTTAACAATTAACAATTAATTAATAGGATAAAATTTAGATAGAGTAAGAAAAGAGTCAATTGAACATGATGCATAAAACATTATCTCATTTAAGATAAGAAATTACTTAAAATTCTCTATAAGGTTTCTCTTAAACGACAGCACCACCACTACCAATTCGACTAAATTAGAAAACTAAAATGGAAAAACCTAGATCTGCTTAAAAGATCCCTTTTAATACAACTTAAAATCCCTCAATGAATCAAACATCTTCAAATTTTGATGTTGGCAGCTATATGAAATATCTAAAAAATGTTGATTATTTACATTGAAATCTATAATTTAACATATCATTTATCATTTTCTCTATTGTTTTTAGATTACCATTAGTTAAGACTACTGGTGATCTATAAATGAAAGTCATTTGCTTCCATCAGTTGTACACTTTTTGATCTTAATTATTTATGTTTTAATCAAGTATTGTCGATAATATTCGTTAAATTCAAAATTTAAAGATGAATTAATAGAGATGTCCCAACAAGCAGCACAATTTATATCGACATCAAGCAATTAGATACAAGGATGACACAATCATAGATTCCACCCACACTAAATCATAGACTTCGGATTAGAGTATTAAATTAAGAATAATTTGAGAAATATCTAAAATATCAGAAATCAAAGTTGTGAATGATTTTTCAATTGACTCCTAATGTTTGGATCGTAGTAGTATTCTAGAACAATCTTTGGAACATGATTTGCGATAATGGCAATAAGCATATAAGATTGATAATTTGATTGTCTAAAAACTTGAGAAAGGTTCAATTTTTGAATTATCAATAGAAATAAAAGATATTGACAATTAAATAGTTTAGATTGCAACTCAATTTGATGTTTGTATGAATTTGCAGTAAAAAACCGAAGCCAAATTTAGAGAGTTTTAACAACTGATGAAGGGTACATAATTCATTAAGTTTTCCCGTTCTAATTGTAAGAAATGGGATTAAAGAACGATATTTTATTGTTCGTTTTTGGATTCAATTTGTTGGAAATCAAGAACTTCAAAATTTCCATCTGCCAAATAAACTATCCCCATAGATTCTATAATATAGATTCATACAAATTACAATAAGTAAAGGTATCCATAAAATGTAGATATAAATTGATTAAAAAGAACTTTGTTTTACCACCAAATGCTGAATAAGATTGTTTTCTGGCAATTGAAGCAAAGAATGGAGTTAGATTAGAATTACTAGCAGAGAACAAAGAAGATTAGTTATTGTATGCTAAAATTTTGAATCTGTTGATAAACAAGGAAAGAAACATAAAAAACCAAAACTAATTTATAATTGAACAATATTGTTTGGATATTAATCTAATTAGAAAAGTATTGTATATTAATAAATGAAACTAGAACTTGGAGGGATCCAAAAAGAATTTCTTAGAGACAATAGATAAATTACAGCAAAGCTTTATTTCAACAACTTCAACTCTCTTGAAATAGGAGAGAGAGAAAACTAAAACAATTAAGAAAAAGTCATAGCATTTAGCATTTTAAAGCAAACTGTAATTGGAAGATATGAATAAGGAAAATAAAATGTAGAAAAAACAAATAGTTGAATTACAGTTGGAAAATGATTATTTGGAAAGTAGAATAGAATAGTTATAAGAGTATTACACTTCAAGGTAGTTATAAATTAAGAGCTCAGCAAATCCTTAATAAGTTTAGCTATATCAAATAATTAAAGATATCATTGGCATGAATGGTGATCAAAGTATTCATAACGAATCACAATATGAATATTAGCCCTAAGATTATCATGAAGAAAATGTTAAAAACTTATAAAAGCTTTCCACTCTTTATGATAGATAATAGAGTACTGAAATGGAATTAAGATCATTCATTAAAGAGTTGCAGGAAGAGAAGTCTTCGATTGCCACCTAATTGTAATAAACATAATTAGATTTACACGAATAAGAAATGTATATCATCGAATTAGAGAATATAAATAATCTGTTACAAACTAAATTACAAGATGTTAATCAGATTTTAGAATTCAAAGAGTAGTAGTTTTCAAATCTAGTTTAGGATATGTAAAAATTATAATAAGAAATGCCAAAAATAGTGAATAATAATAGTTAATACTCTATTAGCTCAGAAACTAGGAGGTTGTAGACTGAAAATGATAAATTAAAAGATACCATCCAAATTAAAATAAAGGAACTAAAAAAGTAACCCTAAATTGTATTTTATAGTTAAATGATGAAAGAAGAATAGAATTGGATGAACTTCTTTGTGCAAATAATTTCTTACATTTGCTATTATATTTCTCCTGATGATTTATCATCTGACATTAACATTACAATACAAGGAATGTATTATAAGTTGTGTGAGAAGGCTTATGGAGAATCTTAATCCTACTTGGATAATTTAATCAATCTGATTAAACAGAAAGCTAGTTTCTTTTAAAAACAATATAATGAGTAGTTCCAATAACTGTTTAAGGATCAATAAGCAATATTATGTAGTGTAGCATCAAGTTTTAAATTAAATTAATTCCTAGGATTACCTTCTCCGAAAACTACTAATTCAAGACAATCATCTAATTTAACTCTATAATTAGATAAGACATTTCAGTCTCCGAGTAGGGTGTTCGTGAAAAATAAGGCCAAATTGAGCAAAGATAATCATCCTTTGGATTCCATATAAATATAGTATTTGACTTAATTAATTAAATGAATTAATTCTATATATAATATGATTCATTTTTAAAACTATTCAAGTAGATTCTACGGAATTGGTATTCCACATTTAAATTCAAACCCAGCTTGATGAAGTAAGGCAACACAGGGATAGATAGGACCTTTTTTAAGTAAATCTGAGGAGATGGCTTTGCCCAAGAAATTGTCATTGTATGAAAATGCCAGAACTCCTCTATTCATATCAAGTAGTATTCCGACTTCGCCAGTATTTTTGAATTTAACTCCATACTCAAAACCCTAATTTAAATATAATTATCACATTCGAATTGCTTCCATTTCTAAATTAGCCNATTAAGAGCTCAGCAAATCCTTAATAAGTTTAGCTATATCAAATAATTAAAGATATCATTGGCATGAATGGTGATCAAAGTATTCATAACGAATCACAATATGAATATTAGCCCTAAGATTATCATGAAGAAAATGTTAAAAACTTATAAAAGCTTTCCACTCTTTATGATAGATAATAGAGTACTGAAATGGAATTAAGATCATTCATTAAAGAGTTGCAGGAAGAGAAGTCTTCGATTGCCACCTAATTGTAATAAACATAATTAGATTTACACGAATAAGAAATGTATATCATCGAATTAGAGAATATAAATAATCTGTTACAAACTAAATTACAAGATGTTAATCAGATTTTAGAATTCAAAGAGTAGTAGTTTTCAAATCTAGTTTAGGATATGTAAAAATTATAATAAGAAATGCCAAAAATAGTGAATAATAATAGTTAATACTCTATTAGCTCAGAAACTAGGAGGTTGTAGACTGAAAATGATAAATTAAAAGATACCATCCAAATTAAAATAAAGGAACTAAAAAAGTAACCCTAAATTGTATTTTATAGTTAAATGATGAAAGAAGAATAGAATTGGATGAACTTCTTTGTGCAAATAATTTCTTACATTTGCTATTATATTTCTCCTGATGATTTATCATCTGACATTAACATTACAATACAAGGAATGTATTATAAGTTGTGTGAGAAGGCTTATGGAGAATCTTAATCCTACTTGGATAATTTAATCAATCTGATTAAACAGAAAGCTAGTTTCTTTTAAAAACAATATAATGAGTAGTTCCAATAACTGTTTAAGGATCAATAAGCAATATTATGTAGTGTAGCATCAAGTTTTAAATTAAATTAATTCCTAGGATTACCTTCTCCGAAAACTACTAATTCAAGACAATCATCTAATTTAACTCTATAATTAGATAAGACATTTCAGTCTCCGAGTAGGGTGTTCGTGAAAAATAAGGCCAAATTGAGCAAAGATAATCATCCTTTGGATTCCATATAAATATAGTATTTGACTTAATTAATTAAATGAATTAATTCTATATATAATATGATTCATTTTTAAAACTATTCAAGTAGATTCTACGGAATTGGTATTCCACATTTAAATTCAAACCCAGCTTGATGAAGTAAGGCAACACAGGGATAGATAGGACCTTTTTTAAGTAAATCTGAGGAGATGGCTTTGCCCAAGAAATTGTCATTGTATGAAAATGCCAGAACTCCTCTATTCATATCAAGTAGTATTCCGACTTCGCCAGTATTTTTGAATTTAACTCCATACTCAAAACCCTAATTTAAATATAATTATCACATTCGAATTGCTTCCATTTCTAAATTAGCCTACAGTATAATAGGCATATCCAAAACTGTAATCAGAAAAAGCTGTTTTGAGATCATATTTGTCAGACGTTGAAACTCCAATTTTCATTTCATTTTTGGTCATGGCCATAGGAATAATTTTCCAAAAATGAATTCCTTTTTAAAACCCTACAGAACAAGTTACAGTTTTAAAAGTATATTCTTCTTCTTGTAATGTAATGATGGATTGCTTAATTACGATTCCTTGACCGCATTTATCAAAATTAAAGTAAGAAAGCCCAGTTTAATTCAATGCAAAAGACAAAGGCAACTTTGGAAAAATTGGATTTACTTCTTTATTTTTAATAGATTATTCTAAATTAATAATTTCTTTTCTAATTCTTGTAAAATCTTATTATTCAACGAAAGGAAATAATTTAGAGAAATATAGACATTCCAGACTACATACTTATTCATTTATGAATTATTAATTAACAATTTGGTGGCACATCTCAAAGTTTATACAATTGCCTTGTAAAAATTATTGCTGGATTGCTTATTCTACTATCACTGGCTTGACATACTTTTAGGGAGGCTACTCAACTTTTTTAGCTAGGACTATTTAGGATTTAGTGAGAATTTCATCGTAAGCGTCTTGCAAGGCAGACTTCTTAATAGATCTAAACTATTTCGATTGACATTAAACACATTCATAGCTTTTCCCAAATATTTCTCGGAGACATTACTTGCAGTACATAAAACCACATTTTTCACATATTTAAGCTTTGATGGCTAATTTCATGCAAAGAGAGCATTCAAAACCTGTGTCTGTCATTTTGTTGAATTTTATTTAAAATTAATATATAAATAATTAGAAAATTGCTAATTATAATTTTCTTTATGAATTTACAAATCACATTTAACTCATATAAACGCTTTGATTGGAACTACCTTTGTTAGTGAATTATCCTTCAAATGCTAGTTTGTCCATCTTTTGTTTGATTTCCAGTTCTTTTTTGATGTTTTGATATTTTTATAGCAATCTAATTGATAAAATATGTAACTGTACTTTTCGAGTTCGAGAGTACGATTTTTCTTCTATTCATCTTAACCTCCTTTGATTCTTTATTGCAGAGCATTGATTTCATTTCTGTATCTCATTCTTAATTGTTTCAACTAAGTGTTTATTTTGTTAGTTCTTTCTATTTAGTATTTCTAATAGTCCACATCTTCAATCTAGACTCTCTGTTCTTTGATTTTCTAAGCCTCAACATAACAAAAAATATAAAAAAATGGATACTTCTTTTGTTTGGCCAAATATTCTTCTCTTTTTTTGAGATTGAGAACATCAGAAGATTCTTTTGGCTTTGAAGGAATAGTTCTTTCTAATTCTTCAGAGACTTTATTAAATTCATTTTATTATTTGTTTAATAATTCCTATTCCACAGCTGAAGCTTCATCATTAAATTTTTACATCTTCTCGTCCCAGAATCGGTTGAATTGATTAAATTCTTCAAGATGAGCTCTCTCAATTTCTTGCTCTTATTAATAATGAGCTTATTGCATTTCTTTTCTCCTTCTTTAAACCAATTGCTTTTTCAACTCCACTATTCTTTTTTGGGCAGCGTCTGCTTGCATATATTCTGCAGACTTTTCACAAGAATCCTGATATTACAAAAGTGTTTTTATGTATTATTCGACATCATTTGCAGTATTAAGATTTGGTTCATTAGGGAAAAGATCTTGAGACATTGATGCTTAGATATTTTGTAATTAATTAAATTTTCATTTTTATAAGAATATAACTATACAAGTAATGTCGTCCCTTGCTAAACTGTTCTTCAAATAAGTATAATACAAATACTCTTCTCCATGCCTACGTGGCTTCAATTATAATACGTTCGGCTGCTTGGTCAGGGTTGTCCTTTTCCAAAAATGGGATCACAGTACTCATCACCTAATTGATTGCGAATGTACCTCTTCATTACTCATATACTCCCACACTCCATCCGATGCAATGACAATGAATTGATCCTGTGCACTAATAGAGAATTTTTTGATTTCAGGTTCAGCAATAACACCAGCTTAAGCACCAACTTTGTCTCCAAAAGACCTGGTCATTGCCAACCCAGGAGCTTGGATATAAGACAACCAAACTCTGAATGGTCCTATTCCATTTCCATGGAAATCTACATATAGAACAATAGATTCACACCCTTTTATTGTTCAACTCTTCCACCTGCATCCAAAATCCTAATTTTTTCTTGTGGATCATCTGGTTTATGATCTCGACTTAATTCCACGACCTTCCATCCATCATCAAACCTACACATGATGGCTCTAGAATCGCCAACATTTGCAGAGTAGATCTATTTCAATTAAATAATATTACGATATCTTTTGCGATTAGCAAAGAGACTGTTGTAGATCCAGACAGGTTAGTATCAATTTCTGAATTACACAATTCTTTGTTTGTAATTGCGAATGCCTTCGAAATTTGGATTTCTAAATCGCCTGTTTCTTTCAATAGTCTTCCAAGATGTTTGGGCAATTGTTATCTGATTTAATTGGAAACCATGTGTCCATATTAGCCATGTCCATCACAAACGGCAAAGAACTTATAACCCATACTAGAAATAAGAACATTTTTAAACTTTTCTAAGTTCTTTGGACTCAAAATAGTTGCATCTTAATTAATTTTTGTTGCCTTGTTTGGTTAACATCCAGCCTTAGTTCTCGTTGCAAATTAAACTGAATTTCTTTTTCCTTGTCTCCTCTCTGGCGTGATTGATTTTCTCATCCCATCAGTCTCCGATATTTATTTTTTCCTTTGTATATGTTGATCACTTAATTGAAGAGAGGGCAATTTGTTCGCTTTCCCCTTGTAAATCTAGACTGTCTACTCAACCCTGCTCAACTTTTTGATAGGAGGCAAAGCAGGCAATGATGCATTCCCTTAAAACTTACTACTATTTGATGCTACATCAACACTCTCAGGATATCGAGGCAGTAATCTCTGCAGGTTCTCCTTTTGTGGAGAATATATCCCGACTGGTATCAGACGATATTCTCTGTGCAATCTTGCTAAAGAAGACTATTAAGGGTACATTATTATTTTAATTAATTTTACAATCGTTATAACAATATTATCATGCCAGCTGAATGCGTGAAGGTTATAGTTAGAGTCAGACCATTTAATTAGAAGGAAAGAGATAATGGTAGCAAACTATGTGTAAATGCTAATGAAAGTACAAATTCTGTAGAACTCTTTAGAGTATTAATACAAATTTATTGTATTACTAGAGTTCGGAAAACGATTCAAAACAATTCACTTATGATTATGTATTTGGACCAGAAACACCTCAACTTTAGATATATTAATAAACTGCATTTAATTTGGTGGAATCTGTGGCAGAGGGGTACAACGGAACCATCTTTGCTTATGGTTAAACTGGTATGGAAAATGTATTATCATTTAGGTTGTGGTAAGACGTTCACAATGATTGGAGATCCATTAAATGTATATTCAATCACATAAATCTTAGGATAACATGAAAGGCATAATACCAAGAACATTTGAATAGATAATCAACATCATCAACAACAATTCAGATTCAAATAAGAAATTCTTGTTGAGGTGTTCCTACATTGAAATCTACAATGAAGAAATACATGATTTATTGAGTAAGGATGTTAAATAGAGGTACGAATTAAAAGAAGGACAATAAGGAGTTTATGTTAAGGATTTGAATATTCCCATTGTGAAAACATTATAAGATATGGATAAATTTATGACATTAGGAGCATAGAATCGATCAGTGGGGGCAACAGCCATGAACAAAGAGTCAAGTAGGAGTCATTGTATTTTTACAGTATACATTGAATGTTCAATGACTGATGACAAGGGAAATGAACGTATTACTGCAGGAAAACTGAACTTGGTAGATCTTGCAGGGAGTGAGAGACAATCTAAAACTTAGGCTACTGGAGATAGATTGAAAGAAGCAACCAAGATTAATTTATCATTGTCTGCCTTAGGAAATGTGATTTCAGCTTTGGTTGATGGCAAAACTCAACACATTCCCTACAGGGATTCTAAATTAACAAGGTTGTTGTAGGATTCACTTGGTGGTAATACTAAGACCATAATGATTGCTGCCATTTCGCCATCTGATTTTAATTATGATGAGACATTATCAAGTCTAAGATATGCATCTAGAGCCAAGATGATTAAGAATCAACCAAAAGTAAATGAAGATCCCAAAGATGCCATGTTAAAAGAATAAGCTGAAGAAATTAAGAAACTCAGAGAACTATTGCTTAGATAGAACTAGGACAACGGAGATCGACAGAATGTGGATAATCACGGAAGATTAAATAATGTTGATAATAGTCATCATGAACAAATAAATCAATTCAAAGAGATTAACAATTAATTACTGTAGGAGAAACAGAGATATGAGAATGAAATGAAGGAAAAAAGTGAATAGGCTGAACAAGAGAGATTGGCGAGGTAGAGATTGGAAGAATTGTTGAAGGAGAAGGAGTAGATGATGATCAAGGGTGGCAAAGGGACAGATGACGATAAAAAAAAATATAAGAAAATGCAATAGGCTATAGAACAATAGAAGAAGGAACATGAATAATTGAAAATTCAATAGGAGTTAAAGGAAAAGGAAATGCTTGAGATTGAATATAAATATAATAGTGTACAGGACGAAGTTGAAAAATTAAGAAAACAAGTTAAATATTTGAAAAATAAATATGAATAGCAATAATAAGAATAAAATGAAATGAAATAAGATTTTGAATATGACAAGGAAGAGTTTTTAGATACCATTAGGTCACAATCCAAGGAAATCAAATTGTTTTCTGGGATTTTGAGGATGATTCTATTATAAGAAGATATAGAAAAAATTACTAGTTGTTGTGAATGGAATGATGATGTGGAAGAATACAAAATACCTCCATTTAACATCAAAGCTAAGAAGGTCAACTTCCCAAATCTGCCTTATTAGAAAGCCATGGATCTGATTGATGTAGAAAAATAAGAGAGGCAAGTTGAGATCCATCACAGACCATTACCTTCAAGTTATAGAGATGTAGAAAACACTAGAATTGCATCGCCTGGCAGACAGAGGAAAGGTATAACTATATATGGAAAGTAGGTGAATCATAACCAAGAATGAATGGAAATAATGATAATAAGGGAATGAGCATTGTAGAGAAGACTAAGCTTAATTAGCAGCTTCTAGAAATTTATGAAGGAAGAACAAATAAAACTTAGAAAGATGAGTTACAATAATAATAATAGTAATAAAAAAGAGTCAACTAGAAGATTATATTAAATCCTATTGATAATAGAGGGAACCAAGTCCAAAATTATAATAATTAATGTGAGCCAATAATTATTAATAATAATTAAAACAATAATTAAAATACATCTTAAATTACTCCTCCTTTAGTTAAAAAAAGTATTCATGTAAATATTATATTTAGTTTCAAATTTAAATCCTTTAGATTAAAAACCCCCCACAGGTAGATTGGTTTAACAACAAAAAATTTAATAATAATACTGATATATATATATATAAAATCATTCTTAATAAATATGTGCTCCCAATTACCAAACTTATAAAATATTATTATCTTCTACACTAGAAATGATATATTTTTCATTAAGATTCCAATCTAAATCACAAACCTTAGATCTATGTCCTCCATGGACAAACTAAATTGAATGAATAGATGAATTACCAATAATTCAGGAGGTCCATCCTGAGCTTCTTCTGGTGTTTGAGCTTTTCCGCATCTTCCAAAATCCCAAATCATGCATCTTCTATCAGCTGAACTACTAACAAATATTTTCATATTGTGTGGTGACCATTTCAAAGATAAGATCTAATCACCATGACTTTCAAAAGTATGCAATGGTTTTTCAGTGTTTCTCATATCGAAAAGATTGATTCTCTTGTCTTCTGAGCCAGTAATAAAAAAGAATTCATTAAAATGATTAAAATCTAAGCAATAGATATCTCCTGCATGAGTTTGAATGTCACTCAAAGGTTATGGTTTACGAGTATCCCAACTATAAATTATTTGATAATTCTTACATTCTCACATGTCTATCATCTCCACAAGAACCAAAGATTTCTGGATGAAACCTATGCCAACTGACATCTTCGATTTATAAATTATTTGCTTAAAATGTTTATTTTGGTTCTGGTGCATTTGTTTCAACATCCCAAATGCATAATTTACCATCGTAATCTCCAGTTAAGAGATGTCCCAATTTCTATTCATTCCAAGACATACCAAATCTATTATGATAATTTAATATCTTTTACCCTTCTTTTTGATGTCCCACTAATTTCAAATCAGGTTTGACCAAATTGTTGGATGGCTATGATGGATGCTTTATGTAATCGAAAATATGGACTTCTCCTTTAGGTGTGAAGGTGGCAATGATATTTGATTTTTATGGCATGTACCTTGCCCTGTTTACTTCTCCTTCATGGTTTATTCTTACATCAATTTCTATTCTACTTTCCCCAGTAGCCTTGCCTATACCGCTTGGCTCATTCTATTTATATTCAGAAGGGTCTTATTGGACATCAGAATCTTTTGGTAATCGAACCTAAAATACTATTGGTTTTCTGTACTTTAGCAATCATCAAAGAATTCATCTCATTATCCCCAGTATTTGTTCCAATTATCAATTTATGAATTGAGTAATCCTGGCCTGGTGGTGTTTCCTTCTTTGGCAGCCACTACACAGTCAAGGATGGCCACTCAACTGGATGACTGATTGCCAAATCATATAGAAATGGAGCATTCTTTTTCCATATCTTGTACTCTTCATTAATTGTGGCTTCTTGTGATTGTTCATCAAATATCTAATCTTAATTTGCTGCCATTTTGGCTCCAAAAATTAAATTAATTAACTTTCATTATAAAATCAACCAATTATTTCTTCTTCGTCTTCCTCCTATAATTCCTTTAGTATTTTTGAGTGTTCCACTTAAGTTTCATACCAAATTACTCCATTCGATGGTAGATCCCTAACACTTGGTGACAATATCTAGATCCAATTTTTAACCTGTCCAAAGATTTATTATAAATTTTATATTCTCTTACTCTTTCTGAAATCATTATTCTTATCCCAAAATTCCAATGTGGTGACTCCTCTCATTGCCAAAAACCAGTTCCAACCGGCAAAGGCTGACAACATGAAAAACAAAGAAATGTTTAAGGGCCATATTATTGAAAATTCTTTTGTTTGATGAACTCTGTACTCCTCAAATTTATTGCTATCTCCAGTTAAACCAATACCTCATCACCAAATTTAGGTTCAAAATTGAAATGTAGAATGTCCCTATTGCAATATGAGTTAAGAATAAAATAAAGTATCGATGATTCTAGTGTCCGACACACTATCCAACCCAAGGACAATGATGATCCATTTTCAATACGCATTTGTTGCATATACTGCAATGATGCGTCCTCTAAGGTTTAGGCAAACAACATTTATCGCAATATTTCAAGGTACTTTGATCCAATTTAATGGCCAACTATGATTTATTAAATTAGCATCTTATTGGATCATAGATGAATGGACCCTCCTCTTTGTCATTTGCTTTCGTAAATATTTCCGATGTCAATCCTGGAGATACTATTAATACCAACCCATAATTGAAAATCACATTAAATCCTACATTATCAATTCTGTAATTACCTTCAATCAATCCAATCAGCATCAATACAGCTATTAGTAATTTATTATTGTAAACTAAATAATATAATAGCATTGTGTCATAGATAAATGAATAGATGATGCCAATGTACAAAACCATAAAGAAGCCTATTAATAAATATCCCACAAATTTAAATGCCAGACTATATATGGTTTTAATTGATCGTTTCTCTTTCGGACTTAGTTTATTCATATTTAATTTTTAAAATTAATTATATATATATAATTTAGTCTATTGTGCAGAATGTTTAATTTCTGTAATTCTATGGACATTTCTTAAATCCTGACTAATCCCTTATGGACAAAGGGTTGACTATAACAATATAAATATGTAATTTTTTTATTTATATATGTTTTTATTATTTCAGACGGCTGAGGCTCCTGAAATGATTTCGCACAATTCAACCGTGATTTTGGCTTATCTAACCTTATTGTATTCAAGAGTCAATTTATCAAGCATTTCTCCTGCATTCTTAGAAGCATTTTCCATAGCATTCATTCTAGAAGATGTTTCACTTGCAAAATTATTCAACATAGCATGATAGAAGGCAGTAGCCACATAGTATTCGTACATGTAATTCTGGACGAATTCCTTTTCAGGTTCTGCAGTATCATATTTAGTAACCAATCTGAATTGAGCAATGAAGTTCTTTCTATTGAGTAAATCAACACGTTTGATGACCTATTGAACCACATTCTTGAATTAATTGAAAATGATGGAAATCTAATCGACATCTTCTGTGACATTGAGTTGAATCTGATGTGCGATGGAAGAACTATTCACAAAATTGATTGGTGTTTAGATGGCTGTTATTGCTTGAGTGAGCAATTCAGGGAAACCTCTTTAGAGTGCTCCTAAGGACTATAATGTAAAAATGATATTGAATACCTTTTCGCCGATCAAAAATAATTTGTAAGCATTACGATTCTGTCGAACAATGCTTCTGGTTTCTCTGATGATTGATGAATTGATGCCACCGCAAAGTCCTTTGTCAGATGTGATTGGGACAATCAGAGTCTTATTGATCTTAAATGTCAATTGCTTCTTCTATAGATAAGTTTCTTGGGCAAATAAATCTTAGAGTGATCGGACTCCGAAGTACTTTCCATTTTCTAATCTTTGGACATCTTGCTTCATCTTGGATGCAGCAACCATCTTCATGGCCTTGGTAATCTTTCTAATTGATCCCACAGACTTCATTCTCTGTTTCAGTTATTTCAGATTCAATGTGGCGAATGCATACTGAGGTACTGGAGTAAAGCTGCTCCATAAACTGAGTGTGGCACCCTATAATCTCTGCATTTTTAATTAAATAAATAAATCTTTATCACAAAAGACTATATTATTTTAAATCTCAACCGTAATTAAAATTAAAGAATGCTCCACACTCTTCGCTCCATTCAAGCTCCTTTCACCCTTAATAATACTGCTCGTGCACTCTTCGCCAAATTTGTCAGAGACAAGCCCCATCTTAATGTTGGTACCATAGGACACATTGATCATGGTAAAACAACACTTACTTCTGCCATCACAAAAGTCTTGGCTAAATAATAGTAATTATAAAACATAAAGGAAATAGACTTGCTGAGTTCCAAGAATATGGTAAAATTGATAAGGCTCCTGAAGAGAAGGCTCGTGGTATCACCATCAATAGTGCTACAGTGGAATATCAAACCAAAACTAGACATTATGGGTAATAATTGATGCTATAATTAATCTCACAGTCATGTAGATTGTCCAGGACATATTGATTACGTCAAAAACATGATTACAGGAGCTGCCAAGATGGATGCTGCCATTTTGGTCGTGGCAGCCACAGATGGTTGCATGGCTTAAACACGTGAACATGTGCTTCTATGTCGTCAAGTTGGTGTGGAGACTATTATTGTGTTTGTGAATAAGATAGATTTAGCCAAAGATCCAGAAATCCATGAATTGGTAGAGATGGAAATCAGAGAACTTCTTAGCAAATATGAATATGATGGAGACAATGCAAAGATTGTTAAAGGATCAGCATTGCTTGCATCCAATGATCAAGAACCAGAATTAGGAGAAAAGTCTATTCTTCAATTACTTGATACCATGGACAAGGAAATCAAAATACCATAAAGACCAATTGATAAGCCATTCTTAATGTCAATAGAAGGCACATATCACATTGCTGGTAGAGGAACAGTTGTGACAGGAACTATCGATTAAGGTAAAGCATCAATCAAGGACAATATCGAGGTTGTCGGATATGGTAAGCCTAAGTAAACTGCAATTGTTGGTGTTGAAACCTTCAAAAAGCAACTTGATTTTGGAGAGGCTGGTGACAATGTCGGAATTTTAATCAGAGGTCTTACAAGAGATGATGTTAGAAGAGGATAAGTGTTATGCAAACCAGGATCCTTGACAACTCACAATTGCATTGAATCAAATCTTTACATCTTGAAGGAAGAAGAAGGAGGTCGTAAAAAACCATTCCCCAATGGTTATCGTCCATAAGTAAATGCAAATTCTTATTGATCTTAGATGTTCGTAAGAACTGCCGACGTTGCTGTTACATTGTAGTTACCAGAGAATATCAAAGTAGGTATGCCAGGAGATAACTTCACCTGCAAATTGAATCTCTCCTACAACTTGCCACTCTATCAAGGCCAAAGATTTGCACTCAGAGAAGGAGGAAAGACCGTGGCTGCAGGTGTTATTTCTAAAATCTTGCCAGATGAAGTTGCACCAACCTCAAAGAAATAAATCTTAGACAAACAAGAAGCAGCTGGTTTATTCTATCATTTATTATTATTTTAGAAAAAAAACAAAAGGAAGCTGATGATTCTAAAGCAGCAGCTGCAGCAAAAACAGCCGCAGCAGCAAAACCAGCAGCAGGAGCAAAACCAGCAGGAGGTGCTAAACCTGCCGCCAAAGCACCACCTAAGAAATGAGAATATATATAATAATAATATCAATATATGTATATAATATAAAATATATAATTAACTGAATTTATAATTATAGTTAAATAAATGCTAAGACTTGATTAACAATAATAAGTTACATCTCATCCCACCCCTCAATAACTGTATAATCAAGAGTTCGAATAACCCCACGAACCTGCTATGTATATGTCTTTAAGTAAACATAAATTCATTTTTTAGATTATCATAAGACTCATTAATAGATATATTCTTAAGCATCTTAGTTTAGTTAACATTCTAAATTATTTGATTTGAGAAAAAAATACCTTAAAAATAGAGAGGATACTCAAAGACGCTCAGTATCTCATCATAGTAGAATTCCTCCTAATAGGTCTCCTCCAAAGACTCAACAGACAAAAAAATAGTATTCGCCAAAACAAGAAAATTGTCCACTTTAATAAAAAAAGAAGACTCCTCCTGTTTCAAAAAATTTAGGTAGCAATTTGAGGAATATTCTTAAAACTAATTTTGCTCAATAACCTATCTACGAGGAAAATCCATAAAATGAAAACATTAGAAAAGAGTACTCTTAAATTGTTTAAATTCCTGAGGAATATTAATCTATCAATAGTTATACATTCTTAAAAACACTTGGGATTGGTGCAACTGCAGAAGTAAAAATGGCTAGGCATAAAGACTTAGAGATTGATGTAGCAATTAAAATATATGATAAAAAGAAAATGAACAATATGCATTTAAAAAATCTAGAAAGAGAAGTTGAAATCTTAAATTAGCTTAAACATCCAAACATAATTAACCTATATCATATGAATGATAATGAAAAGTCTATCTATTTAATTATGGAATATTCATCTCCAACAAATTTAGAAATGTTTATGAAGGGGAGACCATTTAAGAGAATAAATGAAGATGAAGCTAAAATTGTGTTTCGACAAATTTCAGATGCCGTATATTATATGCATGAGTAAGATATTTGTCACAGAGATCTAAAATTTGAGAATCTTTTAATTGATTATAATACTAGAAAAATTAAACTCATTGATTTTGGATACTCAATCAAAGTTAATGGGAAATAAACATGTTCATGTGGAACTCCATAATACATGGCTCCTGAATTAGTTAAGAAAGGATCTTATGATCAATCTGTAGATATTTGGGCTTGTGGAGTAATACTTTTTAAAATGGTAACAGGAGTGTTTCCTTTTAGAGGAAATTCAGAAAAGGACTTAAATAAGAAAATTTGTTTAGGCAAAATAGAGTATCCATCATTTGTTTCCTTTTAAGCCAAATAATTAATATCTGGCATGCTAAAAGTAGATCCAAAGGAAAGATTAACCATGCAAGAAGTATAATAAAGTTAATGGTTATAATGAATATTTAATCATTATTTTGTTATTTCGTTTCTAATTACAAATCTCTTGTTCTCATTAAATTTCATTATAGTTAATTTCAATTCTTTATCTTTTTCTTTCAATTATCTTTCTCTGATCTCAACATCCATTGTCAACTGTTTTCTTTCCCTCTCCAATTCTTTCAATTTCGATTAGTTAATTGAATTCTTTTATTCTATCTCTTAAACTAAATCATGCAGCTAACTTTCTAAGATTTCAACATCATCTTTGCTAATAAGTTTCTTCTTCTTCTTCTTATTGTATTCTAATACTCTGTTGTCAATCCATCTTAACTTCTCAACTTATTTATAACAATTATTATGGTTCTATTTGGATTGATTTTCTAATTGTCTTAATTATTCTTATAACTATTTAGTTTTTTGTTTCTCCTATTTCAGAATATTCAATTTGTCGATTTTCTTAAAAAATAATGGTAATATTTACTAATTTTTCATCCTATTCATTAATTCCAAGTTGATTTAATGCCTATTGTTATTGATTATGTATTTTCTTTATGGAATTGTTTTCATCTCGTAAGATCCTTTCCAATTCTAGTAAGTACTTCAACTTATCTTCTAGTTTGGTTATTTCTTTGTCTTCCAAACTAATTTACAATCTTCGCTAATTAATTTCTATTTGATTTTAGAGTGATTTTATTTCAATCATCTAATCTTTTATAATGTTCTCTTAATCTTGTATTTCTTAAGACTTTACTGGAACTTATTTCTTTTATGATTACTCTTTATTAATGATTTCATCAAACTTTTGAGCTATATCTAAGATTTGTTATTTTAAATCAGCAATATGGGCCATAGATTATTTCTTAGGTGTTCTTGTCTATAGAATTACGAGCTGCTTTGTATTTTATTAAGTTGTTAAGCTTCGTTATCGAACTTAAATTTATTTTATAGGAGATTGTATTTATTATTATTAAGCATCAGTATTATTTTCATTGACTTGGTATTTAATATACTGTACTTTCATTATATTCTAGAGTTGTCTAACAAGCTATATCTCTTTCTTCAATCATAACTATAATTTATTTATAATAATTTATAAATTGAAGAATACTGACATCTAGCAAATATACAAGTAGAAATCTCATCATTATTATAGTAATATATATATATTATAATCTCATTTAATATTCTTGCATTTTAGAGCTATTTCTAGCAATTTAAGTTGTTTCTGCTTTTCCTTATTTTCCTGTATTGAAGGTGTTTTCCTGTTAAATAGATCATATGTGTATGCATTATCTCTAGCCTAATTTAAATTACTAATAGTTTGTTATAATTAAGCCTTAGTTGATTTAACTGTTTTAGGAGTATAGATGGCTTGTTTGCTATCTTTTAAATTATTATTGCTAAATATTCTATTAATTTAGATGAAATGTTTAGTTTGTTGCTCCTATTGATCTTTATTTCCAATAAATTCATCTGTTTTATAATGTTGTTTCTTATATCTTTATTATTAAATGATGAATTTCGGAAATTTAAACTTTGTTTGTGTTTGGCTTTTGGATTCCACATTACCATTCTATTGTATTTAATTACATTGTGATCTTTCACTGTTCATCTTTTATGTTTATTAGATATCAGTTAATGGCTGTAAGTACCTTTTTGATTTTGGTATTGATTGATAATTGTCTTTGATATCGAGTTGAAGCTTGAACTTATTTTTCTTCAGCTCTTATTATTGCTTTTATTTTTCTATAAGCTACTATTACTGCTTGATGAACCTGTCATCATTTGGATCAAATGCTCTATGAGTCTCATATTTGTATTGTTCATTTATTGATAGAAACTCCATCACTTTTTTCAACTCTTCAATTGTACTATTTTATTTTTTCTACATCTTGTACTTTACATATTGGGATGAATTCTCTTTGTCAGTAAAGAGATCTAAAATACATTTCAATAAAGACTTGATTTTGAAGTGAGCAACTTCTCGGAATCTTCTTTTTTTTAACATAAACTATAACTACGAAGATTTTAATGCAAGGGAACTTTATCTATTTTCTCTTCCTTCTATCTTTAAAACTTCATTCTATCTAATTAATCGGCATCATCTATCCATCCTGAGATTTCCTATTCCATCATTAAACAAATAAAATTAGTTGTTAATAAATAAATTTATTATCTATTATAATTCTTAAGTATATATAGAAATTAAAGAAATTCAACACTGGGTTGGTGATGTTAATAATCTTAGAAATGTACGGTCGACATTACAACGCTCATTCATAGAGTTGTAAAATTACCTCAGAAGCAATAAATCAAGAAAAATAAAAGCTGAGAACAAAATTAATTAATTAATTAACAATAGTACTTTGAGTATTAAGTATTATTTGTAATTAGCTCCATTATCGAACTTCAACAAAAAATATATTTTGGAAATGAAAAGAATGAATAATTTTAGGATTAATTAGAGAGTGCTTTTACCTCCTTATTTTTATTGATAAATTTAATTTGCGATAAATATATAAGTGATGAAAAAATCAACAACATCATGTAACAATATCAATCTGTTTCACTTTTGTCCTATCCACTAGAGATTCGTATTTAATATAAAATTTATTAATATATATAGTAAAAAATCTTTTGTTATTATAAAATTTGAAAATGTAAAAAGGAAGTGCAATTTTTGTAAAGGTAAGTTCTTAAGAGAAAATCTACTCATAGAAGTTTTTTCTTGTATGTATTTGATACATAATATTAATACAAATAAGTATTTATAAAATAAACACAAAAGCATCAAAATTGCAATTTATTCGCAATTTAGAATCTTCATTTCTACTTTAAAGCACATTATTAGTTTGATTTTTTTAGTATGGATTTTGCAGGCAATACAGCGTACTGCTATTGTTTTTTGAAACTCTCATGGTATTTAAAGTTGACCTTCGTCAATTCAACGTTTGAAAGTTAAGAAAGGGTTTCCTTAAACTGCAACACTTCTTCTGTAGGATCATAAACGCAAACAATCACGCAGTTTTGGAAATCAATCGAGTAACTTTTGCCCTTAATTATCTATCTTCCCTTAGTGTCATACCTTTATTTCGATTCTAAAGATTGTTGTTATTTGTTAATATCGATAAACGGCTCTTCTGGGATAAGATCATCACTATGTCCTTTATGTATATTAATTTAGAGTTATAATTTTGGACCAAGACTTGATTTATTCATTTATTTTTAATTTTTAGATTTTTAATAGGTACTACAAGCAATTTACTACTTAATGTGTCAACATTAATGTCAATACCAGTTTTAAGGATAGAGGGAACATTTTAGACAAAAAATTTAGATAAGATTATAGCAAAAAAACTGAAAAACTTAAGTTTAAAATTCCGAAAGAAGTTCAAATAATTTAAAGTGGTTTTTTAATAAAAATAAAACTGAATTCAATTATTATTATAAATAATTTATGGGTAGTACATGCAAAAATATTTGTAAACCATAATTAGCAGAAAAAGAATTAAATATTAATGTTGTGAAAAAAGTAAAGTCAAAAAAGTAACAACAACAACAACATTCAAATGGAGATTCAAAAACTGATCCGTATTGCTCATCCTAGTTATTGATAAAGGAGGAATCAATTGGAGATGAGTCTAAAATTAGTCAAACTTTAAAGGATCAGCCACAATTCGTTAAGACAAAGTAAATCAATAGTATTGCTGTTCCAACTGATAGAAAAAATCGATTTCTAAATGATTAAGAGTAAGAAGTCAAGTATTTGATCAAGCAAAAGTATGCAATAAAATTATTATGATAAGTTTGCTAAAAGAACAAGAAGAACTAAAACAACTGCAATCAGAGTTTGAAAAGTAAAAGTAATTACAATAAGAGGAAAGAGATAGATAAGAAAGAGAAATGGAGAAAACCTAATAAGAGCTTGAAAATCAATTTTCCTTCTAAAACTCATTTAAACAGACTTAGATCGAATAAACATATGTCTAATCCACCTCTAATCCTTATTTACCGAGGTAAACTTCTTAATTTGCACCTAAAAAGGCAGATTGCGACACTGTCTCTCAAAAATCTCAAATTTCCAAAACGCCAACAATACCTTTAAAAGATCAATAAGTTTCGCCCAAAAGTGATATGATGAGAAAAAGTGCTTTAAAAAAGAGTAAGTAAAGCAAAGAAGAAGTAGCAAGTAATAATGCAAGTATTGGTACTCCTAAAAATGAGATAAAAAAGAAATAATAATAAGATACCTTTGACAAAATGTTTAGTGAATGCTCTTTTGATGAACGAAGTTAGAGTGGAAGTCACAAAACAGTGAAGAGTGTGAAAAGCATATTAAAAAAAAATAGATCCTTTTCTTAAAGAAGCATTTCTATGGGAAAGAATTCTATTAAATCAAGTCATACAGTGTTTAAAATGAAATAAACGAAAAAAGTTCGATTTTCTAATGATACTAATTTTAATAATGAGAGAAAAGGAGTTCCAAAACTAAAGAGAAATTGGTGGGAATTCTGAAATTCGATCGTTAATTACCAATTAAACTTACTTTAAACTTTGATACTAATGTTTTGTTATATATATTAATGTGTTAACTGTTTCATTAGTTATTTTATGTTAATTTTTATTTGATTACATTTTCTAAAGTTTCTAAATCTTAAGCAAACTTTCTGATTCCCTCATTTAATTTTTCAGTACCCATTGCATCCTCTATAAAATAATAATGTATCAGTATTACAATTCATCTCCCATCTATAAGTTTTTTCATCCACTGTGACTTTCTCAATATTCAACTTTTCCAAATTTTCCACTCTCAATTTTGGTTCCAATACTGCTCCCTCTAATCCCTACAAATCATTGAGTAATTTGATAGGGATAGTCATTCTATCACATCCGCACAATTCAGTAGCCTCATCTACCAAGCGTAGAGATGCAGCCTAGAGTAATTAATAAATAAATACCATGACAATTGTATCATATTTGAATTTTTTAAAGCTATTCCAGATGCTAGTTACTAATTTAACACCAGGATGATTTTATTTAGTGTAATCTTCACCACTCTTATTTTTAGCATACCAATCTAAAATTCTACCTACAAATGGGGAAATCAATCTGACTCCTGCTTAAGCACAAGCCAAAGCTTGATGATAATTAAAAATGAGTGTCATATTGCATGATATTCCGTCTTTTTTCAATGCTTTTGCTGCTTGAATTCCTTCCCATGTACTTGCAATTTTAATAAGGATTCTATCCTTAGAAATGCCAGCTTATTCATAAAGGGAGATAATTCTCTTGGCCTTATCAATTGTTGCTTATTTATCGTAACTCAAACGAGCGTCTACTTCAGTGGAAACATAGCCAGGAACTAACTTAAGAATTTCTAATCCAAAATTGACACTCAATTGGTCAGTTACAAATCCAATAACAATTTTCTGTTCTTCTGGATTTAAGGTATTAAAATTGAATTATGGTAATTCTGGTTCAACTATTTCTTAATTTTCAGGTTCATCCTTCTTTTTTCTAGAATTTGTTCTTTTTGGTTATTTTTAACTAAAGGTTAATAAAAGAGTTCATACACTGGTTGTTTGGAGAGTTGATAGGCTTTGATTCCTTTTTGGATAGCATCGTCAATCAAGGCTTGATATTCTGGTAATTTGGCTGCTTCAAGAATTAGACTTGGATTGGTGGTGGCATCTTGAGGTTAGAATTTTTAGATGTCATTGATCTTGCCTGTGTCAGCTACTACCACAGTATGCTAGGATGAGTATGGAATCATAAATACTTCTCTTAGAGAATTAAGAGCATTTGGATTTGATTTAACTTTCTTGGATGGTGAGGAACCATCATGTTATACTTCAGCAGCGTCCATAATTAAATAATAATACTTTAACACATTTTAAGTATTTTGAGTGGAATTTATACTAAATTATATTTAATAAAATCGCGCCTAAAATATGAGTGCAGAAAATGAAATTCAAGAAGAGAGAAATAATGAGGAGTAGTATCGAAATTGGAAGTAGAACATCCCATTTATGTATGAAATTTGCATCAACCACCAAAACAATTGGCCATCCTTAACAGTTTGCTGGTTGAATGAACTTGAGATGTCTTTTGCATTATTATCTTAGTGATCAAAATGACAATGAAATACATAGATTGATCGTGGCCACTCAGACCAATAATTAAGAGTAGGATTATATCAAATTGCTTAAAGTTGCTATCCCTAAGAAACTAGATGAATAATTAGATAACACATTGCTAAATAACATTTGTACTTATAAATTACTATTCGAAGGGAAAACATAAGCAGTAGGAAAGGTATAAGAGGAATTGCAAATTCCAGTAGAAGTTGAAATTAATCGAGTTCGATAATAACCTAATAATCAATACATATTAGCAGCATAAGCCGGAGATGGTGAAGTTGGTATCAATCTAATAGATGCACTTAGGTATTTACGATTTAAGTAAATAATCAAAAGTATTCGCATTGAAAGGATAGGAGAAAGAGGGTTACGGGTTGTCTTGGAATCTTACGAATTCTGGTTAATTATTATCTGCTAGTTATGATCATAACATATATTATTGGGATACCAATACAGGATAATTGATAAAGTAATACAATTTTCATTCAGCTGAAGTTGAAGATGTATGTTGGCATCCTCAAGATCCAAATATTTTCATTTCTTGTTCCGATGATAAAACATTTGCTATGTAAAATCACTTTACTATTATAATCTAGTTGTGATATTCGAACAAATCAAGGAGTTACAATAAAATAAGAAGCACATTCATAAGAAGTCAACTGTGCTCAATTCAATAATTTCTAATCTAATTTATTTGCCACCGGGTCTAATGATGCTCAAGTTAAAATGTTTGATATGAATAAACCAGAAGAGGATATTCATACATTTTCAAATCATGAAGATGCCATTTATAGTCTCTAATGGTCTCCTCATTAAAGAAATTTGCTTGCATCTGGTTCTGTTGATACTAAAATTGTTGTGTGGGACTATTATAAAATTGGAAATGAAATTAAGGCTGAAGATGAAAAAGATGGTCCATCAGAATTATTGGTAGATATTTGTAAAATATTATTAGTTTTATCATGGAGGACATAGATCTAAAGTTAATGATTTATCTTGGAATGTAAATCATAAACATTTGTTTGCCAGTGTTGAATAAGAGAAAAACATACTCTAAATCTGGAAGATTCAGCAATAATTATGGGAAGAAGATGAAAATGATGAATATATCCAATCTCTAGTCTGAAGATATGTTATTTATAAATTATAAATAAATTATTAAAGAATTATATAATCATATGGAAATTCTATTTCTACTAATAGATTTGCTTAATAATTAATTTAATGTCAAAGTTCTTATAACAATAAGATAATCAAAGCGAAAGTGACAGTGAAAAACAATTTAATTAATAAAACTGCTTTAACTCAAAGTTTTTTTAAGACCTAGATTTAGAAAGTGATGATGAAAAACAAATTAAAAATTAAGATAATTTCAAACAATTAAATTGCATCAATACAACATTCAAATAAGATAATTAAAATAGAAGTGAAGATGAAATATAGAATCACTATTAAATAATTGATAACATCCATAATCAATCTTAAGCTATAAATATTTTAGATACATAACAAATAGATTAGGCTAATGAAAATTTAAAGAGAAGTGAAAAAAAAAGAAAAAAGATATAAACAAAAAACTAAATCTAAAAAGTCTAATAAGAATCTATAAACGAAGGGGCTAAAAAAACAAAAAAAATATAACTTGCTGCTTAATTGGCTTTAAAAATGTAGGAATAAAGAAGAATAATTTAATAAGAATAGAATAGACTTAACTTAATTTAATAATAACAAGAGGAAGAAGATCGTCAAAGAGAAGAATAAATGAGAAATGAAATATAGAATCTATAAAACTGCTATAAGATTAGTTGTGATTGTTTCAGAAAACGTAGAAATCAGGAGAAAAAATAGAACAAATTTTAGGATGAATAAAATTGTTAATAATAGCAACAATAGTAATAATAATAATAATAATAAAAAAAAAAAGAATTTTACATTTGCTCAATTTTAGGAGATTTTGAATCAGGAAAAACAACCTTAATAAGAGGATTAATCGATTTTATGAAAAAGATGGGTTTTCAGGTGGAGCTTTTTGGTTACTCTTATGTCTGCAAACCAACTGAAAATAATAAAAATTTGTTCGATTAAATGCAATCCTACTTTCCTGTTAGTTTCGAGAACGAAACATTTATATTTTATGATCGACCTAATCAACAAAACAATTTACAAACTTTTCCAGACTGTGATATAGCAATAGTAATTATTGATCTCAAGTCAGGTTTGGAATCATAAAGCATTAAAGATATTGAATATCTGAAATTGCGTAAGATCCCTTTTATTATTGCTCTTAATAAGTTTGAGAGATGCCTTGAAAATAGAAATTTTCATTAATTATCATATCAAAAATTATAGGACTAAACAAAAAATAGTAATTGTATCTATAATAAACGATTGCAATCCATAATAAATTAATTAGCGTAACTAAAACTGAGTACTGTCCAATATTGGGAACAAGTAGAAGTAAATGCTAATGTCCCTTTAGTTCCTACTTCAGGAAATCTTGCAATGGGTTATGAAGATTTATTGGCTACTCTTGTAAGATATCTTCCTGTAAAATCAATATTCAACAATTAAATTAACTACCTAGTCTTAAACAATAAGGATATTGAATAAAATTAATCTATATTAGAGTGTTTGGTAATTGATGGTCATTTAAAAAGAGGAGATTACTTATTAATTGCAGATAACGGATACCCAATCTCTGTTAGAGTAAAGAATCTCCAAGTAATTCATTAAGAAATTAATAAAAAATATTTCGATAAAAATTGGGTTTCAGTTGAGGAGGTTAAAACAAACCTAGCATTTATTAGAGTCATAACGGATAAATTATAATCAGTTTACTTAGGTTGTCAATTTAAGATTGCTAATTCAGATGAAGAGGTTTAAGAAGCTTAAGAGTATATTAGAAATTAGTTGATAAATTCTTTGTCAAATTTTTAACTAGATAAAGAAGGTATAGGAGTTTTTGCTGAAGATGAAGCTTCACTTCTTTTACTAATGCAATATTTATAATAAAATAATATTTAAATTTGCTTTTCTAATATTGGAATAGTTTCATAAGATCTAATTTTAAAGTTTATTTATAAGTACTAGCAACAGAAGGTTAATCAAAAGTAAAAATCATATCTACTTTATTAGATTTGCATGTATTTTAGCTTATGGAATTGATATTCAACAGGATATTTTAGAGATTGCCAAATCCCATTAAATATAAATAATTTCGGATGATAATTGTTTATCTTTGATAAGCAATTACTAAAGGTACGTCAAACATTTAATTGAAGATATAAAAGAGCAGTTGAAAGATACAACAATATTTCCTTGTCTACTAAATGTAAATATGTTCAATAGCTTAGGTTACGGAAATAATTTAAATGTCAGATCCAATGATATTAATTAGTTTTAATGGCAATTTTTGAGCATGCCACAGCTTGCAAGCATAGTAAATATTTGGTTTATTGAAAGATTTCAAGAAAAGATATAGATATTGTTAAAGAATATTATAGAGAAGACTTCACTATATAAGATTGGCAGATGGTTAGGGAATTAAAATCGTATTTTTCAATAGTTTGAAAATATTTTATCATATATATTTAAAGCTTTCCTTTATAGAGAGCAATATGTACTATTTTCTAATTTCTTTCTAATAGTGATTTAGGATTATATAAATATTCTTATTCAGTTGTTTGAACCTTCACTTAATGTAATATCATACTTTTACATTGTTTTTTATTAAAGAGTAAAGAAATTTTCAATTAGATACAATTAGACACACAATTATTTAATTGGGAATCATTATAAATCAATTGTTAAATTGTAATAATTTATTATTATTATTTGCAGCAATCACAATGCAAAAATGTAATATTACTATTTCATTTAATTTTAGTATCCAAATATAATTCTCTGATTATTAGCAATTCGTCCACTCTGAAATTCTCTATTTGTATTTAAATTTTATGTTCTATAATCATTTCAATTACATTGATATTGCATTGTTCACTGTCATACTTCAACAGTTTGGTATGGTATTTAGTTATGAAAATAAAATGATAAGTATAATATATTAAACAAATGCAAAAGGTATATAGAAGGAACAGTGGATATTCATCATGCTCTGATTAAGAACAAGAGGATTTTCTTTCTCAACCATAGTTATAATACATGTCTCAAATTTAACAAGCCAATTGGCAGATTAATGAAAATATAGTATAATCACTTTTAAGTGAATAAAAAGCAATATCTTTAGAAGAATAAGTGGAAGAGCAAACTGTTGTAACAATTGATTAGGAAATTACGGATCCAGATGCACTTCAGGTTGAATTATTGAATAGTGTTCATTTAAACGTTCTCCCTCGTTAGAAAGCAATGTAAATCCAAGAATATTCACAACTCTTGCCAGTTGTTTTGCAGATTTAATCCTTGAAATCACAAATGAAGAAATAAAGAGCCAATATTGATTTGATGTGTGTTGTCGATGTAAGTGGATCTATGGACGGAGAGAAGATTAAGTTAGTGCAGAACTCTTTGAGATACATCCAAAAGATATTGAAGCCAACTGATAGATTAGCATTGGTTAGCTTTGGTACTTAAGCAGGCATAAATTTATCATGGACAAGAAATATAGCAGAAAATAAAAAAATCATAAAGAGAGCAATAAAAGATATTAAAATTAGAGATTCAACTAATATAGCATCAGGTGTTGCATTGGGTTTGAGGATGATTAGAGATAGGAAGTACAAGAATCCAGTTACAAGTATGTTTGTGTTAAGCGATGGTGTTGATGATGATAGAGGTGCTGATTTGAGATGTTAATAAGCATTGCATTAATATAATATTTAAGATACTTTAACAATAAACACTTTTGGTTATGGTTCAGATCATGATGCCAAAGTGATGAATAACATTGCAAATTTGAAAGGAGGATAGTTTGTGTATATTGATAATATCTAAAGAGTCTCTGAGCATTTCATATTGGCTATGAGTGGAATGTTATCAGTCAAAGCCAAGAATGTTGTTTTGACTGTCAAATAAATGAATAATGTGTTCAAATTAGCTAAAATATTTGGAGATGATTTTCTGTGGAACAAAAGTAGTGAAACTGAATATCAATTGACTTTGAATTACTTAGTGGATGAAGACAAAAAGGAATTTGCTTTAGAAATAGAAATACCAGGTTTTAAACAACAAGAACTCGTTTTGGAGAACATCCTGTAAGTTGATCTATAAGGTGTGTTTATTGGGTTGAATACTGCTTTTAAGAAGACTTCTAAGTTGGAATTAGAATTCTCAAAAACAGAAGTGTAGTATTAACCAATTGAATTGGTGGAAGTGAATTATTTAAGAGCCAAGGCTGGTGATAGAATAGGCTAGGCAAAGGGATTAGCAAATAGCAAAAAATATGATTAGGCAATTTAATTACTGAATTAAGTGATTGATGAAATTGAGAATTCCTTATTCAAAGAGAATAAACAATTAGTCGTTGTTTTGAAAGATTTGAATGATATCAAGTAGATATGTAAGCCACAAACATATGAGAGAGATGGTGAAGCCATGATGTTATACAAATAGAAGAATCATATTTAAAGATAGAGATCTATAAGTATTAATATTTCACTATTACTTAGATAATTCCGATGAGTGGTGCGAAGATGAGGAGGAATAAATGAATCAATTTAAAAATGGAAATTTAAATTTGAGTGCAAGTTACAGTGGTGGTAGCTGCTAAAGTATTGGAAGAGTGCAAAATGTTTAGATTAAAAATGATAGTCAATCTGATGGTGGTTATGAATAAAACATTGAGCCAAATGAAAATGAGGATGAATAAGAAGTTAAGTCGAGTCCAAAGATTTTGTAGAGAAGAGCATCAAGAAGTGTAAGTTCCAATGATAGTCGTAAATAGAAAAACTCGAGGGGGTCTTCTATTGGTTGATATTAAATTCATTTATCATTAAATAATCTATTCATAAATTAAAGTTAGATTTATATAGGAAATATAGGATGTTCTGATATTGTAAATCTAGTAATAGAATATAAACTAGACAAAAACAAGGTTTGATATAAATGATTATTTATTTTAATATTACTCATTTTTAACCTTTTTTTTACAGCTTTTCTTGTACTTCTTAAAGAGTTAAATTTTCTATTTCCTCATAAAAGGTATTGAAGTCATAGTTAATGTCTTTAAATTCCTCATATGGATTCTAGCATATTAAAAGGTAAAGAAGGAGCAAATTAATTTCTGTTTCTTTGCTGTTTAGATTTTTAATAATTTTCAAGTTCTCAACAATGATGTCTCTATAGAGCATATGGAAGGTGTCATTTGCTTCAAAGTTATTGTTTTGAATTGATAGGAAATTCTTGATCAAACTCAAAACGGCACCAGTTGCTTTTCCATTCACGAATTCTTCTTATTGAACAATATTGCACTTCTTTGAGATTTCAGTGTAGAAATCCAATGAATGCTTCATATCCATAGAAATTAATGATATTAATTTTTGGTATTCCTATTCAGTAAAATGAGAAGATATACTTAGGATGCTAAAAATCTGCCCCAAGTTTCCTTATCGAATTTATCATGATCCTTTCTCTATAATTATTGATTGACTCTTTCAAGATGAACCATTTGATTTTTGGCAATCAAATAAATTAATCTGAAATAATTGTCATTTGCTAGCTATAATTTCGTTTATAATTTAATAATTTTTTGAATAACAAAGTTAAAGAAGAAAGCTATATTTCTTTCAAATAGAAAGTAATTATTGTATTTGAGCATAGCATCCCTTCTCTTCTTCTCGTTTTTGTAATTGCTCATTATGATATCAGCCTAAGATTTGTATACAAAAAAAGTACATTGGAATCGGAATCAAATTGACTTGAAAACTTAGCTGATTGAGATCTAGCTTCAGCAGAAGCTTCTAAAGTTTATTGATTAGAGTTTTCTAGAGTATTGATAGGATTTTTAGCCAAATACCCAACAACTAAGTTTTGATCAATATATAATTTATTAAGACTTATGGATTTGGAAATTTCATCTTTATAAATGAAGATTATTGCTACCTTTTTCTTTCAGGATATTTTTCATATTCTCTTTGATAGTTTCCTCGTCAATTTTTATTGTAGGATCTTCAAAAACACCTTCCCAAGAAATTCTGTCCTTCTCTTAAACTCTCAACATTAGGGTTATAAGTTCTTTGATTTTCTGAGATCTTACTGGCTTGGGTGGAAATTTTAATGACTTATTGTTGATAAATTGAATAGGTTACTTGTTTTTTAATGTTTTCAAGTAGTGAGTAGGCATTTTCGGCTGACCAGGGAGTTCTGCCATAAAGAAGTTCATAAAACATAACTCCAACAGACCAGACATCACATTTTGCTGAGAATGGTTGACCTTCAAGAATTTGGGGAGCCATATAAAGAGGCGAACCTAATCTTGAGAGATATGCAGGATCTAAACAAAAATTGAATTGATAAAAATACCATTCATTTCTGAATCCATCACACGTGCAAAACCAAAGTCAGTAATTTTAGCCACTCCTTAGTGAAGTAGAATGTTAGCAGGTTTAATGTCTCTGTGAATAATCTTCTGTTTGTACAATCTCTTAAATCCTTCGACAATGTGTTTGATAAAGATCACAGCTTCAAGCTTATAAAATTATGAATGAGAGTTACCTCGCTTAATCTTTTTTCTTCCTTTTTGGCCATGTAATCTTTGAGATCACCGTCAGCACAATACTCAAGAAACATGTACAAATAGTTATTAGTACGAGCCACATCGTACAACCTCACTATATTTGGATGATTGATTTTTTGGAGGATAGCTATTTCTCTTTTGATCAACTCAATCATTTTTGGAGTGTCTGAAATAGTCTAATATAGTTAACTTTTCACAAAAATACTGCTATTTTTATGGTTTTTACAGCCACTTGTTTAGTTTCGTCTTCTTAATAAAAGCCTCTATAGACAATTCCATACGCTCCTTGGCCCAAAGTTTTGTTCACTACCACATACTTGTCTACTTTCTTGGTTGTCCAATCTTCATTCATCTTTTTCAAGATATAAAATAATAATTAAGAAATAGATATATTGAAACAAATGATTTTTTTATATGCAAATCATTTGCTTATTTGAATTAGATATTTAATTGATTTGTTATTCAGAGAAATTCAAGACCCAAACCCATAGCAACGTTGTCCAACTCCACTTCCTTTTAATTCAATTATTTATTTTTGTTAATTAAATATTAACAAATGTTAATATTTTTTTTAACTTTGCTCAACTCACTCCTAGCTCAAGAACAAGCCTCCTTGCCTGCTCCAACCTTGTCCTACTTGAAGGGGAGTGAGTTCCAACAATTGATGGAAACATTAATTGGAAAACAATATGGATATACTAAGGCTTAGTTGGCAGAGATGGGAGGTCAGAGTGTTGCAGAATACATCCTCTACCTATCAAGAATAGATGTGCCACTAAAGAGAGTTATTTTTATTATTGGATAGGATTTCTCAGGATCCTCATTTCAAAACGGATATTTCGGATTGGCAGCTGCTCGATATTTGGCTTAGAGAAAAGTAGAAGTAGATGTGGTGCTTTTGTATCCCAATGATCCATTAAGGAGTAGATTGGCAATGCAATGCAAATCACATTCAGCAATGTTGCATTTTGACATACTTCAAAACCTTTAAGAACAATTGAATGTTTAAATGACCAAGAACATTCTGGCCAATTGGTTGAACGATTACGATCTAGTTGTTGATGCCATCTCGCTCAGTTCAATTGAGTAACCAAAAACTCCTGTGAGAGAATTTATGCATGCCTTTTCAGAAGTCAACAAAAAAGTACTCGCCATTAATCTGCCTGTTGGATGGCATACTGACAATGGAAATCTGTATAATGTCTACGTGCCACAATTTGTGATCTCCATGGGATTGCCTTTGAAAGGCATAAAAGAATTTGATGGGTAACATGCCATCGGTGGCAGATACATACCTTAAACAAACACTTTCAATTACGTTCTGCCCAAATACAAAATTGAAGACAGTTTCCATTTACTATAAAAGTGAATTTTATATAAATTAATTTGTCATGTTCTAAAAATTTGGATAACAACTCAAACCTATAATCAATCGATCATCTTCTGAAAACAGAAAAGAATAATCAATAACTAAACCGAATTACCATTTTACATAAAAAAGAGACAGAAGTGAATCCAAAGTACAATAATCTTCAGTTGAAGATTAAAATCAGAATAGTTTAAAACAGCAATCGAATTCGAACTAGGCTGTTCCAGCACAAAGATTGACAGTGAAGTTGCCAGACTTAAAAGGCTATTAGAAGTAAATGGAAAAATCAACATCAGGAGCTGATCTAACTAAAAAGCCTCCTCTCCTAAAGAATAGACTTATATTAGATTCTAAAACAAAATAGCAGTTATAAGGATAATAGACTTCATTAACTCAGACTCTTCCCATTAAGAGTTAAAGAGAAGAGAGTTAGACAACCTCATAATAAGCAAAGAATAAAATGAAGATTACTCATTGTAGTTAATCCAGAGCAGGCTTTGATGGAATATAAGAGAAAACAAATCAAGATAGAGAGTTATGTTTACAATTGGATGATAATAATTATGGTTTTGCAGTGATGGATGGACATGGGATGGATGGAGAATATGTGAGTTCGTTTATTAAAGAGTTGTTAAAATGTATAAAAATGTTATGTATGTAGATAATTTAACTAAATTTTATAAGGTATTTGATTTTCAGAAGGTATTCTTTGAGATGCATCAGAAGATGAAATTTTAGACAGAATTTGGCTGTCAATTTTCAGGGACTACTTTGACGGTAATATTGATAAGAGAAAATACTATTCATTGTGCATGGGTAGGAGATAGTAGAGCAATACTAGTCAAAAGAAACAGCAATACCAATAATTTAAATGTAGTTGAATTGTCAATAGATCATAAACCACATTTGGAGAATGAAAGAATGAGAATAGAGTAGAATGGAGGAGTAGTTGATACATATCATTTACCTAATGGAGCACCTATAGGACCATCTAGAGTATGGGCCAGAGGAGCATAATTCCCTGGATTGGCAATGAGCAGGAGTTTGGGAGATACTGTTGCTGCAGCTATAGGAGTGTCTCAAACACCTGATGTCAAATCAGTAGAGATTGACAATAAGGAGGATATATTTATAGTTTTAGGATCTGATGGAATATGGGAGTTTTTGGAGAATTAGAGTGTATTTTGAGTTTAATAATCAAGATTGCTGAGATGGTGTACCCGTATTATCAGAAGAATGATGCTTAGGGAGCATGTTAGAAGATAATCTAAGAAGCAGTGGCTGGATGGAAAGCTCATAGTGAGGGAATAGATGACATTACTGCAGTTGTTATATTCTTTTAAAATGAATTGTGATAATGTTAGAAATCATAATTTAGCATTCACTTCTCTCATTTTTTTAATGTAGTTAATGCCATCGTGCACTTGTTATTTATTTAATGAATTTTCTTGTGAAGCGAAATTGTACATGTTCATATAAACATCCCCTTCTTTTGGAGCTATCAAACTTTACAATGAATTATCTGACAATCCTTGTGCTTCCACTAAACATAAAGCATTTGATCTGATGATTGGGTATAGTGATTCCCTCGTATCTTACAGTGTTTTAATTTATTAGCTGTTAAGTTGATTTTCTATTTCTTAATTATATTATATTACTTAATAATAATCCTTACATATTATTCAATAGCATGGTAATACCATAGATTCTAGCTAAGACTGTGAGAATTTCCTTGGTTTCTTTTGCTTTGTTATTAATAGTATCTAAGAAACAAAGCATATTAAAGTAAGGAATGAATGTAGAGGCGGCTTTGGCTAATGCTATTCCAGATTTTGTGTCCCAACTCTCTTTCATATCAGTATGAGACATTAATTTTTAGGCAGCATATTTAGTCAGAATAGCACAATTCAAACCTAAAAGCGTAATTAAATTATCAATAGTTGTGACATCATCGACTTTTGCTGTTTCTAATGATAAGAACTTGAAGAATTCTGGGACTGCATTTGGTTTTGAGACAATGTGTTACAACTATTTAAGTAAGTATCTAGCTAATTATAAATTCAAGATAGTGTTTTCTCCTTCTAAAGTAATCTAAATAATATTAATATTTCGTACATTTGGAGACATTTCAAAGAAAATGATTGGCAATCCAGAATAATGGGCAAATCCATGTCCTCCACAACTCAATCTACACCATTCTGCACAATTCGATACGAAATATGTATAATTAGCCTTGGCTCCACTTAACACAGCATGAGTCAATCCAAGTAAACTGAAATCATTTGATTAAGAAATTCTATTGAAATTCTCATTTACTAATTCCTTTATTTTTATGCTTCCAAAAACACAAGCATAGAATTCTGCCAATAATGGGAATAACTTTTGTTATTAACATTAATAATCTAAGATTCTGATCTCCTATTTATTGTCATCTTTAAACTATTTTCTATACAACGAGTAACGAACTGCTATTGTTAATGCTCTGCCACCAAACTTTGTATATTGATCACACAGAATGTTTCTCATATACATCATACTTCCATATCCAACTTTTGGATTTCCTTATCTCTCCACCTTTCCATCTCTGCTGACTTTGATGTATCGATTTAATAAACTGTCCAATGGTGCTCGATAATGATCAAAACTCATGAACCCATTATCCTTAACTGCATAACCCATTTTTGGACCAATATCACCAATTTCAATACCTGATAATGGCTTATGAGTCTCCTTGTCTCTGATTCTAATCCAAAAGGGATGTACTCCATATCCTTTACCGTCTACTTGCAATTAAGCAAATACCAAAGCAAATTCACAATACAATCCCAATTCTCCTGGCCAAACTAAGTCTAAATTACTTAGAATTACATTTAGTAGCTTCTATATTTGGTGTGTGGATCACAAACTCTGAAGTTTACTTATCAAAGACAGCTATAGTCTACAAATTCTAAACATCAGAACCATGACCTAATTCTGTCTAAGCATAACATCCAATTGCACTAAAATTCTTTAAGGAAGTCATCCATTTTGTAATCTAATCATCAGATGCCAAGACTTAGAATGCAGGTATGACCATAGCAAAATGAACTGTGGATATGAAGATACCCTGTGGACACAACACATTTGGAGTGTAGTAATTTGGATCACCCAATGATAATTTCTTCATTGCTTCTACTGTTCTTTCAGCATTCAGGAGAATCTTAGTTATATACTATAATAAAAACTTGATCTTATCTTGATTTATTGTAGAAATCATGATTCACTTTGAACATAGGATTAGTATCAAAGAAGTGCTATCTCTCAAGAAACTTATCAAATTAATCTTTGCCACCGTAAAGTAAGTGTGACATCTCCAACTATGGGAATTATCCTTATTTTCTTTCACCCTCTAACATTGTATATTTTTATAATTATTTTATTTTTACTATGATGATGCACTTATCATGTAATTGTTATAAATAATACGCACGTAAATTTAATATTACATATTTCAATTATTTTCATAGTCTTCCTAAATAGAAATAGTTGCTTACTTCTAGTTCTTTTGATCTCGTCATCAACCAAACTATTAATTAGATTTATCATAACGGCCTCAATTTTATAATATAAAGGTTAAGAAAATCTCTCATTCATATTCAATTTTATACTTTATAAATATAATTTTAGTTCATAAGTCTTCTTGATTTCCAAGAATATTATCCATTAACTTCAAAATTAAAATTTAATTATAAGCAAAATTTACAACCCCTATTCTATTGTTTGCTTGTAAAACCTCTTTAATATTTCATATTTCTTCTAGTCCCTCTAATAGAATTCCATTTTAGTTAAAATAAATAATTACATGAGATATATAAATCTTGGATAGTAAATAATATTTTGAATTAGGTTAAAATGTTAATCAGATTTCATTCATATATTAATAGTATTTAAGGTATAAAATTTGATACAATGATTTCTCATAATCATCTACAAAACTTAAATAATAATTAGGCTTTGTCAGTGTTGATTATTAATGTAGATTTCTAATTTGTGTAATTTACTATTATACTAGTTAATTTATAATACAAATATTTATGATAATCAATTGCTAATTTCAAAAGTCTCCTTTTCACTATCATTTGTTTAGTCCTATTTTGAAATGACACCTGAATTTAACTTTTTTTTAAAGGCAATTTCATCAAATTCTTCTTCATTTTTAGATAATGTTAAGGTTTTTATAATAGAACTTTATTTAACTTTTTCTCTTTGCATTGTGAAGGATCTGGAGACACTGTAAAACTTCTGTTAGTCTAATGGTACAATGCTACCATTCCTTCTTTGATTTAACTATTCAGGAGATGAATTGATAAATTACTCATATTATAAGGACACTGGTCTCACATCAGGAAGCTTATCAAATTTAAATTTAGATTACTTATGAGATCCAAATCAAGAATGGGAGAATCTATTCAAGTTCTTTGTCTTGTTTGTCATAGAAGAAATCTTTAATTTGGAAACCATTATCTGGATTCAATGCAAATGACAATATTGAATTCTGAAAATCGATTAATGTATACTTACATCAACAATGACAATATCTTTGAAATCACGATCAAGTTTGTTTAAGTCTTTAGTCAGGCCTCCTTTGATGATAGTGCAACTCTCTCTAAATAACCTTTCGATTGCTTTTTTATCGGGATCAACAAAGTCCATAACTGGCATAGCATATTCCTTGAGACTTGCAGTCCATAAGATAATGTCATAAAAATTGCTTAGTTCATTAATAAATTGTTTGGCACCTGGCCGAACGAGGACANATACGCACGTAAATTTAATATTACATATTTCAATTATTTTCATAGTCTTCCTAAATAGAAATAGTTGCTTACTTCTAGTTCTTTTGATCTCGTCATCAACCAAACTATTAATTAGATTTATCATAACGGCCTCAATTTTATAATATAAAGGTTAAGAAAATCTCTCATTCATATTCAATTTTATACTTTATAAATATAATTTTAGTTCATAAGTCTTCTTGATTTCCAAGAATATTATCCATTAACTTCAAAATTAAAATTTAATTATAAGCAAAATTTACAACCCCTATTCTATTGTTTGCTTGTAAAACCTCTTTAATATTTCATATTTCTTCTAGTCCCTCTAATAGAATTCCATTTTAGTTAAAATAAATAATTACATGAGATATATAAATCTTGGATAGTAAATAATATTTTGAATTAGGTTAAAATGTTAATCAGATTTCATTCATATATTAATAGTATTTAAGGTATAAAATTTGATACAATGATTTCTCATAATCATCTACAAAACTTAAATAATAATTAGGCTTTGTCAGTGTTGATTATTAATGTAGATTTCTAATTTGTGTAATTTACTATTATACTAGTTAATTTATAATACAAATATTTATGATAATCAATTGCTAATTTCAAAAGTCTCCTTTTCACTATCATTTGTTTAGTCCTATTTTGAAATGACACCTGAATTTAACTTTTTTTTAAAGGCAATTTCATCAAATTCTTCTTCATTTTTAGATAATGTTAAGGTTTTTATAATAGAACTTTATTTAACTTTTTCTCTTTGCATTGTGAAGGATCTGGAGACACTGTAAAACTTCTGTTAGTCTAATGGTACAATGCTACCATTCCTTCTTTGATTTAACTATTCAGGAGATGAATTGATAAATTACTCATATTATAAGGACACTGGTCTCACATCAGGAAGCTTATCAAATTTAAATTTAGATTACTTATGAGATCCAAATCAAGAATGGGAGAATCTATTCAAGTTCTTTGTCTTGTTTGTCATAGAAGAAATCTTTAATTTGGAAACCATTATCTGGATTCAATGCAAATGACAATATTGAATTCTGAAAATCGATTAATGTATACTTACATCAACAATGACAATATCTTTGAAATCACGATCAAGTTTGTTTAAGTCTTTAGTCAGGCCTCCTTTGATGATAGTGCAACTCTCTCTAAATAACCTTTCGATTGCTTTTTTATCGGGATCAACAAAGTCCATAACTGGCATAGCATATTCCTTGAGACTTGCAGTCCATAAGATAATGTCATAAAAATTGCTTAGTTCATTAATAAATTGTTTGGCACCTGGCCGAACGAGGACAAAAACTTTGAAATTTTATGATTAAACGACAATCTTATATAAGTATAGAATGGTACATCCAAGCATAAATCGTAATTATCAATAGGTTGAAATTGGCTGTGTACTAATGTTTCATCTAAATCCAAGACAATTGTTTTCTTTTAACCTAACTGAGAATAAATTGTCTAATATTACAATAAAGGATGATTTGGGAGTATCAATTTCATGATGATATTGATTTTGAGATCCTCGTTTCTTTTTGCTTTTAAATATTTGTAAACAAGCACATAATCGAGAAAAGAGAGATCTTTGTTCTTCCTACTATTAGTATATGATTTAATTGTTTGACATTATAATATTTATAAAAATATTTTTTTGGTATGATTGTCATCAATTTATAAAGTCTGTCAACTATCTTCTGAGGAGGTGTCTACTTTATAGTCTTTTTTCATTGGAATCAACATAATCATCACTAATTAATTTGACTTAGATTTGTTTGTTAAAGGAGACTCTTTTAGGCGAGATAGCATTGGCCATTTGTGGAGAAGGAGTAGATTGTAGAGGTTCAAGAATAGTGTGCTTTTTGTTCCGAACTGGCAGAGGTTGTTCTTCGACTAATTCAAAGAAATCTAAGACGTCTGAGTGTTGACTACTGTTCGAATTTTTTCTTTTTAATATACTTTTAGGCTAATTATTTTGGGTTCCCAAATCTTCGAATTTGACTAATAGTCCTTTTTTTAAATTTGGTTATTCTGGATTTAGGGAGTATTTCTTATTCTTGATAATGGAATGATATGAGGATCTTGATGTTTGAGGTTCTTGAATTTGATCAATAAGACTATTTCTGGCAGACAATAATGCATCTGTTGCTCTACTTGTGTGTGGGATATTTTGGAGGGATTTAAACTATTGGTACACTTGGATTTCAGGTAAAAATTGAGTTTTAGGTTGCGGTTGAAGATTTCTATCCAAAGGTTTCAGATCAGAGTAATAGGAAGACTTATAAAGCATATTAAATTAATTAAATAATTTTGATTTTTTCAATTTACATTAAGAATAGGATCAAAGTCATTAATAATAAATTAATGTTCTGCAAGTCGGTTCTCCATATGGTTAAATTTATGGACTCTCTCTTTGTTGTAATTGAATTCATCATCAATCAATGTTGATAAAGTAACGAAAGCAAATTAGTTTGACTGAGATCTGTTTTATTTGCCAAACCATTAAGAACTCATCCGAAATGTTGGTACTTAAGGGAATTAGGTTTACAAATTAGCATCCTTGACTCTCTATTTCAACAATGGAGCTGATTGTTATTTCTATGATGTTCTTCTTGCAATATTTGATTTGGCATTTGTAATCACCTCATCGAATTTCAAAGGAGGTGAACATTGTCTTGTGAGTTTTCTTGATAATTTTAAAACTGATCGGACTCTTCCATTTTGAGATTGAAATTAATGTATGGTTTTTTGAGGACTAAAATCATATCTAACCTAAAATTGAATTGGACAAGGTTGTCTTAATAAAGTTTTCACGCGATTAGTTGCACATTCTCGAGATTTTATATAATTTTTTATCTTTTCTTATAGCATTAATTAATGCTTATCTGTATATTTATATATAATTAATGTTTCATGAATTTCTTCAGGAGTTGGGTCCTCTCAAAAACACAGAGCTCCCCTTTCCATTTAGAAATTAATTCAAAATCAAAGAAAACTTCATCAATCCAAATAGCAAACATTTCGACACAATCGCCCAGAAGTACATTAATCAATATTAAATATATGTAGATTACTCTCAGAAGAAAAAGCAAGTATCAAACGAAAATGGGATAAATAATGCAAAATGATGTTCATCTGGATATTGGGCAAGTTCTTCTAATTGAAAAATAAGAAAACCATCAACCCCACAGAAGATGAATGGAGACAATTATCTAGTATTCTTAAAATTGATGAATTTACTCTCAAATAACGATGGATAACCCTTATAAATCCAGTTTCTAAGAGTATTAATTGGGATCCAGAGGAGGATGAAATCATTCGATCACTTATGAAGTATACAATATACATATTTGTAATCAAGTGAATAGGATGAAAAGCATATTTGGACACACATCGCTCTTGAATTGTATAATTAAAACAATGGACAATACATCAGAACTCCAAAATAGGTCAGAGAAAGATGGATGAATTATTTAAATCCGAAGCTTAAAAAGTATTATGTCAATTTACCATTATCTTAGGACTAATTGGAACTAACAAGAAGATCTACAGCTATTGAATATGGTTGTTAAGAATGGCAAGAGATGGTCACTGATTTCCAGTCTTCTGGATGGCAGAACAGAAAATTAAGTCAAAAACAGGTAATCAAATTTCATATTTAAAACAGATTTAAAAGTCTCATTCAAAAAATCTACAAAGATGAAGACGATGATGATATTGAAGAATTGGAAGCTATAAAAGAGTATTTGAATAAACAAAATGTATAATAAGTCTAAGAACCACAGAAGGAAGAGTCTCAAATTAGAGTAACTTATTTAAGATAGGTTAAAACTAAAACCAATCCTTAATATTCTAATAAAATCGATGAAATGGAAGTGTTAACTAAAAGAAGAAAGAATATTAAAGATATATTACAAATTGGAGAATAGTAGCAAGTTAAGTCGTAGAAAGATTCATAAATAAAATCAAAGTAAAAAACAACAAAATTAAAAGTTGAAGAAAATATATAAGGTGTGTAAGCTGAGTAATTATAGTAATAGTAATAGTAATAAGAATAGTAATAGGAATAGTAATCATAATAATAAATATTATAATAATAACAATAATTATAATAATAATAATTCTAATTTGAATAATAATTAAAAATGCAGTAACAGTTTTAATCCTAGTTATTATGTGAGAATAATAAAAAAGATCTCTCAACTCCTAATACTTTGTATTATAACATTTAACCCTCCTTTTAAAAAATGGAGGACTTAAAAAATGATCAATTTTAATTTAAATAAGTCTAGCAATCTCCAATTCAATAACCTAATTAGTACCTATATCAAGGATTTCGTCCATATTAAGAGGATATGCAATAACAATTCTAACAAACCCCTATGTAGATGTTTATGGGTTAGTACTTAAAGAACTACTAATAAAATTACAATCTTGTTTCTCCTTTTCCACAAATTAACCAAACACCTATGGTATACACTCCTGCCTAAGCGATGTACATGTATAATAATAATAATCCTTATAATATGGGGGTATCACCTCTTTTGATTAGAAGTCCCTATCCTGAGAATTTGTCTCCCAATATTGCTCCCTAATAGCAGGCACCTTAGGCTTTTTGGTAAACCCCTCAATAAACAACGCTTGACTATTAGTTGAATGAATAAAAGTTCTCTTTGGTATAATTTCCATAATAAATTTAGAATAAATTAGAATTTCTATAGTCAAATAATTTGGTTGATAAATGGAAATAGAAAAGAATAAATGAAAAGTAAAATGCCTCATTTTTGGAACCCTTTTAATCACTTGATTAATGAATTAATTTTGTTTAATAATCTATTAACCATTAGATAATTTCAACGTCATTATTCTGTTTATCTATAGTAATTTAAATGTATATTTGTGTTCGTAATATCAAAATTCGATAGAACTTTATTATGTTAATTAATATTATATAATATTCAAATTATGGAAATTAATATCCCAACTAAAATAAATGTTCCTCTTATTTATTGTTTCTATTATAAAATGCTTATCAATGTTTCGGTATTTTAGTTATTGACTTGAAATTATTTCTAAAATAAGAAACTTTCTTAAGATTATTAAGAAGTGTATGAAAGAAAGAGTTTATGTTATTGTTCATATAATGTATTATTCTACAATTATTTACTTTTGTTTATGACTAATTTAATAGTTTAAACAAAAAGTAAATTATAAAAATTAATGACCATAAATTATTAAGATTCTTAATCATTAAATTATAAGTATCAAAAAAGAATTATTTGTTTTATACATGATCAATGTTTCCTTATTCTTTTACTTTGATTGTTAATCCTATTGATGAATTTATTCAAAGTATCTTAATCATCTTTACTTAAATAAGTAAATTCTTCATTCATTTCTTCAATTTTTTCCAGAAAATATTTGAGTTTTTATGAATGATCATGCTTTTCCAGTTTGTGATCATACTTTTTCTTGCTTTCCGACTGAGATAGTGTGTTATAGGCCTCATTAATCTCTTGGAATTGTGTAATAGCCTAAGCTCTGCAGTTTGTATTCTTATCCTAAATATAGATTAATTATATAACATACTGGATGCCATTTTAATGCTAATTTATGATATGCTTCCTTAATTTGTGGTTGTTGAGCATTCCTCTCTATTCCCAAGGTGATATAGTGATTCTTCATAATTATTAATCATTATCTGAAGACTAATACTTCAGAATTAATCATTATGGAAATTCTGGAACATAGTTATTAATAACTTAATATGATATTATTCATATTCAATCTTCCGTAGGGTTGCCCAAGACCTAAAAGTTCTTTCCTCTGAAATCTCCAGCCTATCCTCTAAGTTTAACATACTCTGCAAAGTCTCTTTAGTTAGCTGAGAAGGCACCAATGATTTGAGATACCAATTGTCTTTTCTGTTCTCTAATGTACAGTTATGAAATAATAAGTACCTCTTCTCTCTAGTTAATTAGTAATTGTAAGCCTTTTCTCTGCATTCACCTCCTCTATCTTCACTCTATTTGTTTTTAGCAGCCAATCTAGCATTATAGTCACTTAAATCTCTTTTTTAATCTTAGATTCTGTTATCCAAACCTAAGATGGCAGCAGTCAATTAAGCAAGAGCATTGTTCAAACTTGTCAAATCTTTATCGAAGTTTCCTTTCTCCAATACAAACATATTCAATCTCTTTTGTTCTGCTTTAGTTTCCAAAGCCTTGCTGTCTTCAATTTATTTAAGCATCAAATCACATAAATTAACAATTCTATTAACAGTTGGTGAATTCTAAAAGTCTTCAGCTTAAGCAGCATTGGCGATTTCAGCAAAAACATTGAACATCTTAGAATAACTCTTTTTGATTTCAAATTTCTCTAAAAATATAACAATCTATAATACTTGCTTATTCAGAAGCATTAATGAAGTAATCTCTAACTTTTTACCATTATGCTTCATTGTTCATTTGTAAGAAACTCTAATTTTTATCTGAAAACATTCTTCTAACTGTTTCAATAACGAATGTTGCATAATCGTGTTCTTCTACCTTTTTATCAAACTCAGCCTTCTCTGTTTCTCTCTTCTTTACCAAATCAGCTAATTTCTTTTCTGTTTCAACCTTCCATGCATTCTTGGCATCAGCCTAACCTTATTTGTATGATCTTAATGGCTCTAATTCATCCAAAATTGATTAGATTTCAACTGTTCTTCTTTCCAAGTTTGCACTCTCTTATTGCAGTACTTTAATGTCTTCAGTGCATTGATTCTAATATTCATTGTTGGCTTTGTCATCTTCCTTTTGCTCGTTCTCAATTGAGGTTTCTAGGTTTCTCATAATTTCAATGAAACGAGCTATTGGTTCACCTGTACTCATTTGCATTTAAAGAGTATCAATCAAAGTTCTACCAAATTCATCTTCATCAAATGCTCTGAATTGATCGAATTTGTCTGCAATAGCTAAGGCTATTAAGCAAAGCACCAAGATTTTCATTAATAAAATAATTAAAAACGAATTTCAAAGAGAAGTGACAATTATATAATTATTATTTAAAAAATGTCAATTATTGAAAATGAGGCAATCCTTAACGATTACATGATTAAGAATTTGTAGAAAGGTAAAGAGAGGGAGAATCATAGTGATTTCTATGATTACAACCCATTAACTTCAACATATTAATGTTATGGATGTCAAAGACACAAACCAAGATAAATCTCATTGGTATTGTCCAATCAAAAAGCTAAGAAGAAGAGGAGAACCTTGGAAACTTATAAAATGAATGATATCATTATAAAGCCGTGGCATCCTTTCTTGAGAGAATTTTAAAAAATATTCAAAAATTCAATTATTCCTCAACACAAACAACTAAACTATTAGGTAGAATATCATAAGCCAGATGTTGTATTATAATTTTATGAAGTTATTCGCAGATTACGAGAATAATTAGAGGATAATATAAAATCCATTTAAAAAGGGGATATTTCTGTTGCACCAATTCTGGAGACTTTGGCAATCTATTCAATTGATGAAATTGAAATCAATTATGAAACATTACATAATAGCACTAAGTCCATTCAGTAAGATTCCACTAAGAAATCACTAGCCAGTTCAAGTATTAGGTATTAGATGCAGGAGAAGAAGATCTAACATTACAAAGAGTAGTGGGAAATAGTTAAAGAGCAAGTGGAATTACTAGAACAGAATAATACCATAGGGTTGAAGTAGTAAATAGAAAATACAATCAAGGCCTAGAAGGAAATTCAGTACTTGAAAAGTGTTTTGAAGGAAACTTAAGATCATCTGATGATAATTGAAAGAGATAAGGAATTATTAACTAGAGAAAATTACTTTTTATTTCAATATGCCCAATTAGATAGACATTATTTGCTAATAAAAATTATGGAGGTATTGCAATAATTCTATGTAGTAATATCCTGTAGAATAATTGAAAGAAACAGATGTCTCCTATTTTGAAATTTATCTTAAGGAATAAGAGAAAGAATTAGCAAGGTTGAAATTAGAGAATACTAAATTAAAAATTCATTCGAATCAGTTGGAGAAGGAATCAGAAGTGATAAAAAAGGAATCTTTTTCGTAATTTTCTAATGAATTTTAAACTTAAGAATAAAAATGGAGTAATGAGAAGAATCATTTAGAGAAGACTCTAGAATAATTAAAATAAGAATTAGAGATCAGTTAGAGATTCGAAAAGGAATTGAGAATTCTAAATTAAACTATGCAAGAAGAACAAGATAAATTGAGAAAACAATTGTTTGACTATCAAACTGGTATGAATAATATTAGTCATCAACACTTAATCTAGAGATAATAAAACGATTAATTATTAAAATAGAACTAAGAACTTTAATTGACTATTTAACAATTAGAATAGTAGGCAATTGGAAATAGATAACAATTCAATAAGATGAATCCCAATGATTAAGCATAATAATTAGCGTTGATTATTCTCTCCAAAGAACGTCCCAATCAAGAATAAGTCAATTTACTTAGATAAGTATTTGGAGATTTCACAGATGAGATCATTAAAAATCAAGTAGAACAAAATTAGAACGAATAAGCTTAAAAACTAATTGAATAAATACAAGATTTAAGAAATTTCAAAGAAAAAGTAGAATCCTAAAATAGATTAACAAATAAATAGATGGATGAAATAAGAAAAGAATTAGAGTTTGCTTTTTAGATGAATGAATCTTAATAATCACAATCAAAAATAGGGAGGAAACTTAATTATGATATTTAAGATTCAACATCATATTTCTAATCACTTGTAAGAATAAATGAGATTTTGAACGGTCAAGAAGAAGATCTCTAAAAGTTTAATAGATTGAAGAGTCAATCTCCACTAATGATGAAATAGGAGATATCTTAACTTCATTGTCTGCTATTGTTGTAGGCATTATCTTTAGAGGAAATGATTGTGAATAGTGAATAGAACTAAGTTGAGGATTTCTCAGACTAAGAGATTAGGAGTTAAAATGGGAAAGAACAATAACCTTCAGAATTTTATCCAATTGATGAGGAAAGTTCTCAAAATGATTAAGATGAAGAAGTTGAGGAGAGTTCTATTCATTAGCCAGAACCATATTAGGAGTAGGAAAATTAAAGAAAGTGAATTCTCCTATGAGTTAATTTACCTTTTTGTTTTTATTAATTAATTTATTATGATGAGTTCAATTGATTTTTCAAAATGTTTATTACACAATGAAAACGGTATAATATTCGATACAGATTAACAACATCTAGAAAAGAAAATCTATTGCATAAAATGTTTGGCTTAGAATTATTAAAACTTAATTCCAATTGAGAACATTTTAGATTTCAAAAGGGAGCTTATTTAAATCTTGATTCAAGAATAAAAACACTAGAATGAAAATAATATATAGAAACTTGGTGAAATTATACAATCACAAAGTGACATTAAGTGTAATGTGGATAAAAATATAATTAATTTGAATGAACAAATTGAAACTATTCATAGAGATTCCACACTCCTTTTTAATCTAAATGTCGATGTTTAAGATGAAGAATCTTTTCAATCAATTTTCTATTAAGTTTAGCAACAATCCTAAAGAGCATTTTAAATCAAAGAATTGCTTAATCAACAATTAAAAAATTTAGAATAAGTCAAAGTCTATATTAGAGAGAAAATTACTGAAATTCAGTTTGAAAATTCTTAATAAGTCAAAGAAATGATTTAAAATTTATAATAATTGTCGAATGGATAATCAAAAAATAAAAATGTGAAATGTTAAGCCCATACACAAGATGGATTTATGATTGATTTGAATGAAAGTAGTGCAATCAAGGGTAGAATTGCTTGTTAGGATTGTATTTAGAATCAGAAGATATCTTTTACCAAACTAGAAGAATTTAATATATAATGCCAGAAACATTTAGAAACCAAAAAATCTATAATAGAATTAACTCAACCTGATTGTTTTTCATCAAAAATAAATCTAGCAATCGAAAAACTAAATGAACATATCACTAGAGTTCAGTAAAATTTATCTAATCTCCTCTCAGAACTTAAAGGTTTGAGTGATACGCATTTAGATGATCTCTCTAAAGAATAGAGTAGGAATATGAAGAATTTTAAAGATCTATCTTAAAGTGAACTCATAGAGCTGGCAGATGAAATAAGTAATAAATAGAGTCTTAAAGAATATGAAAAAAAGATAAAGTAATAAAATTAAACAAAAATAAGGAAATGTTAAGAAGCTTTAAATTAGACACATAATGATTAGCTTAAATTAATTCTTTAATTTTACTAAGAAGTTTATAAAATAGAATTGTGTAATAAGAACTAGAATATTGAGAGAATTCGAGGGAGCAATAGACTAAAAATATGTTCATGTACTATTCAATTGTAATTGAACAACAATAAAAGCACCCAGAGTAAAATACTTGATTAACATTGTAAGAATACATCATAAAAAATGACATATCAACAAATAAGTACTATTAAGTAAGAAAAATGGTGTTTCGCTATTTCTTTTTATCGTGATGGTTCTTAGATGGTAGTCAGTTCTAATCAATAAATTAAGGTGTTTAAAAATTAGAATGCATAATTTTCAGTGACTCAAACTATAAATCAAGGCCATACAGAAAATGTTTAATGTTTGAAGTTTATGAATCGTTCATAAAGATTCGTATCTGGTGGAAAAGATAAATAGATAATAGTATGGTCTTTAGACGATAAATAATAATATTTCTGTGAATAGAGATTAGTTGGTCATGGTTATGGAGTGACTTGCTTGGAATTTAATAAAGAAGAAAATCTTCTCATCTCAGGTAGTACTGATGATAAAGTTAGATTTTGGACTCTAAAAAATTAATGGGAGATGTCTGAGACCTATATTTAGCATAATTCCTAAGTACAAGCATTGAGCTTATCAGAAAATTAATAATTTTTGGTATCGTGTTCTATAGAAACTATTTTTGTGCATCATATAATTGATCGTTAGAATCTCAAATGTGAACATATATAAACAATCCCTTCATAGTTTCCTATCTATAGGATCAGCTTTATTACTAATAATATTTTTGTTTTTCAATGTTCTAAATCATCACTTTAGATTTATCAACAAGAGAATAATTCATAAAGCTTTTCTGCAAAAGATCAAATTTAAATATCAAATACAGAAGGTTGTTGTTAATTTTCTCCATTAATATATTTAAGTGATTAAGGGCTGTTATTGTTTAAATCTGGTCAAAACATTTATCTGCTTAAAAGAACAAATAACCATCAGTTTACTATTTCAGAAAGGATATAATATCCGGGAATTGAGACATTTGCTGCAATCAGTCAAAATGGATAATATTTGAGTGCTTGGAATAAACAATTATAAGAAATTTAAATTAGAAAACTTGTATGAATGATATCAAAATGTTTTATGATTCAATTAGTTTTTAATAAACCTAATTATAAAATCTGAATTTAAGAATTATTAGTATAATATTTCTATTTTGTTAAAAAATCAAATTTCTTAATTTATTATATCTTTGATTAATTTTATAAAATAATATCTTTACAAACAAATATTATATTTTGATATCACATGAAATCTTAAGGAAAATACATAAAACCTATTGTCTTCTTTAAAAATCTGTATCACTTACTAATTGGACATATGACTATTAAAAGTATTTTAAGTTATGTAATAAAAATATTCATAGGAAAATATTATTAAAAGTAAGCAAATGTTAACATGTCAAGAATGTAAAAGTGAATTATTTTTAAATCAACAATTTTAGAACAAAAACAACTTTTAGAAAATAGTAATAGCAACAAAAGCAAGGATAGAATACTCTAAAATACATTAATCTTAGCAGTAACTCTGTAAACTACATAATTATTAGCCTATTAATAATATTCTTAACATAGCTATTAATTAATCACAGTTTATAAAGTCATACCCAAAGAATAAAATTTGAAATATTCCATATAGATAATAAGTTTAGGAAGCTTGAATTTATGATAGATAAACGATATTAATTGAAAGTTTAATAAAATCTATGTTAAAACGGAGAGATAAATAATAAGAAATTTTATTTATATAATTATCCGTTAATAATTTACCCAATGAATTCATCCATCAGATAACCACTATCACATCATAACTCAATCGATAAGAGAGAAAATCGACCTGAAACTAAGCAGGATGCAAAACCATTCTCATTCATAAAACCAGGTGTATCAAATTATCAACCATTGACATCATCTAACTCTTAATTACCTCCTTAATCTCCAATCACAAATCCACAATAGATTTCTAAATAATCCAAGCCCAATTGTTCAATTTAAGATTTGGAAACTTTTATTAAGGAAATAGACAGATTACAATTAGAGAATCAAAAGTTGAAAGAAAAGACTTAAGAACCTTAAGTAGTGATCCAACAAGATCCAAAATTAGCGTTTGAAAATCAGGAACTCAAAGTAAGAATTCTTAATAATATTGTAGGATTAATTGGATTTCCATAAACACAAATGTGAGTTATCGGAGAAGAGTCACAATGACGCAGTAAGATAAATTGATTTAAGTTGGAAATAAGACATAGCCAATTTGAAATACTAGATGGAGTAATAGGAATCAAAACATAGACAAGCTTTGAGATAGGAATAATAGTAGGCAAAACAAGAGATTGCTAGACTATAATAGAACTTATCATAAATTTCTAGTTCAGACAACAAAAATTAGAGTCTCGTTTAAGCATTGGTAAATATTATAATTAATTCTAGGAAACTCAATTAATAAATTTAAAGAAAAATAATAATATTTTGGAGGAGAAGTTGTCTTATGCTATCTAATAATTCGATTCTTAATCAAAGGATTAGGAGTTCACATTATTAAAATAATAAGCTGTGATTGGTTCTTAAGAACAACATGTTGTTGAATTGAAGAATAAATTGACTCAGTAAAGAGAATAGAATAAGGAAATATCTTAGTAATTGAATAAATACAAGGATGTGGCTGAAACTAAGACTGCAAGTGAATCTGTTTTATAAAATAAGTTGAAGCTTATTGAAGGTGATTTTGAGCATTTGTCTTAAACTTATAATGAACACAAGGATTCCTTATAATAAAAGATAAATGAATTGACTTCAATGTATGGAAAATCTTAGGAATAGATATGTCTCTTGTAACAGTAATAAACTAAAGAGCAGAATTAAATTAAGAAGTTATAAACTTCCTTGGAAAATTAAGAGAAGAATCATTAGAATGAAATCAATGATCTACACAAATAAAAATAAATGTTGATTTAATTTTTAGAATAGGAATTACTTGGTTACAAAGAATAGAATCAATAATTGAAATTGATGAATTAGAAGTTGGAAACTTAATATAAAGAGAATCAATAATCATATTAATAAAACTTTAGAGAATTAGAATGTAAGACTAATATGTTAGGAGATGAATGCACTAGACTCAATAATATTATCAAATAGAAGGATGAGTAAGTCTTTAGATTGTAAGTCTAATTAAAAGATTTGATGAATCTTAATGGAAAAAATTAATCTCAAGAATAAATCTTGGAGACTTTATAAATTAAAGAAGGGGAAATCAATATTCTAAAATAATAGAATGACAGTTTGATAGGTGATTTATCAAGATAAGCTGAGAATTACAGAAATCTAGTGCAATAACATAAATAATTGTAGAAATAATCAGAAGAAGTAAAGATGAATAGCATCACTATCAATGAATTTTAGAGTAAGTGTGAATTATAAGATAAGGAGATTGAAAGATTGCGATAGAAAGTCTTAGAAAAATCCTAATTACTAGAAAAAGTATAGAAGGAGAACTTGGAATATTAGGCTAAGCTAAAATCAAAGTTAAGATGATATTATTATTACTTTATTTTATTACATAATAACGATATATACAAAATCTAATATAGAAGTGTCATTAGAGCGGATAATCAAGTATTTATATATGAACATGGATAACGAACTAAAAATAACAAATTAAATTCAAAAAAAAGTAAAATTTAAAATGCTAATTGAATAAGGAGAACCCAAGATTATAGTAGCAGTTCGTAAGAGGCCATTAAATAAGAAGGAGATGAACAAGGGCGATATAGATATTGTCGATGTTTCTAATTAATAAAGTCAAGTTGTAGTCAAAGAATAAAGGTATTCATATTTGATGGATCATTTTAGAACAAAAGTTGATTTGACCAAATACATAGAGGAGCATTAATTTAATTTCGATGCTGCTTTTGATGAAAATACAACAAATGAACAACTATATTTACAAATCGTAAGACCAATTGTTGAAGCAGCATTTAATAGGGCAAAAGTAACATGTTTTGCATATGGATAAACAGGATCAGGTAAGACATATACAATGCTTGGTGATTATTCAGAGCGAGTGCCTGGTTTATATTTATTGGCAGCTTATGACATTTTTTGTTTATTAAACAATGAATGTTATGGTCATCTCCAAATATCTATATCATTTTATGAAATCTATTGTGGGAAACTATTTGATTTGCTGAATGAACGAACACTTTTACATGCTAGAGAAGATGCAAAAGGAAATGTTAATGTAGTAGGATTATAAGAGAGAAAAGTGTAATCTGTAGAATAATTAATGAAAGTGATTGAATAAGGGAGTGCATCAAGGATTACAGCATCTAATTCATCAAATAATGATTCATCAAGGTCTCATGCAATTTTGTAGATAACCTTAAAAGATGGTAATAAATGTCATGGCAAACTGTCCTTCATTGATTTGGCTGGTAGTGAAAGAGGGGCAGATGTGAGTGATACAAATAAACAGACTAGATTTGATGGAGCTGAAATTAATAAATCATTATTAGCATTAAAGGAATGCATTAGAGCATTGGATCTAAACAAAAACCATACTCCTTTTAGAGGGTCAAAATTGACTCTGGTATTGAAGGACTCCTTTGTAGGAAATTGTAAGACTGTGATGATTGGTAACTTCTCTCCTTCCAATTCATCATCTGAACATACATTGAATACTTTAAGATATGCAGATAGAGTGAAAGAATTAAAAAAACCAAATGATAAAGAATTAAAGGATTAAGTCACATCTCTGGATAAATTAGCTAGAGAGTTAATGTTGCCAAGATAATAATAACCAATAAAGAAATAATCTTAAGTCTAATAATAATTTAATCCATTTAAGAATAATCCGTTGCAAAATTATTAGAATCAAAATCTATTTTAACAATAATAGCAACCCTAATTTTTAAATTTATAAAATTCTATTCCTGGAATGATGATTCCTTAGACATAACAATCATCATAAACATAATAATAATATTCATATCAAAATTATATCTAACCTCCTCCACCTTAACCTCAACCCATGATTCCATTGCAATAACAACAATAGCCATAATTAAAAATTAATGAATCTAAAAATAAACATTCCTTTTAAAAGCCAACTCCATAATTAAATGAACCTCGTCCCTATGTGAATGAAAATGTACTCCCAGGACCAGTTGAACGTAAATCAAGTAAAATACTTAAATATTTAAAGAAGTAAATCAATCGATGGAAGATGATTTAATGAAGATTGGATAGAAACATGAATAATTGATTAGTGTGATATTAGAAGAAGAAGAGAACTTAATCTCTAATCATCGATCTCATATAGATTCAATGGTTGAATTAGTTAAATAAGTACTATTTATTGTGAATAAAATAGGAAATGATGTTGTTGCACAATATTGATAAACCAGGCTCAGATGTTGATGAGTATGTAAAAGGGTTAGATTAGATACTATTGACAAAGATAGAAGAAATTTAAACGTAAGATCAATTTAATAAATTTATAGATTGCAATTTTAATTGCAGACTTTCAGGTCGCATTTGTCAGAAGAGGAAACTCTATAAAAATAATTTTATCAATAAAGACAATAAATAACACAATAGGAGTCTGAGGGCTCTGAAATTTTTAAATGATAATTAAATAATATAATTAATTATTATGCATTGATTAATTCACTGTTGAAAGAATGGGTGTTATAGGGCATCCTCTACTTTAATCCTTTTTTAAGGATCTAATTCTAATAACTAAGTTAGTAAGTCTTCTGCTTTGTCATCAAACCCCTCAACGTGTATTACACTCCTCCAATTAATTGGGGTTTTAGCAACAACAGATGGCAAATTCAAATTATAACCTACATATGATAATTGTCAATTACCAAATTTATTACAAATCTTAGTAATGGCTTCAGCTCCAAATAGTGAAGTCAATTCTAGAATGAAATTCACGTAGAATAGATTTTTAGACACTGCAGGTTTGTGAACCATCCTCACATTACTAAATAGGTTGTATTTTCTAGTCAAAAACTATAGAAATATGACTCCTACAGCCCAGATGTCAACTTCATAGGACTGCTCTTGATAATGTAGAATGGATTCCAATGGCATGAAACTCTCAGTGCCTATTTTATTGTGTCCGATTTAAGCGATCGTTTTCATAATATCTTCATATAATTGCTTTCTTTGTCTTAATTCTTATGTATTTCCACCACTTTCCACCATATTATTGACAAACGATTTATCGATTTCCGATAATCCATAATCAATCAGGATACCTTTCTTTAATTTTGGGTTATAAAGAAAATTTCCAGGTTTCACATCTCTATGATATATTCCATTCTATTTCAATATAAGTAAAGCCTTTAACAATTCTCGTAAATAATCTTTAATTTCCTACATGTTAAAAGTAGAAAAAAAAGTGATGAATGGATCAAAACTAAAATACTCTGTTACTATGTATATTTTCTGATTTGTCAAGAATAAATTAACCAATTGAGGCAAGTTCTCCTTTCCTTACACTAATTTCAGGAATCCAATCTCTGCAAATATCAATTCTGGAGAGACGGTTGAGAAATTTACTTTAATTGCATACTTCTTAGCCTTGTCTTCTTGTCCATTATGGTATGCATAGCTAAAATATTGCAAAAAATACCCTTTATAAACCACACCATATCCTCCTCTTCCCAATTCACGGACCACCTTGTAATTGTTCCGAAGATAAGCATCCTCATCTATTAAAAGATCAGGGTAATAACGATCATTGGAATTTTGATTCAACTTGGTCTATTTCTCAGTTGTCTTAGCCTTGGCTTTGGCTTATACTTATTATTTTTTCATTAATTAATTTCACAATATTTTTTTCAGATTTAGAATATGTTTATGATAGAATTAAATTAAGTAAGAGGAAGGTCATGAATCCTATTAGAATTTTAACAATTATTGTGTATAAGAAGAATAGAATCTCAATCTACAGATATGGCATTTTCATTCTTTAATAAAATATTATTAAATAAAAGTTTAAAGGCATAAATTCAGAAAATTGGGCTCAAGAGTTACTGTTTCTTTCAACTAAGCAATTTTTCTTAAATTCCAATGTGCTAGTTCAGAAGAAGTTAATTAGGCTTTTATTTATGCATATGTGGTTAGTATTCTTGAAAATACCAAAAAGAGTAAGGTTTTTGATACGATCCTAAATTTAAAGTATTCTAAGAGGCAACATTATTTTACAAATAATAAAATGTATAAATAATAGTTCTAATTAGATTATTGTTTATCTCAAAAATTATTAATTGAAATTTCTGTCTTACAAATATAATCTAAGAATTTATAACAAAAGAAAGACTTGAGGGCCGACGGTTGAAACAATAAGTATTTTAAGTAGATTAATAAATCCAGTAGGTACCCTATTTCATGATATTTCGAAATCAGAGGAGAAGTTGCAGAAACACATATAAAGGCTTTAAATATAATTTTTGATAAAATTAAAATAATTGATTAATGATTCTGTATTCATTAAGAATTTAAATAATTATTCATCATTTAAGATAATTTCTATCTTTTAATTAATTTTCTTTAGTTTGCATATTCTTTGTTCATTTGTTACAAAATTGAATTTATAAATTTTTAAATATTATCTTCTAATTTTATAATCCAAGGCTCCTTTTCACCCTTAGCATTATTTATATATTTTTAGATCAAAGAGGAAGCCATAACTCCTTCAATCAAGAAACTGATAGGGTATTCTTTGTTAGACTGTTCCTTCTCTGTTGAAAATGGTTTGGAAAAGAATTAAAAATTTTTCTCTAATTCATTTAGCTTATATTCATTTTGAATAGGAACATTCTTTTCAACCCATTTGACTACCAATTCATGTATGATTGAGGATAGAATTATTGAATTTTATTAAATTCTTAATAGTTATTATTGATTATTTTATGATTGATCAGGATGCTATTCCCAAGCCTTGAAAATGTTATTAAATGCAATTTATTTCAGAACAATAAATATTATCAAAATCATTTTTTAACAGTTTTCATTCATTTATCCTAAACTACCAAACTTGGTGGTTGGAATTCTTACTATTTCAAATTTAGTATATGTTCTCAAAGGAGGAAATTAATATGATTAAGTAATATCATTCAAGTAGGATGCTAAAGGCCCAATTACAATTTCCTCTGCTTTAAATTCCTTAGTTAATTTAATTGACAGAGTATCCAGCAAAGCACTAATTTTTTTTTTACTTAACGTATTCTATTTATCCTAACCCACTTATACTATTAGTGAATCAGTAGTATTCAATAAATCTAATAGAAAGTCGTTGGTTGTATCATCAATCCAGTCTTAGAGCATTTCATTGACTTCATCACGATTAGTTAATTACTACTTTGATTATTAGGCTTTCTTTATTTAGATTTCATTTTCCAATGTTTATAAAAAGGTCTTCCCTAACCATTGCATATTTTGAACTCTCCTTACAATTTTCTTAAATTTCAAAACGGAAGGTTTTTTGTAATCTCCAAATTATCTTAATTATTTCTTATCCTCTTTGACTTTCTTTGCTAGTCTTCTTTTTTTTTTCTCACCTTTGATTTCATCTTATGATTTCTCCTCTCTATAACTATTTTGACTATCTTTTTCAAATTATTATTATTTATTTCGAACAGTTTCTTATTATTTGTTTCGAACAGTTTCTAATTTTAATCTTTCTAATTGAATTTCTCTTTCCAAATACTCTTGCTTTTTTAAGGCCTCTGTTGATTTATTTTTTATAATTCTAAATTGTTATTCATTAGATAAATAAATTTTTGGGATTTCTGTTTATTCAAAATAATCAAATTCTGGTGCTTTATAGATTGGTTAAGGAATTTTCTTTTTAACAATCACTCTTTATGGTTTTGGTGGTTCTTTTGGCAATCCAAAATCAGATAAATCAAATGCCAATCTAATTTAACTTTAAGGTTGATGAACCATCAATCCTAGATTATAATTTAATGGCAATGGGTCAATGACTTAGGATTAAATATAGGGTAATTTCTAATTATTAGAATATGCTGGAATGAAATTGGTTTGATAGGCATAATTTAAAGAGCTTAAATAAGGATTAAATTATTGTTATTATTATTATTATTGTTATTATTATTGTTATTAGTAATTTATTCCATATAATTACCCATACAAATATCTTTCATTTGAAGTAAGGGGTAATTGATTTATCAAAGGGAATATGCTCGAATTATTATGTTATAAATAATTCATTATAAAAAAATTAATATATAGAATTTTAAATGTCATTAGAATTATTTTTTCATTTTAATTAATAGAACCAATATTATTAATTGTTAGGAGTATTAAAAATTTAGCAAAATCCTCTAAATAATTTACACTTAAGTGTTTATACTAAGTAATTTCATTAATTTAATGATCAGATTTATTTCTGTCCAAACAAAACCATATCAAGGGTAAAATAACCTAGACATACTTGTTGACAATCAAATTTACTAATAGTACTTTAATGGTGGCCAAAACTTAATCATTGAAGCCGAATTTGGAAACACATTAATTTAAGAAATCAACCTACGTAGATTATTTTAACTTAAAATTAGATCTTCATCCTTAGCCTGAGAAGGATGTCTTATATAAATGTTACAATCTTAATGAATTAGATCAAGAGTATAAACGAATTAGTGGAAAGTTGATAAAAATAAGGAATGAAGAAAATTATACCACATACGCTGCATTTGTTAAATCAGAAGTGGTATTTATTATTCATTTATCATATAAGCCATTCACACGATTAACAATAACGATACAATCAGAGAAATCTGATTTCTTTAAAATATATTATTTTGGCGTAAGAGGTAGGAATATAGAAGAGGAATTGTAGCAATAAGAATCAATTGAATAGAAAAACATTAAAGTGATATTAAAGCCAGGCAGAAAAACTGAAACCTTTAACAATAGAATTGTAGACAACGATAAAATGACTCCCTCAGAATTCTTTAGTCGAGTTAAAAGTGGTATACCTATTAGTAACAGAGACTAATTGCCTCAAAAACTAATCTACTCCAATTATGATGAAAAAATGAAAATTGAGTAAGCCTAAATAAATGATTAAAACATAAAATTTACCGACAAAATATAAGAAGAATCAAAAGTCAAAGAAGATCCTGACAGTAAAAAATACATCACTCTATACGATGATGATGAAAATTCTGTTTAATTCATAGATTAAAAAGTCAAATAATAATAATAACAATAATAATAATAATAACAACAATAATAAAACAACAAAAATCATTTTACTTCTTAAAAGTGTTGCTTCTCGGATACTAAACAAATTTCGAGCATTAAAATACCTTCTAAATAACTGAATATTACTGATTTCGCTTATTCATCCAAATAAGCTGTCAAACAAGACATTAAATCAGAATATAATGTTTTTCATAACATGTTGAAATATACAGCCTCAGAAATTGATTAATAGTTCCTTCAATTTCACAAAACAAGTATTTATCTTTAAAATAATTTATTAGTTGAAGAAACCAAAAATGTACCTGCAAAATATAGATTAATACATAAACTAAATACATAACAATACTGATTTTTTAATATATATTAAATCATAAAATACCTTTTATTATTGTAGTTCCATTATTTATCAACACTTAATACTCTTTCCATATACGAAATGATGCCATAAATAAACATTCTTCGAAACTATATTATTGTGAAAAAAGAATGAATATTAAGTTCATGATTTTTTTTAAACTAATACTTGAAATTTAGTTTTTATTTTTTCTACATCTTTGATTAATTTCTAATCTTATAATTTTTGCCTTATTCTAATAGATAGTAATTTCAGATATACAAAATAAGTAATTAAAAAGCGCCGAAAACACATTTTAATTGATGCTATAAAACTCAACTTAATTTATTTGTTTATAAAATTTAAAATTCATGGAAGAGGAAGAAACTCAACTTCTTTAATTAAGGGATTCAGATGATGAAGAGGATCTAATCCCTTAATTTAAAATCATGTCATTAAGAGATGGAAAACATAGAAAGGTTTAATTGCAATCCTACAATAGTAATAATAAATCAGATATTAGAAAATAATAACAAAATCTCATTGAATAGAACACTGTGACTAACTATTACTAATCAGTTAACTCTTTGCTTTATGATTTAAGAAAAGAATATTTAGAAAATGTGGAAATAGAAAATAAAAAAATAAATGAAGAATGAATTAATATTAAAATATTACATTATAATATGAAATTTTCAGTAGTGCTTTGTTTAAAGAGAGTATGATTTTACAAAAAATATCAAAAATTTCACTTGATTTTAGCAAAAATTAATTAATCATAAAGAACGAAAAAAAATAGAGGGAAATTTTAGTTTAAAAACATATCAAAAGCTTATTGTAAAAAGGAGATTATACTATAAGTGAATATTAGTAACTATCAAATATATCATCATTAAAATTATCCAATAACTTAATAAATATAAATATTTTATGCTGACATAAATAATAATAAATTAATTTGATAATGAAAGAACGTGAATTAGAAACTAAAAAGCTGATCCCAATTCAAAAGTTGAATGGGCAAATTAATCACTTTACTTATAACATATTTGTTATGAAAAAGGATCTTCACTCATAGATAATTTACATAATTAATGTTTGATAGATAATTACTTAAATTTTACAATCTGTTTTTTAAAATCCTTTTGGATTATTTAAGATAGAATTTCTATTTAGCTAATAATATTATGAATCTGATGGGAAGTCTAATTTGATTGTCGATAGAAATTATAGATTAGAATACATAACTATAGTCTTTTAAAAATGAATGATTATAGATAAATCAGTCAGATGTTATTAATTTTGTAAAATCTTTGAATATCTGAATGAAACTCTCTGATTAGTTTCTGAGGTTATTCATGTATTAACTTTCTTATTTGAGTCAAATGATTTCCTATAGTGTGGAAAGTAATTTGTTCCCTTTCATAATATAATAATAAATCATACTTTTTAAGAATTTTTGTCAATAAATGGAAGCCTGCAAAGTATAATTTATTGATAACACTGATAACAGAATCCTCCTAATTTATAAGTTAATTTAATTTATTATCTTTAAGACTAACTAAAACAAAGGTTGTAATATTGATAAGAGTGATACTGAATGGAATTTTGATATCCTGAAAGATTTTAAGTGTTTACTTGATATATATTTTATATTCTGATATGAAAGCAAGCATTTACAATAATCCAAGTATACCAGCACCTCTGAGATCAGTAGCTGGATCAGTGCCTTAAAATCCAATCATCTCCCAATGAGAACCATATCTTAGACAATAGTCAGTAGTCATGAGTTGGCAATAAATTGTATAGAGAATTCTAAAATGAGACTCGTTATTATCATCAAATGACAGTTGCGACATTAAGCAAACCTTGTTTAGAATTATAGTACTTGGTTTTTTTCTTAGATGAGTCTACTACTTTTTAAATGGATACTAAAACATCCGAATAGTTTATCTAAAAAAGATGTCTTTTTTTAGATAAATTCAATCTGGTCTCTGATATCTTAAGAACCCTTCAATTAATCCCAAGCTTCAATGAAGTTAATCTGTTTGATCTCGTTTTTCTTCTTTTCTAAATCCATCATTCTCTCTTTATTGGCTTATTCGAATTCTTGTTCAATTTTGCCAATACTTCTCTCTGACAATCTAAAAACTTTTTTGTCTGGACTTTCTTCTCCTTTATCAACAGGAGGTTTTTCATTTTCATCATCACTAGACTAGCATTGCTGCTTAATGGGTGTTTCATTGATTTGATTATTCTATAATGCAATACTTTTAGCTTTGTCTTTGAGATTATTGACTAAAGGTCCATTTCTTTTATTTACATTTGTTCCTTTCTTATTTAATTTCTAATTTATTTTTTATCTAGCTTATTCAATATGATCGTTCGATTACTAGAACACCTGTTTATGATCAAAATCGAAATCATCGTCATCTTTGGCCTAAGCAGCTGAAACTCCAGCCCATTCTGCTACTTCTCCTATTTCATCATCATTATCAATTATATTTTGGATATTTCTCTTTTTTTAAATGGCCCTTTAATCAGCAATCATTTAAATAAATAATGAATTAATAAGCAAAGGAACCACTTAATCCAGCAGTTTGTGAAGTCTTTCAAAAACTACTTTCAGATGTATTCATTAAAAAGATTTGGAAGGTAACATTGATACACAAAAGTAGGAATTCAGAGAATCAGGTAATTTATCTGAAGGTAAAATGACCAAATCTAATTTTACAAAAGAGATGTTAAAATAACTGAAATTGCATGTGAAAAGTAGAGAATACAGTTATATATCTTCTTAATTCTTTTTGATTTTGGCTCCCGAAGAATTCACAAGGTATTAAAATAAAATGAAAAATGATTTTGAAGCCATTGTTGAAAGATCATGTGCTGAATCATATAGATTTGATCCCGATACATAATTGGTTCGAGAACCTGCTTAGAGACGAGATAATTAATCAGAAAAGCATCAGCCACCAGATTAAGCATTTGAAAATTGGTTTAAGTAGAATTATGATTAATAATTTCTTAAATGGTTTGGAACTAATTATAATTCAGACAAAAAAAAGATGAAGATTTCTGCTTTGGATAGTTTGTTTGAAAGATGGTTTAGATCCAATAATGTTTAACCAATATTTGAAAAAGCATAATAAGAAAAATCTTAGTAAGAGAAAACATATTTTGAAATTTGGGTTGGAAAGAAATTCGAAACATTATTTGAAAAGCTATTTGAAAGTAATATCAAAGCATATTTAAGGATTTTAATTGGAATTTGATGATAAAATTGAAATATAAGATTTAGTACTATCTCTTGGAGTACTAGCAAGAATGGAATTAGAGAAGAAATTGGAATTGATATTTGATTTAAGTGATGTTGATGAAGATGGATGTCTATCTATTGATGATATACAATAAATGATTAAAAGAATAGAAAAGAATTTTACGAGGGAGACCTCTCTTATTACTAGTGATTCATAAGCATTATAAAATGAATTGGCTTTCAAAAGAGCCATGAGAAAGTTTTCATGGGCTACTATTAAAATGGATAAACAGATTGAAATTAAAAATGATGAGCTAGGGTTAATTGAAGGCAAGAAGTTTCTAGATTCTCTTAAATAAAACAAAATGTTATTTGAAACCTTTCTTCCTGGATAACTCTTATTATATGATGTTTTAATGACAGATTAAGGAGAAAAAGAGTTTCAGATACAAGAAATTGATAATAAAATTCTAGAGGAAAATCAATTTAAGCAAGAACCTAAAAAGGAGGATACCAAAAAAGAAGAATAGGTTGGATAATTTGAATTGTTCAGAAAAGAAATACATGCTCAATTAAGAAATAATTATAAAGATAAGTAGATCATATATAATATATATATCCTAGATTGTCCAAATAATACTTGCAAGAACACAAAGGATAAGTTCGTTATCCAGGGAAAATGGAAGTAGTGCAAGTTGGTAATCAAGCCAAAAGAGTTCCTAAATTAGAAAAATTTGAAGAGAAAAAAGAGGCTAAAAAGGAAAAAGAGGACACCTAGTAAAATTAATAAAAATAAAACAATATTGAATCTCATGGTATAAATCCTATATTTATTGATATAGAAAAAAGATTGAAAGACATGAGAGAACAAAGACAGTAATGGAATATAGATAGTATATTAAAAGATTACAAAGCTGTATGAATTAGAATTTTGTCTTATAAACATATATTTAAATCTCTCAAAATATCCAGTTAATATGGGTAATAAGAATATTAGAAATTTAATAAATTTAAGAATATGTACATGATCCATATTTATAATATTTTATATACGTATGTAAATTTCAATGCGTGCTGTTGTTTTGGAAGGTCCAGGTTAAGAAGCTGTTGTCAAAGAAATTCCAATTCCCACTCCTTAATCAGGCTAAGTTTTGATCAAGGTAGACTCTGCTCCAATCAATCCTTCAGACATAGCATTCTTACATGGTGCTTATTCAAGTGGTAAATAATTTCCTTGTGTTCCTGGATTTGAAGGCTCTGGAACAGTTATTGCTAATGGGTATAATTGAATGTAATAATTTAGAGGAGGAATCATGGGATGGAGATTGGTAGGAAAAAGAGTGGCATTTTATTCACAATCTTAATTTGGAACATATGGTGAATATAGTGTGGCAGATGCTTTGGGTTGTTTAGAATTAGAAAATGATATCACATTATAAGAGGCTTGTTGCTCATTTGTTAATCCTTTGACAGTGATCTCAATGCTAGAAGTGGCAAAAGAGCATAAAACTTAAGCTGTTGTTCATACAGCAGCTGCCTCTTAATTAGGCAGAATGATGGTTAGACACTTTTAAGCAAATGGTGTTAGAGTTATTAATATTATCAGAAGAGATGCTTAAGTGGAAATGTTGAAAAAGGAAGGAGCAGATATTATATTAAATTCATCAGATTCTGATTTCTTAGAAAAGTTGAAAAATGTGATCTAAACTTTAAGGTATTCATATGATCTATTTTAATAGGGCAACTGTCTTCTTTGATGCTTTAGGAGGTGAATTGACTGGTAAAATTCTTGAAGTCATGCCTAGTCATTCAACTTGCTATGTCTATGGAGGACTCAGTCTGAAACCTGTTGGAAATGTCTCTATTATGGATTTGATATTTAAAGATAAAAAAGTTGTCGGGTTTTGGTTGACATAATACTTGAAGACCAAAAACATTATCAGTTAAGCGCTATTGTTGAATTAATTAAAGGGATTGTTAAAAACTAATCTTAAAACTATTGTGGCCAAAACAGTTGATGTATCTGAATTTAAAGAAGGTTTAGAATTTTATAAGAAAAACATGAGTGAAGGAAAGGTATTAATTAGATTCGATTAAAAATAATAATAATAATAATAATAACAACAACAACAATTACAGGATAAATAATAATGAATGTATAATAAACATAGATGGGATATTTATCATTAATTTAAGAATGTCTCTCAATGTATAATATTAAAATTTTGATATTTACATATAATTAAATTGTTGGTCCAATAAATTCTTTTATAATCAAATTAACATCTATAATTATATGCAAATTGAAATCTTCAGATGAATAATATCACATGAGATGAAAATAGAATCAAATTTATTTATTATAAAGAATTTATAAGTATTGAAGTTTTTTATGATATTATAATCCCTTTTCTTAAATTAAAAATGGTATTTAGTTAGAATTGTCTTTGTTTCTTATCGGAATTTTCATTAAATCTCCCAAATCAATAACAATAAAAATTTTATAATAAGGAAAATGTAGATAAGCAATTGCCCAATCAAATATTTGTTTAAACATACTATATTCGCTTAGTATACTTAATGATTGTTTAATCATAAGGGACTTTTTGAGATGAGATAATAATATTAGAATATTTTGTAGAAATAATCTAAATACTAAAGTTAATTGGAAAATACTTACAATAGATCGGTTCTATATAACTGTTGAAAATATTAAAAGAACCGTAGATGAAGATATTTAAAGGTAAAAAAAGTATCTATTTAGTTGTAATACAAATAGCCAGAATTAATCAGTAATAAAATTAATTTAAGTTGCTAATACCTATTGTAATTAAATTATATTTTCTTTAAATGTTAACTTCATTTGAAGATTGTTTATATGGTGAAAACACAGCATCAAGATTTTGCAATTATGATGCTGATACTTTCCCTTTTGCTTTTATTGAAGAAATAGAAGAATATGATGGAATGCTGATAGTAGATCAAATATCTGATTAAAACAGCACTAATAGTGATTAGCCAGAAAGTGAGCCTCAATCAGCATTCCGTAATAAAATTCCAACATCTATCAAATAAATTTAAAAGAAAAAATATAGATTCCCTAGAGAATCTAAAAACTATTTCAAAAATATTGGGCCAAAGCTCAAGGAATTCATTATTGAAAATTTCTCTCACATACCTCAAATAATGAATCAACCTCTAATCAAAGAGTTTCTAGATATCAAAAATTAGAGGCATATCAAGTTGCATATTTAGCGACTTTGTGAAACAAGAGAGGGCTAAGCTATTGCTAAGTCTTACTTCAAAAACTTTAGATGGGCCAAGTCTCTTGTTAACGATGATCTCAGTAGCTATTTTCGCCTCAATAGCGATTGGAATAATTGATTATATAAAGATTATAACAATTATCCACTTTATATATATTTTACATTTTTTCTAATATTAAGTATTCTAGCTGTTCAATAAAGAACTCAAACATATTCTCAATAATCTAAAAAAATTCTTTTATATATAAATACTAACAAATTAATAAGAATAATCTATAAAATCAAACTTAGACCTTTTTACCTAATGTTTAGAAATTATTAAAGTAAAAATATTATAACATGAGTTACCATCGAAACCAAATAGCCTGAAAAGTTTATTTAATAATTTAGTTGGATAATAATTTTATAAAATATAGATCTATCAACCCTAAATTCCATCAGGAGTATCAATTATTAATCAATACTAAGAATATTTTATGGTTTAACATCATATTGGATCATATTCGATCAATTATAATTCCTTGATTTGATATTTTATAATATCAAATATTTATTTACGTTGTTAAATATTTACAGATATGTAGTACAATAATGATTATTTTGAAGTAAATTCATTTGAGAAGATTGACATATTTGACTTAATTAGACACAAATAGCTTTTCTAGATACAAATTTACTTTTTATATAAAGTATGTCAAAGTTTCTTAGACTTTGTTTTTTTTTTTAGTATCAAATTTGAAAGCTTGAGCTATCATTGTGTTCTCAAATTGTAAAAATAATGATTAATGCGCACAAGAAATTTAAGTAGAATTATTTAAATTATATAAAAATACCTATTTTAACAATTTATTATAATGGAAAATTCAATTATTGATAGACCACTGAGTAATAATTAATTATTGATGAAAATAAAGGTTTATGGATATATTCAAATAATGTCTCAAGTGTTAACATTAAATATCAAAATAATCTTTAAAAATAAATTTACATTAGAAATTCTTTATCGCATAAGTTATTTATTCTAAATTAGGAAAGAAATCATTCTACATTGTAAAAAAATAAGCAGTTATTATATAAGTTTTTATAGATTCGTACTCTTTAAAAAGAATAACTATTACTAAAGCCGATTATCAAAATATATTAGTATTAATCATAATTTTAATATAAGAGTTGTATAATGTATAATTTAATTGCAAAAGGTTAAAATCATGATTTAATTATTGATTATAGATGTTCTAATAATTACTCTTTTTATGTTATTATTTACGACAGCTATTTATTTTAGGATTCTCTCAACATATTCATGCATACTTCTAAATAGGGTTGCTTAGTATTTTTCTTCAATTTGCACTGAGCACATATTATCCCAGATCTAAATTTAGGCTTAATTCCTTATACTAATTTAAGCTATCGTTAATAATAATTGGGTTATCTATCACCTATAAGATGAAGTATCATGGATTCATCTGAGAAATTGATTTCAATATAAAAGTACTCCTGGTTATCTGAACTAGTTGAAATAAAGAAGAGTTTGTTATAAATTAATTCCATTTCATAATTAATTTGTTCATATTGAAAAACGTAGTTTTAGTATTTTTCCATAAATTACTTTTAATCCATTTCTTATTTTAAAATAAAACTAGGAAAGAAAATTACTGCCTTACTTTTGATCTAACTTTATTTATCTTTGATATATTAATTTAAATTCTGTAGATTTAAATATTCGGCGAAAACATCAATAATTTAATATGATCCTTATGTAAGTGCCTCTTTAGTAATCAATTAATTGAAATAATATTAACCACATTTCTCCTCAATCATATGTTCAGAACCAAAATATATATCATTGGGAGCATCTTCAGTATTTCCTTGAAAGTAGATTTTTTTTGTTTTCTTTTCGTATATTATTATTTAGTTGTTCTATTGTAAAACGAGTCTGTACGATTAATTAAAATGATCGTCTAGTTTGAATTGATATTCTAAAGTTTTAATTGGCATTTGTTATGGTTTTTCTGATATCGATACGTATGATGTGAATTATGTTGAAATTTTGAGAATCTAAAATTCATTATTTTAGATGGCCAATTCAACAAATCTTGCTTTTGGGGAGTCATACTCACCTTATTGATCTAAGATATCTTTATCATTAGATTGATGTAATATCGATATTGACGATTTTATAATATTCTTAATGTTAGGATCCTTTTATGCGCCAATTAAAAATTTACGGTATTTTAGAATAATGTAGGTTAATAATAATCCAAGGAGAATAGCTATACTTATTATTATTGCTATTTGATAGTTTTCCATGGTTTTTGAAATAAAATAATGTTAGTAAAATAAAAATAATATATATAATGAAAGAAATGATCATTATAATAGTTATTATATTAATAAATTCAGAAATATGAAACAGAAATAATCTTTCTCATTTGTACCATCCATACCATTGGATACTTAAATTTAGGATCTAGAGGTATTTCGATATAATTATAATCAATATAGAAAAGGATACTAGAGGAATAAAAGCTAAAAAAAATTTGTTTTAAAGAGTTTCAAAATCAATATCGCATAGATCACCTTCTAAAAGTCTAATCGAATCTTAGATAAATAAATACCATACGATAAGTAAAGTTTTCAAGTACTGTTTTAACAATTGAACATTTTGCATTGTTAGCTCAATGGCTTAAACAATTGCAATGTAATAGTTTTATAATCAAATTAAATAATAACAAACTAGATAACATTGAAATTCGGGAGTTTCTGAATACAATAGTAAAAGGAGATATTTAAATAAAAAAAGTATATTTTCATTTCAATTTTAGATATTAATTACAAATAATCCAGGAATTTACAAAGGATAATTGATATCTGATTTGAAAACTCTTATAAGACAATAAAATGCAAATAATTATTAACAAGAATATAAATTAGTATTGAATAAACAGTTTTTATCAATTGGAATTGTTAGATAGAATTTTAATGAATCATAAGAATAGAGAGAAATAAGGGAAAAGAAAGTATTATAAAAGATTAGTAAACTCAACTTCTTCTCATTTTCTTTAAATTCTACTTTTACTTAAACAAATTTCAGAGCCTTAGAATAATTAATTAATCTGAATTTTAATGAAAATCGAATTGATTAAATATTGAAATTACAAATATCATCAAGTTTGATTGTAAACTCAGCAATAGTGTGTGAGTAAATGTCTACTTCAAAAGGATTACTAAAATTGAAGATGTAATAATAGCAAATGCTGAATTATTCAGTTCCTATAGAGAATTTAATGGGGAATAGATATCATAAATTTATAGTAAATGAATTGGATATAGAAAAAAATATATCGATTCTTGAGAAAACATATAAGATCCTTTCTGACAATATATTTTTACATTGCAAATCAATTAAATTTAGTACTTCCTTACCTTAATAATTAAGTACTCTTTATAAGATGTTTGTGATGACTGAATCCTTTTAATAATACTCAAACCAATTAATCTAATAATCCAGAGAATAGGGAAGGATTCTCAAATAAAATTTACGAGTATTAGATTTATCTAGCCTTGAGAATTATAATAGGCATGATTTAATTTAAAAATTTTTATCAGCCTTGGTTTTTACAGAAACATCCAATCTAAAGAAACTAAGTAACACAATTCTATTCATCTATTTTAGCTGTTCAAAATGTTGATATCGGACGCACTTAAGCCTACATCTAAACAGCCATACGATTTAGAGAGCATATTCAGCAAGAATAGTAAAAATACCCTTTTTATTAAAATTTCAAATTACCTTTAAAATCCATAAAGTTACCTAATCAAACTTATAGAATGGAAAGTGCAACTATGAAATTGTTTTTCTAAGAGTTCTTTTTTACGAGAGTAGGAGATCTTTTAGAGATTGAAGAGTTTATAATGGAGAAGTGTTTCAAATAATCAAATAGAGAGGAAGGATTAAAAGAGAATTGTGCAGAAATATTTTAATAACTATAAGCCAATCCTGGAATACGATATTCAATTAAAAGAATTAAGTTCATAGAAGCATCCTATGTATTTGATAGTGTGACATATCGTTGTTTATTCTTAAACACATGTTTTAATGTTGAAGAATTGATGATAAAGTAGGATACTATTGCAGGAGAATTTATTTAGTTTGTTAATGAAACTGAATAATACTTTCTTACTCAACCTTTGGAATACAAATTACCATTATAAACAATAATTTTAGATTCAATAGATGAAATTGTATTTAACATAAGTGATTTATTGCAATTCTTTGTTTTTCATGATAGAATGTAAATTAAAAAATTGGTATTGAAATCTATAGTATTGATGTATTCTTAGCAGTCTATTACTAAATTAGAAGAAATCATAAATTCAAAAAATAAAAATTAAATATTGCCATTGGAGGAATTTGAATTTTTTAATTTAATAGATGATGTTGGAGTTTTGCAATTCTTTAAATATGTTGTATTTTGTAAGAATATTAGATTAAAGAAATTAAAATTCGGAAATCTAGACTTTTCAGCTTGTGTGCACTATTTGTAATCGTTCATTGAATAACAAAATGAATTGGATTTAAATCATTCCTTATAAGAATTGAATTTCCTTAAGATATCATAAGTGCATTTTGAAGATGAAATATCATGGGAATTCTTCTTATAGCAATTTGTGCTTCATCCAACAATAAAATTGAAAACATTGAAAATACAACAATAAAATTTGAATGAGGCCTTTTATAAAGGGATTAGTTAGTGTTTTGAAAATACAGGAGAAATCTTGAAATTAGAACTGAAGTAATTAAAATATAAAAAATGTGAAATTACGGTAGATCCATTAACAGCCTTTTTATATACTAGTTCTTTGAATCACTTATCATTTGTTTCATGCAAAAATATGGAATAAGGTTTGAAAATGAGTATGGATAATTATCACTAATCGAATGTTAAATAATACAACAATTTCAACCTCGAATCGTTTTCCCTTAAATAGAGTAAAGTGGAGGACACAAAGATCTTTAAATGGTTAATTAAGGAGATTGCTTTAAATCTACAGCATCAAAAACTAAAGAAAATTAACCTTTCTGATTGTAATCTAACTAATGAGCATCTGAGGATCTTATAATAACAGATAGAACTCATTTAAGAGAATAATCAAAAATAAAAATAAGCTTTTCACCTATATAATTTGAAGATTGACTCAAATCAATCAATTAGTGAGTCCACTTGGGTAGATTTCTTCAATGTTATTATGAAAAGCAAATCAATAAATGAATTAGATAAGAGATCTGAATAGGCAAGTACTCATTAATAGAAATCCAGCAATCAAAAAAAGAAAATAAAATAAGCTAAATCTATACACGATAAGGAATAGTAATTACCTATCAATAGGAACAAAATAGATGATCAATAAGATAGAGATACTAAGGAGAAAATTGATACATTATAAAAGAACATTGTTGAATCATCATTATACAAAAATGATTTGAATTTAAAGCATAAGATAGTCAATAACTATCATATCTTTACTCCAAATTTTCCTAAACAATTGAAATCGTTGAATCTAAATATGAATTTCTAGGAATTGAATTAAAATGATAAAACCTAAATTTATGAAAGATTGATATCTGGATTGATTATGCATCCTGAAAATCAATTAACTGAATTGACAATGATTAATTTGAATTTAATTTTGTTTATGGAGAAATGTGAATAATTTCTTATCTACTCTAATGTTTATTAGAATTAATGTATTAAAAATTAAGATAATAATTGGTCAAGCAAATTAGAAAGTTTATCATTAAAGAACCTTGCAGCTTAAAGTTAGAAAAGCACTGAATAATTTGTCAAAACTTTTATTTGTTCCTAATCAGTGAATTTACACAAGTTATTATTAGACAACTTTAATGAATAATTGATAGTAAGTTTGATGAACTAAATTGATAATCGATAAGATTATTAAATAACAGAGCTTACTCTCAATTGCAATTATGAATCAATTGAAGATAAGTACTTCGACATGTTTGTTAACGATATCATCTATTGTCAAAGGTTTCCCTTAACTTAAATTGAACTTAATGGTATAGGAGTATAATAAAAAAATAAGTAGGTAAGCCAAACTTAAACTAAATGCTCAAAAAATCTTTAATAAATATATTAAAAATAAAAGCAGATATCTTTAAAATAAATAACAATCTAATTGATTGATGAATAATAGGCTAAGACATTCATTCCTATTTTGGGACATCTATTATAATACCCTGAAAGTAAATTGGAAGTCATCAAAATACAGACAAAGGCTTAATAAGAAAACTTATCGTCCAGTTTCTTTTCATAATTAACAAATTAATTGACTGATATTTAAGAACTGAATTTGAAGGAAATCAATATTCAAGGCAAAATAGTTTTTGATGAGATTTTTATTAATTTTTTAGATAAATGTATAACATCTTTAGAAACCTTGTCTATCGCTACTGTAGATTTTCCATATTCATAGAAATTAAAAGAGAGTCTTAATAAACTAAAAAGAAAGGAAAAGAAATCGAAATTTACAGTAGAAATAAAATAAGTTCCTACTGGAACTGAACATTTCTACGAGCATTTCACATTTAATAAAACCATCAAAGCTACTAACATAATATTAAATAGTCATTAAAACTTCGCGCTACTTAGATTTGATTAGATGAGCCCTTTTATCAAATCAATAAAATTAGATATGGGCTTACTTTACAGTTCTACTGTTAGATTAAACAGAGATAAATTGACATTACTAAGCCAAGGATTTATTTACAATGAATAGAGTCATGTTGAAGAGATGCTCTTATATCAATGTTAATTAAAGAGAGAAGAAATTGAAGCCTTTTGTTAACCAGCAGCTCAATTCAGACAATAGATCATTCAATAATAAAGATAGAGTGTTTGCTAATTAAAACTAAAGTAGTTTTCGATTTATTATTCATTGTATATTGGTGAAGCAGGTTGCGATATTATTTCAAAGGATTTAATCTTTTTTGAATATATCGACATCGAAAGAATAGATTTCTTGGTTACCAATTTTAATGATCAAATGTGTGATAACTTTACTTAAGCTGCCTAAAATTGGTTAGCATTCCAATAAGAACATAATAGAAAATACAAAAATAAATATCCACTATAATATTTGGATATTGGCAGAAACGAATTTGTTTAATCAAAAGCCACTTGGGCCAATCTACTCTAAACATTAGTGTTTACAGATAAAGCAACCGAATTATCAACTCTAAATATCTAATTTATGGGTTTTAATGATGAAACCATATCCTACCTAATTGAATAAGCTTAATTATTTTTAGATCAAAAACCAAATGACTATGTATTACCAATAAAAAAAATCAATTTCTCATAAAATAATGCATTGACTCACAGAGGATGGAAAAATCTGTTTGACAATTTCTTTTTGCATAAGAAAGTTAATCTTATTGAATTGAACATGATTAGCACTATGTTAGATACTCAACTCAAATTGAATACTATTTATGAATGCATTAAAAAAAGAGCTTTACAAGAACCAAATTAGAAATTACAACTATAAGTATTTTTATGTTACAATGTATCTCTCAAAAATTCTATCGAACCTTATCTCCAGGTTCCTGCTAAAGATTATCCAAAACCAAAACACTTGCCTGTTGATATCGATTATGATAGTTGGAAGTATGGAATCTTTGATGGAATTCCTGAAGAGATTGGTTCAATTATAATGCTAGTGAATACCTTGATAAAAAAGAGAAATGAATTTATTGAAACTAATAAATAGAAATTGTTCGATGATATTAGGTTTCCCAATTATCATCTGAACTTTCATTAACACTACTTAGATATATTGAATTCCTATCTTTATTAACGAAAAAACAAATTAGCCAACCTCTATTTAGACTTATCTACTCTTGATATTATGTGCCAATTCTTTAACTATACTACATCAAATAAAGCCACTCCTTATCCCTATAGATTAGTATTTTCAGAAGAATCATTACAATACTTATCTGAACAATAGATTAAAATAAAGAAATTAAAGTTGATTTAAATCCCATTTGCAAAATTAGAAAAACTATCTTAATTGGATGCCCTCTAAATTTGGTAGCAAATTCGATAGTTAAAAATTCAAATTTAGAAAATTGAAATGGAATACCATTTGAATGATGAATTAATAGAGGAAATGTTTAGGTAAGACTATAACGAATCTGATCTATTGGATTTGATTACATTAATCCCTCCTGCTAAAATCAGAATTGAAAATAACTTGACTCTAAATACACTCAAAGGATTTTATAGTATCCTACATAATCAGTATTACTTCTCATCATCTATCGTCAAATATTCATTTAATGATTGGATCAACACAGGCTTGGCATATTAGATAAGAGAGTATGCTTATAATTATGTTCCTAAATCATCAATTTAATCAAAACTAAAAACAATTGGATATAACTTAAGTAATTGGTTAGTCATGCCACAATAGACTTATATATTTTACGATGATTACTAATATTTACAGTAATATCTAGATAAAGCCTTTAATCCAATATTAATTGTTACTTTAATCAACATGTTTTACTTGATTTTACTCATAATCTTACCAGTTTAGCATATATCTAGATATTCATAAGATCATCAATTAAATTTGACTCTTTTAAATCCTTTCCAATTTATAATACTAATTTCAACGGCTTACGAGTGCTATCTCATACACATTTTATAAAGAAATAAACCAATCTCTTGGTAATAATTGATATTAAGATAAGCCTAAGGCTTACCAAAAATGGTTTCTTTAAAACTCATCCCCTAATTTAATGCCTTTTCAATATTAATGTTCTATTAATCTGAATCCTACATTATATTCACTATCTTTATGATCAACTACTTTATTCATTATATTTTATTGCTATTTAAGAATTCAAAAATACTCTACTCGTAATATAAGAATAAAAAAACTACTCCTTAGGAATTATATCATTTAAGTAGAATAGGCAAATTTACAGAGATTGAAAATATAGTAAATGAAATCTTACCATTTAATGCAACTGTTATCAAAAAAACAAAGCTAGTTTTGAGAATGTTGCCTAAAAGTGTCTGGGGAAAAGCTATAAATAATAGAATCTATTATAATTTAAGGGAATTTATAGAAAAAGATTTACCATTTTATTTTTTAAACACAATCTTCATTTTATCATAATTATATATGAATGCAATGACAATATTTTATTATTTATCTTAAGTAGGACAATTGGCGTAGATATGTATTTCATTTAAAAAGTAATTTTTATTTATTATTCATAATTAGCTTCATTTCTTATAGACCATCAGTCATAACCTAAGATGATTTTGATGCAATTTGTAAGCGAAACAAAAACAGCTACAACAAAACCAAATTACGTTTATTAGAAAAAGAGAAACAGCAATTGGACTTATACGCAAATATCTATAATGAGAAAGAATTAAAAAATAAGAAAAAGAAATGAAATGAAATATATTATTAAAATATATTATAAATTGATATTGGTCTAATCTGAGAATTAAGTAGAACTAAAGCTTAAAATATGATCCTAAATAAATTTAGGAAGTATGCAAGCTTGGTTTCTCAACATTTTACAACATCTACTAAAATTTCAAATTTTACTGTCAACCCTAGCTAATATTGTTTGGATTTTGTGAATCTAATACTAATTTGTTAATTGTTACCAATAGGAAGCATAATCTGTCACCATAATCAAAAACTTATAATTATTCGAAAACAATTTTATTTAATAAACTTTAGAAAAACTAATTATTATTAGCTGATCGAAAATAAATTCCCTGTCTATGCAGAGCTGAAAGTGGAACAAAATACTAAAGGAGTTCAACTTTTCAAACTTCTAAATAATTGCTAAAGAAAGAATCAATAATTGTATTTCAAATTTTGCATTCTATTACTTCAAAATTCATTTAGGTTTGATTGATTTATCATTTATAAAAATACACACATTCTATTTGAAAAATGAATTAATTTACTTTTAAATCAAGTATGGAAGAGGATCGACCTTAGCACTCAGAGAAACAAAAAGGATAGTATTTTATTTCTTAGATATGATAATTTTATTTTTGAGGGATATGATAAAGAACTTGAGTAAATTAGTTGATGTTAAAGGAATTTATTTTGTAAATCTTTGTTAACTAATTGAAGTTAAGCTCAATTAAAGTGAAGTTGTTGAAATTTGAAGATCATAAAATTTATTTTGAATTATGATATATAACCCTCAATATATATATATATAATCAAATAATATTAATTAATTAGCTTAGATCGTGGTTTCCATCAATCCATGGATGATCGAGTACTTATTCAATTGTATATCTGTTCTCCGGATCAGGTGATATCATTTTTTCAAATAATTCTTAAAATAGGACGTCATTTATTTTGATATTTCTATTGACTAGTTTCCAAAAGGAGTTCCATTTTTTATCCGAGATGATCTTCCAATAAGGGCAATTTGGGGAGGCCTCAGAGAATGGAGGGAATCCATATAGGAGTATAAATATTAGGACAGCCAGTGCAAAAATGTCAGATTTTTTCAGCAGATTTGATTGCATATATTTTTCAGAAATTAGTAATTCTGGTGACATATAATTACGTGTTCCACAATTTCTGATGTATTATTTTTTGTCATCCACAATATCAGCAAAACCAAAGTCTATTAGGATGATTTGTAAGTGGTTATTAAGCATAACATTTTCTAATTTGATATCCCGATGAACATAATTAAGTTTATGAAGGTATTATATGGTTTCGCCTAATTCTAGTAGAATCTACTTCACTGTTCTAACATCGAATTTAGTCCCATTCTTGACAATAGTATAAAAATCAGTCTTTAGTTATTCACAGACAAAGTAGTTGTAATCAGGATGGTGATCAACAATCTTTATGATATGAGGATGATCTAGACTTTTCAATATTTTGATTTCCTTCTATCTCAATTTATCAGAATAATTTTGCTTATAGATCTTTACTACGCACTATTTGTTTTAATACTCACATAAATAGAGATCGCTTGAAAAGCCATCACCTATTTTCTCTTTCAATTACATAATATTTAAAAAAAATAATTAATTTTTACACATCTTTCATTTACTCTATGTTTTATATGATGCGTTAATTAACTCAACTTACATAATAAAATAATATTATAATCTATTTATTTATTTATTTATATATATATATTATTATTCGATCATTCCTCTTCTTAGCCAAATTCCTGATTGAGGTCAACATTTTGGGTCTAAACAAGTTTAACATCCTCAACTTCACCTGTTTAGTTGCCATCTTCAAATCCATTTCCATTTCCATTTCCATTTCCATTTCCATTTCCATTTCCATTTCCATTTCCATTTTCATTTCCATCTTCATTTCCATCTTCATTTCCATCTTCATTTCCATTTCCATTTCCATCTTCTTTTTCATTTCCATTTCCATCTTCATTTCCACCTTCATTTCCATTTCCATTTCCATCTTCATTTCCATCTTCTTATAATTCTTACTTCTCTATGATCTATTGTTCTTATTGCTCAACAATCCATTCTTCTTATTGTTCAATCATCTATTGTTCTTATTGTTCAATCATCTATTATTCTTATTCTTCAATCATTTTTTCTTTTTATTTTAAGTCTTCTTTGGATTTCTTTTGATTCTTATTCACTTAATTTCGAACTATTTTTCCTTTAGCTGCTGCTTAAATCTTAATAATATTTTGCATATCTCTATCATCCTATTATAATTATTATATTTGATTACGAAACTAGTTAATTTTGGCAACTCTTCTGTTTGCTCCATATTTTGGTTCTCAAATTCATCAATATCTTTTGCTACCTTATCGTAAAGATTATTCACATATTCCTTTGCAGCTTTCTTCTCTTCAGGGAAGCTTCCTTAAGAACTGACATGTGAGACATTATTTGGATTGCCAGATCCTACTCTTTTCACTTGTTGACTATCAGGCCTGTTGTTTGACATCTCGACCACTATCTTGGCCTTCTCTGTCATGTTTGAAGGTTTAGGTGGCTTGTGTACTCTAGCAGGAGCTTCTCCTTTTGCTATATTGTATTTGCTTTCAAATTTAAATTCCTTTCCTTATGCCATACATTCAAAATAATCTGCACCATACTTAATTATATCATCTGGTTAATCTCTTAATACCTTTTGTTAATTTTCTATTTACTTCTCTTGCAAAATCATGTAATATTTAATGGAAACCCTCAGGTACTGGATATTTTTATAAGTATTTGGAAGCCATTTTGATAACTGTTTATATTATATTAATTATTATTATTTATATTTGTAGATATTAATATATATATATAAATATATAATTCTTATAATTAAAATAAAGTATTTTCATACTCATCATATTTTCACTTTATATTAGAAATCATTAAAACAGCGCAGATCAAGAAATATTAATAACATTCTTCAATTATATCCTTAATCCAGCCCTCCTAGCTCAGTTGGTCAGAGCGTTGGCCTTTTAAGCCAAATGTCAAGGGTTCGACCCCCTTGGAGGGCGGCTTTTTTATTTTTTATAATTTTACTAATAAATTTATTTATCAATATTTAATCATGGATCAGCCAAGATAACCTTTTGTAAATTAAAACCTAAAGTTTCTATGGGACAAACTTCAAATAAGAACTTAGAATGGAGTTATTTTTTAATATCCTTCATGGAAAGATCAATATTAGGTTTATAATTCGCATAAGGATTAATATGAAAATATAATAAGCTTGACTCATAAATACAATGAAATGTCAGAAGAATTATTTTGGGGAAATCAATCAGAGACTATAGACGTGCTTATTTTCAATTAAGATATTGATGTTAATCCTGAAAATGCATTCAAACTGATGGGTAAAAATCCTGTTATTTCATACTATCATAATGTTAGTTTGCTTTTTGAAGAGAAGTTTTTCAAGCACATCTAAATAATCTTGATTTCTCCAAAAAATAATATTATCTACAATTTTGAGAATAAATCTATTATTTCTACTTATTCATCTCCCTATCTTAACGATTTGCTACGAATATTCATTAAAAAATACAAACCTCAAGATTAATTTAAAGTAGAAATTGTTAAGGATTTCTATATAAATAAATTTCCTCATATCTAAGTAAAAGAGCCTTTTTAAAATTTGAAGCCATAAACACCTCAATGTAGATTAGTTGATGATAAATAAACCATTATTTGGCTTGTTGATACTAAATGCCTCAAATATTATCTTTGCTTTGAACCTAACTTTATAACATATTATGGATAATTAAATGAAAATTACTAGAAACATGGTAGAGGAATATTATTTCAAACTAATTGGAATGATTATAATCCTAACTATATAATATTATAAGGAAATTTTGAAAACGGTAAGAGGAATGGAATCATGCTGAAATTTAGTTCTCGTAGTCAAACTCTGTCACATGGACTAGAATACTTGGATGATCAATTTATTAAATAAGTAGATTTAGATCAAAATGGGAAGATTAAAGTTGCTGAAATAGTTAAAGTTGAAACCTAAGATAAACCAATTTCAACAGCACCTAAAAAGAGAATAATAATAATGGAAGAAGGAGTTATAATAAATAATAAAGAAGTAACTCAGAATGATAGATAAAGGGCATTAAAATCAGATATATTTGTGAAATTTAATTAATAGTTTAATTCAAATGATGAGAAAATACTTTCAAACCGTAATTCTTGGTTAAATAGCTCTATAATAGATGGGTTTGCTCTAGATCTACAAAAACAACATTTTGAATAAGCTTTTAACAGTAACGACCCAATTAAGAATTTTAATACTTTTGTAATAGATTCAACTTATTTGACATCGGCTGCAATTGATTATAAATTAGTAACTTCTTTGAAAGCCTTATGCTTTGAATTTAAGGGGCTTACAATCTTTGATGTGTTTTAAAATATTGTTGTGGTAGTCAATTCTAACAATTCTCATTGGTATTTGGTTTTAGTGAAGAGAGAGCAATAGCAAGGTGTTTATTAATTGAAATTTCATATTTTAGATTCAATGTTAGGTCCATCAAAAAAATATATCAATGTTTGTTAAAAGATATTCAACTTATTGACATTCCACCTTGAATTAGATGCTAATTATCGATTTGACTCTGAGAATAATATTTTTGTTGAAGATGTTTAATAATAGAATGATGCAAGTTCTTGTGGGGATCATACATGTTTTTTTATGTATTAAATATTCAATGGCAACAATTACAAAGAAAAAAATAGAAAATAAATTGGAGAAATGAGAGGAATGTTATATAATCTCATATTCGGTCAATAGTGAATTCATTTATTAATTATTTTATATTTAATTTATGCGTCTTGGCTTGAAACTCAAAAAAGAATCAAAGCCCGCTTAAGAATAACCGTAAGATTAACCAACATAAGAATTCAAATTTGATTTTATTTTCTTTAATTCTAACTCACAATAATAGTTTGATAACCAAGATTCAAAATAATTTAAGCTAATTGTTTCAAAAAAAAATACTTAACAATAAATGATAATCTAAAAGGATTATATCTATATAGGAGAAATCTAAAATAATAAAATGCATGGAAATGGCAAAATCTATATGAAACAATATGATGCATATTGCAATAACAATTATTTTGTATATGAAGGTGAATTTTAAAATGATCAAATTGATGGCAAAGGAACAGAATACTATGGAAAAACAAATAAGAAAAAAGTTGATGGAGTTTTCTCAAAGTTGTCCTTAATTGAAAAAATTTAAGAATATAATTAGGATGGAAGCATACTGATTAAATAACAAAATTTACAATAATCAATGTTATAATAATCCTTTATTCAAGAGGATAGAAGTGCCAATAAAATGTTTAGAATTAAATCAGGAGTCAAACAAACACCTCCATAATCTTAATCACAAAAACCACTAGTTAAATAAAATGACAAATGGACCAAATTTGACGTTGAATTAAGTAAAGATCATTTATCATCTCTTTTGTCAGAAAAAGCCATAAATGAATCAATCATAGAGGCGTATCTTAATTACATTAATTACATGGATTCAGAAAAGTACTTCAATTTAAAGTCACTGCCTGAAATATAAGCCTATAAAAGAACTCTCATTATTCCGTACTTTTTATTCGAACAATAAAAATTAGATATACTCACTTACTTTGCTGAATTTTCTTATCTTAAAGGGTAATTTTGGTAAATTTATCAATCAACTTTTGTCATTGTTAATTAAAATGGTCATTGGATTCTTTTAGAATTGCTTTTTGAACCTCAGGATATAAAAATGAAAGTCTATGATAGTTGTTCTAAAAAAAAGGCTATATTTTATGTTACTATTTGCAAACATGTATGGAATATGATTGAGCCACTCATTAAATAACATAATTTGGCAATCTCTTGGAAATCAAAAGATATTATTGTAGCTGAATGTCCTTAATTATCCTAACCAAACGATTCAGGCATTTTCATATGTGCTTATTTAAAATATTTGATTTCAAACATTGCTTTAGATTAAATTACATAGGAAGTAATAAATAATCTAAGAAAAGCAGAGTTATTTAATATAGTCAAAAAGGAAAAATGAAATATATATTAAAATTATAGATTATGCCTCATTTTAACTACTTCTATTTAGAATTATTTATTGTTTTTAATATTTTATTTAACGATTATTCCTTTTCGCTTTTCATTTTTTCAGATATCAAAAGATCCTTTTCTAAAGCATTGCCTTTATTCTCATCGTAATTAATTGAATTCTATCTTTAACCTGAAACCTATTAGTTATTTTATTTATTTAGACTGCTTTGCTTTTTTTAATTACTTTTTCTTCTTTCTTGCTTGATTTCTTAATCTTTCTACCAACTTTCTTTATATCTATTAATTTGATCTTGAATTTAGTTTACAGTTTCATTTTCTCTTATCCTTTTACTCTCTCTTTCAATTTCCCATTTAATGGCATTTTCTTATTACTTTAATTTCTTGATAATTGATTTGTTTTTCTCGATTTCTTATCTCATTATTGATTCCTTACTGTTGGATCTATAAGATTTATTGAGAGATTATTGACCCTCAATCATTTATTTTATTTAAGATTTAGCTTAGGGTTTATTGGTTTACAGTTTTAAGATTCTATCCAATCTTGATTGCTATTTTTTAATTTTTTAATATACTTTTTTAGTTTGAGCTTCGATTACTCTCTTCTAATAATCCTTTGAATTTGATGAGGAACGACTTATACTTAAATTTGATTATTGACTTTTGGGTCTATTAATTTTGCCATGACTTTGATTTAATTATGACAAGGATATATTTGTCTTATTGCTGAATGACTTTTAAGATTATTAAAGTTTCGATAGACCTTATTAGCTTAATGATCTATTTCTTGAATTGCTTCTTTTGCATAATAATAGATTTTTAAACAATGGTTTTGCAATAGTTAAAAGCTAATTCAAAGTGTCTTATATTAATTCAAATGTCTCATCATTTTATTCATCTTCGTTTTATTATTGAATTGACTATAAAATCAACATAGATTTCTCTAAATTTTCAAAACGTACTCTTTTTTAAAATGTTTATGAATCATTAATAATTTCTAGAATCTCATTAGTATTTCGTAAACAATGTTTTATTGATTACCAATCTGACTTTATTTAATTTCCTTGTATTGATGCTATTGTTCCACTTAATATTGTTACAAGAGCATGAGTTATCTGTACTATTTTTTAATTTGGTTTGATCATGAGTTTTAATTGCTAATATATGAAATCTGTATACATTAAGGAATTTGAAAGTGATTTTCTTGTTTTGTGTTTCTGATTACATTTCTGTTAATATTAGTTATTCTATAATTAATTAATTTTATTAAATATGAACATATAATCATAGAAACTTTTTGTAAATAGCAAATATGTCTATGATTCCCAACAAGATTATAATAACCAATAATGATGCTTTATCCAATGTTATCTTGTTGTTCATCATCTAAATTGTAAAATCACTCTTCCTTAGATTTGACTTCAAGTCTTATTTCTATTTCATTTTTAAATCATACTTTAAATTTTGATTATTGCAATGCCAAAGTTCCTGCATTCATTTTAGAGTCCACATTTAAGGCAATTTATTCAGTCTCCTAAGTTAATCTATCAATCTCTTCTATGATTAAGTCGTTCTCAAACAGGTTTCCTTTTAAATTATCTGTCTTCTTTTGCTTTATCAATAATTCATTTATGCTTTCTTCAATCACATCTAATTGCTTCTTATATTATAAGATCTTGTTCTATAATATTTTTTTAGAATGAGTTGAAGTCATTTAAGCTTCCGTTTCCATCATTTTCACCTATTTTTATCTTTAGAATTTACACATCTTCTTAATTCATCCACGTTTTTCTTATAAAATTCATCTGTACTATACTCTCCTTTTCTTAACTTCTATTTCACTTATTCACTAATGTATTTGAATTCCTATTCGTTTTATACAAATTCCTCACTTGCCTTTGCATCTTACATTATTAATAATTAATTAACAGAATGTCGGATTCAAATTCTCATAGACTAAAACTATCCATTGATATTCATTCAATCAAAGAACATTCTTTTAGAGGCTTGATCTATGCTCATTATTCTCATTATCCATAACTGGGAATCAAATAATAATTTAGAACTGCACCTGTCATGTAATATTCAATTAATATAGTAGTGAAATAACCAAACCTTTTGTTGAAATTTCCTTTTAAAATTCTTTTGCTTCTTACATTTTCGATACCAATAAAGAAGAACTTTAAAAGCTATTTGATGAGACTTAATTATAGATTGAAATATTTCATTAAGACAGATTAAAGAAAGATTAGTTTATTGGCATATCGACCATAAACTTAGCCGAGTTACTAAAAAGCCCAATTAGAAAAAGCTCTAAAAGTTACGCCAGAGCATTAGATGCTTATTATCCTATTGATGATAATAATGATTAAGATGCTAAGAGAATTGGATTACTTAGATGCATTTGCTATCTTGAAGATTTAGGCCCTCTTGATTAATTATAATAGTAGGAATAAACAGCCATTGAATAAATAGTTGGGGATCCTGCTTTGCCCATAATTAGTTATCCAAATTCAGATGATCCAGAAAAATAATAGGTTATATTGGAATTACATTCATTAGAGCACAAAGTGATTTGGGAATTGGACACTTGGAAAAAAAGCGAAGAAGCCAAATTTAGAGTATAATTGAAATAGAAGGAGTTTGAGTTGACAACCAAATTATATCAAGATTTTAAAAACAAGGAATTGGATCGAGAAAGGCAACTCAAACAAGCCTTAACACAAATTTAGGTTTTAGAAAATAAAATTAAAAATAAAGGAACGGACCTAATGAAAAGAGAACAAAAAATTATGTAGTTAGAAGATGAAGTAAAATCCAAGTTAATGGAGACTGCTAAAATAATAAAAATAAAAGACGAGGAAATGGGTATTCTTATTAAAAGACAGAAGGATGAGAAACTAAATTTGGAAAAAGAAAAAACTTTATTAAGCCTTAAGTTAACTGATGCTTAGGCAGCCACACAAAAGCTTGAAGAGGAAAATAAGAGTCTAAAAAAAGAAATTGAAAAGTCACCAGTAGCTATGGTTAAGGAAAATTTATAAGAAAAAATTATGGAAATAACTGAATTAAAAAAAGAGTTAGACAGAACCAATCAAATTAAAGAATAATATAAATAATATTATGAAAAAATGAGAGATGAACTTATTAAAGAAAAAAAACAAACTTAAGATAACAATTCTTTAACATAAACTGCATTATTAGAACTCGAGAAATTAAAGCTTGAGTTATTGGAAGTTAAGCAAAAATAATCACTAAATTCACAATCAAATTCTTAAATGAACAAATAGCAAAAAGAAATTCTTTAACAAGAATAATTACAATAACAATTGTAATAATAGATCACACAACCTTTGAAAGCTGAGTAAGAATATAATAATTAATCTAATAATCCTTTTAAAAATGGGCTAATAGATAAATCATCTTAAAAACTTGCCTTTTCAAAAAGTTCAAAATCCTACAAAAATTACCCAAATTTAGAAAATAAGTCTGATCTCTAACGATTATTATAAGAAAGAGAATATTTGATTGAAAGCGGAGAATACCAGGTTGACGATCCATTAATAGAAGAACTTACAAAGCAAATATAATAATTAGGTGGCCATTGAATTTCCATTTATGATTTCTTTTAAACATACATCTATGCATTTAGCTTAAATATTCTATAATTTTTAAATAATTATAAATCCACTTTTACTTTCTAGCTTTTGGAAAATTTATTCTGTTTTAAATATTACAGGTTCATTTACTATAAAAGGTTCCAATTAGTCATTTCCCAATATTAATCGAAACACAAACCATAATTAATGATTATTTAAATTATCAGCTCAAGATGATTCTAGAATTGATGAATTTTAAGATTTATAAGAATCTTTTTTAATCTCTCTTTCTATGACAAAAAAATGATCTTAGGAAATTCAATCTTTTCAGGTTTTTGCTATTCCTTTTGAGTATATAAATCATTGGAAAGCAAATTGATTAATAAAATATAGTTTAAAAGAATATACAAAAATTAAATTATACTTTTAAATTCATTATATTTAAAAATAGTATTTCTTGTCATAAAAATATAGAATTTTTTGTTAAATAATGATTTAGCTTGAATTATAATAAAATTGAAGTAAACAATTTACATATGATGGTTTCGACAATAAAGGTTTTAGATATGGATGCAATTTATATAATTAAATTTTCGATATCGACTCAATTTTGGTTTTGTAGTAAGAATTTGTAAAAATAGGATTAACTTGTGTATCAGAAATATTTCTGACAATAACTATTTATTAAATATCTAAATTTTTAGAAAAAGAAATATCAATCTATTGCTAACAAAATCTAATATTTGTAATTTGGATGGGATGAAATGAAATTAAATTAAATTTAATACTCTTACTAATATCAAAATTGTTAATTTAGGACAAAATGTAAATTTACAATAATTATTTTTAAGGTATTTATTATAGGTTATGTTAATAATTAGTAATGTCTTGTGGTCTTTAGATTTACAACTACATTTATAAAATAAATTTACACTTGTTATTCATAAAAAGTCAGACAATCAAGTTAGATTCAGAGATAATAAAATTTAAGAAAATACAATTTAAATATATTTGAATTGAGATTGCAATAAATTAAACTCGAATTTATAACATAATTATGCTTAAATATACTTAATATTCAGAATATTTCTAGTGTTAATAAGTAATCATTAAAGGAGAGAAGATAAAATTGGCCAATTTTATCTCCAAAAATAATCAAATAAAATCGATAATATTTCACAATGAGAGAGATATTTAATTGTAAAAGGATTCATTTAATTAAATTTAGTTAGTAATTTTAACAATAATTATCCTTACCAAAATAAATTGAGAATATTGAATTTTAACAAGATATTATTGAAATAAACAAAGTTTAGTTGTAAGGATTATGAGATCCCATTTAATCTTTTCAGCAATATAATCAATATTTTTAAAGGTTCTCAAAATGAAGATTAATCTTACCAGTTGGACTGATATTATCATGAGAGGAACATAAAAAATTTTTTTTTAAATATTTTAACTAAATTAGCATTATTACTAAAATCAATCATAATTCTTAAGGATTCATTAATCATCAAGATCTTTAATTTTATTTTCCATGATCTTAATTTCTTCCTCATAATCATTTATAAATTTTAGCTTCATCTTTCCTTCTAAATTATTTTTTTTCCATTTATTGTTTTTGTTTTACTGCTTCTATTTGTTTTCTTAAATGCCCTGAAAAACTTTTAACATTTGTTTTTTTTCCCATTGATAAATCTAAATACATTATTTTACTAAAGTAATATGTAATCATATTACATAATTTATT